CAGCTACTATGCCAGCAACTCCAAGTCTGTACGTAGGTGACCGTGAACCGTATGAGTTGTTGATCCTAGGTTGTAGCTGTTACAACCCGAGTGTGTGACGCGTTGCCGTGCTGCTATTGTGAGGTCAGACAAGTCCACGCAAAGTTTTGCTGGCGACCAGCCTTGTTGCCGTGGCCCGCTTTCAACAAGCTGTGATCTCTCAGCTCTCTACATACGAGGCCTGTTGTAGTGGGAACCGCCTCCTCAGCCGCGTTGTAGAGAGACGTCGTCGTGAAGTTGTTGTGATGCCGGCCACTTGTCTGCAAAGTGTCCCCGGCGGCCAATCCCCATTATCGTGACCTGAGTGATCCATATCGTCGCTCTAGAAACTTGGGGCATCTATGTTTATAAGCATGATCTTGTCCTCGATGCCGAAGACGGGTGCGGCCATGGTGATGAGGTTCGCCGCCGCCAGACTGCTACAAATGTTGTGACACCCCGACGGAAGTGAGATGAACGTCCCAGCTTCCCTCACCCGTACATGCTCTGATGAGATATATGCTATGTCTGGGGTGCTCTTTGAAGCGTCATGAAACTCCACCGCCATGCTCCTATTGGACGGGCTCAGGCCTGCGGCGAGAGTGGTAACTGTGTGCCCAAGTCGCTGTGACTTGTGTACCCTATGCAACCTTTCTGAGATGTCATCATTTTCTACTCCAGGACCTCCAGCTCCTGTGCCATGTCATAGTCAAGCACTGGCGTGGTGATGAGGTTTCACAAGGCCGCTGGATTGTGGAAGGACGCCGCAACATCGCCATGGAGGTGGAATTTCTATCTCTACCGGCGTCCATCAAGATCTCTACCAGCGGGCTCATAATACTTCGGTTCCGAGCCAGCAGCTTAAGGACAGCTCTGCTGAAGCGTAAGCGTCGTAGACCTGATGTCACCCTGTGAACTCAGCAAAGGGATGTAGCGACAACTGCTGACCTCCCCAAGGCCGCCGGGAATGTCTCCCCTCATATCTGTGGGCGAGCAGCCTTAAACACATATCCACTACGAGCAGAACCTCTAGCAGGGTGCTGCAGAGCGGCGGCATCGTCCTTTTTAGTCCCATCTGCACCTCAACACGGCGAAGGGGGGCAGCGAGAGCTGCAAATGTGTTCTGTAGCTTCTGCAACTTGCACTCATCATAGCACTGCCATAAAACCTCTATCCCTTATCCTCGTGGCCAGCGCGCCTCTGCAAACCCCATTGTCGTGCCCTCACCACCGCGCCAAACATCGTAAACTCCCCACAACCTCATCCTCGCAGCCTCGCAACCCCGACCCCCAAACATGACAAATCGAAGATCGACAACACCCTCAAACAGCCTCCATCATACCAACCTAGCAGCCAGCCACCCACCATGTCCCTCCTCCACTTCCTCGTCGCCGCCGCCCTTACCCTCTCCTCCGCCCTCCTCTGCCTTCCCATCGGCGACGGCCCGCAAACTACACTGCTCAACCTACTGCTCGTCACCACCTTCCTGTACTTGTTCGGCAAGCTCCTCGAAGTCGCTGACTACGGTTCGTGCGGCGCCCGCCGCTGCATCTGGAGCTGGAGGAGATGGACCCGTGGTGGTTCTTGGAGCAGAAGTGTGTTATTTTGCCCGGGATTGGGACTGAAGACGAGGGCGAGGGGGAAGACGGACTGGCGGACGTCCGGTGCTGGCCGGCGGGCGTTGTCGGGCTTCCTAAAGCGGCAAGATGAAGGAGCTGGATAGGAGATCTGCGGCCGTGGGGTTTGCTATGGCGGCGAAGGTGTGGAAACCCAGGAGAAGGTGTCTTGTTTTGCTCGGCGCTGCGAGCAAACACTTCCAAAGGAGCTCTTTGACGATGGGCTGGCAGCAGAGGAGAACTCTGCCCCTTCTCCAGATAACGACAAAATCGCCGGCGAAAGCCCCGCGTTTTGCCAGCACCCCGGAGACGGCGATGAAGAAGAAACTACTTGCACAGGAGGATGTGGGCGTCTGAGACGCCTGTGTCAATAGCCAGGGGAAGAACGCTTTACTTGATTACAGCGCCAGATTACAATCCCGCTTCTTCAGACAAGTTTAGACTGGCCCGCCGGGACTCCATCTCGCTAGCCCTCTAGAGACGGTGTCAAACAACCGACTCTTTCGACACCATGACACCGCCGTGCGAGGAGGCTTGAATGAATCGCCAGAAACAGAAGCATTTGCTCGATCGCGGAACGAAACCGCCATCCTCTCTCCAGCTTCACAATCCAGTGTCCATGTTGTGTTTCAGGGCCGGTATGATAACCGCAGGCTGTGGAAGCGCATAGTGCGACGACCTACCCACTCTGTCGCGCACGATGAAACCGCCGTCTAGGGAGGCACATGACACCTACATCCTACATTTACGGTTGCGAGCACCCCCGGCCTCAACAGCCAAACCGAGATGTTGAAAACACTGTCTACATAGACATATAACCCCAAGAACGCAGGGAGAGTGTGCACAATTAAGGCGAGACCACCGACCCTCTTGACGACATGGAGCCGCCGTCTGAGGTGACCCGCTACAACTATGGCTACAAGCTCGAGCACACACGCCGTGACTATCACCATCAGAGAGGTGTTAGCCGAGACCAACTAGCAGCAACGTACTGGGAGGCCAGAGCAGATAGAGCCAGACTACAGCGACGATGCTACTCCTTTGACGCCACTGAAGCACCGTCTGAGGTAGCCCCTTGGGCAGTCCGGAAGAGAAGCATATCATCCACTGCGCGGAGTGGAGATGAAAGCAGTGCTGACGCCTTTGATATGGTGGGTAGATATTGGACAACGCCAGCGAGACAAGAGAGAACACAATGAGGTTGTCTCTCCTTTGGCCTTGTAAAGCCGCCGTCTGAGATGCCTCCATGGACAGCTAGAAAGAGAAGCATATCAGCAACTGCAGAGGATGGATATGGAAGCAGCGCCTACGCCGTCCTTACACAGATTGGATCTCGAGAAACCCAGAGGGAGACAGGTCGGAGTACAACGAGCCCGCCTCTTTTTCGTCACAACAAAACCGCCGTCTGAGGTGGCCAGCGTTAGTAGCGAGGAACACAACTTGTGCGTCTTTACACAGAACTAGCGCCAACAGCATAGCCAACATAACGGAGAGGTTGAGGACCTGGACTCGAGGCAATGTGATCCGCGACAACACCATCGACCCCGCGCGCACAGAAGAACGTCGTCGGACGTGGCTTGAGAGGTCTGTCGCTACAGTACCTGGAAAACACCGCTTGCAACACAACGAATTTGAGGGAGCAGTACCGGTCCGCCATCCACAAGCTACGGCACAGGGCTCTGCTGGTCTAGCAAACCTAGACGGCGAACAACTGCCACGTCTGCGCTAGTGACGGGCACCATTTATCGACTTTCCGGTCTGTCTGCTTCCCGTCCCTTTTGGGTTTGTGCGTCGTATCCAACAATCTAGACTTACAGCTCCTTGGCTAACAAATTGTGAGGCAGACAAGCTATCGACCCTAATATCCACCGACCAGGAGGTTCACAACTGACTCCGTCGACGCGGCAAACCTCAACATCGTCCCCCTCCGCGGTGTCTACTCCTAAGACGTTGAACGAGCAGTGATTAACAGTCATTACCAAGCCAGACCAGCCAACACGGCTGATTCTGCTCGCCGCAGCAAACGTAGACGGGGCACAACAACCACGTCGGTGCAGGAAGCGAGGCCGATTCTCCAAGCAACCACACAACTTCGCGGAGCCAGAGTCGCTCAGGCCAGGTTCGGCTTCAGCCCGAGCACCCACCCTCACTATTCAGAGGTTCTCTAATCACACCTCTCACAGGTAAGCCGCTACGCCAGATATCCAATCGAACACAGCACCGCTCTGGCGCCTGTCTCGACCTTCGTCGGCGCTCGCCTCTCCACTAGTATTATCTCTAGCAGATCTCGCAGCGGCAAACAATGAACGAACATGTGGGCTGCAGTACTCGCAAAGACTCCTAGCCGACAACACCAGAAAACAACCCTCTCTCGGAAAATAGTCATGATCAAGGCCGCCGCATAGCTGCTTGTTTGCAAGCACAGCTTCGCCCTCGCCCGCGCTATCACCAACAATCAGAACTCGTGCGCCAACTCCTTCCACCACCGCAGCAACTCTTTCCGATCCGCCAACTAAGACAACGCCGCCATGACACCATGCGTCGGCCGGCACTAGACATCACCTCCGATGCGCCCTCGCGACTCACAAGTTGACGGACATGGTTGGCCAGACAAAGAACTTTGCCAGTTGTTGAAGACAAAAGTACAACCCTATGCTCAGAGCTCACTCCGCTAACACTTTTCTCACAGACAAGCCTCCTAGCGCAACTTGCATCATAGGACCGACACCACCCCAATCCACCCTTTCAATCTCACCGACCCTCAACCTACCCCCAAACGCACGACAAGCCTCGCCCCCACCCCTTCGCGACAACAATAGCGGACACAACGGCCGGATAAGCGACGCAGCCGGCCCACAATGCGCAGGCCGACGCCGCAGTGTCCAACAACTCCTACGCTTTCTTTCGAGTCAGGCGGACAACAATCTCTAGACATGTCGGACGGACAACAACTTCCACACAACGCCGCGGTGTCCAACAACCTCTTGACACGCCCGTCTGTCAGGTGAGCAACCCTCTTCTGAGGCGGCCAACAACTTCCTTAGGCGGGCAGCAATCCTCTCACGCAGAAAACAATCTTCTGCGCGTTACAGTGACAGGACGGATCTCCTGCAGGATCGGAATGACAAGACGAGCTATGGTATAACAAATACTGGAACGACAAGGGCACTCGCCCATCTATCGAGCAGATGATCCAGCGCGTCCGTTCCGCGACAGCTTAACAGGAGCGAAGACAATGCTACAGCGCGGCCTTCGGCAGTCTTCAGCCCATCCGAGGCGCAAAGCCTTTGTTTAGCGGACAACAACTTCTCGCGGATATAGCGGACAACAACTGCGACAACACTCAATCCCATCCCACAGACCCCAGCTCCCATGCTTCTCGGGGAGTGGGCCCGAGTCGTCTACGGAAGGCCCCGGGCCAGGACACATATTAGCTGAAGAAAAGGCTGTGGTGGAGGCAACATCCAACAAGCTTTTTCCCTCGCCACAACAGGCCCGCTTGTCTGAAGAACGGGCGGCGGACACAACTGTGGTGGATCTGTCATACAAGCAGCAGCCCTCCATCACAACGATCGCTCGGCCCGCCCATGAGCGGGCCATGCTCTGCGCTCTCGCGTCATATTCGATCGTAGATGAAGGGCTGTAGGATAGATCGTGTTACACACTTAACAGGACACCAAAGACCACGACGAGTGTAACAACGTACGGCAATTCATGACGGCTGGCCCCACGGCATGGGGAAGGTATACTCCAGGAAGTCCCAGTACGTGGAAGGAAACCCTTGGGCGGTATTTACAAGTTTTAGTCTTGGTTCGTCATCGGACTCTTTACAACAAGGCGCTCGTGCGCACATCCTAACAGCGACCCTCTAGACTTGAGAAAGTAATGGAAGAAGAGGACTCAGAACGTGGAAACATAACTATGATGGAACGAAATGCCAAACCAGGAAACATAGAGAAGTAGACGTCCTCCCCCTGCTACCAATCTTACTTAAGACATGAAAAGGTTCCCCAACTAACCTCGACCGCAATAAAGAAAGTTCCATTCTCTAACCAATAAAATCCAAGATTTAAGATATATAAGAGTAGGGACCTAAAACTATATTAGACTAAGAATAAATGCTAACAACTAATAAAAGAAAGAAATACTTAAGAGCAATACCCTTAGCAACACACTCTAAGAGGCCTCCCTGGCATCTACTAACCCTGCAAAGGGTAAAGAAAAAGAAACAATACTTAAGCTTCCATCTGCTGGCATTTTGCTTCTTAGCATCCCCAGCGCTGTGTCCTTGCCTGCCATAGATGCCATTTTCCTTACCAAGATCCACCCAATTTCAGTCTAGAGCCCGGCATGGCAGCTGGGGAACCACATGTGTAAGGATATGCCCTACCGCTGGGATACGGCGTTCGAGATCCTACACGAAAGAGCCAGCAGGAACAAGCTGGGATCTCATTAATCAAAAGCTTGAAAGCTCAAAAAGGCAAAAATCCTCGGAATCCATTGGACGCGGAAAAACTCAGCAACGAGCGATCCACGGCTGAAACGTAAGCAGGAATAATAGAGCTCATATTATTGTAGAGACACCACGAAATTTCATTAACGACCTTAGATTACGATAATTGCGAATTGTCGCCATCCATGAGACGCGTAAGTAGCGAGCAAGAGGTATTTCATGGAGAGCGAATCTAAGCGAATTTCAAGCAGAGGTTTCTTTACCGACGAGTCCACAGATTCAAAAGCGGAGATCATCGCAATCCATTAGATGCGGAAGTCAACAGACAACACCAAATGTGCTGACGAAGCTGAACAAGACGCGTAGACTCTAAGTATGAATACTACGGAGCGCCATTGGTGTCCGGGATCCAACGTGTCTTCATAAAATTCAATATTCGTGAAGCAGACTGGACATGAAACCTGATTCATGGGTAACGGGCTGCCAGCAGAAATGGAGACAAGGTGCACGTTCACGGTGTACCCCGGGCTTACAACCCGCACCATGGGTGACGGGATGCCGGCAGATGAAGTAGGGAAGACGTGAGTGACGAGGCTACTGATGAATACCCCAGAAAGCTTACTTTGGCACTAGTTTCCCTGGATTCCTTGACGGCCTGACTATGATATGAGATTGAAATATGCTGACAGCCCCAGGGCACTGAAAGCGGGAAGGCTTCCAAAAGAATTGCGGAATTGGAAACGAGAAATCCTGAAGAGCAGCTGTAGGGCAACCACTATCCATCGGAGGACGGAGAGATTTTACGATGCGGCAGCCCCGGGGGCGCATAAGTGTAAACGACTTACCGGTCCATTTCAAGATTTTTGACAAAGGTTGAGATATGGAGCGCTAAGCAATTTGAGAGATATCAAGATTGGATAGAATGGCAGATGGAATAACGTAATTGGATGGGACATTCAACTCAAAAGCGACCTCGAAACACGAAGATATATCCAGATGAAGAGGCGAGACAGCGTCAAGGAGAACGAAAGACTCGAAACTGAAAGAAACCAACAGAAATATTGCAAAGCTACCGCAAACCATCGGAGGCGTGGATGATAGTACGATGCGGCAGTCCAGGGGTCGCAGCAAGCCTTACCGGATGGCATTAAGAAAGTGAGCGAGAGATGGAAAAGAAATGGACGGTTCAAGCTGATAGCAGAAACAGAAAAGACGACACAGCCCGGTGGGCGTGGATATCTCGAGATTGCATAAAGAATGAGGTCGAGCAAGACGATTAGAGAGCGCGGAATAGTGGTGCCGTGGAACATAGCATGGCCATTCCAGATCAAAAGATACGCGACAGCATTTCGGCACATCCGCGGAAGAGCGGGCTCTGGAGGCCGCAAGCATTGGAGGCGCAGTTACTTCGAAGAAGACCAACTTACCGGTAATCAAGAAAAAAGAAAAAGGAAGATCAAGATGACTTTAGGAAACGAGACTTCATCGCAGCCCATAGGGCTCGGAACGACAATTTGCAACATCCTTGAAGAGATTCACGGCTGTGAGAGGACTTAGACATGGAGTAGAGAGGCTTGGAAGGTCAAGAACGAACTCGAAAGGTCGATATTCATCGCAGCCCATCGGGCACGGATCGATATGTGAAAAGGGCTGAAGTTGAAACGAAGCATTGAAAGAAAATATCAGAACGACGTCATCCACTTACCTTTGGGCATCAATGGGATGCGATTGAAGCCGGAAAGAAGTAAAGGGAGGACTTACGGTAGAGGATGGAGCCGATAGCAGGCAAGTAACGTCAAAGTATTTTAGATGGCGACTGACGATATTCATCAACCAGAAGTCACACCCCGACAGACTCGGCTTGCTTGACCGAGGCACCCATACAGGCTGGTCGAAAGCCGACTTGATTGTTTGATCTATATCGTCCAATGACGTTGAAGGCCGAGATCACTTAACGTCGACATGCTCTGCCTCAATGTCTTTGAAGTTGCTCGCCTTCCCGAAATTTTTGTGAGCAATCTCTTCCAAGCTAAGACCTTTCGTCTCATGGAGAAAGAAAAATGTACCGATAGCGATGACGGTATCTGCAAGACCCCAGAAAAGAAACGTACCCCTGCCAAGGCTGTCAGAAATGCTAAGACGAGGAAGAGTTGGGATGGATGGCGAAGGTGGAGAGTGAATGGAAAAAGCTTACCATCCCAAGCTGTCGATCATGTATGGCGTAGTGAGAGAGAAGACGAAGTTGACGAGCCATTGAGACGACACTCCGACCGCAATACCAGGTTCCCGGATTCTGGTCGGGAAGATTTCGGAGACGTATGGCCATGGCAGCGGACCCCAGCTGAGATTGTACGCAATCACGAACATGTATATCAGGGCCACCGTGGCGATACCGCTTGATGTCACGTTTCCGTTCTCGGGAGCGGGTTTGTTCTTGACAATAGCGGCGCAGGAGATCTGGCAGGCTGCTATGAATGCCGCACCACAAATCAGGACCTGTCTTCGGCCGATCCGTTCTGAAAGGAAGAGAACGAAGATACCACAGGCTACGACCTTGATGGCTCCGAAGATGGCCGTCAAAAGAAGATCCTTATCCCCACCTCCGACGAGCAACTTGAAGTATTGCGGTCCAAAGTACGCGAAGGCAGTAGCACCGGTTGCCTGCTGGGCGGTGAAGACGGCGAAAGATGTGAAGATACGCTTGAAGTTGTCCGGTTCGAGGAGTTCTATCACAAGGCTGAATTAGCTTTTGTCTTCTTAGAGATGGGTTGTCGCACGCACCCTTGATCTGGAAATTCTCGGTCTCGCGCTCTTCGATCTCAACGCCTATGCGGATCTCCTTCATCTCGTCCACGGTGACCTACGACTCGTCGGCTCGAATCCATTTCAGGCTCTCCCATGCTTCCTCGTGTCTGCTCTTCTTGGTGAGCCATCGTGTGCTTTCCTTGAGTGTGAGCATGCCGATGCCAAGCATGGCGGCAGGAACGAGCTGGAGGCCGATCGGAATTTGCCATTGCTTCGTCACAGGCGTGACCCGCTTCGTCATAGCGTAGTCGATCCAGTAGGATGTAAAGATTCCTGCCAGGTATTAGTCTCCATTTGCCTAGTGTAGGTGTTTTGTGGAAGGGATCTTGTGTGGGGTCTTACCGAAGGTGTAAAACCACTGAAAAAGCGACCCGATCTGAGCTATATTCCTTCGGTGCCATCTCACTGCTGAACATAGGCACAACAACCGATGCAGTGCCGAGTCCAATGCCAGTCACAATACGGCCGACGTAGAGTGCGGCGAGGGAGTGGGTGTTGATGGTCTGGATGATGGCACCGACGCAGAAGACGGCCGAGGACAGCATCAGCGACTTCTTCCGCCCGAGTCTATTCGTGATGGGCCATATCACGAAGTAGGCCGCGAAGGCACCGGCCTGCTGCAGCCCGACGCTGAGCGAGTTGACGCAGGTTTTGTGCTTGTTCGAGTAGCGGAAGTCGTCGTGGTAGGAGGAGAGGGTCAAGACGCCGCCTACAGGACACGGTCAGCCAGGGGGTTGGAGGGCGGCCGAAGCTGCTCCATACCGACACTGGCGTGGCATGTCAGTGTCTGAGGCTGCTCGGAGGAGACCGAGCAGAGGAGAAGGGTGGGGCGATGAGTGGTGATGTTGGGTGGTGGTGAGGATGGAGGGGGTGAGGTTGAAAAAAGCTCGAGGCGGGGCCAAAGCTCAGGCAAGGGGGAAGTCGCGCATCAACACCAACTTCACTCCCGTACCGCCAGAACAGGAGAGAATACGTACATTCCAGAGTCGTATCCGAAGAGGAATCCCCCCATGCAAACGACACTCCCGAGCCAGAAGGCCCTGATCTTTCCCAGCGTGGTGGCCTTCATCATTTGTAGATTCGGGGGGGCGGCGGAGGAGAATTCATCAACGTCGTCGTCCTCGGCCGCTCTTAAAGGCGTGTACTCGGTGGCCATGGCGACGGTGAACGGTATTGTGTGGTAGCTCGCCCGGAAGCCGGTCAATTTGTCGATACTCCTCTTATGCTAACCTCGCCCTGAGCTCTAGCATTGGTGGAATCCCTCGATCAGCGGCACGGATGCGACGGTAACATTCACAGACAACATGCGGGGATCAAAACAGCGGCAGTTGATCTACGAATGAGGCATATCTAGTGCAAATGCGGAGCCTATAACCGCGAGGCGATTCAGGTCCCGATACGCTCCTCCCATTTGCTGATTACACATCCGGCAGCCTGGTAGCATTAACAGGGGCGATGGTGCCATAGCGATAGGAGATCGATTAGTGGGGATCCCCGAGTAGCATCCGCGCCTCAAAGAAGAACTCGGAAGGCGAGCAAATGGATGCTGGGGCAAGAAATCATCACTTCATGATGGCATCAACGCAATGGCCGGGAACTCGGCTCAGAATACAGCAAACCCACAGCCAGGCAATAGATTATCCTTCATTCCATCCAACATTACCTACGTGCCGATGTGGAAATATTGACAGGGGCGGGATACAAGCTTCCAAAAGCTTCATAAGCTCTCCGAGCAGGTGGGGCACATGGAATGGCGGTGCGGGGAACAGCTGACGAGGCTAGACAACGCTGTGGATCTGCGCCTTACCTTGTAGGACGTCGTATGATACGCATACAGCCCTAACTCGACCAAGTTGGCGTCTCCAGCGGCATTTCCCTATCAATACGCGCTGGTAATTGTGGATAACAGTGGACCTGAAGCCTTTTTCTTACTCCTCCAAGCTCACGTGTAGATATCGTGGGATCCCCCTTAAAACCCCTCCATTTCTCCAACTGCTTCATTTTGGCACCCCCGTTGTCTCTCATTAGATTCATACTTACGTCCAAGCTTCAACTATTCACCAAGTTGTGAAAAGGTGAAACGGTCAAAGCTTTCTCCAATTCTTCACGTAGCATTCGCACTGCGTGCCATCAATTCACCCCGCCAAGATGTCTTCTTCTACTAAACCCAAACGCCCGAACTTTCTCGTCATTCTCGCCGATGACCTGGGTTTCAGCGACATTGGATGCTTCGGCAGCGAAATCCACACTCCGAATATCGACAAAGTGAGTCCATTCCTTTCATCCAGGCCCTTATTATGTTCCATCCCTTCAGTTCCTCTCTGAATTCAAAATCGGAATTGCTCTTATCTAACCATCACCATTCTCCTGCTGACCCCTAGTATCAACAGCTCGCCAAGTCCGGCCTCCGCTTCACAGACTTCCACGCCGCAGCTGCCTGTTCGCCGTCACGTGCCATGCTTCTCACCGGAACGGATCACCGTAAGAATCGCCCTAATCCTTCTTGGCAGTACCTTCATACCCCGTTTGCTTAGCAAAATATGACTATTATCTTCCAAGCCCCTAATTCCACCCCAGACATCGCCGGCCTCGGCAACCTCATCGAATGGACCAACATCTCCGGCCAAAACGACCCGTCCGGCGCCATGTCCACCGCCCCGCAACGCGGCATGCCGGGCTACGAAGGCTACCTCAACGAGCGCGTCGTCACGCTGCCCGAAATCCTGCGCGACGGCGGGTACGCCACCATGATGGCCGGCAAGTGGCACCTCGGGCTAACCCCCGAGCGCGGGCCGCAGAACCGCGGCTTCGAGAAATCCTTCGCGCATCTGCCGGCGTGCAGCAACCACTACGGGTACGAGCCGCAGCTGGAAAAGGAGAAGGGCGACCAGATCCCGGCGTTTATGACGATGAGCTATATCGCGCTGCATAGTGAGGATGGAGAGTACGTGAAGGAGTTGCCGGAGGGGTGGTATTCGAGCGATGGGTATGGGGATAAATTGCTCGCGTACCTTAGGGATTGGAAAGAGGAGCAGGCGAAGGAGGAGAGGCCCTTTTTTGCGTATCTCCCGTTCACGGCGCCCCACTGGCCGCTGCAGGCGCCGCAGCAGTATATCAAAAAGTTCAAAAAGTACAAAGGCGTCTACGACTCCGGCCCTGACGCGCTGCGCCTCCAGCGCCTCCAGCGCCTCCAGCGCCTCAAAGACCTCGGCTTGATCGCGCCAGACGTCGAACCCCACCCCGTCGTCGCCGAGGAGACCAAATCGTGGGCCGAGCTCTCCCCAACCGAGCGCGCTGCCTCCTCCCGCGCGATGGAAGTCTTTGCCGCAATGGTCGAGTGCATCGACGCCAACGTCGGCAAAGTCGTCTCCTACCTCGAGTCCATCGGCGAGCTCGAAAACACCTTCGTCACTCTCATGAGCGACAACGGCGCCGAGGGGGCTGCGTATGAAGCCTACCCCATCGTGCAGAGCACCATGCTAGGGCATCTGAAGAAGTACTACGACAACTCGCTGGATAACCTGAGGAACGGGGATAGTTTCATCTGGTACGGCCCGCGCTGGGCGCAGGCGGCGACGGCGCCGAGTCGGCTGTATAAGGCGTATACGACGGAAGGGGGCGTGCGGGTGCCGTTCCTCGCGAAGTGGCCGCAGGGGGTGTTGGGGAAGGGGAGGGGCGGCGGGGTGGAAGGCCAGTTTGCGACGATTATGGATCTCGCGCCGACGATTTTGGAGATGGCGGGGTTGGCGCATCCCGCGCCGCTGTATAAAGGCAGGGAGGTGGTGGAGATGAGGGGGCGGAGCATGCAGCCGTTTGTGAGTGGGGCGGCGCCGCGGATTCATCCGGAGGACTTTGTGCAGGGGTGGGAGACGTGTGGGAGGGCGGCATGCAGGAAGGGGGATTGGAAGATTGTGTTTATTCCGAAGCCGAAGGGGCCGGAGAGGTGGCAGCTTTATAATCTTAAGAAGGATCCGGAGGAGGTGCATGATCTTGCGGAGCAGGAGCCGGAGAGGTTGGAGAAGTTGAAGGGGCTGTGGGATCAGTATGTGATTGAGACGGGGGTGGTGCCGCTCGCGCCGGCATTGGGGAAGTGGATGCAGGCGATGGAGGAGCAGATGGTTGAGAATGCTTGGATTGAGTATGAGTATTGGAAGGATGGGGCGAGGGATGAGCCGGAGAAGTTTTTCAAGGATATCCTAAGGTTTCAGAGGGTGGTGAAGCCGATGTGAGGGGAAGGGCTGCATTTTCAATGATTAGTGGAATTCTCAAGAGTTTTTTCAACGTATATGTTTCGAAAGAGTAGAAGTATAGCACAGAAGACTGCTATTGATATGAGACAGTATGAGCTGGGGTAGATCTTCGTGTGGCAATATGACGATAAACAGTTTCAGAGAGCCTAGAATAAGAAATGTAGATGAACTAAGGGAATGAAAGAGCCGTGTAAAAGTTCAAGCTGCCAATGCTATCAAACTCCACTAATCAAAAACCGCCCCATTACCTCTCTCTCCGTTTCCCACCCACGGACTATCCTTAGCCCACCTGTATAACCCTCCTAACATCAAACTCCGTCGCCCCCTTCTTCTTCTTCGTTCTCTCTCCCGCGAAATCCCCGCCCTCCTCCAGTCCCCTCTGATTACTCACGGCCCGCACCCCAAAGACCACGAAATCATTCGTCCAATGCGTGCATCCAAACACCCATGTCTTCACCCCCGTCCAATCCCACCCCGCCAACAAATCTGTCGCGCTCGCAGTACACCACGGTGTATCCACCGCCCACGGAGCGTGACACTCCCTTAGCGCCGGCGCATGGTGCGTCACAATCAACAAACTCCTCTCCGGCTGCCCATCTAGCGCGATCTCCCCCGCAAACCGCCGATTCGCACTTACCTGGCTCTTAAGCCAGCTGACATCATCCGCGTGGGCGGCGTTGTGCGCTTCCACGCTCCATCTTTCGATAAGGCTGAAATCAGGCACCTTCGCAACGACAGCGGCCGCGGCGGACTCGGGAATCTGCGACCACAGCGTACACCCCAGCACACTCAGATTCGTTCCCGGCAGATCGTACTTCCGCTGATGCAGCAAGATGAGCTTTCCTTTCAGCGCGGGCTCAGCTTCTAGTCGCCTCGCGGCCGCGATGCCGGCGTAAAAGCTTAGACCGTGGAATTCGGTGGCGCCGAGGACGAGGAAGACGCGCTCGAAGAGAGTGGTGCGGCGGACGAGGAAGCCGAGGTAGGCGTCGTAGTCTGCGAGCCGGCCGATGTCGCCGGCGAGGATGAGGTTGGGGGCGGAGATGGGGAGGTCGAAGGAGGCATATTGGTTCGAGTGTTCGAGGTGGAGATCGGAGAGAATTTGGAAGGGGGCGGTGCGGGAGGTGCGGGAGGTGCGGGAGAAGAGGGAAGAGAGCCGTTTCATTGTTGAATTGGCGGAGAGGGAATGGCGCGGGAAAAATAGATGATATGAGTGATGACTTGTAAGAGACCGGAAGAGATGAATAGATGTTAAAGATGACGCAATAGAACTATTAGCTAGCCTCCGATCGATGCATTGAGACCAAGGATTCGCTTAGATTTGCAGTACAGCGTAGAATCTTTGTTATAATATGCCAGCCCGTTTAGCGCCAGTATTCTTGTAGATGAGATGTCGTTGATTTTGGATTCTGATGGAAGAGCCGGGATGTCGTGAGGCTGAGGGGAAAGTCATGACCTTTACTGCTAGGGCCAATCAGACCCAGTTTTCCATGAGTCTTTTCCAAGGTATGCCTTCTTCGCAATGTAGCTACATGGTCAACGAATAATACACCCCCTTCCATCGACATCGGAGATACCTACCATTTGATTCTCATCACATGCCGTTTCTGAGTCACGTGATTTATTTCGATTACTAAGCGAGGCCCAATTTCAGTGTCAATCTATCTGCCGCAACGCTTCAACTCTATCCCCTCACATCTCGCGCTCAATGTAAGTCATTGTGTTCTACAGAGTCTCCTTTGGATGCAAAACCTACCCACAGCAACGCAAATCAATCTTTTTCATCACGGACTCTAGGCCAGGACCAGTGAAAGCGAAGCCTGCAGCATCAGCCTTACCCGGCTGAATCCGTTAATTCTCGTAAGCCGTATCGTCCCGAGGATCTCTTCTGTGAAAGCCCGTTGCATTCGAGCTGCTCGTCAAGCCAGTCTGCTTGTAGCCTTAAGATTCCACCTTCTTTCCATGATTTCGCTACCGGAAAGCGTCAATCAGGCGATTTGATATCAAGCTTATTATGGAGGTTGCACTCTTCCCATCTTCTCCTTCTGTCGTCACTATATAGGACTAGCTCATTCCTCTCGCATCTGGATGGTCTTTGATTCCCCTCCGCCTTGGCACGACTAACCCTGCTCGGGTCGCTCTAAAAATAGTCCATGGATCTCCGTGCCCGGAAGGTGGTAATGAATTGAGCTAATATCAAGATCCACTGGGGATATGGCAGATATCAGCAACGAGGAGCCTCGTTGCTGGGATGGGTGAGTCTCCGGCGGCTTTTCCGTATTGTGGAGGTGCCACTATTATGTCTTTCGCGCTTCATTCCCAGTCTCATGATCTTTCTTCTTGGCTCTCGCATCACGGGATCTGATCGTTGAGCACCTTTGATGCCTCGCCAGGACTGATGCTGTCATGCCCCCAGGTAATTTCTCTCTCGAATCCGTGAGATTCCCTCTGGGTGATGCCTGAGGCGGCTTGCATGCGCATATACGAAGCCGAATACATTCCTTTAGACTATCAGCCGGGTGTAATTCCATTTTTCCCAGGTCCACGCCCCACTCAGAGCGCCTATGGCGACAAAGCGCGCCTGGAGTTTGAGCAGCCGATATCTCGCTTGCTGTCGGGGCAGGTCTTTTGGGGTTCGGTATCAGTCTAGACTTCGCAGCTGGCATCAAGTCATATAATACGCGAGAGTTTTACTCTCAGCCTGGGTACTGCTTGCATATCGTACTACTCTATTCTGTATAGTCGGTCTAAGATGTGCTTTATTCTTCGAATTCTGTGCCTAAATTTAGAGTTCTTAATATTGCTATGGCCTTGGTCGGCGGCTTTCCCATACCACAGGCATTTCTGTCTACATACGAGGTTTCGCAAAGCTGTTCTTTCTAGAATATCTCGCGCCATCGTATCTCAACCCTATCGCACGCACAGTTCCTAGCCATCCCACTAACCGTATATAAGTATTGGATTTAGAACCGTCGTTCGGATATCAAGCAGAAAGTCGGTCCACCACTTTCATACAAATTTCTTGAAGTCCACAATACTGACCCAACCAAGACCAGCGGAGCTTAAGCTGTCCCACCCACCAGCAACCGCCATGAAGACCCCAACCCTCGTCGCCCTCACAACCCTCGTCGCCCTCCTTTCTCCCGCCGTCTCCTATCCTGGTATGGCCACAGCCCTCTCTGCCCTCCACCACCACGCCTCTCCCGCCGACGAAGACCCAAAGGAACTAATCGGGGATCTTCTAACTCTCACAGACTCCCAGCTGACCTCCATTGGCAAAGACATCGAAGCCATCCTGCTCGGCACCCTGACAGCCGAATCCAGCACCATCGACAACTCTGTCCCCGCTGCTCTAGGCTCCTCCGCCTGCTCCTCGGACACCTGCTGTGTCTGGAAATGGATCGCCTACGATATGACCGCCAAATTCAACGACACCTCCGGCCGCTGCACGCTTTTCGCCCGCGCCGCCGTCCGGCTGGGCTTCCACGACGCGGGAGCGTGGTCGAAGACCTCCAGCTACGGTGGCGCGGACGGCTCCATCTTGCTAACGGACGAGCTAAGTAGGACCGATAATAACGGGCTCGCGGACATAGGGGCGTGAGTGAAGACGCTGTACAACAAATATCACCAGTACGGCGTCGGCATGACAGATCTGATCCAAATGGGCGCTACCATCGCTAGCGTCGTTTGCCCGCTAGGCCCGCGCATTCGCTCGTTTGTGGGGTGGGTAGACAACGCAAAGGCGGCGCCCGCGGGATTGCTGCCGGGTGTGAATGACTCCGCAGATAAGCTAATTGCGCTGTTCAAGGCGAAGACGATTGATCCGCATGGGCTCGCAGCACTGGTGGGCGCGCATACGACGAGCCAGCAGCATTTTGTGGATACGGGAAGGGATGGTGATCCGCAGGATAGCACGCCGGGGATGTGGGATGTTAAGTTTTATGGGGAGACATTGAATAGTGTGCCGCCACGGGTGTTCAAGTTTGCGAGCGATGAGAAGCTGTCGGTGGATTCGAGGACGGCGGATGAATGGAAGGAGTTTGTTGGAGATCAGGAGCACTGGAATGAGGTAAGTTTGATTGAATTCAAGGGCGATTCTGGGGCTTTCTGTTTACGTGATGTCATAGGACTACGCGCAAGAGTACGTTCGCTTGAGTTTGCTCGGGGTAAACAACATCAACATCCTCAAAGAGTGTACCAAGGTTCTACCACCGCGCGTCAACTCTTTCGTGGCACAAGATCAGACCGTGTTGGATCTCTGGCTGCAGGGCCAGTTCGACCAGCTGAATTCGCTCATAGACGATTCTGTTTTGTTGACTAGGTTTACTAGTAGGACGACCATTGGGAAGGATCAAACAAAGCCATTGGAAGATTAGTCTGATTCTCATTTGCATCTCCTACACATCTCATGGTTGCTGAGCGTAGAAGTCTGTTTCCTCTCTTTCCATGGGGCACATCAACCGTCGTTATGAAGCTGGGACATCCATCTTGCGCAGCGGTTTAGATTTGGAAAGCCTAGAACGGTACATCTTGCTTCGAAGTGTAAATTCTCCTCCAAGACGCCCTGACGGCGTTGTCAATCGGTCAATCCTTCTTCTTGGATGGTCAAATTTCCAGGAATTAGAAATGGACCTCCGAATACCAATGTAGATCATGGATCCTGCCGACAAGTCCTAATCTGTGAAGCTGAGCCCAGTACATTGTATGTGGCCTCCTAACATGTCGTCGAAGGACCTCTGACGATGTCATCATCTTGGTACTCTAGTTGAACGATATGTATCCAGTTCCAGGCCGTAGATCAGTTTGCGGTGGAGGGATACAAATTTGTAAAGCTGAGGACGATGCATCATGGCTGAGAACAACTGCCCGTGCGAAGACTGTCGTGCAATTGCATCGTCATGCTTCTCTCTTCCTATTGAGTGCGAGATATGAAGATTTGGGAATGAGCCTCTGAAAGGAATATGGGTGTTGAGTGTGTTGCGAAATGGTCCACATTCGTAGAGCCGGCAACCCTGTACGGTATATTCATGCGCGTTGCCTCACTCAGGCTCCTCTGCTAGCTTCATCCTAGTACCAATCTCCCCTCGCAAGTCGTAAATATTTAGTGTCGAGAACTAGTCTTCTACATGACAATAGGAAATTACTTTGCTGTACATTGGTCCAGATCTGCGAAGCTCAGGATGATACTTGCTATGTTGAACTCATTCGATTCTTGAAGCCCGTCTGCCAACGTCGTCTAGGTATCGCTTTCTTCCCGCCACCGGTTGGATATGGAGAGCCGAGAAGAGATCTTCTAGATGACGATAGGAATCCGTTCTACTCTGGATAGGTCCAGCTCGGGGAAGCTTGGGATGATACGATAGAAGTCGAGCTCCATCAGGTCCTCAAGGCCAGTCTACCAGCGTTGAGATAGTGTTACACTTGATTCGCAAAGATCCGAAGTAAAGGATAGGTCCACCAGCATCCATACAGACGACAGTAATCGTGCATCTCGTCGATTGGAGGAGACTTGGAGATCTCAGGATATTACATTGTAGCTTCGTCGCAGTATTCTCCTTGAGAGCCTCCTGCCAGCGCCGTCGTGGTGTTGCTCTCGTTTCGTGCGTTCTTCAATTTGAGGGGCCCATACATCTGCCTCTGGAATTCTAATGGTAATCGTCTATGACTTGGCTAGGCCCTGATCTGAATACCCAAACCCAGTACATATCATTTTTCGCTCCGTGCTGTGATTGAAGGCATCCCAACGGCGGCGTCCCGAGATACTCTCGCCGGGCAAGTGTGTGGGACTTGAAAGGTTGATTCTTTGGTCTCCATTATCTTGATAGTTACTGCTTATCCCGTGACCATGCTCTGTTTTGGAATGCCTGGATATTGCATCGTAGTTTTGATGCGTGTGCCTCCTTGAAGACTGTCAAACGGTGTTTTGCTGTTGCCACTCTTTCACTTGCAGGAACCAGATCTGAGGGGTTGGTTCGTCCGTCTACGATACCAGGATATGTATCGGGTATGCTCCTTTTTCAGATGCAGTAATCTGAAACCATCGAGCCCTCCAGGTCCCGCATAAAGCGAGAAGGAGGATGGCCCGAAGGCCCTGGTCTTGCGCCCCAGGAAAATCATAGCTTACCAACGGGGTCTGAGGGTGGGAGAGGGCTCAGCTTGACGGGGTCTATGGTCGGCGTAACAAACGGATCAACACTTACATCGGACAGGAGATCTAAATGGGGGGATCAAGCGTTGGTCCCATAGCGGTTGGCCACAAATTGGGCCATACCGTGGCGAACTCGAGCTGTTGAATCCAAGAGAGAGTGTTCGAAAGCGCCATTTTCAAGGTACACAAATTCGGGATGTTCTTTCAAGTACGCCTTCACGATTTCAAAGAAATGGCGGCCAGCGTCTCGATGAAAGGCCCGTAATTTGTCCCCGTCGCTGGCGGCTTCTACTAAGCACTCCCACTCCTTCTCAGCTGGCCTCTCAGCAAAGTGTTCAGTGATGCACACTTTCCATAGGAAGTAATTCCTAGGAAAGGTCACCCCACGAATGCCGTACTGAGCACCAGTGAGCTCGAGTACCCATTTCTCATCCGCCTTTGTCTGAATTACCCACATGACATGCCCCATGTTGTCGTTGCGAAAGGTTGTGTTGTTAGGGAGGTGGAGGACCGTCTTCAGCGGTGTTTCCGGACTCTCGGCACTCAAGACCTTTACGTCCTTGATTGGAGAGACGTCGCCTATAAATTAAACATTAGGACATTGAAGTCAACAAATTAGACTGGTCTACTCTTACCTTCAAAAAGCCTCAAGATCTCTCTTGTAAGTGCAAGTGACAGGTCGCTCTGGTCGAATGCTAACACTGCTTCTTTCTCCCACTCTTCAAGATTACTCGGAAGGGCGCAAACCTCGCCGAGTGCCTTCCTAGTGCAGCTAACGTTGATTGTGCCACAGGTGGTCGTCACATTATGGACGAGGAGATTGATCAGGCTTTCGGCGTACGTTAAGTACCAGCGCTTAATCGCCGTGCCTATAGCACTGATTAATTTCCTGTCTCTCCGCACCATGCACTCCGCGTAATGAGGGCTTTGGAGGACATGGAGCATGGCGGTGCCGCAATGGTCATAACACCAAGCTGGAATGGAGGCAGGGGGGCGCTGGGTGTCGTATTCCGGGGCGTTGTTGCAATTACAGAGGATGATTCCTTGCTGAGAACAGGATTCATATGCACAGAATGCGTCGAAGGAGGGTGAGGAGGACATTTTCGCGGTTTAAAGCTGAGCGTGGAGGTTCGAAAGACGTGACGCTGGCGAGAAGACAAAAATTGGTGAACATGGCCATATTGGGAAACACTAAGCGAGATCTTACTCGGCACCCTTCTCTCAATTGGCGTTGTTACTTCATGCTATTGTTTGCCGCTGAAAATCACTATTGCAGGCTTCCTCGAGACGCTAAGGCCTATTACGCTTGAAGGGTGTCTTTATTGTAGTGACACTCCCGAGGATTAAGGCTTAAAGCCATCTCACCAGTCTGTCTATCTGAATTTGATGCTTCATGTCATTGTGTGTGCGGCGTTTTAACGCTGCCTGGGGACTTCTATGGCTGATACCTCCGTGGAACTGAACTGATGCACCGTGAGAATGTGGACTTGATCGCGCTCGGCAACGGCAATCTAGACAGGTCAGATACCTTCCAAGTAATATGGCTACATTACTGAAGCCTAATAATTAGATGTGACTGCTATTGTTGCTGCGACACTGTTCAGTGAAGGTGCACGGGCCCTGAGAGCGGTCTACTCATGAAAGTCCGCATCACCACGCTACAATTTGAACCTCTGGCCAACATCCTCCTACAGAGCCTTTCTAATGTAGAACTTAGCAGCACTGGTATCGAACATATCCATCACCATGCCAGAGTCCCTTGGCCTCATCATGCTGCGCCGTGTCGCCCTCCTCATTCTCGCCTGGTTCTTGGGCCTCGCGGAAGAGACCTTCGAAAAGGATATTAAAAGTATCTAACCCATGCACGATAGCTACATAGTTACTATTTTCCCTGGTTCGGAACACGAGTTTGGAACCCACCGCCACGTCCTATTGCCCTCCCTGAGTCTCTACCCGAAGCTCAAAAATACCGTTCTCACGGCGTTCCAGTGCGACCTTGCCATCGTTACAATGTGCGACACGCTTACAGAGGCGCTGAGAGGTATGTCATTTCTCAGGCAGTCAATGGCAACGGTACCTAACTGTTGTTTTGTAGGCCACGTGCAGCGTGTTAAAGAGCTCGTCACGCCAAACCCGCCCTAGATGCCCACCGAGATCTACGAGAAGTCGACTCTCGATGGCCGTCACTACGGCCACAGTGTCTCCAGAATAACCTTGAACAACAGCGAGTAGTGGGTCTAGGATCTAGCCTGCTTTCAGCTCTGGCTTGAAAATCACTTGGTTTCCTAGAAGACGTTCCAGGAAGGCAACCCAAGACGCCTACGAGCTAGGGCAAGCTACACTGGACTCGCGCGCCGAGGAATATACAAGGCATCAATTCATGCCACGAGTTGACACGCAAGGTCAAGGCTATTTCGATTCCTGCTTGTACGGTGGCTGACTGGAGACGCTCGGGAATGCTGATTTCGAATCCTCCTCAAGTGTCTCTGGAAGAGCTTCATAGAAACCTGTGATGGGTCCATGCTGCTGGACGAGCTTGAGCTGTAACTGCTCCCATTATGAAGTTACGTACCGTTATCTGCTTGTCGCAGTGACCTTTCAAAGCCGTGCCGTTGTTCGTTGCGGAACAGATTTTTGCAGCCGTTACTTACTTATGGCCCTTCGAGTGAGCGAGTCCTCCCTAGTGGCGGTGAGCCAGACCCGTTTAGGGGTTCATAGTGTATCCGGTACGGCGGCTCTACCTGTTAGCCCATAATATTACGAGCCTTGGGCTAGTCTATTAAGGGCGTATCATCATTAAGAACGTCTCGATTCCGAGGCAGCTCAATTCACAGAAGCATGGCACGCACAATGGGAACAGTGCACCACTCTCGATGGCACTCACACCTATTCATTATAATTATAAGGATAAGTAATACTCATCGACGCCCATTCCAGAGTTCTAGACAGGATCGTCCCATTTAAGACCCAGCTTCCAGCAGGACGGAAGTTGAGCAGGTACTGCTTCCACAATATTAGCAATCCACCGGACTCGAGGACGCTTACACCCAGTCAATATTCTCAAAGTGGAATGTAACGTTTTATACGATGCGCTTAGAGCCTGTGATTGGGGGATCCCATTTCAGGTTCAATTGTGAACAGCACGCAATCCAAGCCAGTACTTCTTGCTGATTGTCAATAGTGCGCCTGGCTCAAGGACTCTCATGACTATTCAATTTCATCCGAGACAGATGTAGTCGTCATGGCCGCCTGTTCTAGAGCGTAGAACCACAGACTCCTATCCAGTATCCAGTCTACAGCAGGTCCCAATTCAAGCAAGCTGTGCATCCTCAGTGCCGACGGTCCGGTGCATCCGTGGACTCTCACGCCTACGCAGCATTGACAAAAGAGGATGTCATAAACACCACGATGCAATCCTGATAAAGGGACTTCAAACTCTCGTATGGATTGTGATCTCTGACAGGGCATAATTCGAGTGGATCTTCCATGCCTGTCGGCATCAGTACAAAGTATTCAAAGACTCTCATACCCACATGTTATCATCGAAGGTCGACGTCATGAGTGACAGCGTGCAATCCTGATCGCGAGAGTGAGACATAGCCGCATTCCTACGGAGCAAAAATCGAGTCAGAGTTGCTTGCTCGATGACGATCATGCACTAAACTCGAAGACTATCAGGCCTATGTGATATCACCAAATGCGGATGTCATAGGCATCACCGTGCGATATGTAACGTGGATTTGAGACTCCTGTGAGTTCCCATAGGGTACGGTTCGAGCGAGTATGGCGCGCTTCGTGACTGTCATAACACGCTACCAAAGACACTCAAGTCTATTCAAAACTGTGAAAGCGAAATGTCATAAATATCACGGTGCAATCCTGGCCACAGATTAGAGGGGGAACAACTACACGATTCAAGCAAGCGCTGCCCGCTTCCTGCTAGAAATTGGATCTTGGAAGGGGTTTTCATGTCGGAGTCTCTGAACTACACCTCGATGATCACTACATTGGCCTGTGATATTCTTGGCTGGGTATCGGGATCTTCGAGTAAACCGCAATGGTGGCGATTGGGAAGAGGAATGCCGTTGAAATGGGCACTGTTGGAAATTGAGTAATGAATCGGGTATTAGAATTCTGTGGCTTGAAACGCACTCTTTTAGACATTACATTCATCCATATAAATAATGATTAGGTGTGAGTGTCTTCGATAACGAAGCAATGATGGAATTAAGCATGCAACACCTGCTTGAATCGTGCTCTATTAGTAAACAATCCTGGATAAGAGGTTTTGGACATGAGCAGGTAACGGCTGCAGATTCGTTGTACAATAAGGAGCGGGATGACTGTAAAACGTCACGTAGTAAGCAGATAACGGTTCGTACCTCAGGAAGAGATTGCAAGGTCAAACATTAGCTCCAGAGCGGTAGGCGTGGTACTGGTCCACATCGTTGCGAACACGAGCAGCTGACACCATAAGAGACTCTTCAAAGAGGCCATTTCTAGAGTGCAAGAACTCAGGTCGTTCCTCCATTAACGCCTTCACGATTCCAAAGAATCGGACGCAAGCGAGGCCAGCGCTTGAATGAAAGTTTTGCAACATTGATTTTGTCAACCTTTTAAATGCATTGTTAGAGGACCCCAGCCAGTGCGATGATGGTAGGAAACCGACTTGTAATTTAATGGCCATGGCAGCAGCATCGCGGATAGAGTTGAATCTGGTTCACCGGAAGCTACGTAGTTCAAATCTCAATGTTTAACCTTTAATTCATAAGCAATTATTCAATAGCGTTAGAGTACTCCTACCAGCGCGATGCGGCGCCCAGCTATACAATTTCAGTGATCGTAGGTTAATCTCTTAGGGTGTAATAGAGCATGTGTAGACGCAATCAGGACGTTGACAACGCACTGCTAGTTCAAACGTCAGCCCTAGTTTCTCCTGAAAGGCGCCCAATTCCCACTCCACTCGATTGACCGACCTCAGATCAGAACAAAGAGTTACAGCTTCATGGAACCTTCACAGTCACCCTAGTAGTATGAATAATAGAGGAAAGTTCGTAAACATCAGCGCAGGCGATATCGCCCTACCTTCTACCTATCAAGAAGTTGGAACGTGTTGGGGTATTGCAAAATACCAGCACGCCGGCCAAAAGGCAAAGAAAGATCGGCTACTATACGGTTCAGCGCGAGATTTTGTTAAAGCATGCCTCATTCTCAGTCTACTATGCTGACGAAAGCTTAAATAGCAACTACGTTTTACACCTTCACGGCACTGGCAGGAGCAGCTCAACGACATATCAAGAACCCAGTCGGACATCAAGTTCTCTGCGTTGCAGGATAGCCTACCTAGGCGCACTGCACACTCCCAAGCCCCCAGGGGTGTCCCAGAGCATGTCCTCCTCGGTCAGAAGGTAAACATCACCCATCTGATACGGACGCCGCCGGACCTATTTCCTCTGGATATACGTGAATACTAACAAATCAGAGGCATGCTTGATAGAGTCAGGGTAATGGCAGGGTCACTACAGCAACAGATCACAATATACGGCACAATGTGAGGTTTTTAGCATTTTGAATTAGACTGCCTTGTCTCCTCAGATAGGTTCCAGCCACCGGGGGGTATCCAAAGTTATCATTTCCCCCAGACCAACACTCACACACTCTTGTATCGAAGGCCCAGACCATGCAGCAGCGCCGCTCTCCCTCAGGTCGTTTCAGCTCGACACCACCGTCTCCTAGGCCTTCGGCTCCAAGTGCGCATCCATGTGGACGAAGTGGCAAACCTCGTCGAAGTCCGTCGTACTCAGGTACTCCCACGGATCCCCGTTGAAGAGCCTGGCGCGGCATGTTGGGCACCTGTCGTGATCAAGGGTGCGGACTCGCAAGCAGGTGTCATGGAAGATGTGGCCACACTTGATTATCCTAACGGCCCTATCCTCGTATCCGATTTCTCTCTTTTCGCAAATGCTGCACTTCGGGCCCAGTGGGAATTTGGTGTACTTGACTCCGGTCTCGAAGAAGCCGGGTGGAGTCTCCGGGTTGGCGAAGGTCTTGGATGGATCATCCTTCAGGTGTAGAATAGTAGAGCACGACGGGCAAGTCTTGTTGGTGGCGAGCCAAGTCTCTAGGCACTTGTAGTGGAATACTGTAAATGTATCGTGTTATTGCTGTTGCCATCATATACAGGATATTGGAGATAATATACTTACCATGTTGGCAAGCAATAGTGACGACACAGCCACCTTGGCGTTGCGCAGCCTTATTGCTGCAGCACTGGCAGATGGAGCAGGTCATGTTGAACTCTTGTGGAAGCCGACGAACGCCGGACTCTTGGAAGTCGGCTTGAGCGGTGGGCGTAGCGTCAACCATGTTGGGCGCGCTGCGAACGATGGTAGGGGAGGGAGTTGTTTTGTTTGGGTCAAGATGTAGAGGTCTGAGGAAATGAGGTTGTGGGTGGTTGGCGGTCTCAAGAAAGATGTGGGTCCGAGCGCGAAGGACTGGAGTGTGACGTGATTACATAGAGCTTCCTGTGAAGTGATAGCACGCGGTCACGTGAACCTTGGATGAAGTGAAGAGAATAGGCGGCATCAACGCACTCGTAGTCGTATCAATAACAAAAAGACATTATGATGGTGGTAGTATATGCCCAGATGTGGCGGTGTAAGACGCTGCTCTGGCCACTGGAGTATATAGTTGAGGACGGCAAATTACAGCTTCATTCATGGGAGCTGTCTTTCTCTAGCCCTGGGACTCTGAGATATATATTTTCATGTAGTATATTACGAATTGGGCCAGCAAATATAAGGCAGCTTTGAAATGACAAAAGAAACAGTCACAGATGAAGAACAAAGGAAGTTGTGTTGGTTAAAGATTCGATTTAATTCAAAAAGTCTCTCGAATGTAGTCACTTTGATTGGGATTGGCCATATCAGAGCTATGGAAAGGAAATAACATGGATGCAATTTATACTCTTTGAACCGTTCAAGAATGCCAGAACGCTGCAACAAAGATCAGAAATCGACGCTGTTGGAGTAAGATGTTCTACTCAGCCAGCCAGTCAGACTGGATAAGAACCAGAAGACGCTCACGAACCCTCAGTTTCAGTTTCATCCTCCTCCTCATCAAAGTAGTGAAAGGGTTCCAGAGCCTGTACTTGGTCGCGCATCCGCTCGAGAAGAACCTCTCGACTGCTATCAAGCGAACGAGCCGCATTAGGTCGAGCCAATAAGGCTTGGTAGAAACCGTAGACTTCTGCATACTGCCTGGCAAGGCGTCTGCGGGGGCCTAAGTCCTCCCCTTCCTCAGATTCGGGGGCATCGTCTTCGGGTGTGGAGCGCTCGTCCTCAAAGGGGGGATCCGCGTCTTCGAACTCAAACACCTCTTCCTCTTCTTCGCGTTCCAGCAAGAACTCGCGGAATTCGAAGACACTATCAGTTCCCAATTGGTCGATCCAGCAGTCTCTCCACCTTTTATGTCCATGACCAACTTCAACCTCGATAATCTGGACTAATGGAACAAACGTCATTTTCAGAGCGAAAACCTTAAGCCCGATATAACAAGCCCACAATGCAAGGGCCCTGACACGACGAATCTCTCTTGCCCTAGTGGTTCTAGCGCCTCTGTCCCGACGGGTACGACCTAATAGACCGACCGTGTGATCGTCTATAACGCGTCTGAGAATGATGTCAAAGAGCCATTCCCATTCGCAGATGGTGTACTGCTCTCTATGCAAAGCTGAGCGGATCTTGCCCAGAAGCTTGCTAGTGGGACAGTGCTCGTTTCTCAAGATATCCCGACTGCCTGAGAAGTCGGCAAGGGCGCGGAGGACATCAAGAATCTGTCCGAAGATTGTCTCAAAAAAGACCGGGATCTCTACATCGTAGAATAAGTGGGAAGGGTACATACCCGACAGCTCAGACAGACTCAGACTCTCGAATGCCTCGCGACGGGCGGTTAGCGTACTTTTGAGCTCGTAGTAGGGGTGACGACATATCACGCAGTTCGTATTGACCAAAAAGTGGGCTTTCGCACAGTCAATATGAAAAACATGTTGGCAGGGAAGGCGCACAGCGTGGCCGCCCATAAGGTGGGTCGCGAAGGGGAGTTCTGCGAGAAATGCCGATTCTTCATCTTCAGACTCCCCCAGGCTATATTGGCAGACTGCGCAAATCATATCTGGAGCTCCCTCTAGATTGGTCTCAGGCGGTAACTTATCCAAAGTCTCTTGCCAATCATTGCGTGTCGGGAGCTTAGAAGGAGACAAAGGCTGCAAGGGGATGCGGCGTAACCTGTGCCCGTGTAAGTTGTAGAGACCACTATGAACATAGTAAGTTCGGGAAGAAGTGCCGTTCATTGTGGAAGCGGTGTCGTGTGGTTGAGGAATTTGTGAGATGCTTGGTGTAGACATGGTGGTCTGGAGAAGGGTTTTGGTGTTCGTTGACGAAATGGTGAAATTTCTAGAGCTGTTATACCTCTCAGGTCTCGAGTAACAATGTATCCTACATCCTTTATAATCAAAGCCTTAACTGGGCATTCTTTATGGAGTACTATTTGAACATTGTTTTACCTGGATTTAGATTTGACGACACGCGTTCGATAACCAATAGCCTCGCAGATACCCCTGGGCTATTCAAACTCGACGCTTTCACATTGTTAAAAGCTCCGGTGGCTAAATCAGAACGTCCAATCTTAGGGGATTGTAAAATAGAAGAGCTAGGAATTTAAACAATGTCCTTGTTGCTCTTACCTGTTCGGGTAAGCTATCATACACTACTATGACGGAAGCATTCATGATATCGCGTCTCCCAATTGGTAGATCCTTTCCCAGCCCCATTCAAGTATTGACAAGCTCCAGCAAGTGCCTCGCTGATCGCAAGGGACTCGAACCGCGTGACATATATACGACGGGCGTTCAGTGAGCTTCTAATAAGCTCTTCGTATAAGTCCAGAATTCACAGCTAAAGGTTAGAGTTAATGAATTAGGGCTTTCGATCACTTACTATAATAAGCATCAAACACGGAAACAAGAATCACAGTGTAATTTAGATGGTTGTTTTCAAGGATAGATTTCCATTGAAGCTAATCTAATGAGCGAAAGAATGACGAACGTTAGATTCTACTTTAAAAAATTTGAAAGCAAGAAGTTGTATCCTACTAGACCCAAAGTGACAGGTCTAAAGCCTTCGCACACTACTTTGCCACCGCTAGGGATCCCCCTCGCTTTTACTCAATCTAGGCGCGATGTCAAGTCTCGCGCAGCGGAATCTGAGTTAGCTCATGAGTGAACGGCTTACTCGCAAGGGCGCTACTCGTAATAATGGTGTTTAGTTTCCAAAAGTAGTACTCAGGCAGTGGTATCCATGTGCTTAGACTTATGGCCTAGTATCATACCAGCAGTCATTGGTGATGAGGTACTTGTCGGAGCTCTTGCCATGGAATCTCCATGCACATTTCACCTTCTAGGCGGCGAAGCTCATCGGCAAGACGCGTGACTGTAGCCTTTTCGTCTTCGCTAAGAGACCCTGGGCTGGCAGCCTCCCGGCGACGAAGTTGCCGGTATTGCAGAGATGTTTCCGTGAATAGAGCTGTGCGATCTTCCGTCTCTTCATTGGCTATTTCCTCTGCAAGGACTGCTAACTCTTCAACAACTGCCTCGATATCGGGAAACTCTCCATCTACATCGTACATGTAGTCCAACTCAAGCTCAGTCAAGAAGCGGTGCAGCTTGTTAAACAGCCGCTGGCCAACCTCCTGTTCGTGTTGGCTTGAAGTGGTTTCTGGATTCGCATTCCGACGAGCCAGAAGCCTCCGATGCTGCTGGCGAAGCAAGGTATACTGACGACCCGTGAGGCTCTGGCCCTCATCCTCGTCAACCTCGTCCTGAATTACGGGGAGATCAAAGTCTTCCTCCGATTCCATATCTTCATCGGCTGCAATTTCTTCGTCAATTCCCTCGATGTCGGGAAATTCTCCGTCTATCTCCCGCGTGTAGTCCAGCCCAAGCTCAGTCAAGAAGCGGTGCAACTCGTTGAACAGCCGCTCGCCAACCTCCTGCTCATATGCGCTCAATGTAACTTCCATATTCGCATTCTGGCGAGCCACAAGCCCTCGGTACTGCTGGAGCATCAAGGTATAACGAGGACCCGAGAAGTCCTGGTCGTCGTCTTCGCTAACCTCCTCTTGGATCACGGGAATATCTTCATCCCCCTCGGGTTCCAAGAAATACTCATCGTCATACAGAACCGTCTCCGAGCCGAGAGGTCCTCCCCGATCAAAGTGTCCCGGCCACTTGAACCCGCCTTGGATCTCATAGTCCTTGATTTTCACCAGGGGAATAAAAGTCTGCTTGAGCAGCGCGATCTTAAGCCCAAGTCGTACCGCCTGCAACACGATCTGCTCCAGGCGCCGAATATCCTTCGCCCACGTCGTCTTCGCGTGTCGCTGCGGCCCGAGCACCTCGCTTACGAACGTCTGCACATCCGCCCGCAAGCCGCGCCAGACGGCGTCCAGCGGTCGACTAAGGCTGTACCGGTAGTCGCAGATGTGTTCGTTGATGATTTCCAAAATATCAGTGATGGAGCAGTCGTCAAGGGAGAAGAGGTCGACGCGCCCGTGGACCTCTGCAAAGACGTGCAGCATGTTGCAGATCTCGCGCATGATCAGGCGAATGAAGCAACGCATTGGTGCCTGAGCGGGTACGGTAGCGAGATCGCGAAGTTCGCGGAGGTTCATCCGCTCGAAGGCTTCGCGGCGAGCGTGGGTAGTGCCTTCTCGTGCGGCCTTCCAAAATTCCTTTCTACACAGGGGACAGCTTTCGTTCGATCTGAAGTGCGCTTTGATGCAGCAAGTGTGGAACATGTGACGGCAAGGTAGAATTAGAGGGTAACCTCCCATAGCGTTGGTCTTGTCCGCAAATGGCAGCTCGGCGAAGATGGCAGCGTCTGCTTCGTGCTCGACATCAATATTTTTAAGGTCTTCGAGGCACACCATGCAAATCCTATCTTCTTCGGGAAGATCGTCTATGTTCGTGACGACAGGTAGCTCATCCACGGTTTCTTGCCAGGCTTCCTGTGTGGAAAGACGGGACGGATCTAATAGCAGCACACGTTGGCCGCGAAGTATATCATGCCGATCGTTTTGGCGTAGGCCGCCGTAGGTGTAGCGCTCCCGAAGGGTGGCAGGCCTCGACATGTTTTGGACGGGGCTGCTGCTTTGGGGTATGTTGTGTTACGCTTGGTATGTGCCGAGAGGATGTGTGGTGGGGGAATCTATTCGGTTGCCCTGCGTCTGAGGGTGTTGTTTTTGGGTTCCTCGATATGGACTTCGAGTAGTTTTATGTCCTCAGCCTGTCTAGTGAATGTGATTAGACAATTCAGGGCCTGGATTGTCCAATCACCTTCCCCTGGACATTCTCCCTGAACATTCTCCCTGAACATTTCGTCTGCTACTTCGCAGTGAATATTACAGCTCGCATTGTTTGATAATAATTCACCAAGCTAGATGGCCCACACCTTTTCCGATATTCACCTCCACCTATCATGGCCCGGACGGGTGTGAAGCTACATGACTTGACGAATGTTTTGTCTTTAAGAAGAGTCTTCGGGGTGCTATCGGTATATATACGAGACATTGAGCCAGGCACCTACTAACAGCGAGTGATAGGCTGTACATAAAAGATGCATGAGCAATATCTGATCTCTGCGGTCTTAAGGCGTGCTCTGGTCACTATAGATGGATTAGCTAGAGTAGACAAGAGTTTTAGCAATCTGTTAGCTTATGCGTGGAGCTTCAGAGCTAGAGACAACGTTGGTCCCTTGGGCCTCCCAGGCTCTCCCAATATTAGCGGCTTCTCAGGCAGAGAATGTAAAGGTGCACTACTTCATTAGACACGTGGACACACGCTGGATCGAGTTTCAGCGCATTGAGATTGCAGATTTTACGATTGGAGGTTAGGTTTTTTATTGCAGCTACGCTACTTACAAGAATATTGATGCACGTTCGTGCTCAAAGAGAGTTTAGAACGCCGAGACGCCTGGTTGCAATTTAGTCGGTAGCCACACAGGCTAAGCCTAAGCTGTAGACTGAACGATCAGAAGGATTGGAATTATGGATAATAGAGGGAAACGGGTGGATCATTACGCGCAGCCAAGCCAACTCGATTCTGATGATGCTGAAACACTTGGTTGTAATTTAGTCGTCCACCGGTCAAAGTTGAGTTGGATGCGCTACAGTAGCTAGGCTACTCCCACAAATTAAAGATGAATTCGCGTTCCGTGATATCGTCGGAATCAGCATCGTCCAACTGATCTGAAACACCGGTATTTGCGCGAAGAGTCGCTCAAGGATAGCCTCTTCGTACTCGCTCAACGATCCTGGGGTCCTAGCTTGCCGATTCAGTAGCCCATGATAGTGTGAAAGTAGGACCCAGTAGCGATCATTGGGATCCTCGCCGTCGTCATCGTCACCGGCTGTGTTTTGGATTACAAGAAGATCGTCGTTTTCATCTTCGGGCTCCAGCAGGTACTCTGCATCGAAGAGTAATGTTTCGCTTCCTACTGGACCCTCAAAGCTGGAGTGGTTTGGCCAGCCGATCCCCTTTTGCAATTCGTATTTCAGAATGTCTCGCAAAGGGATAAATGTCTGCTTCAGGCGACAGATCTGGAGGCCTAGCGAAGTAGCCCGCAAAACAATTTCCTTGATGCGCTCACTATCTTTCGCCCAAGCTCGATCAGGCCCTACCATGACGTACAGGTGATTGTTTAGGGTGACGTAGATGGCGTAGTACAGGTCGTACATTGCCATTTCGGCGTTAGCTTGATCGGCAATAACTTGGTTGAGAAGCATGTCCAAGATTCCGGTAGCAGGAACGTCCTTGTTTACTAGAAAATCCCAGTGGTCATGTAGTTTCGCGAACACGCCCATGAGGAGCCAGATGTGGTCGGTGATCATGGCGGGGAAGGCCCCCATTTCTAAGTCAAGCCAGTTTTTTGGTGAGATGGTTGGTAAGTTGCGGATCTCGAGAAGATTCATCTGCTCGAATGCGTCTCGGCGCCTTTCTAGGGTGCTTTTCCTGGCGTCCTTTAGGCAGAATTCTGAACTTCCCTCTTGTATTGATCTGCCACTGATCCAACTCAGACAACCGCGCAAGCTGGCCACCATATTAGACCTCTTAAATGTTGATTATGCCGCCGTAGGCGCTGGAAAATGTACAGAGTAACAACAGCGACATTAACCCCGCTACCAAGAAATGCGACCAGAGAGCAAGAAAAGAGCCTGTTCTCGTCTCGACAGCATTGCTGCCGTGGATGCGATGAATATGCAGCATGCAAACAAAAGTACCCCTTACATGAAACCCAATCCCTCGTGAAACCGCCGGAGCGCCCTCAATCACAGACATTGTGAATAAAAGCCGCTCGACTTTGTGCACATAGAACCACTCGCATAAAGCGTGCAACCGCTGTGCGTACTGGCCCCGCACTGCCCGTACTTGACTACTGTTGCACACGCGGCTGCTGGGCTCGCCACTGCGGCCGCCGAGCTCGACTTGACCGCCGTCGCGAGTGTTGTTGGAGCTGCGGAAGACGCAGCACCACCTGTACCTGCGGTACCCGCTCCACCGTTTCCAGTTCCGCTACCCAGCCGCACAGATGGGCCAGGGATAGTATATGTAGTAGCAGTCATGGCAGACGGGGCGTCGATGTTGAAGTCTAGTCCGGGGTCGCTGGCGCTGTAGGCGCCGGGGAAGGCGACGAGGTAGGAGGAATCGGAAAGGCGGTGCCGGAGCCTGTGATGATGAGTTGAGCGCACTCGGGGTAGACTATTGGTTTGTCTTGTAAGCTTATATATCCTTGGAGGATAAGGGGGAGAAGGGGGTCGGGACGGACGTTGAGGGTTGTTCGCTTGATGGACGGCAATCAATTCATGTCGGATGAGGTGTTCGCCCGGAGCGAGAAATGCGGGAACTATTGTCGTCTAGTTCAGGGTGTCTGTGATTTGGTCACCGGGTTAGATACTGGCGTTCTGGGTGCCGCTTATTAGGCTAGCTTGGTCGATTTTGAACTAGGCTGGATTAGAGCTCGGCCAAGTTATTGGGAGATTGTGTACAAACTCAGACTGTTCGTGACCCATCTCAAGAATTACAACCCGCAGCTGGACATTTCGCTAGGTAAACAAGCACGGAGGCAGGGCTATGCGTCCGTTGTGTCCACTGCGCTTTTATTGTATCGCCTGCCGCAACGGTTGCGGAGACGCCGGTTCCAGTGAGGCCGGGGTTGTTGCATCTCATGTTTACGGTCGTGAGGTCGGCAAGGAGCAGCGGGTTGTATCCGGGGTACTCGCGCTCGATGGATACTTGACCGTCGGCGGAGTTGTAGGGTTGCCAACTGGAGGAAGGTTAGCAAGCATTGAAGCAGCAAGTAGAGAGAGTCGAGGAGCGAAGAGGGAGAAACACAAGAGATAGATGATACGTACCCTGCGTACTCTTTGCCCTCCATTGCGTGCGTTCCAACACCGCCATGCACACTCGCCAGGGTCACCAGCGCCGCAATAGTCGCGAAAGCAAGATAGAGAACCATGGTGGCAAGCTTTGGCTCGGGATTGCGGTAGATTATACTTCCTCGTTATCTTCCTTGTTTGTAGACCAAATGAACGAAAGATTTCTATAGAAAGTATAGATCCTAAAGGCAGAAGTCCAACGAAGAAGCAAACCGTCCAGAACTCAGCTTCTAAGTCTCTTTATATGCCTCGACGTACCCCCTCGTCCATCTCGGCTTACCCTCGAAAAGCACATCTACCCCGTGGTGTACTCCGGATATTGGCACCGCGTTATCCAGGTTAGCAGTGTCCCATGTCATCAAAACTTCCTGCCCAACTACCGACAGATGCCGGTTTTGGTCAAGCTGCAGGAATAATCTAATCAAGCTTTCAGCAGCTACTATACGGCGGGCGACGTTCTAGCAACGCTATCCAATAGCAGTCTTGACGCGTGCAGGCATGAAACGGCGAATCAGGCGGTCCGACGGGCGAGGTTGCCGGCAAGAACGAGAGGCGAGATGAACAAGCCAGGGTGGTGATGTGCGGAGGCGTGATTTCCGCGTGGTTTCGAATGCAGTTGAGCAGGGCGATGGAGGAGAGGTTGCATAGTATCGAGAGGGTCCTTGGTTGAGTGTTGTTCATTTGTTCGATGAGTGTGAGAGAACTCTAGATTAAGAAACCATTGTCATGAAAGCACGAGCAGCTGTGTGACGGAAGTCTCGAGTTCTGTGCTAGCCAAAGGAGAATTCTTGCCATCGACTGATGCAAAGGAAACATGAAACGGGTTTAGACGTAAGGAGCTTACGTCGGGATACGGACCGTTTTCAATATAACCAACATATATTGCGTCGCACCTAGCGCTCAATGCCTTAGACGCCTCTCAGGCGACCACTCCATTTCTAATTGCCAGTCCTCCATGCGAATAGCCGGAACTCGATATCAATAAAATGTGGCAAATACGGAGAAATCTTGGCGACAGGAATTAGTGTAGGGTAAGACCTACAATGTCCACCTTGAACAGTTCGCATAGTGGTCGCCCGAACTACACTCCTCCATCACAGAGGCTCTTAGGGTCTGGTTCACAGCCCCCGACAACGACCCTTATAAGCTGCAAGTTCTGGGCGAAGGGCGGTTCACACTGAGGCTTCCGAATGAAGAAAGGCAGACCCTAAGGGTGATCGTGGCGTGGCTGTATAAGCACGACCGGCTCGAGAAGACCAAGGACATGTCAGACGTCCCGTTCATATTTCTCCCCTAAGTCTGGCTTCTGGCGGACACACTAGGCTTCCCGGACAAGTCGTGTGCTAAGCTCTGCGTCTTGGGAAGTATTCGGCAAGTGCGGACCAACTCTAGCAGGCTCACCACGAACTAGAGGGCTACATATGGGAGTCCGACATGTTTCTTGATCGAAGCTGATAAAATCCTATGGCCTCTCGGAATGATGAAGCTAGATCGGAAAGAAACTGAAGCCTGGAGATGAAGGTTGAGAAATCGGGCGAGAGGCAGTCTCCATAGCAGACGTGATTTTGTACACGTACATACAATAAGGCAATCCTCTTTAGTATTTTGTGCCACAGGCCGACGGAGACGGATGAAATGCGGGGGTAGTAGTCCAAGAGCGCGCCCGACAAGATGAAGATGTCGGCACATTGTTCCTCCACCAGTGGCATGAGGAACTCCTGCAATCATCAGTAGGGGTCTCTGCTCATCAGTGCATCTCCGCAAGGTTATCGAAGGCTGCGATGGTGGAGTTTTGCTACGATGGCGATGCGGAGTTGTTGCTGGTATCGCCCGAGACGAGAAAGTCAATCAAATCTCATGTGCGGAAGACACTGCTCGATCTCAATCGCGTCTCCTGTGGCCCCTTGAGATGATGGCCCATCTAGCAAGGCTCAATAGATGGAATATCGTAGTAGATGACAATAGGGGGCTTTTGATGTTAGCAAGCAGCTACCAGGCTTTCGGCAGGCCTTGGCAGGCGGCAGGAGGCAATTGAGCAAACAGCAATGACCCGAGGGATGTAGAAATGCCACATTTGATGTCAGGGTAGATGAAGCTGTAGAAATGTGTGGCGGGGAGGATCGTGAGGCGCTGGTTGGTGTTGAGCCAGGACCCCGGGATCGGCGGTCGGCGGAACTGTGCAGTGATGATGCTGCCATCCGACTCGGCAAAGGCCCGCGACGAAGACTACACTTCACTTCTTCGCCGCCCTCCATCCTCAACACCACCCTCTCCTCCATTGCCCTCCCTGCACACAGCCAGATCCTGTGCAGAAGGCGTCCCGTCTTTCCTGAAGTCCAGCGAGGCAGCCGAGACCCTCACGATACCGGCTGCTCTTGCCACTCCCCAGCGAGATTTCAAATCATCCTTCAGCATGCTCTCCGGTCAGCGACAGACATGGCGGGCAGCTCTCCAGCACGCATCGCGGACCTCCTCTAGACAGCAGCTTGCATCTTCGTCGCCGTTGCACTGCGCTCGACGCCTATATAGCATTCCTCCCGCCCGCTACTCGAGTCCCTTGGAGCGGTGCCGACTCGCACCCCCGAGCCTCATCAACTCCCGCAACTTCTCCTCTAGCACGACATGGCGGAAAGACAAGTCGAACAAGCCAGCACCAGATGCCCCGGAGTCTGACGAGGTCAAGGAGGTCGAGGAAGATGGCAAGGACACCAAAGATCTCGAGGTCAAGGAGCCCAAAGAATTGGAGAAGGGAGGCGAGAGCACTGATGCCAAAACCACCACCCCAGATCCGATTCCTTCGTCAAAGGCTGCCGATAGCAAGGGTGTAGCAGCTGGAGGCAGTGGTGCCGAGTCTGGTGCTACCGGAGAAGGCGTCGCAAAGCGGCGGAGAACAGCAGCCGACAAATCAGTCGCCAAACCATCACCTCCCGAAGTCTATCCACAGGTCATGGCCATACCGATCACCAAGCGTCCTATGTTCCCGGGGTTCTACAAAGCTATCACCATCAAGAATCGCGACGTAGCAAAGGCCTTGTCGGATATGATGAGCCGAGGACAACCCTACATTGGAGCTTTCATGTTCAAGGACGACAATGCGGACAAGGACACTATCAACAGCGCCGAGGAGATCTACGACGTCGGCACTTTCTGTCAAATCACAAGCCTCTTCACAGTTCCGGCAGGCCAAAACAGCGAGGCGGCCACTACCGCAGTCCTCTATCCCCACCGGCGAATCAAGATGAGATCACTGATCAAACCGAACTACACTGGTGTGAAGGAAGGCGATACTAGCAAAGTTGAGGCTGCCGCGGTTGAGGCGACACTAGAAGGAGAGCCGACGGAGAAGGCGCAGGAAGAGTCAGTTGAGCAGAAGAAACCAGAGTCGGAGGATAACAAGGGCGATGTCGTTGCAAGTTTCGAAGAAACTGTCGCAGATTCGCACAAGTTGGAGAAGCCAGACTTCTACTACGAGCCCACAGCTTTCCTACGAGAACGACCGGTAACTCTCATCAACGTGGAGAATATCCCGGAGCATCCTTACGAACGGACCAACATGGAGATTCGTGCTCTTGTCAGCGAGATCGTCAACACCTTCAAGGAGGTGGCCTCCATTAACAACCTCTTCCGGGACCAGGTTTCTGCCTTCAGCAACAGTCAGAACTCGGGCAACGTCGGCGATGAGCCAGGAAAGCTAGCAGACTTCGCAGCGTCAGTAGCACAAGCTGAGTCAGCCGAGCTGCAGGAGATCATGGAAGAGGAGGACATGCAAACTCGTCTGACCAAAGCTCTCACTGCTTTGAAGAAGGAGCTGATGAACGCTCAGCTACAAAAGAAGATTGTATCGGATGTCGAAAGCAAGATCCACAAGAAACAGCGAGAGTACTGGTTGATGGAACAAATGAAGGGCATCAAGCGGGAGCTGGGTCTGGAGTCTGATGGAAAGGAAAAGCTTATCCAGACGTTCCAGGAAAAAGCCAATAGACTTTCGATGCCCGAGGCAGTCAAGAAGGTGTTCGATGAGGAACTTAGCAAGCTCGCACACCTGGAGCAGGCAGCATCGGAATTCAACGTCACCCGCAACTACCTTGACTGGCTCACACAGATGCCTTGGGGTCAGCGAAGTGCCGAGAATTTCGGAATCAAACATGCCATGGCCGTGCTCGACGAAGACCACTACGGACTAAAGGATGTCAAGGATCGCATACTTGAATTCATTGCTGTTGGTAAGCTCCGTGGCACTGTCGAGGGCAAGATTCTATGCATGGTCGGACCTCCAGGTGTGGGTAAGACAAGTATCGGAAAGTCAATCGCGAGGGCTCTCGGCAGACAGTACTACAGGTTCAGTGTCGGTGGCCTTGCTGATGTAGCTGAAATCAAGGGCCACCGAAGAACTTACGTCGGTGCTCTGCCAGGAAGAATCATCCAAGCTCTCAAGAAGGTCCAAACTGAGAATCCTCTCATTCTCATTGATGAAGTCGACAAGATCGGCAAGGTAGCACACCCAAATTCCAAACCCCGCCAGCGGTTACTAAACCTCTATCAGGGCCATAACGGAGATCCATCTTCTGCGCTACTGGAACTCCTCGATCCGGAGCAGAACAACTCTTTCCTTGATCACTACATGGACGTCCCAGTGGATCTGTCCAAGGTACTGTTTGTGTGCACTGCTAACATGACTGACACCATTCCACGACCTCTCCTGGACCGGATGGAATTGATTGAGCTCTCTGGCTACGTCGCCGACGAAAAGATGGCTATCGCTGACCGGTACCTCGCTCCCGCTGCGAAACAGCTCAGTGGACTCGAGAGTGTTGACGTACAACTCGAAAACTCCGCCATTGTCGAACTAATCAACAAGTACTGCCGTGAAAGTGGTGTCCGAAATCTGAAGAAGCAGATTGAGAAGGTATACCGGAAAGCCTCGTTGAAGATCGTCCAAGATATTGGCGAAGACGATGTCCTCTCAGAAGCCAAGGCCCTGACGGACGAAGGTAAGGCTGCACAAGAAGAGGCCGCGAAAGACGAAACCGATGTCAAGGAAACATCCCAAAACATCGCCAACGAAACCACCGAGAAACCCCGCGTCGCTCTCAATGTCCCCAGCTCTGTCCACGTCTCCATCACCAAGGACAACCTCGCGGACTACGTCGGCCCCCCCGTCTTCACCTCCGACCGCATCTACGAAACCACCCCTCCCGGAGTTGCCATGGGCCTAGCCTGGACCCAGATGGGCGGTGCAGCTCTCTACGTCGAATCCATCATCGAGAACACCCTGTCCTACTCCTCCCACCCCGGCCTCCAGCAAACCGGCAACCTCCGCCCCGTCATGAAAGAGTCCGTGTCCATCGCCTACAGCTTCGCCAAAGGCGTTCTCGCGCGCGAGTTCCCCAAGAACCGCTTCTTCGAGCACGCCCGCGTCCACCTCCACTGCCCCGAGGGCGCCGTTCCCAAAGACGGCCCGAGCGCCGGCATCACGATGGCCACGAGCCTGCTCAGCCTCGCCATCAACGAGCCCCTGGACCCGACCATCGCGATGACCGGCGAGCTGACCGTTACGGGGAAGGTGCTGCGGATTGGCGGCCTGCGCGAGAAGACGGTCGCGGCGAGACGTGCTGGCGCTAAGATGATCATCTTCCCCGAGGATAATCTTAGCGACTGGCTGGAGTTGCCTGAGGTAAGCACCCCGCCTGACTGCCCTCAACTGTGTATGATAGACGTCAAACTAACGGTAATAGAACATCAAAGACGGCATCGCGGGCAAGCCGGTGGGCTGGTACCGCGACGTCTTCGGGCTCGTGTTCCCGGGCCTGGATCGCGAGGCCGCGAACGCGCTGTGGAAGAAGGAGCTGAAGAAGCCCAAGGGGGCTTCGGCGCGCAAGGCGCTGCCGCAGCGGGAGGAGGGGGAGGGGGAGATTGAGGAGGCGGAGGAGGAGGAGTAGGTGGAGGGAGGGGGGATTGGAGAGTAGATGACTGTATAATAGATAACGAGACCCGTGAGCTGTAATTTTGGCACTGCATTAGACTGGCGTTGCTGCCCCTGGGCCGGCGCGGGGCCGGCGCGGGTGAGGGCGTTGTATATAGCCTGGTTTGGACCCTCGGGAGCGGAGGGGAATAGGAATCATGCACCTCTTTATGTGACTTTGCGGTGCTGGTGACGCTGTGAGAGGTGCCTTGGAGTGCTCTAAATAGCCAGGGGAGGATGTCAAAGTTTGGAAGACATGATTTGGGTTGGTGAATGATACGCCCCTATTTCAGACCTCATTACTTCCACCCCTCAGATCAATCAAGCACCGCTACTCATTTGCTACCCAGATGCCATCATCTGCCAGGTTTCGACCTATCATTATTAGTCCAGTAGCAATGTCAAAAGCCGGAGACTAGATATTGGACCCTATCACGTGACTTCGTGACGACCACCCAATCCACGAGCGCCCTTCATCAGGACACCTCCACGACCGCACAGATTGCGCCTTTGAGCCGTTTCCTTTTCCAAAGTGTTTGAACCACTGACGTGTCTCAGCCTCCCATAAACATCGCCAACGCACGTACAACCCCAAACAAATGCGATCCACCACAATGAGCCAGCTCTTTTGCAACTGTTCCAGCGCCTCCGCGTGCACTCCGAACCATTCCAGATCTTGCACTCCAAAGCAAACCACCCCACCCATAAAACAAACGACTCCCCCCCACCACCACGCTCTCGCCACTTCAAACGCTGCGTGCAAACGGCCTCGCACCACTCACACCACCACCACCCACACCACCACCACCCACCAACTCCAACTCCCATCCCCACCAATATAAAACCTCCCTGTCAAAGCAAGCATGGGCTCCTCCCCCTCCCACCGCCCCCAAAATGCCCGCGCAATCCCGCCCCCTGACGTCGAAAGACCCGACCAAGCGCCCCCTCCGCGAAACCAGCCTCCCCCACTCACCTCTTCCTCCTACGCTCGATACCGCGCACAAGCCAGCCCCCCTCGACAAGGAGGAACCGCACCCCAACCCGCCGCCGCCGCCGACGATTCCGCCGCCAAGACCCCAGCGACACAGCCCGCAGGACAGGGAAGAACCACACCCCAACCCGCCTCCACCACCCACGATCCCGCCACCAAGACCCCAGCGGCACGCTCCCCAGGCCAAGGAAGAGCCGAAACCCAACCCGCCGCCGCCGCCCACGATTCCGCCGCCAGGACCGCGCCAGGGGACCGTGGACAGGGAGGCGCCGTTGCCGAAGCCGCGGCCGCGGCCGCCAAGACCGGCTGGGCGGGGATTTGTGCGGGTGGGTTTGTAGGGAGTGTGCGAAAAGGGAGAGGGGAAGGGGAGGGAGAGGGAGAGGGAGAGGGGAGGGAGGAAGGAGGAGAAGGGGAGCAGAGGAAGTGGTGCAACTGCTGCCGGTGCAGGAGGGTGAGGGGGGTGCATGGGCGGAGTTGGGACTGCTTCTTTGCGGAGGGGGAGGAGTGTGCGAGGTGTGGGCATCGGGGGTGCGGAGGGTGCGGGGGGTATTTGAGTGTCGGGGTTGAGGAGGTGGAGGATGCGGAAGCGTAGAGAGGTTGAGAGGAGTATGAGACCTGGGATGAGGGAGAAGGGGGGGGGGGGGGGGGGGGACGAGTGGACAGCGGGATTCAACATCCGCCGACACAGACTATTCAACTCCATCCCTATCCTCCATCCCTATCCTCCATCCCTATCCTCCATCCCTATCCTACCTACAAATTCCCCCCATTTACTAAAAAACACAGGCGGACCATTTCGCCAATCCGCCTCTGCACCACCATTCCAATCCCCACCCTCAGTATCCTCCATCCACTCACCCTCCATGTCATCATCGTGCATACCCTCCCACTGCTCACCATCCTCTCCGCCCTCTGTGATATCCTCAGCAGCCCCAGCGGTCCACTGCCCGCATTTCCCACACTCGATATGCGTGCAGACAACGCACTGTGCGCCTTTGGGGCGCCAGCCGGGGGAACCCGGGCCCGCGCATTTGCAGCAGTTGAAGTGGTTGGCGTAGGAGGTTGAGGAGATGTAGATGGGCATTTTGGCGGCCCTTGTTCGGTCCTGGTCTCGTGATCGTTGCTGAGTTTAAGTCTTAAAAGGTCGTTTAAGCTTAGGAAGTCTGCAAAGAAAGATGATTGATTCTCGATGGCTGCTAGTCGATATTACCGATGGTGGATGTCCGTGTATGAGTCTGCGAGAGAGTGAGTATCCGGGAAGGTCCATATATACTACCCGCACCCCCTGTCTCCGTCTCCGCCGCACACATCAAAGACACGTAGCACGTGCGTGCTGCGGCATACTTGACCTTCACTTCATCATTTTGCTGGCTCTTGACTTCACTTCGCTTTCCCCGATGACTCCAATGTGAAGGGGGCTCGACCACATCGAGCATGAGTCGCTCTAACATCTGTGAGTCTTCCCAATCCGTACGTCCTCCTCAACCCTCAGCACCGATCGATACTCCATTCTCCATCAACAAAAGCTCTCGCTTTTTCATCCCTCGAATCGGAACAAGCATACACCACCGCAGCCGGGTCTGCATCCCTCATCAACACAAGTCGCTTTCGATACCAGTCGCTTTCGACCCCTCAAACCACACCACGCCCAACCATCACGCTTCGAAAGTCCGGTATCAGGATACCATACCATCGTCAGAACACTACCGACCCATTACCTTCACCCGCAAACTCCAACCATCCCCCGCCCACCCCAACAACCATGGGCGCCAAATCCTTCGCCCTCGGCCTCCTAACCGGCCTCCTCCTCACCCTCGCCCTAACCACCGCCTTCCTCCTCTGGCTAAAGCCCTACCTCACCGCCGGCAAAGCCGGCCTGCGCGTCTTCCGCGGCGTGCGCAGCCTCTGGCGGCGCCGTCGCCCCAAAGCGCCTGATCTCGAATCCGCCACCGCCACCTGCACCTCCACCCCGCCACCGCACAACCACCCCCCAGCATCGCGACCCGTCAGCGAGACGAACGGGAAGGGTGGGCGGCCCTGGCACACCATCGAGCTCCAAGCCTCATCCGTGTACGCGCACGCCGCGCCGCCGCGGAAAGCGTTTAATCCGCTGAAGCGCGCGAATACGGATAGCAGTGGTGGGCGGGGGGTGGTTGAGCGCGGCGGGCGGCAGCCGAAGCCGGTGCTTGCGCGGTTGAACACGGATGTCGCTAGCACGCCGCCGCTGCAGCGGGTGCATAGCAATGTTGAGTATCCGCGGCGGAGCCAGGAGAGCGTGAGAGCGTGAGGGGAGCGGAGAACGCAGGGGCGGGGAGGGGTTGAGGGGGGCCGCGGGGGTGTTAGTTTCGTGATGTTTTGGTTTTGAGGAGGTTTGGGCTAGGGGGGGTTGGTTGGTTGTGTTACGTTCGGGTAGTGCTGTGCATGTTTAGGATTTGGTTACGCGCGTGTGCTGTTGGTATTTAGGATGTGTTGTGAGTTTGGAGCGTAGAGTTGCGAGATGTGCATGTGGATAATGTATAATGCCAGACGGGCTTCGTGGAGTTATAGCGCCGAAGCTGTTAGGTAGTCCCTACCAAATATCAGCCAAGTCAGCGAAAGCCTTACAAACCATGTCGATTTCCATACCTTCAAATCCAAGCCCATCCACAAGAAGCGCGCGACCACTCACCTACCACAACCCTCACATCATCACAACATTCCTACTCCAATCAGTACAATCACTCGCACAATCAAGCACACCAAAAGCTCTCCAACATGGACGGCAAAAGTACCCCATCTATTCCCCCCTCATCCAAAACTACCGAATAAATCTCAATATCTAAATTACAACAACATAGCAGTAATGCTTCAGAATGCCAATATATGTCCTCCCATCTTACGCTTTCACAATCATGATATCGTAACCTGCTAAATCTGAAAAAGTAGATGCAAAAAAAAAGAACAAATGAAAAACGCATGGCTAGAAGTGAGGATACGAAGATGAAAAACGCCCAAAATGATCCACCCAGCGCTAAAAATGATGAATGAAAAATTCCGAAAGGGTTTGTAAGGTTTTGGTGGTTTTTATACAGGGAGATTGAAGGGGATAAAATATGGGTAATGGGTGTTGAATGTGGTGGGTGTGTGGTGGGGCGACCCCGGTGCGTTTTTCTGGACCGTAGTGTGTGAGGTAGGGAATATGGTGAATGCGGCGGAAGCCGCTGTCATCCTAAACAGGCCCAGCGTTGGTGAGCATTTCCTCGACGGCGACTGATAGTTGTTGACCTGGTATCGCGAAGTCTTCGAAGGGGTGGAGTACTTGATGCTAGTGACCCTTTTCGCCTTCCGTCCAGGAGCGTCGAGTGACGCCGTTGCGAGTGCAGCACATGACCTTGCTGTGGGACAGGATATGGTGCAGCGTGCCGTAAACTTGTTGTGTAACAGAGCTATCCCCGGTATGCTCTCATATTTTCTCTGCTTCGAGATGCCTATTACCACCCACAGCTTTGGGGACCAAGTGATGGAACTCCGGAATGAGGATGGACGGCGGTCTCATCAAAGTCCTCTCCTCAATCATTGGCGCATTCTCCGTATCTTTCCCTTTCTCTTTCGGTCCGAATACGTCGTCGATATTCAAACCAATGAAACCCCTCTCCGGCTCTTCCCACAGCGTCCCTTCGACACATCCATCCCTCTCTCCAACCCTCTTGACATCCAGGCTCGCCCTTATCCTCGCCGATTCACCCACAAAGTTGTCCATGTCCACGATTGGCTCGTTGAAACCGGAGTCCTGGTGGGGTGGGGGACTAAAAGGCGTCCGTATACTGAACCCAGTCCCGGTCCTACTCATCTCACCAAACACAGACTCCTTCCCAACCTCATCCTCCAGCTCCGCGAGTGTACTATCCTCCTTCCGACCAAGTAGATGAACGCGATCGCTGAAAGTGGGGTTGCGGAGAGGCGTGTCCATTGGAGGTGGCGGCGCGGAGGGTCGGTGGAATTCGTCAGCAGTCGCAGAAGCAACCGCGGCACCAAGTTGAAGCTGCGTATCTCCGCTCTTGAGGGACGATTCGAGAGAATTTTCAAGCTCTCCAGGTGGGGTGGAGATGCAGAGGGCGGAGGATTCTTCTCTCACGAAGTCGTGGGATTGCATGCCCACGTTGTGCCGTTGAACGAGGCGTGTATCGCCATCGACGTAGACTTGTTCCCAGCGCGGCTCTCTGCTTTCGGGGAGACTGGCCGGTTCGTTTTCGAGTTCGCTATCGTCTAGACTCATGACGGAGCGTGGGGCGGCGTATGGCGAGTTGTCGTATTGGCGGTGGTTGGATCGTATCTCTGGTGGGCGGCCTCTAGGATTCGGAATGATGTAAGAGCCCGAAGAGCCAAATTGGTATTCAGTAGAGGGAGCACCGTCGGCAAAGGTAATGCCTCCAGCGGAGAATGACGAATGAGAGCGAGCTGAACGTTCTCGAAGAGTAGAGAGGTCCTCGAGGTTCACAGCAGTCGCAGGGTCGATGTATTCCTTGTCCGAACGATGGGTTGATATGCTATGGCGAGAGTTGATCAGGGGCTTGGGAGGCTCAGGGATGACTTCGGGGAATTTTCCGAGAAGGGCCCTGGCAGTGAGTCTGTCACGGGGATTCTCGCTGAGGCATGCGATCACAAGCTCGCGATAATATTGCGGGATGTGGTTCGGACGAGCGAAAGTCCGGGTAAGCGGACGTTCTTGGCGTTCCGGTTCATCCTGTTGTTCCGCGAGGGCCCAGAGAACCATGCCCATTTGGAAGAGGTCAGATTTGACGCCGATGTAGATGGATATCCGTTGGCCGCTTTCAATCAGCTTGGCGAGCTCTGGGGGTTCCCATCCCACAGGACAACCGCGACGGTTGATATCGATGATTTTGGCGTCATCGTTGTCGTTGATGACAATGTTTGAGAGGGTGAAGTCGCCCTGGACAAAGCCAGCCTCGTGTATCTCCGAAAGGCCCTCGACGATCTGCTTGGCCCATCTCTCGCGTCGTTCCCACGGGAGCTTGTCAGTGTTCTTCCAGTCGTAGAGCAAATCTACAAGAGCACCTTGATCTGCATAGCTGATGAGGAGACCTTTGATGAGTTCATCTTTGTCGTCCACGATGACTCCTTCAAACTTGATGACACTCTTGGAGTCACGGAGATTACAGAGCGCATTGATCTCATATAGAAATTCTTCCACAGCATCTGGTCCTGGAATTTCTTTCTTGATGTAGTGCTTGCCATCCACAGTAACTTTGTACACGAAGCCTGAGATATGCGACTCGAAATTGACCGCGTTCTCTCGATATCGGCGGCAGGATAGATGGTCGACGGCGGGCGTTGCTGGATACGGTATGATTTCGTTGACGTCTTCGGTAACGTGGACGTGGAGTCTGCCATCAGCCGTCTCGAGCTTGAGATTAGTGACTGTGTCGTAAAATTGTATGTCTGGTAGAGAGTCACGGATGGACTCATAGATCCTCGCACTCTTGTCTCTCTGGTAATGCAGACTCTTCAGATCCGCTTCGAGTGAGTCAGGCTGCACGTCCCGATAGTCGCAGGAAACAGTGACTCTCCTCCACTTGTTCGACTCCTCGGCGTAGGTGATGAAAAACTTTTCCCGATCCGAAAGATCCCGGAAATGCATGCTGAGGTTGAGGATCCATTTTGCCTCGAGTTCTTGCTGCAGAAGATGCTCGTCAATGCCCTCGGACTCTACGTCATGCTCCGTAAACTCTCCAGTGGTCGACAGTGGGGGTGGTGGTCCAATAGGCGCCGGCTCCTCGGCGTTCTGATCGAAGCCAAAATCGACCTGTCGGGATCCAGGAGGTATGTTGGAGTCCTCTCCTCCTCCAATGGGTCTTCCTGGGGACTCCTGAAACGGGCTCTGTATCTCAGGCATCGAGCGTGATGGAATTGACACGGCCGGTGGGCTCAGTGCCTTCGGTTCACTGCCTCTCATGTCCATAGAGGTAGCCCTCCGCTCTTCACTGGCCGTATCTACCGGCAAAAGTCTATCCCTCTTCTCAGAGTTCATCCTCTTGAATGTCAACGGCCTCGGGAGACCCGGCACGACCCTCCTGCTCGTCCTCCTCCCCAGCAGTCCCGGCCGTCCGTTCTCCTTGTTATCGTCCGAGACGCGTCCGGACTTCTCGTCCCAGCCACCTGGCGGCGGCTCCTCGTCCTCCCTCTTGAGCCAATTCCCAAACTTCTGCAGATTGAGTCTGCTCCACATGTTCCTGCGGTCGGGGCTGCGCTGCTCTGCGGGCCTCTCGGTTTCGCGCTGGTCGGGCGGGAAGAAGAACTGCGGCATGGTCACGGCCATGCAGGGGTTCGTGAGAGGCAGCAGCGGTGCTCGCGGCAACAGTCAGGGCAGCAAGCGGAGGACTCTGTGAGCCCTTTGCTTCCCCTCACCTGTCGCGGCGACGGAGGTGGTAGTTGTGACGAAAACGGCGGTGGTGCTGGTGGAGGTGATGTGATGGGCACGGTATAGGTGCGGAGTTCATGCCGTGGCGGGGACTGGTGTAACGTGGGCTGCGAAAGTCCATCTAGTTCATGCTTTCGTATCCGGATGAGTGTGATGCGTGCGAGGGCGGGCCAGCGGGACTCTGCGGTGCTGTGAGCGCGTCGAGGAGCTGGAAAGGAGACCGTGTCCCAGGAGGACTCAATTCTGCGAGCGGAGGCGCGGTGCTGAGTGAGGATCAGGGCCGGGGACGTGAGATGTCAAGTCCGTCAGGATTTGAGGCTGGTTCCGACGGCTGAGAATGGAGCGCTGACTGGCACCTGCCAAGCGTGCTGGGGGTTGGGAGAAGGCTGCCGCGGCGCTTGAATCAGTTTGCAATAGCAGCGACAAGAAGACAACACAGCGTTTGCGAATGCGAATGTTCAGTGCGACGAGAATGGTGTTTGGGAAGAAGACAGCAGCAGGCAGCTCCTGAAAATAATCCGTGTGCGTTTGGACTGTTTTGCTTTGCGGCCCTCACCGCCACCAGCCCCCATTCATCCCCCTCGACAACCGCCAACAGCGGACTCACCCAGCAGCAAATCCTCCCTACGGCAAATGCACCTAGTCGAGCCCCTCTTTCCTGCCCAGGCCTCTCCCAAGTCACCCTCTCTCCCCTCCGTGCTCCTCGGGGCCCTCACTCCCGATCTGCCCCCCTCCCACGCACGCTTCAAGACCTCGTCGCACGCTTCAATCCGGGCGACGTGCGTCCGCTAGTCTACGCAGCGCACAGTCTCGCATGGCCCGAGTCTCTCGTCGAGGGCAGCTGCCGGGATGCGCGGCGAGACGATACAGTATCACTGTAATGCTCGCTGTGTCTCCCCCATCCGCGGCCAATGGCAGCAGCGGCAGGAGGTGAGTCCGCTTCACTTTCTGCGCGAACACCCTCAGCCCTGCCTGCGACACGCTGCTGCGCTGGCCTCGAAGCGGCTGCTGGCTGCGCGCTGCGTCATGGGCAATGGACACGTCAATGTGGCTGGGGCGTTGCGCGAACCTGGAGGCCCTGTATGGAGCCCCCATCCAACATCCGTGCTGCTTTCTGTCGGAGGACCTTCTGCCTTGCCAGGCGCCTGCAGCAGCGCTCGGAGATGCCATTGCTCGACTGCTCGCGCTGCATGGTGCGGAAGTGGGTTTGCGACGAGGCCTTAATCAAATGGGAATCGCTGCCGCCCGCGATATTTCCAGCGTTGGGCGCCAAGCGACGTGTTGAAGTCTGAACCTCGCCCAAGCCCAATGGGCCGCGGCGTGTCGCTGCTACATTAGGACCGCGTCGACGCTCTGAAAATACTCCGAGACAGACAGCACGTTGCTCTGCTGTCCTTGGAACTACAGAATCGCAATCCGGTTGCAGAATCGCACTTCCGTTGCATCAAGTCCGTATCTCTCACACCATGCCACCCCTCGTCCTCCGAGCGAGAGCCCCTCATGCTCGCAACCAACACCACACTGCATCGGCAAACCAGTCTGCACGCCTCAAATCGTGCATATGCATATCGCGCGACGCAAAAAAATTAAAAATCAACGGCCGCCAGTAATCGCGCGCCGCCCGCCGACCCCACTTGCTCTCGAAAAAAATCCCAATATTCAGCACCATGGTCTGGTATCAGTTCTACGCACGTGGGTTTGATTGTTTGGGCCACGATGCCCTCGAAACACCAGCATCCACAATTGATAGTGGTACCGGCAGTTCCTAGCGGTCCGTCCCGTCGGCCATGTAGACTACGCACGCGCGGCGGCCAGACTGCGAGCGGCGACACCTGTACACGACCACGACGGGACAGGATCATGCCGGCTGCGTCCCGGCGAATGCCTGGACTCCGAATCGGCCCGAACCTGGTCTACTGTGGTGTTGTCTGTGCAAGGCCGTTAAGGTCGTAGCATTTGTAGAACCTCGTGCATAATCTAGGTGGGTACTCTGGTTTGTGATTCTGAAGGAAGCTGTGAGTAGTAAGAGATATTCTTGCGAGAACGCAATCCAACCATCAAATTGATCGGATTGGAAGAACTCCAAGAATAGCATTAAACATGCGGGCGAAATCAGGAGACACGGAAGCTACGGCAGATATCTATTCGGATTCGGATCGCACTGGCTGAGTAATGGACTAGAAACAATTGTTTTATAGAAACATGCTGAATAGTATTCCTCAATACGTTAGGCGAAGCCTGCACGGCCTGCTCGTTGTGGCGCAACGCTCGGACTAAACCGTACTGAGTTGTACACAACAGACGAACTTCGTTGCATTTGTCATCACTCAATACTTTCTGCTATTGGTTGCATCCTTATCGATAGCGTAAAGCGACGGATTAAGGAATATCCAAGTCAATTTTAACGTCCAAGGGCTAAGCGAATTTGGCGTGGCCACGACAAATTCGCTTAGCCCTTACCCGTGGCTTTCGCGTAGTGCAAGTTTCTCGTTCCTCGAAATTTGCCCCACTTCCACCCAACTAGTTAGGTGGCCGCCATCTCAGTGCACCGGCCACCTCAACGCGTCAGTTGTACATAGATTATTTGACACCGTGATTGCTCCATCAACATCATGGATTTGACCTACAAACAAGAAGAAATGTGCGTGCAGGATGTATTGACAGCCTTCCACAACAATACATTCCCCTCCCTACAAAAAGCTGCTGCCCATTATGGCGCCAAGTACTCACGCGTTACAAATCGTGCCTGAGGCCTTCCACCACGGAATGAACGCATTCTATACAACCTATTACTGTATCCTTATAAGGAAGAGGGCCTTCTAATCTAGCTAAGACGACGTAATTAATTAGGAACGCGTGCTACTACATTAAAATTAGAGTGGGAGTGCAATTTAATTTTGGCCGGCCGCCATACCGGCACAGGCGACCCCCCCTCTGCGGCAAGCATTGGACACGCTGCTTCCCCCTGCAGCACCCGGAATTTAACTTATACACTAAGAATCCTAAGGACCTTAAAAGGCAGGCAGCGGAGGACCTGAAAGTGCTGTTGCGTTAGTATAAGGACTATAATAATACTGTGGGCCTGTATAGTATATAACTAAGAGACCAGTGCAACTATAATAAGACAGGCGTGCGCCTAGGTATAGGTAAAAAGAAGAAGGTTATTATAATATCTAAGAGTATTTAAATTACCGCTGCAAAGGATACTAACTGCGAATCAGCCACAGTTAGTAAATATATCTCTGGCGATGGAGAGGTGCTGCCGCCGCTTATCCTTTTGGCAGGCAAACTATTTAAAAGCAATAGCTTACTAATACTACAAAGGAACTACCAGGCAACTACTTAGTAGGCGTGAACAATACTATATACATTAATAATAAGCTACTTTTCCGGTGGGCAAAGCACTTTAAATTGTTTTCCAGGAAGCGATAGCTTGGCAAAAATCGGCTCTTAATATTGGATGGCCATACAAGCTATTTTATAAGGCAATTTATTAAGTACTGCAATAAGTATTGTATTATCCTTTTTACTACAATTCCTTATATAACATATATCTGCCGGGGAGCGCTACTCGTACACCCCCTTTTCACTACACGTACACCCCCTAATCGCTACACGTACACCCCCCCCTCTTGGCGCTTTACCACCTTCTAATTGGCTCGGAACACTGTTCCGTAGCCTCCGATTCGCTCGCTTAACTCGCTCACTAATTCCGAATGCTCTCTCCAAATGCGGCCATGTACAACACAAGCAATCACATAATGCCAATTTGTATAGCCTTATGTACGAGCTCACGTACGAGCTCATGTATAGCCTTACGTACGAGCTCACGTACAAGCTCACGTACGAGCTCATGTATAGCCTCACGTACGAGCTCACGTACGGCCTCGTGTGTAGCATCACGTACGGCCTCGCGTATAGTATCACGTACGGCCTCGTGTATAGCATCACGTACGGCCTCGCGTATAGCATCACGTACGACCTCGCGTATAGCATCACGTACGGCCTCGTATATAGCATCACGTGTAGAGAGACGTAAAGGTGAATACCCGGAGGAAACGAAGAGAAAACCGAGCCAATGAGAAGAGAATAAAGCGCCAAGAAGAAAGCGCGGCAAACGTAACGACCAGAGAACGTACCTAAAAAAAAAAACGAATAGACGAGGAGACAAAAAAGCGCACACCACCACCCCTCCCCGAGCTGCAACACCCTCAAAATGACACGGAGCAAACCAGAGAAACATCCGGACAGTAACGAAGACGCCTAACTACACAGAAACCGATACATAAAGCCGAACAAGATGCAATACCTAAAACCAAACCACAGCCTAAAAACAAGAACATACAAGAACAGAAAAACGAGAACACAAAAAACGAAAGAGACAGACAAACGCACACACCCAAACACATACACGCACACACCAGCATAACTACAAGCACACCCACTCCACGCCAGGCCCACAACCACCCTCACAATCGAGCCAAGCAACGCGCACGAAGCTCACGGCATTCACGCTCACAACAACCGACAAACGATGCTACAACCGAGGCCGTACCACAGCCTAAAAACGAGCAAACGCACACCTACATAGATATACCGATTCGCAAAACCAAAAAAACACAATTAGATACCAACCTAAAGACCAGACAACCTAAGCCAAAGCAAAAGAAAAGAATAGAATACAATTCTAGAAGAGAAGAGACGACGAGAACTACAAGAAAGCCAAAAAACCCAAACCCTAACACGACTACGGCGCATTAACACCAACCCTGGACCACTACCACCGACACCTACACCTAACCCTAACCAAAATAAACATAAACCTCAATATCATAAGCAGAAACCGCAAGCAAAAGCACAACCTACCCAAACCTAAGCCCCTAAGCATAAGGATAAGGCTAAGGCATAGGCTAAGGACTAGCCTGACTACAAACTACCCTCTGAAATACCACCTTACCCGGTACACCAGCCGGCCCACCACGCGGCCGACCGCCAGGCGCAGCTGCAGGTGCAGCTGTAGGCGCAGCTGTAGGCGCTGCTATATGCGCTGCTATATGCGCTGCTGTAGGTACTGCCGTAGGTGCTGCCGTAGGTACTGCTATAGGTGCTGCCGTAGGTGCTGCCGTAGATACAGCTATAGGCCTAAGAAGGGCTGGATTAATACAAGAAAGATCAACCGGTGTAGCTGTCAACTAATAGGCATTCCAAGCAACAGGAGCTGGACGAGGGACTACAGAAATAGGCGGTGCTGGCGGCGGAGCTGTCAGCATGCGTCTTGGAGGTATGTATGCTCGTATGTCTACTCTGTCTGGTTTACTACAGTATTTTGCTAGGCCGTAGCCCTGCGCTGATGCGTGCACTTGTAGAGCAATATGCGCTTCCTCTGCTGTAGGGTAGTACGCCAGCCGTGGCGGCTGGAGGGCTATGGTGAGTGAACTGTTAAGGTGGAGGAGGAGGATGAGGATGAGGACGCAATTGCTTGTGTACACGCCGCATTTGGAGAGAGCATTTGGAATTAGTGAGCGACTTAAGCGAGCGAATCGGAGGCTCCGGAGCAGTGCTCCGGGCCAATTAGAAGGTGGTGAAGTAACTATGGGGGGGGGGGCTTGTGCGTGGAGGAATAAGGGGGTGTGCGATTATCAGTCCCCATATATATAGGTAAGGCCTGTACGGCCTCTAATTAAACTAGATCTATATTTCACGTATATATAAACCTATACATCACGTGTTCTATATATTACGTGCCCAAGTATCACCCGAACGCTAAGAATTCCACAAAGGGGGGGTTATAATTAGGCTTGTCCTTTGCTACTAGCATTGATTGCTGTGGGTGATTGTCATAATCCAACAGCCCCCCTCAAGCAGCGTAGTTCTACAGAGTTAATCGCTCAACCGGAGACTCAGTCGCACGCTCCATCAGATTGCTGGTCATACCGTATTGATGAAACACCATCGACCATAGTCGTAAAGGTCTCGATCCCCAATCACCATGACGAGCATGTGGCGCAACGTTTACTACTCCTCAGTCCACGCCATCGCACCCAACATCTCGACATTTGAACGAACATTATCGAAGAATGTCTCCCTTGAGAAATCTCTCGAAATGTGAGAGGTGAGAGATTATATATCCAGTTGAAGGGGATGATCATGCGATTTTTTAGTGGTTCCGCGGAACCCGCACAGCGCGGACCTTCACGTGAGGGATTGGGAAGCGTGCGAAACTTTACGGGTTCGATGTAGTGGCGAGTTAGAGGAAGAGTTACGTTGGAAGTGCGTGCGGGGGGGCTGAGGGAGTGTATAAAATTTCTTTGCAAAGATTTACTTGAGGAGCAGGAGGTCGAGTGCACGTTAGGCAATCAAAAACAATGTCGGTAGCCATCTTATGTTGGTTGGGAGAGGATATTAAGCAGATACCAGTCCGGACGTGGAATAGCTTACACGAATTCGTGGAAATAGTCTCATTCCACGACACCGACGACGAATGATGGCTCGGGAGTTTTGCGCCGATCATAAACACCATATGGGCAAAAGAATGCTACCTACTCATCCAAAATCATACACGTTTCGTGGGCCAGGAGGCGCAAGTATGTTACCTTCCTTCGCATCACTGGGAACCTTCCCTCTTTTGAAGTCTGACCACTTCGAATCCCGAACCATGTTGGGCTAGTATCTCCCTTCCTGCAGCTGCCTTCACCGTTCCATGATCTCTTCAGAAGTCGAAGTAGCGCGAGGCTTTGCACGAGGTTCGGATGGTCTTCGACTTGCTTGGGAATCCAGAATCCGGATTGATATCAAATCCCGAGAGTAATGTAAAATCTTTGAATCTATGCCGCTCAACTGTAAGTGAGTCTGCGGTACCATGCTCCCCTATACACGAAGGCCGTGGTATTTGTCAAAAAAGCGCACCCCGGCCGAAGTGAACAGATATAGACAATAGGAGGTCGTGAGGTTGAGTGTCGAATGGCCCGATGCCGATAGATAGGGTATCATCATAAAAGTTCGACTAAGCGACAAATACAGAACATCGCTCTCGCAGCGTTTCTAAAACTGGCACAAGCGCCTCTTGGATGAGCTTGGAGTTCCATTTTCCTCACCATCGACATGACGCTCAATGTCCGATCCTTTGCAACGTCCTCCCAATAGCGGAAACAGAATGAATTTCCCTCTTGATGGGAACCACCATCTAAGGAATCTTCTTCGAGGCTACTGCGTCGCTTTTCAAGTCCTTCTAGGTTGTTGATTGCCTCTTTAATAAGCCCGGGCATCAAACGCAACCAATTGTCTGTCAATTTAGAGTCTCGTTTACTACTTTCAATGGAGAGCCAACCAAAGCCGATGTTCCGAAGATCTTCTGAACTCGGCTGAACATGAACAACCTCCCATATCTGAAGTAAACTCTCAAGATTGGTGGGGGGGGAGGGGTGATTGAGATCCGAAGAGTCTGTTGCTGGAGCAGCGAGATTGAAATCACTGCATTGTAATATCGAAAGGTCAGTGGCTCGTTCTTTAAGATGCCTAGCTGTTGTCTTGACTGTGACCAGTCTGGAGCCCATGAAAGTAATGTGCTGTCCCCGATCGTGGAGGCTTCCAAATGATTTGACATGCTCTAGAATTTCAGGTAAGAGGCCGATCTTTAAGCATGAGATGGTGAATCGAGTGAAACAATTCTCGGTTGTATCGTTATAGTCCACTAAAGCGTGAATTAAGGGCTCTTTACCATCGAAGGACCGCTCCTCTTCACTGACATTAATGGTTCGCGGATTAAAGTATAGTGTCACATCGTCCGAATCAGCGATTGTATCGGGCAGCTCGTTATTGAAATCCAAATCAGTTGCAAGTCCGTAGATCGCAAAAAGTTTGTCCCTGGGGTCCGAGCACTCCGCTGCATGAAACTCCCTCAGGAGGTTCAAGATCTTCTTGTTATTCTTGTGGACGGCAAGAATGGTATTGAGTGGATCGCTTTCTAGCGCGACACTTGTTCTAGGGGACTCTAATGCGACTCTGAGCTCTCTCCAAGATATCTTCTCAAGTCCGTGGTAAAACATGGCACCGCGGCTAAGAGCGAGCTCTTGAGGAACATAGACGGTCGCTGTATCAGCGTTGGATGAGACAGAAATCAAGGTCTACTCACCCATCTTCTAGTGAACCATGGATTTTGGAGCCAAACATCAATCGGTTTCATCAATGTTGAATCGAAAATCTCCAACAAAACGTTTTCAATGGAAGATTTATTATAGCTGTCGCCCAATGCAAGAGTCCGAAAGAACGCGAAGACTTTTGCGACGTTCTGGCCCTGGTGGCCAAGCCAGACGCATACTTTTGACGCACAGCTATATATTTCACCCATCAATTGAACCTGAGTTCTTAATTCATCCTCATCCGCCTGGTTCAAGCATCGGCTGCGACAGATAGTTGATGTCTGTTGGTCCATTCTCGCCTCGCTCGGGCTCGGCGGCAATAAGTAGTTGGTGTCTGTTGGATTCATCCGTTCGGGCCTCGGCGCGGCTGCGATAGGGTAGTTTATTAAGACCGCATCAACCTAGATGTTCCCTGGGCTTAGAATTTTCCGGAAACGGCGTAGGAGGGCGTCAACGTTAGGCGTGATATTAAGAACTAAGTCACCATCGCAAATGAGTTGATGAGTGTACTTGGGTTCGCTCCCCCAAACGTACGAAATGGCATCGTAAGAGTTAAGAACGCAATTGGTAGATTTTGGGATCTGAGGTTTGTCAAGGTGGACAATGTCACACCTGAGTGGCTCATCATCATCCGTCGCAGGATGTAGATGGATTAATCGAATCCAATGGGGACTTTGAAGTGACCGGTATTCGTATGGGGGGAGCTGTTGGCTGGACATGGATGAGGCTAGGTGATGTGAGACCTCCGGATGCGGCGATAGCATGTTACTGACTATGGATGGTGGCTGCCAAATATGACGACAGTCAGCGAATCCGCGTTTACGTTCTTTTTTGGAAAAGGCCAAGATGAATTCCGAGCAAGACTAGTCGCTCTGAAGAGTTGCTTGTTGTGGTGTTGGAGCCTAGCGGGGAGTTGCTCGCGAGATATTCCGCCGTTGCACAGCCCCCAGTCGAACGACAAAACGCAAGTCAGGTGACCTCGATACCTGCGATCTATCAGCCTCGTAGCCAAGAGTGGACAAGCACGTCAAACTTGGCGCAAACTTCCACCCCTTCGAACTCATCTAAAGCAAGCTTGACTATTTAAAAATTGAAAGCTAAAGAACGTAGGACGATAACGAAAAGTACAACAAGCACAGCAAATAGTTTGATATAGTAATCTCAATTCAACCGATATCTAACTATACATATCCTCATGCTCACTCCCAGACCACCAAGAAAGCCGTGGCCGGGATAAGAAGAACTCAGATCTATACCATGCATGCAGCTCAGCTCCCAAAGACAGAGCCAGTTCGCAAGATAGCACTCCAACACCAACTCTATGATGATGCAAAAGCTAGTATGCCAACTGGGCCCAAGCTGATCCCTTCGCTGATACTCGCTGCAATGCAGTGCGGTTGCGGTAACGTCTAACCAAGCACTTGATGAAACCAAGAACTCAACAAAGACGAAGAATGCGTTTCGGCGAGAGAGCATTCGATATACCATGACTGTACGATTCGCGACGCGAAATGACGCTGTGATGCGATGCAATACGCCGAACTCAAGCAGCGCTCAGATCCAAGCCATGCTTCTTGAGGCCATCCAAATACTGGTCCTTGATGTCGACGTCTTCTTCCTCCTTGACCTCCTCGTTTTTGATAGTACAATCCTCGCTCCCTTCCTTCTTTGCCAGCTCCTTCGCCAGCATCTCCGCGACCGTATCCAGGCCCCTCTTTTCAATATCTTTCTCTGAATTCTCTCCCTTTTCGCCATTTGAGACCATCGCATCGAGTGCGAGTTTGCTCTTGCCAAGCGCGTGAATTTGCTCCTCAATCGTACCCTTTGTGACAAGTCGCACGACCTCGACCTCCCGAGTCTGACCAACGCGATGGGCGCGGTTTTCTGCCTGGACATCCTCCTGAGGGTTGAAACTGCTGTCAAAGATGATGATCTTGTTGGCAGCCGTTAGGTTGATGCCAGTTCCTCCCGACTTGGTGGAGAGGAGAAACACCGGGATGGTGGTGTCCGTGGTGAAGATATCGAGGAGGGTCTGGCGTTCCGGGATAGGTGTGTTGCCATCAATGCGCATATACGCAATGTTCAGGGTGTCGAGGACGAGCTGCAGGATATCCATCACAGTCGTGAACTGGGAGAAGACCAAGGCGCGATCGCCGTTCTCCTTGTACTTGGTAAGAAGCTCGCCGAGTTTGGCGACTTTGCCACTGTTCATCCATTCATCGTTCGTCAAAGCGTACTTGCTAAGCTCATTGGAGTTCTTCCGAATGAAGTCATGGAAGTCGTAGTCGCTGTACTGGTGAAGTTCTTCCATGACGATCTCCGAGTCCGACGTACGCCATCTGCCCCTCATACAAGTTTTATGGACCTTCTTGATCATATTGTCGTCGTAGATCTCGCGAAAGAGGAAGGGATGAATAGCGGCTTGTCGAAGACGCATCATCGTGTTGGCACTGTCTTTGTTCTCGATGCCAGCTGCCCGATCGGATAGCACCTTACGTTGCTTCGCGAGAAGTCGATCGTAGATCTTCTTCTGCTCCGGCACAAGGTCGCAATACTCAACACGGTTGGTCTTCTTCGGTAGGTGCTTGAGTGTCTGCTCCTTCTTTCGTCGGAGTAAGAATGGCGTTATCATAGACCGTGCGCGATCGATACGCGCTTTCGAGAGAAGGGCTGAATGCTCCTTGTCGGTAGTCTTGGCCTTGTGCTTGAAGACGAAGTTCAGCTCCTCGTGTTTCGCGTGGAAAAGGTCCGGCATGATGAAAGCGAGGATTGCCGCCAGCTCCTGGAGATTGTTCTGGAGAGGCGTGCCGGTCAAGAGCACGCGGAACTCAGCCGGTATCTTCATCAGGCCAGCATATTTCTTCGACCCTGGGGATCGCAACGTATGTCCCTCGTCGAAGACGCAAACTCTCGGTTGACATTTGCGCAGAAATTTGTTGTCTGAAGCCTTCCAGCAGAGGTCATATGTGGTGACAATGACATCGATGTTGTCAATCGAATCCAGAATCGAGTACTGCTGCTCCTCTCGTGCCTTCTGAAGCCCATAGTACGGTTCCACTACCAGTTTCGGAGAGAACTTCTCGAACTCTCGCAGCCAGTTCTCCAGTACCGCTCCCGGGACAATGATGAGATGAGGGCCTTTCACACCCTTTTCTTTGAGATGAGACAGGAATGCGATCACCTGGCAGGTCTTTCCCAGTCCCATGTCATCTGCTAGGATGCAGCTCATCCCGTGGTCCCAGAGAAGGTTCAGCCAGTTGAGTCCAACTAATTGATAGTCCTTGAGTTCGATATCTGCGGACATGATGGCTGGCTTTTTCAGAAACTTCGACTTTGAACGATCGCGCTGGGTTACAACATCTTCCTCGCCGTCGTCGATGGTGATCGGGCTTCGTGGAGTACCAATTCCAGAATCCCGGGCCGAGCTTGCCTCACTTTTGATGTCGTCCAGGCTTGTTAGTGTGAGTTCTCCCTGCGCAGCGGCGCCAAAGATATCGAAACCCCATTTTTGCATCGCCTGTTTGATCGGCCGTCCTAGGGCTCCGCATTTCACGACCAAGTCGTCAACTGCACTGTATCCATCCCACATTTGTTGGGCGAAATTCAGCACGCTCTCTCCGACTTTCTTTGCCTGAGGTTTTCTAGTTCTCCCCTTGGCAGTCACTGAGGGCTCCGACATCATGGTGACCTCTTCGACCTGCCTAAGGCTGCGGAATGGCCGCTTAGAGAGAACGTATTCAACAATTTCGGGCTTTTGGTCCGAGAGATCCACCATTTCCTGAACGGAACACTTGTTGAAGAATTCCACGAGGTCGATATTGTTGGCAACGCTGATACCCTCATCCTCACTAGCAGTATCGTCTGATATCTCGGATATCGCAGCCTCTTCCTCTTCATCTGAATCGATGACAACGGCCTTCTTTCGTTGTCTCTGTGCTTCCGCTTGGAGCACTGACTTTCCTAGTGGGAGCTTTCGAGGCTTCCCCTTCGCTTCTGGAGACGGAGTCCGATTGCGTCGGCCCTGAATGAGTCGTCGCTTCTTTGGCTGAGCAGCCGCCTCGGGCTCCAGGTTCGACCACTTCTGTTGGATGCTCTGGATAGGTTGGGTAGGTTTCCTTTGGGCGGTTGTCGCCTCAGGAACCTTCTGGCTGAGATTCGACCACTTTTGCTGGATACTTTGGATGGGCTGAGTTAGCTTCCTCTGCGCTGTTCCTTTCGGCAGAAGTTTCGCGTCCTTGGGTGTCTTGGTGAGCTCATCCTCCGACAAAAGAATCGCGTCCTCCTTTGCCAAGATGTAGTCCATAGCGTCGTCACATTGACCCTTCTTCAGAGCAAGAGCGCTCTGCAACTCCATGATGCTAAACGTCGGAAAGGTCAGCTTCAGTCGCTCGACTTTCTTTCGGACCTGTAGATCCGGAATGTCATCCAGCTCCATGTCGGATTGTACAGGTTGTGCCCTCGACGGACCAGTCTGACGGGAGGGGACCTGAGGTTTGATTTTCTTCCTATCTGGAGCAACATAAGCGCTCGCCATGTCGTCGGCCTTCCGCTTTTGAGGTCCTCCGTAGCTGTAACTCGAGAAGTCAATCGCCCTTTTTTGCGGCGTCTCCTCCACCCGAGAGGAAGAGGACGGCCCTTTTGCGCTCCGAAACGTAGAGGCCTTGATATCGCCCCGCATTGTGGTGACTTCGTCGTCGGAAGAGTCTTCAACGGGCGGGTCGTCAGAGTCGATGGGAATGTGAGACGGCGGTTTATAGCTGAAGGGAGCGTGGAGGTATGTGCCCGGAGGCGCCATTGCCATGACATTCGGGCGCGGGAGCATTTTGGACGGAGACGGGGAGGAGACGACTAGGGGTGGCGAAGACGCCGCGACCTGCACAACGGACTGAGGGTTCTTTTTGGGCGTGGTGAGGGGTTGCGTAGGTTGTGTGATGAAGGTAGATTGTGTGGGTGGGTTTGGTTTGCGGTTGTGAAAATAGCTCGAAGAGATGGGCATTGTCGCCTCGGTGAAGGGGCCGTCGAATAACTCGTCGCCGCTATCGTCGTCCGAGTTGTATGTGGCGGGTGGCCGTCGCCCGGGGTCGACAAGGCGCATCGGCGAGCTGTCAATGATAGGATCGGGGTCCATGGCCGCTGTTACGACCTCGCGGTGCGCGTAGCTGGGCGGCGGACAAATATCGCGAACAAAGCGAACGAGGGAGAAAGAGAACTCTGCTTGCGCGAACCAAAGGAACTCTGCTGCTCACAATGCGCACAAAGACGCGGCAGGCATGTGTGTTGGGGGACGGACAAGGACGGCGTCGGCCAACAAAGAGAAGCGGAGGAGCGAGGTGGTTAGTGAGGAGGTGTGGAGAGTGCAATGTAGAATTCGGGGTTGAAAAAGCGGCGCGTCAGAGCCCATAGAATGAGCGCGTGAAGGGCGCCCGTGCACGTTAAACCACTTCCTGTCTTGGCATCAGTCTCTCTTCCACGTTCGCGGCCTGCTGGCGACCTCAAGCCATCACAAGCATCAAGAACAGCCCAAAATGACTTCGCGGAGGCTCATTTCGGACGAGAAGACTTATCTCGATACCGACGATGACAAGGACAGCTCCCAGCCATCCAACATTGCGCCTGCCGTGCCCGCGTTAGTCCATATATCCTCCTAGAGATGCCACTTCTGATAATCCTATAGGGCCGTCATCTGGAAACTATTAGGCTTCACCTTTGCTATGATCACGATGCCAATCGGGACATATTTTCTCACAGTGAATACGGTTTTCAAGGGTAGGTCGTGAAAGAGTGAATGAATCACGTGCAAAGACTAATGAACGGTGTCAGGGAACTCCACTTTCGCAGGTGCATTAGCGGCCATCATCGCCAACGTCGTGTTAGTGGGCTACGTGGTTGTAGCTATGCGGGAGGACCAGTCCGAGAGGTTAGCAGAAGAGGAGAAGCAGAAGAAGGCATTGTAGGGGTGGTGCTTAGGGACTGTATATGGCGTTCCGGCGATAGGCAATCGTAGTTCATCTCATAGGAACATCGGAACAAGCTGCTTGTTTCACGCCAGCTTAATTCAGACAATATGGTTTGCACGTCCCAACATTATGTATTAAGATCATTCTCTGCAGCTGAAGACCGCCGCGAATGAACAGAGACTTTGATTGATTCGAGGAACCGCCCGATGGAAATGCCAGAACGCCTCATGATGAACCGCATAACTATCCTGACCAGTGTCATCCACTACATATCTGTGCGTGTAAGAAAAGGGGGCCAATTTCTCAACGGAAGCCCCGCCCGACCAGATGTTGAAGGCGCGAGGTCTCCAAACAGCTGCTCCTGAGCCACATAAACTCTGCTCCTTCGAAGTCCTGGTTTCATCCAATTGATTCCAGGTAATGCAAAGCGCAGATGTCCGTAGCTCTTGTTCTATAAAACATTCAACATCCATTACTATGCAACGATTTGCTGCATCGACAACGCTCGAAAATGCATCTGTGATGCCACCTCGGTGCAAGCGTACAAATACACGCAGTAATCAATCCTTGCTAAACCTCCTCTTAAACCAGCTCTTTCTTTTATCGGTGTTCTGGCGTTGGAGCGTGTTCGGTCGAGCTCCAGCGTCGACCTGAGGTGGTTGCTCGGAGTAGTTGCCTCCAAGCTTGATGGTGCCTGTGGTCTTTGCGGGGACTGGCGGAGGGATGTTGGCTGCAGTTGGCTGTAAGTGCGTGCCATTTGCCGGGGGAGGTCCGCCGTTCCGCGGGGCGTAAGTCGCATTATTGCCATTTCCATACTCCTCTAGGATGGGTCCTTGGAACTGCGGGGCTCCTCCGAAACCATTGAACCCATACTCCGCTCCATCGGGAATGTTTTGGACAGGCTTTTGAACAGGAAGTGCCCGCTCGATGGAGCTGTTCTCGCTGCTAGGGTCGGTCGAGTTGGCCCAAGGATCACTATGGCTGCCGTTCGATCGCTCCGTTTGGACTGTGTCCCTCGACTGCTGGTATCCCGGAGTGGGGTTTGGGTACACGCCCTGGCCCTGAGCGGGGGGATATCGGTTCAATGCAGGGTCAGATTGAAGGCGAGGGTCAGATTGAAGGCGCTGGCTGTATCGGGAGCGAGGAGGAGCACCGCCCATGGGTCCATACTGGCTGTCGGCGTAGGTGCTTTCTCGGGCAGCTGCAGCAGCACGGCTGCCATAGTAACCACCGACTTGTCCACCGACTTGTCCACCAGCTTGTGAATAGCGACTATTATCGTAACCTATAAGTAGACATGATCAGTAGGTGGAGCAAATGATCGACATGCCAAGGAATTCGGAACGGGTATATGCACAGGCCTGGAGGCCGCGCGGTCTGGTGGGCGCACCACGCCATGCGCCATCGGCGCCCCTCCAGCCGCGCGCGGGATATCGCGATAAAAAGATAGGGAATGCAGACTCAATTGTGAATGCGGTAGTGAACACCGTGGTAAGGTAATGCGAATCTTGAAGTTGAAATGTGTGTAATGAATGTGAAAAACGTACCTCCACCATGATAGCTGTTCCTACGGCTCTGGTATCCGTTGTTGACTTCGGGTGAAGACTCTATAAATTCGTCAGCATCGAGCTGCAGGAGCATGTAGACGGAGTTGTGACCCACCTGCACGCAACACCGACCTCCTCCGCTTGTATTCATTGTCAATGGCGGCTTCGAAACTTTTGATAGTGTCTAGCGGTCTGTATATGCTGTCAGCGTGATCTCAAGGCGTGCAATTGTGGCATATCGTACCTTTCCCAGCGCGGTCGTGTGGGATTGGATAGATCGGGCTCAGCTGCAAGCGGAAGTCAGCAAACAGCACTGTTGTGGGCATTGAGAGGCGTACCGATCGGGTTTCCGTGGACATCGGTGTGTTGGAAGGATCGGAGGGACTGAAGGGTAGGTTTCTCGAGCGCCGCAGCAACTGGGACAGCGTTAGCAACGGATCAGACGTCTGGAGTTGCTGCTCGAGAGCTTACTGGGCTGGTTCTCGGTCATGGCAGCGTTCGGGTCGGCCTTCGACTTGGAATTGAGGTGGCTTTTGCGTTTCTCCTCGTGGGACTCGCGCAGAGATTCCTTTTGGTGTTTTTCTTGGTTCTTGGAGCTATGGCTCTTGTCACTCTTGAAGCTAAAGGTCGTGGCGGACCGCTGCCTCTGCTGGGGGCGCTCCATGGCGGACATGATTTGCAGTCGGGCTACGGCAGAACCAAGGACAAACGAAGGGACGGTGTGAGGCTTCACAGCGCGACTGACGGCCTGAGCTTCAGGTTCGGCGAAGGCGGTGGAGATGACGGCAGTGGTGAGCTAGGTTGCAATGATGTGCGGGTAACGATCGGTGCGGTCCGGGCGCTTGTTGGTGAAAGATAAGAAGAAATGAAGCAGTAATGCAGATGCAGCTGGAGAGACGAGACAGTTAGCCCAGCGATCGTGAGGAAGCCAGAGAGGAACAACGAGTGCGTGGCTGCGGGAGGCTGGTGTGGAGAGTTGTTGGGGCGCAGAGGTGGTGGATACAGGATAGCGTCACTCGGTGGCAGATTCGCGGATATGCTGGCCCTAGTGAGGCCGACGACGTACACCTAGACGAGTCTAGAGCTTGCGAGGATGGAGCAGAGTGGATGGGGAGGCGGGCAAGCTGGTGTAGCCAGCGCTCGCTCGCATCAACACCGGAAGCAGCGACTTCACCGGCCACGCTCGCAAACTGCATCACGCCAAAACACACAAAGCTCCCAGGTGCGTCGGATGGCGCGGAAAGGCGCTGACGATCAGGGTGCGCTCGTCAGGCATCAAGGGTCTCAGAGTTGCGCGCCAGGATGCCGCTGCCCACTATTTCGCCCGAATATCAATTGATGCGCCCACGGCTCGCGCTGCCTCCCAGGACCGCGTCTCGCGTGAAAAGCAGGATTTCGAGCCCCGAGGCGGACGTGCATCTACCTTTGTAGCTAGTCTATGCATCGTTCAAGAGCGGGGAGGGACTGTTTAAGACTGGGGTGCGCCCGTGTTGCGCCGTTGCGCGGTCAGGTTTTTTGGAGTGCTGTAAAGTCGTGCGTTGATTCGCTCCTAGCCGGTTCTTTTTGATCCGTGGGGCTACAAAGGTATGGTGAGCATTGTTTCAATGTCTCTCACCGTTCACCGCCTTGCATCCGAAAGGCTCTTCGCAAACGCCCACTCAGTCTTGCTCTTGGGCGTGTCACTGAGAGACACTGACGCCTGCTGTGCCACTATCGCGTCGTGAGCGTGCAGAGTTGGTTGACGCACGGCGATCCAACGACTGCTTGCGGACGTGACTCCGACTCAGACGGTATTCATGACAGATTCAGTACGAAACGAACCGGATCGGATACGCTCGCACCCGATATCTCACCACCGAGGAACTCTTCCAAGGCGATTGCTCAACGGCTTTCAATTTGCTGGAGATTAATTACAATCAGCCTTGTGGCACGGTATGTATCTGCCATGCGTCGTGTGTATCAGGTATAAATGGCTGTAACCGCTGTACCACCAAGCCATGCGCTTCGCATCTCCACTGCCACGTTTTTGTGCCTCACCTTTCATCAATAACCACACTGCCCGGACATCTCAAAGTCTGCGTTATCGATGGGACCTATTTGGCCGGCACTTTGGAAAATCTTAGACCAAAATCAACACATTCCGGCCAATCACAAAAACACGATGTGCCCAAGAGAGAAAACTCTGCTAGGTCCCACAGAATTGTGTTCGGAAACTAGGCAGAAACAGCCAGAGTTGAGAAGCTGCGGCTATACATAGCGCTTACAGCTCCACAACGGCAAATGGGGCGTTCAGGGCGTTGCTAAGCCTTGGTAGGGATTAGCCTGAGCTTAACGAAACGGCCGTCATGATAGGGTACCAGGTTTGGGAACTACGGCGGGAAAATATTGCCGCTAGTATGAGTACTCTTCTAGGCTCACATACCATTGTCGAATGTTCTCAATGCATCTGTCTAAAGTATAATTGCCATGTAAAATTTCTCACGTTGTCACCTTAGCTCATCTAAAACGCTTTTTCACGCAAGCATTTTCTCTATCTACCTCGCTTCAATGCCGCTCCCAAATTTCAACCTCAACGTGATTTTATCCCCGTACATATACGGCAAGCTTGGTGTATTCAAAGGTCAATTGCCTAGAACAAAACTTGAGATTTATCACGGCAGAAGTCAGGATGTCACCGACTGCTAGATTTCCCAACTTCATCACAGCAGGATTCAAGAAGGATCGGACCTAATTTTGGAGCTACCGATACGACTACGAAGAACCGCCGGATGTTGTCACCGCAGAACAAGACGAAAAACCTGGAAGCACGATCTACGACTCCGTTCTTATTGGTAAAGTACGCACGCTCGAACCGCACCGTGGTGGTACAAACGACAACCAGCAACTCGATCTTCACGCTACTGAAGCCGTAAAACTCCACCTTTTCGCTCTGTCAGGAGTATCCCAATTCAGTCTTCAAGTTCCCACCCGCTCCATCTAGTAATTACTATTGCCGCTATAGCTCCTTTTACAACCGTTCAGATTATTCCCAGTCATACGGCCTTCTGGACGAGCGCATCCGCTACTATGTACGTGTGTCCGTTACTAAGTGCCAGCATAGAGCTTGCACCAGAGCAAAAGGCCTCAGTAGCCCAAAAAAAGAAGCCAACAATCAAGGCCTTCTAAGATTAGGGTTGATATAGACCTTGGTGGAATGGGGTGGAGCGAATAACCGAATCACGATAAGCCACATAGCGCCTAGAGCAATATAATATCTAAAGTGTAGCGTTGTGCTTCTAAAACAGGTCAATAAGTAAATTTATATACAAAACGTTGTATTCAACTCATGCATGTCAGTCATCACGTGACGCCAAGACATCCTAAAATATATTCCAGTCAGTGAACCACGCAATAGCGACATGGGAATATACCTGCTCACAGACAGCGTCTCCTCCATCATTTCAGTCTCTCAATTGTCTCACTCTCCTGAGGTCTACCTATCCTGCAGTGGATACGGCAGTGAAAGGTTTCCCCGTCCCGAAATACGAAGTCCATTGGTCCAACGGTCTCAGCTCTCAGCTGTCTTTGCGCACCACAGCCGGAACTTCTTACTCTCCCTATACATCGTCCTCAACTTACTAACCTTCGCATATCGCGTTCTCACAATCTTCTACTCGAGTTGCGTTCGGTTTTTCTCGGGTGGATGACGCATAAAGTCCCCGTAGCAGTCATGGTCGCGCCGGTGGAGGGCAGCTCACAAGATCAGCTTGCTAATATGCCCGAAGAATTAATATTGAAAATTCTGGCGCATATTTTCGAAACGTTTGATCAGTCTTGGACCCCTATCGTCGAGCAACCTGCTTTCATCAGCTTACGTCTGACATCGAAGCGAATATCCCGCTTGACGGACACATTTCGCTATCAGAACATAAAACTCCGTCCTGGGAGTCTCAAGAGTCTCAGGCAATCAGTATTACTTCTCAGCACCCCTGCATTAGCGGCAAGCGTCAGAAGTGTACATGTCGACTTGGTGGAATTAGAGCAAGAGGTGGATCATCTGATCGATCTGATTGATCTATCAGCACATGATCAAAGTCTTCTGAGATCTGCCATATCAGACGTTGAGCTTGTCTTGGGTGCCGCGCTGGGCAATAGCCCGCTGCAATCATGGGTCACAGCAATATTGTTCCGACTTCCACGCCTCACAGCACTAAAATTACCACCATCTACAATGCAGACAGGCAGTCTAACTGTTTACCACCCGCTGCGGTTCTTTCAGGAGCACCCCGAACGTCTTCCATTCCTTCGCAAACTTTCTCTTACGACCCCTCGGGGGCTGCGAAGTTCCACTTTGTACTCGCTACTGCACGTCAATTCGCTCCGCACCCTAGAAATCGAAGGATGGCACGCCAGCGATGATAGGCCCGAAGTTAATGGGCCGTCTGACTCTTTCCCTGAGATGGTATCACCAATCGAACATCTATGCCTTTCGCCCAATCGAGGTCTCTCCTTGTATGGTTACATTCTCCCGAAAAGTATTATCAGTAGCTTCATGGCCCTTCGATCTATTACTGTCAAGACACCGATGTTTCCCCCGAAGGTCTGCATAGACGCTCTTGTGGATAGCCTTCAAGTGCAAAAGCATTCGCTGGAAAGCTTCCACCTCTCTTATGCAGACCACGGGAAACTAGCGGAGACTAGGATGTTGATTGATTTCCGCGAGTTTCAACGGTTGCGAACGATTTTTGCCCCGACACCCCTTATCTTTAAATACAGCGGCGCCGGCCACCCTCCAGCTCTAATTGACAGTCTCCCCCAGTCACTGGTACACTTGACAGTTCATGGAACGTTTGGCGAGCTGGTTCCTTCTCGAATCATCCAACTCACAAAGCCTTCGGGCTTTCCAAATCTCAAAAGCGTGACCATCCTTGACCATGGCAACTTCACTCCCAATGTATACAACGCTTTTCAGGCGGCCGGAATCAAATTTACCGATCGCTGTCTCACGGAAGGTTGCCATATTGCCATGTCTGTTACAGAGAGAATCAAGCACCATCACCAGTATCGATATGGACGTGCGTAGTTTACCAAAATATGCCGATGAACCGGAGTCGCGTACCAAGAAGAACAACTTTCACGAAAATGGCCAAATACATCGACATCGGCTCGGCGGATTTCTTCATGGCGCTCTGAAGTTTCTCGACAGGTGCTTGTAATGCAGCGCAAGTCATTAATTACCTACAGCAGGGAAGATCTACAGCACATTTGTAGCAATAAACCCACATATACACGTCGCCATACCATCCGTTCTCAAAGGGGAAGACCAAATAGTGGTTCGATGTGATTGGTCGAAGCTTTGACCCCTCACATCGATGACACCTACACGTCATGACCCTGAGTTTCTTTGACCGATCGACTTTCCCCGATTCAATTTAGCGTTTACCGCATCATTATTGCTCTTACTAAACCTCATTTTGTAGTTTCTTTTTTTTGGTGGTCTTTCTTTCCGTTGTTCCTCCATCACAAAATCCTGTCACGCAGCATTTGATTTCAGTACACTATGTCGCATAATGAGCGTTCTCCGCTTCTAGAAAATAATGAGGAGGAAGGTATTGATGAGCATCATGTATGATTCAATGTCTTCAAACTCCAAGTTCAAACTAACATTCTTATAGCTTCTTGAGCTCTCTCAAGATGATCCAGAAAATCCTTGGGCGTGGCCGAGACCTAAGAAGCTACTCAACGTAGCAATCATTGCTCTCATGGCTAGTAAGATATGGCTGCTTCACTTGATATGGGCCAATTGGCTGACGCGGCTATAGTTTTAAGTCCTCTAGCAAGCGCAATGTTTACGCCAGGCATCTCTGAGATCGCAGACGAGTTTGACCCCCCCGAAACCGCTATCATTGCGGCAACGACCGGGTTCCTAGTGATGCTAGGCCTAGGGCCTCTCATACTGGCGCCTTTGTCTGAGACCTTCGGTCGAAGGCGACTATATCTTGTGTGCTTCACGATATTCTCACTCCTCCAAATACCGACCGCTTTAGCTCCGAACATTGCCTCCCTCATCGCCCTCCGTACAGTTTCAGGATTATTCCGGGCCGTAGGGATTGCTAATGGCGGTGGTACTATAAGTGATATGTTTGTGCCGCAAGAAAGAGCTGGAGTGTTTGGGTGATATCTCTTAGGACCGTTACTTTGGCCAACGCTAAGCCCGCTCTTCGGGGGTATAACCGTTATGAGACTGGGATGGCGCTGGGTTTTCTGGATCCTTGCCATAGTCTGTAGCGTCAATACTCTGGTGGGCATTTTCTTCCTGCGAGAAACGTACGCACCAACTATTCTTGCCGTTCGGAAAACCGAGCTCGAGACCGAATCGAAGGACGCACAGTACCGTTGTGAGGGTGAAGACTCTCGGCCTTTACGAGGGAAGCTTGCGCGATCCTGTCTTCGCCCTGTTCGCATTTTCGTCCAGCTTATCGTGGCAACCATGGGTATCTACCAAGCTCTGATATTTGCAACGACTTATAGCATCTACACGAATATGCAAGATATTTACTCGGGATCGTCGTATATTCTGAGCTTGACTGTTGTTTGTTCTTAGTTCCGAGGATTGACACAGTGTACAAGAGGCTTACTCGAGAAAATGACGATAAAGCGAGGCCAGAGTTTCGACTTCCACTAGCCAATATCGGTGCCGTTCTCATTCCCGTATCCCTCTTTGGGTAAGCTACCAAGTCGTCTTCAAGCGTGAGAATTGAATACTCACGTTGCAAAGGTTTGCTTGGACCGTCGAGGAGCGACACCTAGTCCATTGGTTTGCTTCCATCTCGAGCACATTCTTTTACGGAATCGGGCAAGTAATGATCCTCAACACGACGCAAAATTACTACATCGATTCCTTCGAGAAATACGCCGCTTCAGCTATTGCCGCTGGCACAGTTGTAAAGTCAATCACTGGCGGTGTTGTCCCGCTCTTTATGCCGGCTCTGTTCGAAAAGCACGGCTACGGATGGGGCATCTCGGCGTTCGCGTTCGTTAGCCTCGTCCTGGCACCAGCTCCGTTGACTTTCTACGCTTTCGGGGCCCGATTGAGAGAAAAGTTCTCTATTGAGCTCTGAACTATCTACTCGACAAACGTGATGTACTAGTTCAAGGGTCTGGGCACATAGAAGCCACGGCTTGGGTGCGCTTTCGCTGCTTGGAACCGCCATCAAGAGTCGCCCTGTTAGGCAGCCAAAACTAGCTCAACCCATACGCATCAAGCTTTACATCCTGTCCTGATATTTCAGACTCCGTAGGTGCACCTCAAGCAGTGATGACAGAATGTGTGCAGACATTTGGTAGCGCACTGTGGCACAGTGTCGTAGGCAACGACTTCAAAAGCTCAGTAGCATTGCGGTACTTCTGCGGGGTATTGGACGATGGTCAAAACGATATTTACAACTTGACTGCCAATTACATGTCTACAAGTTCTTAGTCACACCCGGGCTGATGGCCTCCAGCTTCTTCATCAACTCGTCCCAAACTCTAGCTTGAGTCTTCTTACCCTCCGCGCTCCGAACAAAGGCACTCGGCTCCTCGATCTTACAATCACTGATGTACTTTCCATGCGACTCAGGCCCATAGCCCGCCGCGTTCAACAAGGTCCGACTCCCAACTTCCGTACTCCGTGCAATCAACGCTTTCATAACAGCCAAAACCCAAGCCGCCGGGCCCTTATCTCTCGTCAACGCGCTGCACATCATTAGCCTCCCCATGGCACCATAACCAGAGTACGCGCAAACTCACGAATGACACAGCCCCGGATTCAAGCAGTTAACCGTCACCGGGCCCTCACTCTTCTCGGCGAGCTCCCTGACCGCAAACACCTCGAGCAGCTTACTCGTCATGTACCGCTCCGCCATGTTGGCCGTCTCCTTAGCATTCAGCGTCTCGAAGATCATGCCCTCGGGCGCCTTGCGCTCCGCGAACTTCGTCCAGTGATGCACCTCGGACGCCGTGATGCTCAGCGTCGGCCGGGTGCCGAACTTGCGCGCGCTCTCGCGCAGCTTCGGCAGCATCAGCAGCGCCAGCAGGAACGTCGACACCACGTTGATCGTAATCGTGCTCTCGTTGTCTTCGGCCTGCACGTAGCCGTTCGTCGCGATGCCCGCGTTCTCGAGGAGCACGTCGATGCGCTCGAGCTCTTTGGCGGCGCGCGCGGCGAAGGCCTGCACCGAGGCGTAGCTGCCCATATCCAGCTGCCACACCTGGATGGTGTCGGCGGGGCGCTTGGTGGTGGCGAGGATGTCCTTCTTCGCGGCCTCGCCCTTTGCGAGGCTGCGCACGGCGAGCACGAGCGTCGAGGCGCCGAGGGCCGCGAAGTGGCGCGCTGCTTCCTTGCCCAGGCCGACGTTGCTGCCCGTCACGATGACGGTTTTGCCGGCGTACGAGGCTGTGGGGAGGGGCAGTCTGACGAGGAGTTGGGAGCGGAGGAAGCCGGTGAGGGAGGCCATGGTCGACAAACAAACAGCAGTAGCAATAACGTGAACGAGTTGTTGGAAAGATAGAAGGCCTGGATTAGGGAGGATGGTCGATATGAGAGTGAATGGACAGCCGCACGTGATAGCCAGAGATTTATCCAGATCGAGGCTGTTTCCATTCCAAAATGCGGCCGGCGATCTCTTCATATGGCCCACCCCCAACGGCGTTTACCCTTACTTACCTCCGGTGACGTGTGGCATTCTGCCTTCGCATCGCGAGCCCAATCTCACGAAATGTCCTAGTTAAATCCGGGCCGTATGGCGGTAAGGCGCTCCTAAGTCCTGGTGGCCGGTGGTGGTCCTGGATAGCACTTAGGTGGTAGGTACAATGAGAGTGGCTCGTGATTGGCGGACAGCCGTTATGCGGAGGAATCTGAATGCCGGGTGATTTAGCTGATATTATAATCGTGCGTCGTGCAGGGGGTGCCAGGGGCGGGAAGGACGACGCGAAGCCTGGCTGGCTTGAGCGGGTCGGGGGTTTTTGGAGCCGGGGGGGTGTTTGTGGGACGTGTGTTTGGATGCCTGGTTGTGAGATGGAGTCGTGCATCCAGGGATTAATTCATCATCAATAGCTTTGCGGCCAATATTGTTGGAAGTCTGCTTCTCGCGTATCGCTCATCGTGTTGAATGTTCCACATTTCTTTCTTTCACGATTGTAAAGGGGGTTGCAGGAGCTATCTGAGGTGTTGGATGGGGCGGGATTGCACCAAGACTCCTAAGCCCGTCCCACCAGCGTTCTTGTCGTGCACTTTTGCAATGCTCTATTCAATTTTAGCTTCAGTAGTCGCCTTCATTATTCACGCGAGGCCATATGTCATAGCCAACGTTCAACAATCAAGCTTCAAACTTATCGGCAGGTGAGTCCCAAAAAGTTCTATCCGTCTGCTCTTATGACCGCTGCCAAGAACTCTATGGACACAGATTCAAATGTGCAACTACACAAAAAGAAAGCAAGTCCCACCTAGAGAATCGAACCCAGGGCAAAGATCTCTGCGATCACAGGCAAAAGAAACTCGAATCCCGGATCACGAAGGAGCCAGAGCGCTGCTCACGACCAACTGGGCCATGAGTTGTCTCACTTGCACTTGTACTTGTGAGGATGCGAATTTCTGAAAGGATAGCAAAATAATTCGAAGTACGTGCTTGGAAAGAGTGCGGTCTACGCCAAAATAGCTTTTGATATAGCTGACACGCGACGAAGTGATGTCACTCAATACCGCTTGAGAACCTCACGCCCCCAGCTTACCGATTATGCTTCACGATTCTTTCATCTACCGTGGATGCCTATCTGCTAGACTATTTTCACACAGCTATTTCTCCCTTTGGAACAATACTCGACAGGATTACATCGTCCACGGCACTCATCTGCGGAGGGTTTCCAGCCTCAACCTCGACCGAGGGACGGAAGCTCTGATTCTTCTCAAACAGCCCCTCAATCTGCTCCAGCGACTTCCCCGCCGTCTCGGGCATGAAGAAGCACACAGTGGCAGCCAGCAGCGTCGAGAACCCGAAGAGAAAGTACGGCCCGCTCGGCGACGACCTCAGGAAGAGCGGCGCAGTAAGCGCAATGATGAAGTTCACCAGCCAGTTCGTCAACTGTTCGACGGCACAGACCTTTGCTCGCAGGCGGGTGGGGATGATTTCGCAGGTATAGATCTTGCCAACCTGGATACCGCATCGTTAGTCACTTACTGATACGACGAAAGTAAGGAAGATGAACTTACAACAGCCCACGACCAGGAGAAGTTGGCCGAAAAGACGTAGATCAGAACAATGACGGTCCACTGCGCTGACTTCGAACTCAGCACCACGCCTCCGTCTTCCACGCTGCCGTATTTGGCGTACAGAGACCCGATCACGATGAAGCAAGTAGCACAGGCTAGCCCTCCAAACCCCAGCGTCTTCTTTCGGCTCCACTTGTCGACCCATATCTGCGCAGGAACGGTGCAGAGGACCATTATAATCCCCGACACGCCCGACGCCAGGAACGACGCTCGCTCAGCCGTAAAACCAGCTTGCTGGAACACAATCGGCGCATAGTAGAGAATCGCATCGATCTACACCACGTCAGCTTCACATCCCCTTACCATCCCCACCCGAAGCCAACCTAAAGAAAAGCACAACTCACCCCCATCAACTGCTGAAACGCCATCAAAAAACACCCCAACGCCGTCCTCCCCACATACCTCCTCCCAAACATCTCCCCCCACCCGGCATCCGGCCGCATCCTCTCCGCCTCAACCGCCTGCCGTATCTCCAACAACTCCTGCTCCGCCTCCAGCGGCTCCCGCAACCGCATCAACACGCGCTTCGCCTCCTCCGCCCGCCCCGACCTTACCAACCACCGCGGCGAGAACGGCATGAACCCCGCCCCCGCGCACAAGCACGCCGCGACGACCGCCTGGACGACAAACGGCGCGCGCCACGCCAGGCTGCCCGCGAGCCCGCGCGTCCCGTACGCGATGAAGTACCCGAGCGCGACGCCCGACACGATGTACGACTGGATGAGGCACGCGAGGGTCCCGCGCACCTCAGCCCGCGCGATCTCGACCAGGTACACCGTCGTGACGGAGATGGCCTGCCCCGCGCCGACGCCCGTGAGCAGGCGCGCGCAGACCAGCGCCGCGAGGTTCGGCGACGCGGCGCTGGCGACAGTGCCAGCGAGCGTCAGGAAGGCGCCCGTGAGGATGCCGTACTTGCGGGAGATTTTGTCGGCGACGTGGCCCGAGGCGAGGGAGGAGAGGGCGGCGGAGAGCAGGAAGCTGGAGACGTAGAGGCCCTGGTGCAAGGGCGTCAGGGGCCCGATGGAGGTGGTGAATTGGGCCATGGAGGTGATGGGCCCGATGGAGCCGGTGTCGAGGCCGTAGAGGAGCCCGGAGAGGGAGATGTAGCAGCCGATGAGGAGGATGTGGCGTTTTTTGGGGTCCATGGTTGTTGAAGGATACAATCACTGACTTTTGAGAATAATGGATGGGTAATATGAGGAAAATGAGATTGTTAGAAGATAGATAGAAAAGGACTTTGATGGATGGGTTTAGAATGGGTATCTCCTCACTCCCTTATGAAGTAGTGCCCCAGATTCCCCATATCAGCGAAACCTGCAACACACCCCAGGGAGAAAATTCGCTGATAACAGACCCAGTCCATCAGACTTGCCAGCCCCGATTTTATCTGCGCCAGAGTGGAGACTGCGGACACATATTTCCGCTGGCTCTTTCGTACGCGATGTGCACTGCAGCCACGAGTGCACACGGTGATTGTGTGATCCAGTCGCAGGAAACGCTAGAGTAGGTGAGTCAAACGGGCATACGGCAGAGCGCGGTAGAGAAAGCAAACGCGTAGAGGAGTAGAAGCTAGAGAACTGGAACCTTATTGGTGTGGAAGGAAGGTGTCCAGTCCATGAACGGAAGGGCATCCCCTACAAGACCAACCCAACTTCGGCCCGAACTTCGATGCGGAGCCCGGCTTGTCTCTTTGGGAGACGGAGCCGCTCTGACCAGAGTGGATCAAGAAAGGTATCAGAGGCTGTTTAAATCACGTGACTATCACGGGATATAGACTGTTCGAATCCAGCTGATTATGTTTGGATCTACTGTGTACGCATTGCCAATCCCTGTGGCCATTCCAACTTAGCGGAGTTCCGGGAACAGCCTCCCCCGCAGCCGCATAGACGCTGTATGGCCTAGCATCCGATACTATTCTTACAAACCCCGTTCCCCTGACCAGTAACACCCATGGCATCCACCTGATGCATCTATGCATACAGAGAGCTTGCATCCCTCGCAGCCGACGCGATCCGAATCAGCGTCGAATGGCGAATTTCCCCGGCCCCATCTTGAATGCACCCAGATATCTGACGCTAATCCTTTACGCCTTCATCTCATCCTGAGCCGCGACCGGTCCACCAACCCCCAACGCCTCCCCATTCACCTTCGCATTTTCAGCCTTCACCAGCTCTTCTTGCAGAACCTCCGGCCGCCATTTCAGGAGTAGCTTCCGCGTGCTCGTCTTCGCACCGTCATCTGATCAACAATTAGCTCCCATTCACTTTCCAATAATCAACAGATCCCACTTACAATTCCGCCACAGATCCTCCACAGCCCCGACGCACATCTCCCTGACCGGCGGCCGGAACAAAATAAGGTAATGTAGCACATTCACCGTCAAGCCCACCCTCTCCGGATCCTCCGCAATACGCTTCACCCTCGTCAGGATCTGCTCGTCAATCGCCGGGATCTCCGACAAGAAGCGAATAATGCCCTTATCATTAGACTCTAGATACGGCAGCATGCTATCCAGCAGCTTAAGGACCCACTTCGTGTAATTCGGCGTCTGCGGCGTGGTCGCCGCCGTACTCCCATTCCCATTGCCGTTCAGCTTCCTGGTCTGCGCGGCGAAGAAGTCGCCAGAGATTCGGTCGTTGTACCACTCCTCGCTCAGCCAGCTGGTCGCGAAATCGATCCGTCGCCGCCAGTCGGCCATGATGTGTTGATATAGCATCTCGCGGATTGCTTCATTGAGTTTCCAGCCGCTCTTTAAGACCCGCTTTCCCTCTGATTTAATCTTGACTGGTCCACCAGCATAGGCGACTTCGTCCTCCTCTTCGTCGCCTAATCCGATCCCTGCTCGCGTCGCTAGGCGCGCGATGATCGTCATCCACGCTTCGCGGTCATAGCTACTCGCCGCGCATCGATTGAAGCCCGGCTTCGTCTTCTTCGCGGGGGTAGACAGCGCATTCATGGTGTCAAATACGCGGCGGATGGTTGAGTTCCCGTAGTCCTCGAGTTCTTTTTCGGTGATAGGGGGTGCTTGGGGGAGTTTGAAAGGGGCGAGAGAGGTGGAGGGGGGGACATCGAGGCCTTCGGGGGGCGCATTGGCGAGCTTATTTGAGAGTTGTTCGGCATCTTCACGCGGCGCGAAATCGGGTTCGTAGTCGTCGTCGTCTGGCCCGGAGAGGGAAGCAGTGGGTTGTGGGGGTAATTTGCTGAGGGTCAATAGGCGAGCGCGGACGGTCTGTAAATTGGTTAGCTATGTGTTTCGAGATGATATTACTAGTAGTTGATGCGTGAGAGGGTGACGTGGTGCTGAAATTCATGTATCTTCGGATGGGATCGAAAGGCACGTGACACTGAAGCATGCACATAGGGCTGCCTTAGGGGCAAGGGTAGGGGCACGAAACAGGGTTCGAGCAAAATAATCACATACGTTAATCGCATCGTCCATCTTCCCTTTGTCGATCCGCATCAACATTGGCACAATGATCTGAACCACCGTGTCAATTGGAATCACTTGGACATCGAAGCTCTTGGCTCCCGCATCATGGGTCAAAGTGTAGAGGTCCGCAAAGCTGACTGGGCCTGGCGGTGGTGCACCCACCACTTGGCCATGGGCTTCGAGACGCGGTCGCTTGGATGGATCGAATCCATCCGTGGGCTCTGAAGGTGCTGGGCGCTTGCGGTTAGTATCGTCTAATACCTCGATGCGCAGACGGGCCATGCGCTCCACATATTGCTGTATTCGGGCGTTGAAGGGGTTCCCAGGTTCCCTAGGAACAGTCAGTTAGGCAAAGGCAGTTCTACATCTATGATAACATACCTCTTCATGAGGTTCACGAGCAGAGCCCGCCCCGTACGCTCCATTGCCTTCATCATGACTTTCGACTTGGAAGTAAGGGGCGAATTCGCAAGCTTGAACGGATTGAAGTTAAGAACTGCCGAGATGATCTTGTTTGCAATGACGGGTCGACAGCGGACCAACGTGCCCAGAGAATTCAGCGTTGCCGTAACCAGGAGTGCATCACTGTATACCGTCAGAACTGTCCCCGTGTATACTTCCAATTTGCCTAACCTGATATCACTCTGCAGTATGTCGAGCAGCCGATCCAGAAGTCCCGACGCCTCAGCCTCCAGATTCGGCAATTGTAGCAGCGGATGATCGCGCGGTACGAGAGCGAGAGAAATCTCATTCTGCTCAGGACGTCTCGGATCCGAAATCAAGCCCGGCGTCTCAACCTGAATGACGCGCTGCACAAACTTGATACAGCAGATCCTGACGCCCGGCGGCGCCGAGTCCATCCTGCGCAGTATGTTCGACTTGATTGCGGCCATGACCTGCCAATTCTGCGTATCGGAGGGATTGACTATCCTAAAAAGCACATATAATATTAGGTCCCATTACATGCCAAAAGTAGCCCTCCGCTACGACTATAGAAAAGAGTCTCGGTGGGCCACATTCACGGGGAAGCAACTCACGTATGCCTGAACACAAGCGGATACACGCTCGCGGCCGCCTGCACCACACTCCGCACGACAGCCGCGTCTTGGCTCGTCTCCAGGTATCCTTTTAGGGCTTCAATTACTGTCATGTTCTGCGCATCCTTGGACGGTTCAATCGCCATCGTCTGTTTGTCCCCCGGAAGGAGTACCGGATTCGCAAACGCCTCCGCAATGAAATCGGCGCCCCATCTTTGCAGCTCTACCGGGATATTTGCGCCGGATATCAGGGGCAGGATGCCTAGTAGGATTTGATTGTAGTAGCGCGCGTCGCCCAGCGCGAGGTTGCGGGCGGATTCGAGTTGGGCGATTGTGGTCGTGCTGGTGGAGAGTGGGTTGGTGGCCATGGTTGCGTTCGGCTAGGGAGAGGGAGGGCGATAGTAGAGGTAGGGAAAGAAGAGTAGGCGGAGGGAGAGAGGTAGAAGTGATTTGAAGGGTTGTATGTGTAGTTGCGGAGCACGCGCAGTGAAAGCTAGATCGCAGAACAGAACCCTCCTCAGCAACGGCTCAGGCTCGTCAAAGCAGTGGTGTAATCAAGCAGCCACCGCATTCCGGGCCCAGAGCAGCGGGCGGGCAAGTTGGTGTGCGGGTTAGTGATGGAGGGCGCGTGGGGAGAGGACAATGAAGCAAGACGTGAAAGAGCTGGCGCACGCGGAGGAAACGCACGGGCCACAATTTATGATGGACGAGATGAGACCACTTCAACCTCACATTCGACGACGCCTCTACTCCATCACCACTACTTCTCGGCCACCACAACCGCAGTCAAACCGCCAGGATGCCGATGTAAGCTCTCCTCCGCCCCCTCAATTCCTCTATAACCCCTCTAACTGAAATCTGCGCAGCCTCCCCCGCTCAAGCTACTACGACAAGAACTACAAGCAATCCGCCGCCCTCATCCGCGCACGGCAGCCCTTCCTCCTCAAGAACATTGCCACCGGCGCCGCCATCGTCACTTTCACAATCTCAGTTTGTACGTTACTATACGGGATGGAGCACTGTTGGACTTTGAGCTAGGGATTGACAATGATCACACAGATGCGTTCACGATCAAGGCAGTTTCGCAGGACGAGTTTTCTGATGTGAAAGTCCCGGACAAACCGACGGAGCCTGCGCGTGCTTAGGATGCATCTTAGACACCTGGGGGTCGAAAGACGGATTAAGCACCTGTGAGGTGGGATGGTGTATGAGGTGCAGAGGGGTGCGATTGAGACGTATAAATATCAGCATGGGATTGGCGTTGGGCGGTGAACGTTGCGATGAGAAGGTGTGTATTATGAGGGCAGCGTAGATGTATCAAATCCTACCTCTTAAAAATTTACATACGCAAGTTGAGTTTTTATCAAAGTCACGAATATTCCTACACGACAAAGATGGTCATAAGCTGAAGTCCATGCTAATTCCACTAATAAAGCTATGGAAAATGTTCCCACTCGCTCGCTCTTCATCGGACTGTTACTTAAGTAGCAGAGGAGAGAACAAAAAACAAAGGTCTAGCAGGCCAGGATCGCTAGCATGAAGTCATAGCCCAAAGAGAATCTACAAATGGGCTGAAAACAATTAAAAGCAGAATGTGGAGGCAAACATCCATTGCCAGCCTGCGCCGTTGATGCCGCAAAACAGACAATTTCTAACAAACGAAAAATCTAGGAGTATCATCTAATGGAGTCGTCGCATCTCGAAGGTATCCGTCTGGCTCCGAGGAGGCATGTGGAGATCGAGGTCATGAGAGTGGGAGGACGGTGGAAGACCGCCGGAAGCGTGATGCTGGGAAAGGTTCTCCTCCGATTGTAGGCGAATTGCTACTGGGCTGACCAAACCCGTACGTGGATCGAGACGATGGCGGTCGCTGGACGATGTTTGCCTGCCATCCTCAGGAATCTCAGCCATGCCTGTTTCCATCATACGGGCTTCATCCTCGGACTTTCTGCCCCGTCCGAAGAAGCGATTGCGGTGGTTGCTCCGATCACGAGCGGTAGAACTGTCGGTGTTGATGCGGTTGAGTCTCCCTTTCAGGGCGAAATCATCAATCGCGGTGGTGTGGCTGGTGGTACGTTCTGTGTCGCGCGACGACCGCGATCGGGTGTCTTGTGAAACGCGAGGTGAAGGGCTGGTCAACCGGAGTGCAGCTAGCCGGGATTGGTCTCGAGAATCTCGATCTTCAAAGAGATCGCCGGCCATATCGCCAGACGAAATGTCCTTCATACCGAGGGAAAAATCAACCCGTCGGCCCATGGCAGCAAGTGATTCACCGCGAGGACGGGTACCGCCGTTACGGAGAATAGAACCATATCGAGCTGGTGCGGGGCTGTGTCCTGACTGGGAACTGTTCTCCATCGGGGGAACGAATGGTGCGTCTTGAGACTCGTTGTTGCGGAAACCGTTGGGGTTGTCAGGATTGCCATTGTGGCCAGCGCCAGGAGTAGCCGTATGAGGAAGGTTCTGCATATATACGGGGAAAGACTCCTTTTGTCCAGGGAACCGCATGCGAGGGCCTTCGATTCCAACATCCTGCATTGTCACCATCAAGGCGCAGATGAACTTGTTGCGACGTTGGAGACGAAGTAACTCATTTTGCCAGTTAGATTTGTAGAAGAAAACAACGTTTAGAGTGATGGAATGGGCTTCCGTAACCTCACGTAATTCGGTAAGAATTTTGTTCTGGAATTCTCTCTTCTCCTCCGTGACAAAAGCGAGTAGTCGTGCTCTGAGTGTCTCAATCTGCTCGAGGGTAGTGCCGAATTTGATAATGACAGGGACAGCCTCGGCAAGACCTCCAGAACGACGTTGATTAAGGATGAAAAGGGTGTTGAGGTAGCTGTTAGGGGCCTGGACAACGTGGCCTTCCATCTTTTTAAACTCAGTGTAGAGAAGGGCAATTTCCTTAACGAAGTAGTCATCACCGCGACCAAGGGCACCGGTGTTTCCGTAAATACCAACACGGTCACCAACATCGAATGGATGCTTGACGAAGACGAAGATGACAGACTGAAGGAACTCTTGGGCGGTTGCGGAGAAGAGCCACGAGAGAGCCAAAACGGTGGAACCGGCCGATGTAAGAACACCAGCAGCCGAAGTTGAGATGAGAGAGATGAACACGAGAATCGTGATGACGAAAACCACAAACATGAAGACATCGTCCAACTTGCTTACAACAGAATCCAGATCCTTCAGGGAGGCGGTGATAGCCTTGCGTTCTCGGCCAATCTCCACGCACACGGCTTCTAGCTCCTCCATTGAAATATCTCCATTCATGTCCTTGTCGAACATGGAGAACGCGGCATCAGCCTCCTCCTCGCTTTCGAAGGCACTTTTCAAATCTTCTGAGTGAACGGTTTCGGTGTCTTCCCGCGCAAAAGTGCGGTACATTCGGCGGGCCAATACTTGACTCCCACCAGTAGTGGACATGAGGGTTAGTACAACCTGGTTGGGATGGTTACTTTGTGCGATCTGGCGACCAGTAAAATCACCAGCGATCTTGCCAGCAACGTCTCCAAACTTGCTGAAGGCTTCCTTGGTGTTCTTCTGAGCTTCCTTGACAAGCTGACCAGGTGTGCGTGCTCCAGAAGCAGTGCCCGACTTCTGCTCGAACTCAGAATCTTCCATGGCAATCTTATCCTTTGAGAATTTGTAGAGTTTCGCCAGGCTGCCAATTTGGAACTTGTTGAGCTCAATTCGATCCGAGTATGTCCGCAGATGGAAGCTGATGGCGATGAGTTGGATGATAATCTTCTCTACGAAGTTGAGAATCATGCCCACGAAGATCGAGATGAGCACTTTGTTCATAGTCTTCTCCCAGCTCTTTGTCGTCTTGTTGCCGTTGGAGTGGTGGTTTTTCATCGTCGGTAGGAAGGATATCTCAATGGCAAGCCACCAGAAGAACAACGTCGCGGGCACTTCGAGCTGCTTTCCCATGTCCCTCCACTTCTTGCTGTTGTTGGTGAAAAGGCTGGAGACCAATCCGATTGGCCAAGGTAGACATTTCGCCAGAATCTATAACTAAGTCAGCTGCGTTGAACACGGAGATTCCCTGATACTTACTCGGCCAGCCCAGAGGGTGAGCCAGACTATTTCCAGCCAGACACAGAACCACACGAGGAAAACACCGCCAACCGAGGCTTTTTTGAATATAAGAGCCCCCAATAGCAGCGGGATCAGGATGATCAGGACAACGGGCGTAATGTAGACGAAATATCGGACCAAGAAGCTAGAATGGTGGACCTTCTTGATGAACTTGGCAAAGGTGGTAGAGGGATTCTCGGGCGGTTTGTATATTGCGGTCTTCTCGTGGAGAGGGTTGGTAGCGGCATCGAAGTCGTCAATTGGATCCTCCCGACGCGACCTGGAGCGGTGCATGGAACGCGTCTGCGAGTTTTCTCGGCCCAGCTCGTCACTATTCTGCTGGGATATTTGCCGCTCCACCTGGAGCATGGCCAAGTCATCGTCCAGTCGGTGAGCCTGCTCGCGCGACTGTGACGGGGATTTGATGGAGCCCATGGAGGCCATTGGCCGCAGATGGCCTTCTGTGTTGAGAGTCAACCGGCTGTTGCTGCGTCCTCTGCCGGTGTTCGTATTGTCGTCAAGGAAAGATCCCTCTCCCACCACGGTGCCATCCTCGTCGGAGGAGCGCTGGTCCTGGACGGTGGGCATGTGGTACTGGGGCTCAGGAATTTCGGCAATTGGCGTCGTCATGGTAGAGGAGGTGGAGGGGCGGTCTGGCGAAGAAGTTTGGTGTAGTGTGTCCAACTCGCGCTGGAGCGCGTCGTTTGCTGCGGGAGCTGGTCAACTGCTGCACCGCGAACAATGACGTCGGGAGGAAGCGAGTGACAGTCTTGTGGCAGCACGCTTCACAAAGAATTCATTCAGGAGCAAGCGGGATGTCGGACAGATGAATGAAACAAAGCAGCAGGCAAGGAGGCGGACGGATCGGTTCGATGCAGGGCATCTTAAGCCTTGGAAGACAGAAGGATTGCCTGGCGGGAAATGCTGGTCGCTTGGCTGGAGGTGATCCCCGATGCAGCGGCGACGCAGCAGCCGCGTGAATGGCTGCCCCGATAACACGGGGTGGGTCTGAGGGTCAACATGGCAGCAAGGCCGCGCACGATTTGCAGCCTTTTTCACTGTCGACGTCGATGGCGTCGAGGTGCAGCATTGGCGTGCATGCGCAGTCGCGCGGCATAGAGCTGGCGTGCTGCGACCCAACGGGCGCCGCCAGACAGTACGGTGCGTCGGGGGAATTCTGGCTGTGGTTGCAGCTGTCGCGCCAGGGACTGGGGACTGCTAATTTTTCACCAGCACGCCGGGTGGCCAATTGTGAGGCCAAACCCGCTGGTGCAGACTGAGACGTGGCTGCGGAGGACCCCTTTCTTTCACATGTGCCGTGGGCTGGAATTCACTCCTATCGGGCCAGGGGAACGGTTTCAGGTTGGAATGTGGCGTCCGGCAGAGGCGCTCACCGCGCAGCAAGCCTCGATGCACGCTGACACCTGCAGCCCTCTTGCTTGGATGCCCCTGGATTTGCTTGGCGCAGGTTTGCAGCTGGCGTGGGGTTGCAGCACCCCCATCCTAAACGTCGTGCCCAGGTGCTGATGCGACCACCTCTCTCCACACGAGTCCCCAGACTGCCAGCCCACGATACCAACCACCTCTACGATCTTTTGCGTATCGCGAGCGCTTACCAGCCGCTGGCACACTGGTAGTTGTCCTCGTACGAAGCGGACGCTCGTGGGACCAATGCCGTATGACGTCTTAACCTGAATCCACCTGTTCCACTTAGTACAGGCTTAAGACGGATTCAGACGTCGCCATCGGAGTTCCCTGCCCCCGACTGAACACTACCGTGGCGTGCTCCACTGGGGACACGACACCTGTGGGGATGGCTTGCTCTGATCACCGATCGCCATCCTGGCCGAAGGTCTGGGGATCCGACCCATCCGCTTTGTAAGCCATCTGTTCTCCGAGGAACGACATTTGAAACGTTTCGTCAACCCGAAAAGCAGCCTTGACATCTTCTGTCTTTGATTTTGGTGGTTATGATTTATTTCATCTAGCTCTCTGCATACCCAGTGCCTACATGAAAATTATACCTTGAAACAACCACCCCCCTCCTCCCGGTCCTTGCACTTGAGGTGAAGATGATTTCTGTCCTTCGTATACAGCAGACGTATCTTTGCTCCTCACATTTTCTTCTCTCGTAATTCTGACAGACTTCTCTCTTCGCTAACATCCCCGCCCCGCTCACAGCCCTACTTTGTCGACGCCCCCACTCGTCGGATCACCAGCACTGTACCCGCCTCTCCAACTCGGTTGACATCCCGTTCAAGAGTAAATCCAGCTTTGTTCCAAGCTGCACGAGAGTGTCTCTTATTAGCCTCACGGCGACCGAGCTCGTCTTCATTAGAGCACCCGAATCTCTCACGTCTCAACGCTCTCAGAGCCTGACCATCTTCCCAATCCAGCATTAAGTATTCAACTTCCTCTTCCATGCCTACAAAATCATGAACACCGACACTCTCAAAGTTGCCTTGGTAGACAAATCGGATTTTGCTAATGCTGTCGCCGTGCCGAAGAGCTCTAACGAGGCAACATACGACGAACCAGCCCGTCAGAAAAGAGTTGTGGTAGTCCGTATCGCCTGAAAACACGATCGTGATGTCGTCCAAACGCGTCCTTTTTATGAGGAAATAGAGCATATCCTGGGTATTCTTAGCGAAGCCCTCGTGGTGGCTTTTCGGCAACATGTCGGCCAGTAGGACGGCGCTTTTGATATGAAGAGGCAAGTCGACAATAAATTCGAACGCGGCCATAGAAGGAGTGGCCAGGGTGATACGTTTGTTGCTGTACAGTATGGCCTTGGTGTCGTGGTAGGTCTTCGAGTTCGTCCGCAAGAGCCCGGCTGCAAGGCCTTGGATGTGGCATGGTTGGCTATGACCCCAGCCCGGTCCCTGTCCGTTCTCTCCGGCGGAGCATATCGTCAGGCCTTCATTCGGGCAGAGGGCGTAGGTGAAGATCATGTCGAGGAGTTCTTGCGGCAGACCCCGGTAAGGAAGATGGTAGCTTGAAGCCATTTTGTTGTCGTTCGTCTTTCTCTGGAAGTGTTTTGTTGCTGTGCCGTGGAGTTGAAAGTAGATGTAGTTTCGTGCTGGGTGTTTCTGGGGATGGAAAGGTTTTGGGCTAATTTGAAGGACGACGTGAAAATAAAGAAATAGCTGGAATCAGAGCGTGTGTGGGTCGGGGCGTCGTACCCAGGTTGCATGATTCTCTTAGGATGTGGTGCCGTGGTTGGCAGCCTTGGTAAGGGCCCGATTTCGTATGCGCACCTCACATTCTATTCATTCGTCAAGAATAATCTCTCGAGCATCAGTTTTTGTCTTTACGCCAGACCTTTGCATTTCTACATTTCCGCCATGCTTGGATAGTAGCTAGGCGATAGTTTTAAACACAGTCCCTACTTCTCGCTTTCAAGATACAGGTACATCCATCCTTTCTATGCCGCAGACACAGTCATCAAATCCACTATTTCATTAATACACTTCTCCTTCACATGACCCCTCCTCCTATTTCCCACATATCCCCAGGCTACTCCGTAGAGACTCTCACCCGCTACACCGCAAGCACCGTACCCATCTCTCCCTCTCGCCTCGGCCCCCTTTCAAGCGCAAACCCCCTCCTCCACACCTCCCTCCAATACCTCTCATTCTCACCCGCATCGCTCCCCTCCCGCCACCCGCCCCCGTCCAGATGCCGCTAAGATGTATAGAGATCAGGGTATGGTGGGGCTAGAATTCATTTCATGATTCAGCAAAGGTGGGTGGCTGAAAATACCAGAGCCATGAAAGCCTTCAGCAAGGGACTGAGTGGCATTCAGAAGAAGAGGAAACTAGCTATTGAGCGGCAGGAGGAGAGATATACAAGAAGTTGCTGAATAAACCAATAGGCAGGAAGAGCCGACAGATTGTACCTGATAGAGATGGGAATAACGTTGTATGCTCGCAGTTCTTGATCTACCACATCCCACAACTCACTGCTTTTTGTTCATCCATAATTCACGCTTTATCTTCACCTCTAGCCTCTACAAATCTTTAGTTATTTGGAGTGCAGAGATGATACTCACCAACATCTGTCAGAGCTGAATGATTGGGAAAGCCGAAGAAAAGCGCGCGCGTGTGGTGAAGGCCGCTGCTATCGCGTCATCGTTTAAACGCGGCTATCAACAGCACACTCACCTCGCTCCACCTGGATGATTTCAATCCTCTCTCTTCCTGTCACCAACTTCGCCATCGCCGTCGCAGCCTCCAGGACCAAAGTACTTAGGCATCGCTAACATGCCTTCATCAGATCCTAATACGACGAACCATGAGTCTACTCCGGCGCAGACTTGGGTCCCTCTAAGACTCACTGCCGAGCAAGTTGCCCAAGACCCATCTCCGGCGTCCGAAGCTGCTCTAGATGAAGCCCAACTCGCACAACAATCAGTGAGTCATCACCCCCTCAAACTGCGATCGCAGGGTCAATGATACTGACTCCCACACAGCACAACCAAACCGTCCTAGATAAGATCTTTGAGAATCTCGCTTCCGGCTCGACCTCTACCTTCCTCGCCCACATCGAACAAGTCGAAGAAATCGTCTACTCAGGAACCGCTGATCAACGCACCCTCAACAGCGTCAGGGTCGTAGAGCGACTCATTCGCGCCGAAGAGACGGCTATCAGCCAGATCGGGGCCGTGGAGCAACTCCTCCGCGCCAATGAGGCCACTATTCGCGCCAACGAGACCACTCTCCAGAGGGTCGAAGCCAAGTTCAACATGCAGACACTCAGCGGGCTCGCAAAGATGGTGGACCCGAAGATCGACGCCACTCCCGATAGCGATCTCACATTCGAGGATTTGGAGCTATTCCAGGTCCTTGCAACTAAGATGCGCAAGAAGCTGTTCGCCGCGAAGTTTGCCTCAGCAGGAGTACCGGAGGACGACGACGCCGAGGCGGCCAATGTACAACTGCAGCATGAACGCCTGCAGCATGATCTGAAGCTTGCGATGCCGTGCAGCCTCCAGGATGGCCAGAAGTCCTCTCGAAGCACGTCCGACATCGCTACGCTCCTCCGCGGCGGCCAAATATCTACCCGCAGCACACCAAGCATGACGAAACTTCTCACAAAACTGCTGTCGAACCAGGCCAAGGAGGCCAGTTTCCAGGAAGCGGTCGCCGCGATCGAACCGAAGATCAAAGAAGCGCCCGAGACGGTGACCAAGGAGGAGGCGAATCTTCTGCATAAGCTCGAAGTTCGCGCTTTTGGTCTCACGGAGAGGGGCGGCGTCACGGCGAGGGCGATGAGCCTGGCGAGGAAGAACGAGGCTGCCGCCAAGATGGGTGCTGCGGGAAGCTCGAACAACGCGTCGGACGACGAACATGAGGAGCATGTCACCATGAAGTGCTAGGGGTTGAGGCCTGTGGGCGCCAGTGCGTACGCCAGCATGTTCTGGAAGATGCGGCTTTAGTAACTTGTTTGTAGACTTTCTATCACAATGACTAGTCACTTGTTTGGCCCGGACTGAGCTTGGTGTCTATACTCTGCCCATGACGTGATGCTGGTTAACACTCTACAATAATAGGTCATAAGTTTGGGTACCCGGATATGCCACTGTATGGGTTCCGCTCTTGATCGCTCGATACCACCGCGAGGAGTAACCCAACTAGTACGAAGCTGGCCAGTCAAAAGGTAGTCTGATAGTTGTTGTGGTAACCTTAACATCGTGTTTAGGGGTTAAAAAGTCTACAAGCTCAACATTACACTGCAACGGCTTCTCTCTTGCCCGTTGGACAACACCGTGAGGAGGACCCTAGCTAGTAGATAGATAGCCAGTCAAAGGGTAGTCTAATTTTCCGCCGTGGTAACTGTGACATCGCGTCTAGAGACTGAGAAACCTGGTACTAACAAATAGACGTGCTCCGGGTTTTCTCTTGCCCGCTTAACACTACCGTGAGGAGTAGCCCAGCTAGCAGTTAGTCGGTAAGTCAAAAGGCAGTCTAATTTCCACTATAAAAAAATATGGGAAAAAAAGGAATTGAACCTTTGGCAGCCTGTGGCTATCGGCCTTCCACTATATCGGCCTTTACATTGCATTTGGAGTTTCAAAAGCTCCTTAAGGCACCTCAAGCAGTGGCGAATAAACGTGTTTATTCCATTTTCTTTAGTGCTAATATCTTCTCTTTGGAGTCTTATACTCCTATATCATAAAGTTAGGCCATCGAATATTACGCTACTGGAGCGTTCTTCTTGCTTGCTCGATACCATCGTAAGGAGTAGCTCAGCAAACATACAGCCGGCCAGTTAAAAGGCAGTCCGACTTCCACTGTGTCAACTTTGACATCGTGTTTAGGTTTAAAAAAGCCTATGAAGGTACTCCAAGCAGTGGCAAATAGACGTATCTATTCCGTTTTCCTTAGTGCTAATATCTGTTCGCTTCTATGCACCTTTTCTTTGGCGCTCTTTGGTCCTAGATTGTAAGGCTGGCTAATTGGATATCGCGCTCCTAGGACCTCCCTTTTGCTTACTCGGTGCCACTGCTAGGAGTAGCCCCATTGTCATGTATTCAGGCAATCAAAAGGTAGCCTAGGATCCACTGCCTGAGTTCGGCTCCTGCTCGCTCGACACCGCTGTGAGGAGTAGTCCAGCTAGCACATAGCCGGCCAGCTAAAAGGTAGTCTAAATTCTACTACGTGAACCTTTAAATTGCTTTAGGGTACTCTAGTCACACGGAAACGTTACTACTTAAATGCTACTCTAGAAACGAGATGCCACTATTAGGAGTGGCCCCACAGTTGTGTATTTGGCCAGCTAGTAGACAGCCTAATTTCTACTGCATCAGCCTTAACGTTGGGTTGAATGCTTGAAGATTCGGCACATGGATATAGCAGGGCTTAAGTTTAACTCTTGCCCACTCGACGCTACCGCTAGGAGATTCCCAGCCAGTATGTAGCCGGCCAGTTAAAAGGCTGCCTAACCTTAACTGCATCTTCATTAACATCGTGTTCGGAGTTTCTAAAGCTTATAGAAGTACCCCAAGCGGCGGTAAAAGAGAGTGCCTAAACCCATGTCGCAGGTCATAAATTTAAGCACACGAATATACCATTGCTCTAGCTCCACTCTTGCTCTCTCGAAACCACTGTAAGGAGTGCCCTAGCTAGCATTAAGCTAGCTGATTAAAAGGTAGTCTAATATGCACGGTATTGAAACCGACATCACGTATAGACGTACCACACTAATATCTCTCTAGAAAAGCTTCGCTTTTGCTCGCTTGATACCATCGGTGGGAGTAGCCCAGCTAGGTAGCATTTGGCTAGTCAGAAGGTATCCTAATATGCACGGTGTTGAAAGCGACATTATATAAAGATGTAGTAGATGTCAGCATGCTCATATCTTATTAGACAGGCTCCGTTTTTGCTCGCTTAACACCGCCGTTGGGAGTAGCCCGGCTAGTCAGTCTTCGGTTGGTTGAACGGTAGCCCAATTTATACTGCGTAGACACCGCCGACGAGCTGTCTATGCAGTACTAGGTTATAAGTGTCGGCATACGGATATCTTACTGCTTGGACTCTACTTTTGCTCTCTAAACATCACTGTAAAGAGTACCCCAGCCAGTGCATCTTCGGTCAGTCAAACGGTAGCCTAATTTCTACTGCGTAGAGATTTTCATTACAATACTCTAGAGAGCCTACCTGAAGTGGCGGAAGAAGATCAAGCGGACATTATGGATGTTGGATTTGGGGAGCGGACAGCACGGATCCTGAGAGTGACGGTCTAAACTTCTTGCGCTAAGCCTGCTAGCTCGTCGCTCCCCCTGCTAGCTCGTCTGGCGTGGAGCAGCTCGTCCAATTAGACGCCGAGTCTTGAGTGCTGTCCGGGTTGAGCTCAACCTTGGACGTCCGGGGGTTGGGTCTCTTCTCGGTGCTCGACACCTTTCAAATGCCAAGACCTACCTGTTTAGGAGAGTATCTATGATCACGTGCTGAGATTCCGACCTCCTACCTCGTGTTCAGACCTATCACTCGGATGCAGGATAAGAGCCGCACGATCGATATCTATTACTCCATATCGTACGTATTCATCAAAAAGACGTTTGGGCTCTAAGACGCAGTGTCTGCGCCGATCAGGCCGCCACCCGCACCACCCATCTAGAAGTACAAAACTTCTTGCGGCTGTATGCCAAGGTCACCCGCGGCATCATCACTCACATACACACCGCGCTTAGGTGATCAAGTTTCGCTGGTCAAGTCCTACATGGCTCTCCGCTTCCGCCTCAAGAACAAGGACGAAGAACTCATTCGACTGATTGGGGATTTCCGAAAGCATGTTACCTTGAGGACTAGTCATAACTTTGGACACCCGGATATGCCACTGCTGTAGCTTCACTCTTGCTCTCTCGACACCACTGTCGGGAGTGCCATAGGTAGGATGTCTGCAGTTAGTCACAAGGCAGTCTAATTCCCCCTGCGTTGACCTTTGCATTGTGTTTAGAGGTTCAAAAATCCATGAGTGTTGAACGAATGTGCTCAGACTCCCCTCTTGCTCGCTCGACACCGCTGTCAAGAGGACCCGAACAGCGGGTGTCGGCTTCGTCAAAATGTAGTATAACTTACACTGCATTGAGCTTTGCACTGTGATTGGAGCTTTGAAAATCTATGAGTGATAAATGGATGTGCCTAGGCTCCCCAATTGCTCGCTCGATGCCGCTGTGAAGAAAACCCCGGATAGGAAGTGTTAGCCTAGTCAAAAGGCAGTCTAATTTCAACTGCGCTTACCTTTGCATTGTGTTTAGAGGTTCCAAAACCCATAAGTGTTGAACGGATGTGCTTAGGCTTCTCGATTGCTCGCTCGACGCCGCTGTGAAGAGGACCTCGGATAGCGGGTGCTAGCCTAGTCAAAAGGTAGTCTAAGTTACACTGTGTTGAGCTTTACATCGTGTCTGAAGGCATGGAAAAGGTGGCACTCTAAATCTACAGCAAGCTGTCTCGTGTACACATCTACCTGCCACTGCTTAGAGTGCTTCAATGGATTTTCAGGAATTGAAACGAGATAAAAGCCCTTCACTTTGGACTATGTGAAAACTTGTTGAAGTACCTTAAACAGTGGCAGGCAGGTGTACACACGAGACATGGTGCTTGATGAATATGCCACTTTTTTCAGGCTTAGCGTGCTATGCACTGAACGCGTCGGTTGGCCCAAGCGTAGCTTAGACGGGTTTAGACAAAGCTTCTCCACACCCCACCAAGTTCCTCCCGACTGACCGCTACTCTACTCCTAGACTGTTGTACACTGAACCCAAGCTCACCTGTTCTTCCGCCGCACCTGTCTGGTACAATTCCGCGATCCGTTTGCCTGATCAGAAATCATGAGGGGAGAGGTGCGTCTTTTACCCCTCGATAAACAGCCCGCCGTCTCGAGATGCTCGATATAGACCACAGCTAACCGTGCTTCCTGCTACAGATCTGCCACCTTCACATCGGCCAGGCTGGTACCCAGCTCGGCAACAGTGCCTGGGAGCTGTAAGCCTCTCCTCATCCCTCGGACACCCCCTCATACCACCAACACCAGCGACACGGACGACAAGCGACGAGACACTAACAATGGGGCTTCAGGTACCTTCTGGAGCATGGCCTGAAGGCCGATGGACGCCCGGATCCCGAGGCCAAGGAGCTTGCTGAAGGTGGCTCTTACGAGACCTTTTTCACTGAAACTGGCAACGGGAAGTACGTCCCGCGCTCGATCTTTGTGGATCTCGACCCCTCGGTAGGCTAGCACGTAGAACGCACAGATTTCAGTCTACTGACTCCTATACTAGCCAATTGACGAGATACGAACTGGAAGCTATCGCCAGCTCTTCCATCCCGAACTTCTGATCAGTGGCAAGGAAGATGCTGCCAACAACTGTGCGTTCTGCCCCCCTCCGGCCAAAAATTTGCGCTAACCAACAACAACAGATGCTCGTGGTCACTACACTATTGGAAAGGAGATGGTTGACAGTGTCATTGACAAGATTCGACGTGTTGCTGGTACGAGATCACCCCTCAATTGCAGAGTGTGCATTCGCTAACAGTCTATAGACAACTGCTCGTCCCTTCAAGGTTTCTTGATCTTCCACTCGTTTGGTGGCGGCACTGGATCCGGATTTGGCGCACTCCTTCTTGAGCGTCTTTCCACTGACTATGGCAAGAAGTGCAAGCTTGAGTTTGCTGTCTACCCTGCGCCTCGCGTCTCCACCTCGGTCGTCGAGCCATATAACGCCGTCCTATCGACCCACAGCACCATTGAGAACTCCGACTGCACCTTCTTGGTTGACAACGAGGCTGTTTACGATATCTGCCGCCGCAGCCTCGATATCCCGCGCCCCAACTATGAGCACCTCAACCGATTAATTGCGCAAGTCGTTAGCTCTATTACCTCCAGTCTGCGCTTCGACGGTGCTCTCAACGTGGATTTGAACGAGTTCCAGACTAATTTGGTCCCATACCCTCGTATTCACTACCCGCTTATCAGCTATGCGCCAGTCATCTCGGCCAAGAAGAGTTCCCATGAGAGCTTCAAGGTCCATGATTTGACTTTCCAATGTACGCTCTTTCGGAGTCATCCCAGCTGCAGAAACCGTGCTAATTTAGAACAGGCTTCGAGCCCAACAACCAGATGGTTGTCTGCGACCCACGCAACGGAAAATACATGGCCGTCGCTCTTCTGTACCGTGGAGACATTGTCCCTCGCGATTGCACTGCCGCAGCTGGCGCTCTCAAGGCCAAGCAGTCCTTCAACTTGGTCGAATGGTGTCCCACTGGATTCAAGCTGGGCATCAACTACACCAAGTATGTCAAATCGTTCTTTACACTCAAACATCGTACTAACACCAACTAGACCCATTAGCGTCCCAGGTAGCGAGCTCGCCTCGGTCGACCGCAGCGTCTCCATGCTTAGCAACACCACGGCCATCGCCGAAGCTTGGTCCCGCCTCGATCACAAGTTCGACCTTATGTACTCCAAGCGCGCATTCGTCCACTGGTATGTCGGCGAGGGCATGGAGGAGGGCGAGTTCTCCGAAGCGCGTGAGGACCTGGCTGCGCTGGAAAAGGACTACGAAGAGGTTGCTAGCGACAGTCTGGATGATGGCGACGAGGGCGAGGCCGAGTATTAGCCTACTCGGAACTGTGGGTGCTCCTCATCGAGGCCATGTGGTGGGAGTAGCTGTGTTGGTGCTCTTCTGCTTCAAATTATTCCTGCCGGAGTAGCGTCACCGAGGGAAACCGGGATAGCCCGTGTAGGTAGGCTGAAATGTACCCTTCTGCTCCTCTCATTCAAGCATTTTCGAGGGTGATTTGGTGTTCTTGGAACTGGGGTGCTGGGTTAGCGTAGCGTTGTGGAGGCAAATACAAAGCTTCATAAACATCCATGTTTGCGCCAGCTCCTTGAACGTGAAAATCGACCCACCATGCTCCCATACTCGGAATTAACAGGGCCTCCCATGCCACGACCGTGCGGGAGCTTAAAAAATGGTTGGGAATCGTCCGCCACAGTTGCCCTAACGAAAGCGGTTTAGGCTGCCCAAGCTCAAGTCAAAGCATCACCTGTCCCAGCCAGCCGATGATGAATTTCCCCGCAGGCACCTCCGCATCCGCCAACGGCCATTGAAAGCTGGCCCCCTCCCCAAACCTACCTCCACACCTCTCCCACTCTCCAATTCACCCATCGTAATCTACCGCTCGCGATGTCCGACTCCTCGCACATGTTCCCCTCGCTCTCCTTCCGCCTGCCCTTCTTCCGCGGCGGCGGCGGGACCTCGAGCTCGAGCTCGGGCCAAAGAATCGAACTCCCCTCGGTCGCGCTCCACGCCATCGAGACCGAGGCCGCGCCGCGCGGCCGCACGCTGAAGCACCTCCTCAAAGCGAACCACGCGACTTACAGCGTTATTTACCATGAGTTACGGTTCCATAACCACATGCCGCATGTACGTCTGCTCCCGGAGGAGGGACTAGGGAAAAGAAGGGAAGGAGGTGTTTTGGGAGGGGTTGCGTTGCGGGCTGACAGTTGGTGTGCTAGTTGCTCGGGTCTGCGTACGTGCTGGGCGGCACGAAGGAGCATCTGAACGAGGTGTATGACAAAGAGGCCGGGCAGCTGGAGCCGTGGGTGGACAGTCCTGGGGAGGTGAGTGGGGAGGATTGGCGGGAGTTTTTGGGGGCCCGGGTGTGAGTGCAGCATTCTAATTCCAATGAGCGAATGGGGATGTCGGGGGAAGGGCTGACACGGTGGCAAACAGGTACCAGCGCGCGTTTGTGGATTTCTTCGAGGACCAGCTCGTGCTGAAGCGGTATGACTGGAAAGCGCTGCTAGGGGAGTATATGTTTGGGGGGGAGGAGCCGTTGGTTAATGGGTTGGTTTCTGGACGTATGGCACACCCTTTTTCACTTTCTGTGCCGTTGGCTGTTTTGCGAGAGATGTTTATGCTAATTGATATGTGGGTATATAGTTGGTCACCCCCTCATCCACCTCGGCTACGCCTACGAGCTCAATTCGAGCACGCTTGCTATCGAAGCCCTGGCTTTGGCAGCTTGCTTCTACTCCCCCGTCCATAAATACCTCGACGACCCTGCCTATACGCGTCCGGCGCCGTTCGGCTCCACCTCCCCGCTCGAACTTATACAAAGGCTATCCGCAGACACGCGCTTCGACGGGCTCTTCGACCACGGCGGCGCAGATAACATTGACAAACTCTTCGCCGAGCACGAAGACTTGGTGCTGGAATACTGGAACGCGTGGGAGCTGTCGGACCCGCGGCAGCAGTTCGAGGATAGCCAGCAGGCTGCTGTTGCACTGCTAGTCGCGACGCAGGAGGTTGGCAAAGAGGAATTTGACTTCTTTGCCGTGCATCTGCTCACGACGAGCCATGCGGTGAGGATACTGCTGCCATTGGTGCCGGCGAGGTGGCATGTCAGTTTGGTGAGGCAGTGGTGGTTATTTACACTGTCGGTGTATATTGCACAGCTGAGGCCGAAGGTGGAGCTGGAGCGGATTACGGGGTACGAGCTCGAGGGGAGGGGGTGGAAGTTTGTGGTGGACAAGGCGTTGAAGTCGGAGCATGCGCTAGATGCGCATTTTGTCAAAGGTATGAGTTCTATATCTGCACTGTTATTGTATTAGACTGACGATATCTGTGACAGGCCTCCGCGCCATGAAAGTCGCGTCCGAAACCTGGGGCGACGCGCACGACTTCTACCTCAAAGCGGCGGTGCGGTTTGCGGACAGCTTCACCGACTGGGGTGGTTTCGCCGTGACGGATGCGGACGGCGATGATGTCAGATACCATTATTAACGTTCGCGTGGGCTACAAAGGGGTGTGCAGATTGCGGCAAACATGGAAATCTGATGACGAGGCGGAAACGCGATGGGGGCGGCTGCAAATCCCATGGCGGACGCGACCTTCGGATTGGCCGAGGCATGTGCTCGTGGCTGGTCTGAGAGGTTGCGATGCACGACTGTGAAGCGTGATTCGTGTCGATCGTATGAGTGTCTCACATTGAGGGCTAAGCGGGGGAATTGGGGGCTCAGGAGAGTGAATGAGGCATCAACTGGGTTTATATCAGGTTGTGGCGGGCAGCTGGGCCTTGAAAGTCCTCAAGTGTGGCGACGTGGCACGTCAACCGTGACAGACCTCACGGATGTGAATTCGTGACCCGGGAGAGATGGAAACTTGGCCTGACTTCCTTTCAACTGGTGCTCTGAGATGCGACGTGGCTGGACAGCGATTCTGGGTACTGTGTAGTCATCCGATAGGACTGGCCCAACGCAGTCGGGCCTTCGGGTCTTTTGGCTGTCTCGTCTCGGGCGTCCGTCAGTAAAATAACAGGCCGGAGTCGCTGCATCAGTCATCGGCTCGGCGGCTGAGTGATCGGCCTTTTGCTGCTTTGAGGTTCCCATCCCGGATTCTGCATAAACGAGAGTACAAAGGGTACCTAGGAGGTACCCAGGTTTATGGAGACAGAGCACAAGGGCGAACAGCATTCCGAGGCTGTATGAAATGTGCAATTGAGCACGGCGGGCCGAGTAGACGGACCAGGCCTTCTCGGGAGGCGCAAATCTTGCAGATATAGGCGCTTCTAGTAGGGCCCGGCGGTGTCTGCGTTTCTGGTGGTGAGTGGTGGGGCCACAGAGGCATGGCTATCAGATGCCACCGGCCGCTATCAGATGCCACCGGCCGGAATGGCGCGGATGCGTCAGCAGATGAACAAGACGCTCCAAAAGCCGCAGGCGGCCGTGTACGAGCACGAGTGTTGCTGTGTTTAAAGAGCTCAGGCACTGTGCAGAGGCATTGCCCTTCGTACGAAGAGCAGATTCCAGCATAGCGCGGGTGCGGCGACGTCAGGCGGGTCAAGCTTTCTCGCGCGCGGCGGATAGAGGCACGGCCTCCGGCTGTCTCCCCAAATATCTCGCCATTACATCATCCCTGTGCTGCATGAGAGCGTCCCCAGCTATTCCTAGGCCGCCCAAGTACACCACGGCACCAGAGCTGCGCGGACAGCCCGACGTCTTAAAACTCACGCGTTGCCCGCCCCCGGCAGTGTCTTCGTTCAACACTTGCTTCCTTCGTTTCCTCACAAACACCACACGAGACACCCATTGAATACCCTCGCACCCCCCATCGCCTCAGCGGGGCACTCCACGCCCGCCATGTCCTCGCTAAAGAAGGCGCTCGAGAAGCTGAAGGTCTCGCACAGCAACCCGCAGAGCGACGACGAGAGCGGCATCACCAGCCCCAAGTCTGCCACGGCTGCGAATGGCGCCGCCTCGCCCGGCCCGGCCTCGCCGCGCACGTCGGCCATCTTCCACCGCAACAGCGACGACATCCCCCGCCGAAGCGGCACATTCGGCCACCGCAAGTCGACCACCAAGGACCTCAGCGGCATTGGGGCCGAGAGCCCCAAGCGCAGCGGCACCTTCGACTCCAAGACCGACAGCCCTGTGCGCCGCAGCGGCACCTTTGGCGGCCACCGTTCTAGCGGCATCTCCCACAGCCCAATCCGCGCCGTGAGGGAGAAGCTCGGCCTCGGCGAAGTCGAATCCTCGTCCTCCTCCACCAGCGAGCTGCCCCTCAACCGCGATGGCGAGCCCATGTCCCGCAACCAGCTCAAGAGGCACGAGAAGCAGGTTGCCGAAGAAGTGCGCAAGAGGGAGATCCTGGAGAAAGAGGAGGAGCTGAAGGCGCGGCGCAAGCTGATGGAGGCCTCGGCCGAGCGCGAGCTCTCGCCGGACCAGAAGAGCCGCTACGGCGTGCTGCCCATCAATGGCTACGCCGGCGAGTGGAAGCACGAAGAGCGCGTCCAGCTGCTCAACTTGAGTGCCAAGGATGTCGGCCGCGAGGTGACCTTCCGCGCGCGGTTGCACCATCTCCGCAAGATGAGCGCCAAGTTTGTCTTCTTGCTCTTCCGACAGCAGACCGCGACTATACAGGGCGTGCTGATGGAACACGGGGCCATCTCGAGCCACATGCTATATTGGGCCGAGCATCTAGATCCCGAGACTGTACTCTTGGTGAAGGGCGTCGTGCAAGAGCCCAAGGCAAAGGAAGGAGAGGTCAAGGGGGCCTCAATACACGACGTCGAGATATCCGTGCATGGGCTACACGTCGAGGCCGGCGTGACGGAACACATGGCCTTCACTGTTTACGAAGCAGAAGTCTCACAGGCCGAGGAAAATCTGGAAGAGGAGGTTGAAGAGACGGAACATCACAGGGAGGGACACCACCGCGTCCACATCACAGATCGAACCCGTCTCAACAGTCGTGTCATCGACTTGCGCACGACTGCCTCCCAAGGCATCTTCCGTATCCAGTCAGGCATTTGCAGCCTCTTCCGCACCCACCTCGAGAGCGAGGGCTTTATCGAGATACATACCCCCAAGCTGCAAGGCGGAGCTACAGAGTCCGGTGCTAGTGTCTTCAAGGTGGAATACTTCAACCGTGGCGCTTTCCTCGCACAGAGCCCTCAATTGGCAAAGCAAATGTGTATATCTGCAGATTTTGGGAAAGTTTTCGAGATTGGCCCTGTCTTCCGTGCCGAGAACAGCAACACATACCGACATTTGACTGAATACACTGGCCTGGATATCGAAATGGCCATTGACGAGCATTATTACGAGGTTTTGCGTACGCTGGACCGCACGTTCAAGGCTATCTTCCAGGGCATCTACGACCGCTACAGGGTCGAAATCGAGATTGTCAAGAGGCAGTTCCCACACGAGGATCTCGTTTGGCTTGATGAAACACTCGTCCTTCCATTCGCCGAAGCTGTTCAGCTGCTGAACGATTCTGGGTGGACAAACGAGCACGGTAAACCACTACCACTGAACGAGGATCTTGGTACGAGAGACGAAGTTCAGCTCGGCAGGGTGATCAAGGCCAAGTACAACACAGATTACTATGTGCTAGATAAGTTCCCCGTCTCAGCCCGTCCTTTCTATGCCATGCCAGACCCGAACAACCCTGAAGTCACCAATTCCTTTGATATCTTCCTCCGTGGACAGGAAATTCTTAGTGGTGGACAACGTATCCACGACGCAGCTATGCTGTTAGAAAAGATGGAGAGGCTCAAGGTGGACCCCAAGTCGATGGAAGACTATATCCAAGGATTCCAGTGGGGAGCTCCTCCCCACGGCGGCGGAGGTATCGGTCTCGAACGTATTCTCATGCTTGCCCTCAACCTCGGAAACATCCGCCACGCCTCCATGTTCCCTCGAGATCCCAAGAGCTTACCCGCCAAACCGATCATCAAGCAGCTCAGGCATCCGGAAGCCAGCACCATTCACCCTCCATGGGAAGGCCAAGACCGAGCAGCCGCTGGCCTAGACTTCCAGCCTCTCGAGAAGCTCATCGCAAACTACGGCGATGCATCCAACACCTCCTGGCTCGAAGAGCGCACCGAAGTCTGGCGTGATTCTTCCACTGGCGCTGCCGTTGGCTTCGTCCCGCAAGACGGCTTCGCCATCACCGTCGGCAACCCCCTCTGCCACACCCAGCAGTACCTCAAGATCATCAACGGCTACCTCCGCTACATCACCAAAGAGCGCAAGCTCAAGCCCCTCTGGCTCCTCGTTGGCCAAGAAGTGGAAGAAGTCCTCGCCGAAAAGCTCAACTGGCGCACCTTCTCCGTCGTCGCCGAGCAGCGCGTCGACCCCGTCGCCAACCCGGCCGCGCACGACAAGGAGGTCCAGCGCAAGATCCGCCACGCCGAGAAGGAGGGCGTCAAGATCCACGAGTTCATGCTCGGCGAGCCCGTGCCGCAGGAAGTCCGCGATAAAATCGATGCGCGGGTCAAGGACTGGCTGGCGAATCGCAAGGGCCGCCAGGTCCATCTTACGGATATCCACCCGTGGCAGGATATGGAGCATCGCCAGTACTACTACTCGACGATCCAGGACGGCACCATCTGCGCGCTGGTCGTCATGGCGCAGCTCAGCCCGGACCATGGGTGGCAGGTCAAGTACTCGATGGACTTCCCGGGCGCGCCGTCGGGCGCCATCGAGCAGATTGTGACGCATGCGCTCAAGGTTGTTGCGTCTGGTGGCGCTACTTCTGTGACTTTCGGCGGCGGGGCGTCGGCGCGCTTCTCGCCGGGGCATAATCTGAAGGGGACGAGGGTGAAGGTGCTGAGCAGAGCGTACCACGCCATAGCGACGGAGCTGAAGCTCACGCAGAAGACGGAGTTTCGGGAGAAGCTGGGTGCGGTGGAGGATCCGAGTTATCTGTGCTATCCGCCGCATGGGCTGGGCCCGTTGGGGGTGAAGGCGATTATGAATTTCTTCGAGGATAACGATTAGGTTGAAGACGAAGGTAGAGGGGGGAGAGAGGCATAAGGGAGTCTGGAGTCTAGGCGATTGGTGAGCGAAACGAAACGATAACGTCGTGAAGAAAGGATCTTGAAGTGGAGCCTTGGGCGATTAGAATTTTTCCTTTTGTTGGTTCGTGAGGATGATGGCATTAAAGGGAAGGGAAGGGAGGAGCTTGCGTTTGTTAGTTCGTTCGCTGGAAAATTCCCCCCCTTTTTTCGTTTTACTACTACCCCCCTTGCTTGCTGGCATTCTTTGACGCTAGGTAAAGATGAAATTCTATTGTTTGTTCTCTAATGCTTGGTTTCCACCTCTATTTGATTGAGTACAGTCCCATCCCAGGAAGACTGCGCATGAAAAGAGAGGGATAGGAAGGGTGGGCGTAGCAGTGGATCTAGGGTGTTTGAAAGAGCAGCAGCATATGTGGGTAATTCATGGTCAAGCAATAGTCTGCGATTTCTGAAGTCGTGTTCTGATCAAAACAGGAGTCTTTCAGTTTTTCTTACTTCTCCGTTTCCCTCGGTATTTGACGATGCCGCCCGTGTTTTCGCCGCGAACCTCACAGCTGTATTCGCGTGTCACGGTGTGGGTGTCCTCTAGAGAAAACCCCAAGGCTCGCGGAAAGGGGGAGAGACGCCATTCGATGGGCGTATATGGAGAGCTGCAGCAGCTAGCCATCCACATCTGAGGTTTCAAGTACCGATATGACACAGGAGACGGCGGTGTCCCACCTCCGTCACATTGGCTAAGAGAAGACTAATTTCCCTGCAGATCTTCTAGGACCTTATGGCCATGTATACAGACACATCTACACGGTAGTATACGCGATATATGTTGCATTTGCAACACTCTGTACACAAGGCCCCACTCGCTCGATACCGTTAGCCGTTAACGCACCAATCTATGTACATACCAGGGACCACCCCCCCTTTCTGGTGAAGAAGTTTACCGTCGGGGCACATGCACGGGCCAGAAAGGGGTTAACACAGAGCGACCCTTCCCCTCACTTCTAATTAATTCGACTATAGAGCCTAAGGATCTATCTAATGAAGGGCAAAGGGAATAGGCCCGCGCGAAATTTTATCTAAAGTTGGTTGGTGAGATGTAGGATAGTGGATGTTGGAGGGCTGGTTGTGATGAAGTAGTTACGCGGTTGCATTGGATTCGTTGAGGGCGCGGTATTCGATTTAGTCAAGCGGTGACTGCTAAGTTGAGTAGGAGGTTAACATTACCCCTTGCTAGAATATATTTTAAGGCCGTCTCAACAGGTTCGCTCTTCCTGCCGTTTATGATAGAAGGCAATGTCCCTCTGTTTTCTATATAAAGGGTATCTCGTTTAGAAATCTATCACGTGATATATTATAACCTACGGCAGGCTATCTATACCGTTTTTAGGTACGAAGAGCTCCTAGAGCGTGTCCATGGATTGATCAACTCAACATTGAAGCAAGAGCTTTACTTTAATCAATCCGAGCTCGAGTAATTTAAAGGACAGTCCCGCACTCTACGAGAAATAGAAATCCTTGTTCACACTAACCCACTCCTTCCCCTGCACACCCTCCCATACCTCGATCTCCTGCGGTTTGGTGTACAGCGGCGTGACCTTCTCGGCTAAGATTGCGTAGTACGGCTTCTTCAGTTGCACCTGCTTTCGGTGTTAGCCTGGTTATTGAAAATAGATGGAATGAGGGTATTGTACGGATTGTAGCCACTCCATCGTCGCGTTCCAGGTTTCCACGATTTTGAATTCACCTGGTGAGGAGGGGGATTGGAGGAGTTGGACGAAGGTGCACTCGGGGGTTGAGGATACGCCGTCGTAGACGGGTCGCAGTGCTTCGAGGAAGGCGGGGACGTTGGAGGGATCGACGGTGACTTTTAGGATCATGGTGAGGGTGGGCGCGGGGGCGGTGGATGCCATCTTGATATAGCGATATGGAGAATTGCGGATTTGCGATGGAGGGAGATTGGAAGATTGGAGGGAGGTGTAGATGAAGAGAATTACGGGAGAGGAGGTTGCTTCTACTTTATATGTAGGTGAGTTGAGGAAGCGAGTCAGCCCTATGTTAGCTTAGCAATAAGCGAAGGACAATACGCGTTTATACGCATACTGGCTAGTGTATAAGTGTGCCATTTGTGGGATGCACTCCGAGATAAAGTAAGCCCGGTCACTCGGGGGGTTTCGAGGGGCTGATCTTGAGTTACGGAAAACCCCTGCGAGCGATCTTCAGAGTGTTTCTGTATGTGGTTACACTTGTACTGTTAGCAAGGCCACACCACGACCAATTCTTGCCACCTTATCGTGGCTTCCTAGTGTACTATAGCACTAGAATTAGCCGCCTTTAAAACCTATAATTGATTACACTTAGGGTTGAAACTTGGGTGCACGCACGCTATGCGGAGAAGTTGACTCAGCTTAGCATACCCACCCTGCTGCTTAGCTGCTGCTAGAACCATAAGGAGGCTGGGGCCATACTTTCTGGAAAAGAAACAAGTTCTCCCTAATTTTACTACCCTGATATGTGCCATCACAAGACGTATGATAGCGCGAATTCCCCTAGATTAACCGCAGTTTACTCTATCCTAACGCTGTGGGACCTTTCCGCCAATCGCTGCGCTGGAAACGGAGCTACACGGCAGTTGTAAAATTGCTGCAGATGCAGAGCAGAGTCGGTGGAGGGGTCTCAGGAAGATAAAATTTCAAAGACACTGCAAGTGTGCGGAAGAGATGGGAGGCCGCATGTCTTGTGTGAGAGGTATCGGCCAGAGTAGCGAACCCACAGCCTCGCAATTTACTTCGTTATGGCACGCTGAATCACTCCAACGTACGCCTGCTTGTGATCCTGCCATTGTTAGTAGCTGTAGAAATGTAGCTCCTAGACATATAGTTAGAGGGATTCCCCAGCCTCATTCCTTTGTAAACGGTGCGTTGTCATAGATATCCGTACACTTTCCTATTTGAGGGGCTCCAACGTACTAATTGAAATCGGGAGTAGCGAATACACTTCTAACTTTCGCACAGCCTGCTGACGCTGTCTGGACACGCTGTCTGGACACGCTGGGGTAGTCTTCCGAGTTTACTGACTGTCCAAAATGCCGAACTTCTCTCTCATTTGAAAATGCTGAAAATGGTACAAGGTTCCTCATGCAGCGTTGAAAGGAGTGTACGGAGTTCTATGACTAGGCATTGCACATATGCCCGTACTCTTGATCCTTGTCTTGTATCCCTTCCCATCTAGCCCGTCTTAAATGATACTATCCCTATTTTAGAAGTTGTACAGTTCCTCATCATTCTCTTCAGCTTCAATACGTGCTGATACGGTATCTTCCCTCATCACTCTCTTCATAAATCTCTTCATCTTCAATACGTGCTGGTACGGTATCTTCCCTCAGCGTTTCCTCGTCATTGTCTTCAAGAGACTGTGGTACGGTATCTACCAGGCCCGCCAGTTCATCGTCAATCTCTTCAGGGCGTTCTTCTACGGTACCCTCCTCATTTTGGAGATCCACTAGTCCCTCATGACTCGCTTCAATATGCTTTTTCACGTTCTCTTTGCGGTCATTTCTCTCTTCCCATTTAGAGGAATCCTCATCCTCGTCAGCCTCTCCAATGCGTCGTAATACCGAATGATGACGGCTTCCTACAGGCTTTTTGTTCCTCAGCTTTTTCTCCGTTGAGCTCATCTGCTTCTTTTCGTCCATCAATTCGTCTTCCTCAAAGGTAATAGAAGTTAAGGAAGTGTCCCTCCTTAGGCGTTTGAACTTCGACCGCGTTAAGTCGGGGGTTAACGACACGATAGGAATCTTTGCAGCATCCCCAATATCCGCACCTTCGAGATACTTTCCTTGAAGCAGTACCTTCCATTGCTTCAGCGAGTTCTCTCTAATCTGGTCGTCATCGGATATTATTATCTTTGATTCCTTGGCTTCAGGGAAGAAAATAGTAGATCCATGCGTCGTAGAGCATCCTTTCAAGTCTCTCTTGTCGTAACACTCCTTGTCGAAGTACTTGGGCCCAAAGCACTCCTTGCATACATGCACGCCTTTCGCAAGAGGGACCTTTGTATTGCATCCAGCGCAATAGAATGGGGGCCACTGATCTGAAGGCGGCTTCCCAAACTTGTCCAGTCTTTTCCACGCCTGCTCAGAATTTTTCGTATCTTGAAGCGCGTTGAAAACCTTTCCAAGTTGAACATACGCGAACCAGTCGTTTGACTCGTCGGAGTCTGACAGTACAGCTATCGAGGCCGCGATCACCTTCACGACCGCTTTCTTCGCTCTAACTGTATCCTTAGAAACCATGTAATAACGTGCCAAACAACAAAACACGGTCGTGTTAACCCAGATATCAGTCTTTTGCTCCAACCTCTTGAGCAGATCAACATCGTGACTCGCCATGTCGAAGGTCTCCTTTACGGAATAAGCAGGCATGGCTTCATTGCTGTTCGCAGCTCTAGCTTTGCCGAGCGTGTTCTCTGCGCGCCTCAAATAGATCTTAGCAAGAGGTTCAATAATGTCGGCGAGATGAGACCACTGAATAGGGTTCCCAGAAACCGCCAGCGGTTTGCCAGACTCCAGAGCTTTCTCCCACTGCTCGATAACGTCATCCTCTCTACTCGCATCTGCGCATTCGTGCAGGATCTGGCCGTACACCTTTCTGATGTGGAATAACTCGGCAGGACTTCCGTTTGCAACATCAATTGCCTGTGTAAAAGTCTTGTCCACCACTTGCTTCCAGTCCTTGTGTTCTTTGGCTCTAACCAGGGATTTTCGGAAACTATCTTCGGCCACGAAATCATATACCAATCGATTCAAGTAAAGTTTGTCAGACTTCTTGACCTCTGTGAGTTCTTTGAGAAGGCCGATTGTTTCGGGCCAGTCCTCCCTTTTATTATACAAGCGCAGTATTTTGAGATACCGCGCATAGCGAGTAGCGTCGTACTTCAAACTTTGACGATACATTGCCGCTGCTTGATCATATTGCTTCTCTTTCCAATATAAGTCTCCCAAATCGAGGAAAGCAATAGCAACAAGCATTTTGTCTGACGAGGCTGGCACCTCTCCTTCGTTCTTGAGATATCTCGCCGTGGCTTTTTCAAGAACCTTTTGAGCCTTCGCATGGGAATTCTCTATGAGTAGCTGTTCAGCAATCGTCTGACAGGCTAAAACACTGCCCTCCCATAGCTTTTCGTCTATATTCTGTACCTCGCGAAGGAGGTGCTTTGCCGCGTTGTTTGCGTTCTTGTCGTATCTATCGCATATGGTGAATATGGTTCTGGCAACCTGAATTTTCCACGACCAGGAATTGTGGCTAGATTTCTTTTCGAATCCGTCCAATTTGGTAGCCCAGTCTCTGATGCGACGGAACTCCTCCCATTGGAGTCGATCGCGGTCTTTTTGACATGGGGACACGTCCTTTTGGTTGCCCATCTACCACGGTCAGTAAAATAGGTCACTCAAGATGGACTAGGGATACATACCCTCGTGACGTACCCATTAAGGAAATATACAGCCGTCAGCTGTTCCCGGCGGGTATATATGTTTTCCAAAAACAAATGCGTAGCCAACCGCTTGGCTGCCGCTTGTAAAAGGATCTCATGGCGACAACTGGCGTTCTTTTTATCATTGAATTCAGTCACCAAAATCTTGCCCGAGCCAACGATACCGTCTACTACTTCCAGGTCTGAGAGCCACTTTGCCATCTCGATCACTCCGGTCGACGTATATAGCCAGCGCTCACGATTTTCCTTTAGCCACAGTCCCTCACTGTTTTGCCAGGATGTATGGCTCATGTGCTCCGCTCTTGTCCAGAATAGTGTGTCGATGCAGTCATCTTCTGTGAACAGCTTGACCAGAAGCGGGCCAATCTTCTCTTTGAGGTCTTTCCTTACTACCTTCCGTTGTGTTTTCTTAAGATGATAGAGCAGATATTTCCCCGCGTTAGGACGAAGCCTTCGAGTTTGTTCATCGCTCTTACTCGTTAGGACCTCTAGATATGTCAATGCTACTCGGATATGAGCATTTTGCTCATCATAACAGATAGTAGGCTTCAAAGGTTGCGAAAACTCGTCCCATAGGATGCGCTGGAGCTCGTCTTTATCATAATCTGCTTTTCGCGGCAATACGTGGGTTAGAAAGCGATGGACCAATTCCACTTCCGCTTCTATGAGCCGCGAAGAAACGGATGTTTCACTCGAGCTCTGCTTGGCCACCAAGCTTTGTTTCTCCAGGATCTGTTTCTTGATCTCGCTGAGCCTGAACTGGATTCTGCCCGACTCATTAGCACTGAGAAGAGGATTCAGTCGACGGTGTAGCGGCATCAGGGAGTCTGTATGCGGTCCAAGAGAAAGCACTGCCTTCATATCGTCTAGGGTGGGTGTGACTTGCGACGTCAACAACCAAAGGATAACCTCGTTGATCTCCTTGATTTCCTCGGACGTAAGCTCTCTGTTGAGTCTTTTAATCTCATTCTCGACTTGCTTCACTCTCGGCTCCTGGACGTTTTGTAAAATTTTGTCTATATCTGTCAGATGATGCTTTGAGCGGAGCTTGTCCAGGATAATCGCCATCCATGCAAAATCGCCCTCCGTCTGCTCCCTGAGAGTCTTTGTGATATCCTTCCTATAGTCCTCGGCTTTGGGGTGATGAGTCCCATCGAATGCGGGCATGTTATCCAGTTTGCGCTGAATGTACGTTTCAATGTCGGAATGATTGTTGATCTTTTTGTCATCGCGGAGGCAAATGCGCCCAAAGGATCCCTCTTTCATGTGCTCCTGCACGCTCGAACTTCTTGTGCTCACAAGGACACGAAATGTTTCCTCTCCACTGTCTACTAGCTGATTCACAAAGGAAATGATATCTTTCAGCATATTGCCTTCCAGGCCATCGATCAGGATGTAGAATGGTCGTTTAACCTTCTTTATTTCCTCGTTTCCCACGAACAACTGCCTCCAGACATCGTAGACGTTTGGATTGTTTCCCATTATTTGACATCTTTCGGCCATTGACTTCATCAAAAGCCCAGAGAACGTGGCACATTGCCATGCCAAGCTCCTCGAGACTAGCGAAAGGAGGCGGTAGCGGTCCATTTGCAGATCGGAAGCGCCGTCATGGAAATAATACGCAATCGAATGATTTGGTTCGATGAAACGTGTCGCGATGTTCGCCATCAAATACGACTTGCCTGTACTTTCCGCGCCCTCAATTAGCAGTATAGGCCGCGTAGGCTTGGAATCTTTCTCTTTGCCGGCAGCATTATCTTCGTCCAGCGCCACCCAGTCCTTAAATTCCTTCAACTCTTTAACCCAATCCCCGGTTTCCGGGATCAGTGACGCTGTGATCTCTTCGAGTCTATTCCGCCACACACGCTTGGGTTCATCATCACCGAAACCTAGAGCTTTTGCAATGGCGATGCGCCACCCGTTCGCATCTGCTGTTGTCTGTTGCTGCTCTAATATCTGCCTGATGTTGCGGACGTTACCATACGACAGGGCCGTTAAAAGGTTATTCTCCTGCTCCACCAATTTCTCCATACCACCAATGAGCTCATCAATGTCGCTTTCACCTAGGAAGCTCTTTTTCATAAGATTTTTCATGACATCTTTACTCGAAGAAGAAATCGAGATACTAAGTCGAAAGACCTTAACGGTACTTTGCAGAAGTTGCGTGGCGATGTATTGGAGCTCCAGAACCTTCTCTCCAAATTCGTCCATTTCGTAGATGTGGAGGCGGCCAATGAAATCGTTGCAGGTTGAGAGGAGCTGGTCGAGCTTATCGAACATTTCCACGTAGTTGATCCAGAATTGGAGGAAGAAGCTGATCGCATTGAAGCAGGACGGTGCCGGTGCGAACGTCTGGCTTGGAGTTAGCATAAACGACTCAGTCCCCCCTTATTCGCGACACGGGATAAACTTTCGAGAAATTGCAACCAACTTACCACCGATGCCGCACTGGCTACACGCTCGCCCAGCCAATTGATACACTTAATGGTATTGGTCACAGTTTTCTCAAACTTCTCGTACTTGGCGCTCTTATCCTTCGATGGTTCCGGCTTCACATTGTGCAAAATCCCGAGAATCTTCGCAGTTGAAACTTTTATGTCGTGCTTGTGCTCATTTTTGTCGCTTTCGGGCTGCGACTTTGGATCGTCCTTTGTTTTAGTTGTACCTCCGCCATGAAAGATGCGCGTAAATCTCCACTTCTTCCTTTTATCATCGGAAGGAGGCTGAGAAAGCCATTCAACATCCTCATTCACTTCTTCCCAGATTTTCTCGATTTTGGCTTGCAACTCCTCATCTCTTGCCTTTTTGCGCCTCTGCGTGCTGCTCTTACGGCCCTGGGAAGCCTTTCTGCTGGCTGACATCGCTCACGAAGCGCAAATCTACTAGAGCTTGAAAATCAAAAACAGGGGTTCGTCGACCTGTCCCAGCAGGATGCTTGCTCGCTTTAATGCTGGCCGTCTTTTCAGCCTCACCGGAATTCGGCTTTGTGGCGTTTTCGTTTTTGCTCGGATGCGGCTGACACGCAGCAATCCTTGGAAACTCCTGCTAATTGATTTAAAGCTTTTTGGCGACTTGACATGGGTGATATGCATCTTGGAACGGATTGAGAATCTTTCCTATTCCAGAACAAACGATGCGCTGTCACATTGCTGATCTACAGTGGCACCCATACCACTACTCCCGTGACTACCACGTGCCCATTTGCTGGGCTTGGGTATAGATTCTTGTTGCCAGCGGTCCTTGGTTTCTCCTCTCAGGAAACTCGACTTAGACAAAATAGAACACGCAGTGGAACATTGTTCGTAGCTGTGGTCTATAAAAACTGCCTTCACAGATTGCTCATGACCGTGGACTGGGGAGGCTTGGCAATCAAAGTGCCCATACGGGAGTTTTGTTAGTTCGCAGGCCGTAGCATTTGAACATTGGTGGAACGCGAACATTATGTCCATGAGCGCCCTGTTTGCTACCGGCAGTGACTGCTGTAGGTGATTGTCATAGCCCAACAGTACCGTAGCATTCAACTAAGAATGGGTCCTTCCCATCTGCAAAATAGAAAATATCCTTGACGGAACAGCTAAGCGCAATCATATAGTAGTGAGTCAGCTTATTTCAATATTGCAAGAAGCGTTCCAAGAAAAGAGTAGGAATATCTAGAATTTAACCTAACTCAAACACCAATTCCCGCATATGGTCGCAATGCCGTACCTAGATCTGTGCCGGTGACCTGAGTTGGCGTTAAGGCACCTCTACGAAAGAAGCAGTCAGGACGATGATTCAGATAATTCACCTTCACCAAGTGCCAGGAGACTAAACATTCCCAGCAGAACTCATGATTACAAGAAGAGCCTAGGTATGGTTAATCTTCTACTTCTTACGGGCTTGAGGGTATACTTGCATGTCATATGAAAGCAACCAGGCCCCTTCTCAATTCGAACATTGCAGTTGGGGCACGCTTTGGTGCTCTTTTCAATGATCGCTTGCGTTTCCTTGTACTTCGGATCTCCATATTCAAGTGAGTCCTCAAACTCAGCACACGTAAGGCCATCATGCCAGGGACGCTCATGGCGAAAGCACATCCTGAACTCACACTCCTGGCACTGTACAGCTGCGAGTGTAGGGTCAATATTGTCGTGTATCTGTCCACTCTCGCACCCCAGAGACAAGCACCAGCGGAAATTAGGTTCCTTGCAGAGTGTGTGGAGAAGCAGACGTTTGTCGTATCTAGACGCCAGAATTAGTCTTAGTCACATCGATGTCACAATATTACCTACTCTCTAAAGGTATCGTCATGGCACAGTTTCTTGATCTCATTATAGGTAAAGAGGCGGTCGCACTGGGGGCACGTAATGTGTTCGAAATTGCCGTTTTCAAGACTGACGGAAATATGTTTTGCCACACATAGCCGGCAGACGTCAAGCGAATGCGTACAGTGCTGGTTTGCGCTGATAGGGTATTCCAACACGGTCCACGTCCAAGGGCCACTGAATCTCCCACACGCTTGGCTCCACTGTTCCCATGAGCCGTAATCGATCTCAAACTTTTCTTCGGCGCACACAAGACACTCCTTTGGAATATTCTGACGCCTTAAAAGATTCAAGAAGAGCGGGATTTGGGATCCTAGTCCACGGTCTAGGTCTCTCAATACAATTGGATCCATTTCGAAATTTGTATCAGCACTCATGGGCTGTCCTGTCAGAGGGCTGTATTCGATGAAGTCGCGCATAAAACCCGTCTTGAAGAGGTGGCGCCAAAGAACATTTGCCCGGGCCAATTGCCATGATTGAGGTCTGGGATTTAGTCGCTGGAGAGCGTGGCGATAACGAAGTAGTTGTTGGTATCTTGGGCAATAAGTTTATGCGCCGTGTATAGTTTCGCAATAGACTTACATGCTGAGGCATCCCTCGATATGCGAAATATCTAAAGAGCGAAATTGCGAAAGATATTGATACATGTCTTCTATCCCTACGATTGAATCATACAGACAGCAGCCCAAGTTGCAGCGAGGCTTTGGCCAAACCCAAGATCCTATGTCGTGCCACCAATTTTGGCAAAGATCTCTAAGCAATCTCTTAAAGAGACACGTCGAACATGTGTCCCCATCAGATTTGGGGTCTCCTCGATGGAAATCTAGTAAGGGAAATTCGGCAAGGTTGCGAAATATAGGGTAAACGTCATTTTCGGTCACCTGAATTTTCAGCCTACAACAGACCGTGCAAGTGTGAAAGCACATTCCACGGTAGATTTGTCGGCTCTTCAATCCTGATATCGTAGGGAGCAGTCTTTCAGCAACATCGAGTTGATGGGAAGACAACAGAGCATCTAAGATGCCAGCTGGAATAGGATCAAGACTTCCGCTTTCGGCGATATCGAGTTCATCAGAACACAACGCATCATCCAAGATACTAGCTGGAAATCGATTCCGACTTTCGCTTTCGGCAATGGTGGTATGCTGTGGTTCTACAGAGCTGTTGCTGATTTCAGCAGTCGTCTCCGTGATACGTACAGCGATGACGCCTCGGAGAGTCTTTGGCTGTGAGGCCCTCGTGCGTGAGTGAGCGGAGTCTCGACGCATATGTTCAAGCTGCAGAGAAAGCTGATGATTCTCCTTCTCGAGATTACTAATGCAATCACTGAACGTCTTGAGGAGGTAGCTGTACTCGGAATGATGACTGTGCAACGAATTGGAATCGACCCTGAAAGCTGCCGCCCAGGATCGTAGACCTTGCCTTGATTGACGAAGGCTTTCGGTAGCCTTGCTATGCTCGAGCTTGATGGAGCTGAAACGCTCGGTTGAACATCCTTTGGCATTTTCCACCACTGGACTGTCGAGCACTGCTCTGGGAGCGGCACAACCCTGAAACTTCTTAGCCGTGTCGTAATTCAAGGACATGATTTTCAGCCGCTCTTGAGTCGCGTGTCAGTTAGATATCAGCCTTTTCATTCCCTGCATGACGGCTCGGCTTACGAATGTCGTATAGGAGTCTATCAAAGAATGCCGATGACTTTCCTGCAACGTCATCATTCTTCCAAGGAGCACGAATCCACTCTGGCTCATCCTCATCTACGAAATCTTCCACATGTTGAGGGGAAGAACGCATTGTGTTGCAGCTGAAGAGTCGGCCAAACTTGATTTTTAAATACGTGAAGCCTGAGCCTTGCGTACTCTGTAGGTATGGCGACTTACTTGAGTTGAGAAACTAAGACGTGATGCAATTGCCGGTCCTCGTCAACTCTTAATATTAGGACCAAGAAAAAGGATGGTTGGGTAGGTAATGCTGTTCGATTGATGTGAAGCGGGGTTGACCTGCAGTGTGCTGGCCTGCCTTCTCAGCCTGTGTGGCGTATTCGCTTTTCCTCATACGCGGCTGCATGCAGAAATCCTTGGACACTCGTGCCAGTCGATCCAAAGCTTTTTGGTGACTTGACATGGGTTATATGCATCTTGGAACGGATTAAGAATCCTTGCTACTCTAGAGCGAACGATGTGCTGTCACGTTGCTGAGCTAAGCCTAGCATACAAAGGTAACTATGTCTACGACAGTGGTACCACCCATTCAAGCACTCTGTGCCATTTCTCCCATGGCTATCACGTGCCCTCTTGCTGGATTAAGGTATGAATTCTTTCCGCCATGCGGAACTCAGTTTCTCTTTTCAGGGAACTCGGCTTCAACTGAATGGAACATGCAATAAGACATCATTCATGGCTATAGCCTGTAAAACTTGCCTTCACGGATCACTCATGATCGGTGCACTGGGGAGGCCTGGTTATCAAAAGGATGCGCGTTTGATTTCGATGGGTGCTCCTGCTGGTTGCGTGTGGTGTTCAACGGCCGGGAAGGAGATCGATACGGTGGACCGCGCGACTATCCTTTACCTGGTGATGATGTTCAGCAACGCTCGTTACCACTGATCTTGGACGAGAGTTCATCTATATCAGGCACTCTACGCGAAAACTCACGTGATATTCACGTGCTGTTTTCTGGGTAGGATATAAATCTTTCCGCTGGGTGGCTCTGAAGCTTCTTCTCCTTCATTGGTAGGAATCAATCTTTTGATCGTTCAGAACTAGACTGAAGTGAGCCGATGGGTCAAAATCTTGGAACTATGGACTCTATGGCTTCGGGGGGCCGGAGGCAGTTCGGTTCGCAAACGAAGAACGAGAAGCTGAAATCGATATGGCGGCCTGTTAGCGGCCTTCAATAACTGACGACTCCGATTCTGATACGGAGGGAAGTGTGGTATGAGAAATGGATGCATGACGACGATGATGTCCAATAGGAGATTTTCACAATCGTCGCCTTCGTTAGGCGATATCCGGTACAACGCTCGCAAGATGATCGAGTCTACTTCACCTAATGCCGCAGGTCAGCTGTATCGGAGATAGTTGACCTCCATGATGAGATTATAGTGCTGAGGTGGAGTTTCGTAGTCCGCCAGCTCCCAGAATCACAGAGACTGTCCATGCCAGTTTCGCTTCTTCTTTCTGAATCAGCCAGCCATCTTCATATTGTCGCTGCTGTTTGATCGTTCTGAACATCTGAAAATCCACCTTGTCCATGCGGCGATAAAGCGTAGATTATCGAATATTGTAGGAAAAACAAATGGTTGAAAGTTGCTCACGTGCTCACATATGAGTGGCAAAGACCGCGATCTGAACTCGGACTTGGAGCTGATTCAAAGGGCAAGCTGCTATGGGGGGTTTGATCGTAAACCTATGGACTCAATTCTTCGCCTTCAATCAAGTTAGCATGCCTAGTCATATATCCCCGTGTGATGACCTGGCCCTCCCCACCCTCCTAAACTCCCGACTCCATTTTGTGAGGTATTCAGCATGTGCTACCCAGTGTATACCAACTCTAATTTTGCCTTTCTCCACCTCCGGTCTCTTCCCATCCCTATTCCGGCTCTTGGCCCTTCCACTTCTCCCTCACAGTCTCAACGTCAATCCCACAGGACTCCGCTCTCCCCACCACCGCCTTCGCCTTCCCAACAACGGGGGCATCAATCATTTTCCCATCCAATGTCCATGCGCCTCGTCCAGCCTCAGCCGCCTTTTCGTCTGCAACCACTACCCGGACCGCCCACTCCAACTCCGCCTCCCCTGGCGAGAACACCCTCTGGCACACCTCCACCTGACTTGGATGAATCGCTTGCTTCCCATTGAACCCCATCCCCTTCCCGTTTAGACACTCTTCCTCCAGTGTCTTCAGCCCCTGAACGCCCGAGTATGCCGTACACACCAAATCGATCGTGCTAGCTAGGTTCGCAGCCCGCGCGGCGGTGGCGATGGCGGAGCGCGCGTAGAGGAACTCGTGGAGGGAGGGTGTGCGGGTTATGCTGAGGTCGAGCGCGAAGTCTTCTGCGGCGAAGATGAGGCCGCTGAGGTAGGGGGAGGCAGCACAGATGGAGGGGAGGTTCTGGATGGCTTTCGCGGACTCGATGAGGGCGATCAGGCGGATGGGTGGGTGATCTGTTGAGGAGGCTGAGGAAGGAGTCGAGGGATGCCGTGTTGGGAGGGTTTGGCGCAGCACGTCGGTCAGGAAGTGGAGGTCTGATGCGGAATTGCATTTGGGCAGGACGAGGGCGTCGAGGTTGGGGGAGTGGAGCTGTGCTCGGTGTGGTGATTAGCGGGTATTATGCAGCATCACTTGGGAGGAGTATAGACGATAGAGTTGGGATTTCGGGAGATGTCTATATACCACTTCTTGTAGATCTGCCAACGCCAGACCACTTTCTACTGAGTTTATCCGCACGGCTTGTTCCCGTATACCAGCTGCTCGCGGTTGTTGGAGGAGATGTCGGAGGTTCTGCCGTGCTTCTACTTTCTTGTTTGGTGTGACAGAGTCTTCAAGGTCATAGGCTATCGTATCAACATTCAGTCCTCGTGATTTGTCGAGCATCTTTTTGGAGGATCCAGGCACTGAGAAGCTGTTAGCTTGAGTACTTCAAGACGAATAGTAAGAACAAGTACCATATAGAAGCGCCCTGCGGATTATTGGAGCAGCCATGTTGGATGCAATTGAGGTCTAATATGAAACACGTATATGTAGAAACTGAAGAGAACCAGTAGGAGGAGGAAGTTGTCGAATGTAGTTGGCATGGCCGAGGTGATCGATGAGATTTCCCCACATTCGCGGAGCTGCTCGAGCTGTTGTTGCATGACTCGCGTCCTGCTCCGCGGCCCCCTTGGCCATAGTGGCAGTCCAAGATCCTCCCGGGTGGGCGAAAAGCTATCAGATTAGCCAGAGTTGCTGCTATAAATGTATATATAAAGGGTTAGAAAATGCAAGTGTGCAAAGCGTGTAGAGACAATGTGGACCTGGTGGTAGACAGCTGAGAATGACACTTTCAAGGTTCGCACGGATTCGTGGATCGCCTGAAATATCTTCTAACGTGCTCTTGTCTATTGAGAAAGGCATTAAGAAAGCCTAGAATATACAATTCATCTCAGCAATACCAGGGTGCCAAACATGAATATTGATGAGTGCCAGGCCCAGTCAGTCGGAAGCTCCTGTGTCACGTGCGTCGCTGGCGGAACAGCAACGTTAGCTTCAACACCACCCCAACGCCATCTACAGCTATTCACGATCGACCATGGAGAACGCCCAAACAGCGCCCCCGCCGGGCTCGCTCAGCTGGAGGTTGAGCAGCCATCCCATCACCCTCCTCACCTTTCTCTTCTTCAGGATATGTACGCATCTTCTGTCCTTTTCTTACTCCTTAGGCTGCAGCTAATAAATCTACAGCAAGTCTCCTCGTCTACCTTCTCGGCCTTCGCCTACTCACAAGTAACTTGTACGTCCCTCTCAGCCTAGAAACACTCGTCTTTCAGCTGCTCCTGCCTCGATTATTTCCTCAAAACCCCAAACCCAGAATCTCACGATCTTACCCAACCCCAGACTAACACCCTTCTAGCGTGATGGTCTCCATAATCACCATCCTCCTCCTCGCTGCCGACTTCTACTACCTCAAAAATATCGCTGGACGACGGCTGGTTGGGCTACGGTGGTGGAATGAAGTCGACACCGCGACCGGGGACTCGCGCTGGGTGTTCGAGAGCCACGACCCCGAGACCCGCACCATCAACGCGACGGACAAGCGGTTCTTCTGGCTCGCGCTATATGCACAACCGGTGCTGTGGGTGCTGCTAGCAATCGTGGCAGTGGCGAGCTTGGAGCCTATTTGGTTGACGTTGGTTGGTGAGTACAAAATTACAGGGTGGTCCACGGGGAGTTCTGGATCGGATGAGACTAACATGGATAATAGTCATTGCGCTCGTTCTCACGATCACTAATACCCTTGCGTTCTCGCGCTGCGATAAGTTCAGCATGGCGTCCAGTGCTGTTTATGGGTCTGGTTTCGCACGGAATCTTGCTGGAGGCATGGTTAGTAGTTGGTTCAGGCGGTGATGAACGGGCGAGGATATGCACTGCCTGAGTTGTCAAGAAAGGAGATGTTTTTGTGGAGTGTGCTATTGGACTTTTGGGAAATCAGTCTAAGATTACTGAGCGCTGGAAGTCCAGCTGATATTCGCTAGCTCTTGTATCAAAATGTATACAAAATTACAGCCCAATTCCTGAACATGATTAAAAGACGTGTGGGAGTAATAACTACTAACAGGTGTCATCGTGTCATGCTTGTAAGTAATGACACACAATGTTCAAAGTTTGATCTATCGGGTCCAAGATGCTATTGCTCCCATTAGATAGGCTCGATGATCTACTCGTAAGTCAATCCAAACCCATCAAAATGCCCCTCTTACCTTTGATTAGGCTAATATTCGAACCGGTTATGTTGGCGAGTGGAACATGTTCAGCCTTGCAGGAATAAAACATAATCTCATACGGAAACAACGGCACGAGGGGCCAGTTCATCGATATAAATGTCACCACAGTCGTGTTGTGCACACAGTCACAGACAGTAGCGGCAATATCATCAACGATCTCAAAATCACCCCTTCCTCCGGCACTTCTCGGACCCTTACAGACAGCGCAACCAGCACTGCATCCGGAAATGCGCCGGCGTCCTACTCTGGAGGTCTGAGTAGTGGCGCAACGGCAGGAGTCAATGTCGGTGCTGGACTGGGTGGGTTGCTTCTCATCGGCGGCCCTATTCTCCTCTTTCTGCATCGCCGCCAAAAAAAAAGAAAACGACTGTCTCAACCCTATCCCGAGGCCGATCTTATTGTGCCAGGGCAACTTAAGCCAGAGCTTTCAGATGATCCGGTGCCACGAAAGGAGATGTCTGGGAGTCCAGTGGAACAAGTGAAGATAGAGCCTCAGGAACTGCCGGTGCCGTGGCCGAGGTATGAGATGGAGGCAGACTCAAGGGGGTTCGCACATCGGTCAGTCCCTGAATGATCTTCAGAATACCAGGTGGTCCATGTCGCAGTCATAATGATTTGAATACACGGAAATTTATTTACACTAACACTCATCTCATCTGCTCTCTGGCGAATTGCTACTCAAGCTTACCCAGACGTCATTGTCGTATATACCGGCCGATCATACTCTCTTCCCTGAAACGCAGTCCGTTGCTACCCACATTAGCACAACTCATCCTCCCGTTTCAAAATAGCTTACCTGCTTCACTATGTAAGCATTTGACAGCTCGAAGAAGTCCTTATCCTCAAGGTCGTCGTAATTCCCCGCATACTGCGACTAGTTAACTTTCCAACTCATTGCCACTCTATATTTATCTTACTTCTTGCTTAATCTGACCCAGTAACGCATTGATATCAGGAGTGTCGCTCTCCGGCACGCCATCCCAGCTCGGCTCGGCGCGCAGCCGGAAGTTTTGCTCGAAGACCGGTTTCATGAGCTTTCCTTTCACCTCATTGCCGCTCAAGACCATGACTCGGTGGAACCGGCCGAAACGTTTCTTCACTCGGACCTTCGGCGCACGTTTAGTGAGTTTAGGGGTCTGAGGTGGGCGAACCAGTAAACATACATGGACGCGAAAACTGAAGTCTAGCAGGCTTTCCAATGCATAGACCCCTTCTTTTTCGTTTTCCTCGGCCGTTTTAGGATCGTCTTTTGCCTTCTTCGCACCATCGTCCTCCGGCGCCGCCATATCATCATCAGTCTTAACACTACCTTTATCCGACTTTGTCACTTCAGCGTCAGCCCTCTCCCCCTTCTCCTTCCGCCTCGGAAACAGCGCCACCGGAACCGCCCGCTTCACAACCACATGCCTCTTAACCGTCTGCTTCAAATCCGGCGTCAGCATCTTCGTATCCCCGTGGGTGCCAGCCCAGAACCACTGATACACCGGACGCTCTTCCGCCTCATTGAGCTTTTGCTCCCTAGGCACCGTGGGCCTTTCTTGCGAAGCAGGTTCTTTCTTCACCGGGGCGGTCACCGCCTGTGAATCACGCAGGCTTCCCACGTGAGTAATCCGATGCGCGCTCAAACTCCACGTCGCCAGCGCATACTCCACCGTCAGCGTCCTAGACCGATTCAGCCCCAAGGACACATTCGCGGACGGCATTTGAGAGAGCGAGAGGCCCACGGTGCCGGACACGCTGGTCTCGGTGCCGCGCGTCACGGTTAGTGCGGCGGAGGGGTCTGATTCGGGCTTCATTGCAAGGTCTTCGTCGGGCCGAGGGGAGAGGTACTGGAGGCAGATGGAGTGGAAGAAGGGGTCGTGCCCGTCTCTGGATTACGTAGTCGATGTGAGTTGAGCGAGGAAAGTGAGGTGGTCGCACTGGGCGTGAAAAAAGTAACGCACTCATCAAGCAGTCTTCCTCGTGTGTACACCTGTCTGCCACTGCTTCAACGAGTTTCGACATAGCCCAAAGTCAACAGCTTCTATCGCGTTTATATTTCTGAAAATGTATTGAAGCACCCCACGCAGTGGCAGACAGGTGTACACACGAGGAAGAATGCTTTGTAAGTGTACCACTTTTTTCACGCCCAGCGTAGTGGGTTGGGGAAGACTGTAGCTCACCCTGTCTGGTTCTCGTAGTTCAAGATGGTAGTCTCCATGTTGAAGCGGATGGCGATGTGGTATTTCCCATGGTGGCGTTCGATTGTTATGAGAGGGTCGAGGATGAAGATTGAAGCATAGGGCTTAGGTGTGTTGAGAGGGCCGGGGAAAGAGGTTTTGGAGGTAGCATTGGATGTTTGAGGTTTCCTCGGCGTCTTTTTGGCGCGCTCCTCTTCTGCGCATCATACTGTCCGAGAATATCCTATATATTCTGGGCACTGCGGAGATGGACGCTGTAGGGCAGAGGAGACTCTATGGTATGGATGAAAGGCTGAGGTTGTTGTGTCCCCTGTCAAGCAGCTGTCGACCCCAGCAACTGACGCATGCACGTCGATGGTTCGAGGATGTGCCCCAGCCAGCCACATCGAAGCGAGTCATGTCGCGACCAGTCGTGGTATTTCATCTTCTGCTACCCCTACTTAGTGGAAAGCTGTCTTACAGCATCTCTTCACGTCCGGTGAACTAGCGCGGAAACTGAGTCGACCCCTGTAAACCTCCTTTTCTGGGCTAATAGTCAGCTGGCTTGAAGATTCATTGGCTAGGCAGCTGTTAATCCTCCCTAAGGGCGTCCGGAATTGCTACCTTATACGGTAAGTCTGTGGCTTGATTTTAGCGCTAGTTCACCGGACGTAAACATGCTGTACTCCAGGGATAGGCGAAAGAGCGCATCTCGCAGGTGGCCACGTCACTCATTGGATTTCGACTTTCAGCCGCAAGCTCCGTATTGGAATTGATCAGATCCCTTTTTTGTTGCATGGTTCGAGTATTCCAGTTCGTTCGTCCTGCTCTGTTGCAAATGGTGCATCTTTCAATGCTTCATACACTTCGTCGTTAGGACTAATACACTTCGTCGTCACCGTTTCTCAACGTTTTACCCGCCATCAGAATACAATACCTCGTTACAAAATTGCGTACACTCGTTCACCGCTGCATGAGGAGCCTCATAGTATTTTCAGCATTCCGCATCAGAGAGAAGCTCGGCATTTTGAACAACTAGCAAACTCGCGAGGCTACCCCAGTCAGTGTCAGCAGGGTGTAATAACGCGCAGAAGAGAAGGACTCTCCCAAACATCCCCATCCCATACTTTACTCATGGCTCCTTTCACACGCTTCCTCAAACACCGTCTCCGCAACAAGAAAACCACCACTTCGTCCTCAAATCCCACAACATCGACATCCTACGCAACCTCAACGCCTCGCCCAACAACCCCCAAGCAACTCCGCCCTCCCGCTTCCTCGGGTACAAACGCGAGCGATAGCGCATCAGACTCCGACACCTCAGCAGACTCACCGGCGAATCCCTTATCCGAAGACATCCACACCGCAAAAGATGTCCACGCCCTCGTCCTCCGCGCCGTCAAAGGAAGTCCAGAGCACTCCTTGCAACCCATCCTAGAAGCGCGCGGGAATGATCTCCGCGTCACGGAAGCAATCGTGCTCGCAGCCAAGCAAGACAAGTACCATGGGGAGGAAATGGTGCAGATGCTTCTGCAACACGCAAAAAAGCAGCAAGGCGCAACGGGGAAATCAGTCATCGACGATAACGCACTCCTAGCCGTCTTGAACCCCAATTTCGACGAAGAGACGCAGGCATTAGCAGTGCTGGGGTTCTGGAGACAGGTCGCGGTCCCTGTGTTTAAGCTGCAGAGGGTGGTGGGTGCATCGGGGAAGGGGATGGAGGTTATGGAGATGCTGCTGCGCGAACGCGACGCAGCAGCCGCCTCCTCTTCCTCCTCTTCCTCCTCTTCCTCCTCTTCCTTCTCCTCTTCTTCCTCATCCTCTTCGTCAAAGTCGATTCGCATCACGGAGGGGTGGATGATCGCAGCAGCGCAAAATCACAAGTGCGGAGCTGAGCTCATGGCCCTGCTCCTCCATTGCGAACCAAGGCCCAGTAAGGATGTTCGCATCACAGAGGACGTGCTGGAGACGGCCGCGGGGAACGAGGGTGCCGCGGAGGGGATATTCGAGCTGCTATCTCGTGAGAGGCCGGACGAGCTTCTCATTACGCCCAGGGTGCTGCTGGCAGCTTGCAACAACGAGAAATCCGCAAAGAGGATCACGGAGATACTGCTCCTCGCGAACGAAGGGAAGACGATTCGAATCACCGCGAGTATGGTAGAGGCAACGAGGGAGGATAAATCGAGTAGGCGTTCGTTCAATTGGGTCCCTAAGCATCTGAGAGGGAAGTTGGAACTTGGTGAAGAGCCAGATAAAGGCAATATGATGAAGCAGACTATTAAGAAGATCATTAGCCAGTTTGGCGACGAGGCGAGATTTACGGCACAGGCGCTGAGTGCGCTTGCGGTGCTTGAAGATACGAGGTTGTTGGAGGATTGGTTGTTGGCAAAGCGGTTTGAGATCCCCCGGAGCATGGTAGAGGCTGCGGCTGCGAACCCGGACGCAGGGATGAAGATGCTGGAGATGCTGCTCCATGAACGGGGCAATGAGGTCAAAATCACTGAAAGAGTGCTCGTAGCCGCCGTAGGCAATGAGCGGGTTGGGTTGGATATCGTTCAATTGCTGTTCCGTGAACGCCCAGATGAGGCACGTGTCACGGAACGGATGCTAGAGGTCGCAGCTCGAGGGACTGAGTATGGGGATCCTGACATGCTGAAGCTACTTCTCAGCCACGCCGAGGATGGCCTGCGTATGACGACTAAGATGGTGGAGAACGCTACCTTGAAAAGATACGGAGGTGATGACGTGCTCGCAATCTTGCTCAAGGCAGGGACGCATGATATACAGATTACGGTAAAGCTGGTCGCGGAGGCCTGTGATCATTTCAGCCATAGTAATTATATTTACAAGAAGAACCTCAAAATATTGCTACAAGAGGGACAGGGGCTACGTGTAAGCCGGGAAGCAGCACTAGCTTTCACCAAGTTCGGCAATCCGGATATTATAGCCCTGTTTCTCCAGAAGATTCCAGACGACGAGAACCTTATAGAGGCTGCGCTTATAGCAGCGACGAAGACCGTTTTCCATCGCGAGGAGATTCTGGCAGTGCTTCTTGCTCAAAATTGGAAAAGTGTGATGATGACTAAGCGCGTCGTGATGGAAGCCGATGGAGACCGTTCTGATAGGGATAGGCTGGGAAAGCTACTTGAGCAGCTTCTTCAGAAGTACGGGGACGCGGTTCAATTCGGCGAAGGGGCCCTTGAGGCGATAATGCAGCGCTGCGGCCCCAACACCATTCAAATGCTATTGCACAAGAAAAGTAACATTCGGATCACTTCGGGGATGATAGAATCGCCCGCTAAGGGCAAGTTCAAGGCAGCTGAGGTTATAGAGCTTCTTCTCCGAGAGTGCGGGAGCGAGATACGCATTACAGAGGGTACAATAGAAGCAGCTATGAGCCATGGATTCGCGGGCGGTCAAATCCTGCTCCTGCTTCTAACTGAACGCGGAAAAGAGATCCAAGTCACCGAGTCACTAATGACATACGCCGCCCGAGAGTCGCGGCATCTTTGGAGCTGGCTTGTTTTGCACTCAGATCGAGATATACAGATGACAGAGCGGGTTGTAGAAGAAGTTGTCGGCAACGAGCAGATTGGCGACGAAATGTTGGTGGAGCTACTCACCGAGTATAATGATGTCCAAATCACCGAGAGAGTCTTAGAGGCCGCTGCCAGAAACTTTGGTAGAGGGCTAAAGATCTTAGTAACGCTTCTACATGAGCGAGGGGACGATTGCTATATCACCGAGAGAGTCTTAGAAGCCGCTGCCGGGAACGTGAGAGAAGGTCTGAAGATCCTGGGAATGCTTATATATGAGCGAGGGGACGATTTTTATATCACGGAACGAGTTATGGAGGCAGCCGCCCGGAACACCGAAAGCGGTGCAAATATTATGAATTTCCTTCTCAAAGAGCGACCCGATGAGGCCGTGATAACAGAGAGAGTTCTGGAAGCCGCAGTGGGTAACCTGGAAATTGGAGACAAGATACTGGAATTTATATTTCGTGAATACGGTGATGATATCGAAATCTCCGAAAGAGTGCTCGAGGCAGCAAGCCGGAACGAGAAAAAAGGCGGAGAGATCATCGACATCATTCTCCGTAGATCGAACCAAAGCTTTACGATAAGCGAAAGAGTACTGGAGGCAGCAGCGGGGAACTCGTGGTGTGGCGACGAAATTGTGCGACATTTCATTAGCAAATTGGACACCGAGATCCAGATGACCTCCAAAGTACTAGGAGCGGCCATAGGAAATGGCACCGCAATGACGCTTCTGCACAACTGCACATATAGAGTTCAGCTCACGGAACGTGCAATAGAAGCATGTGTCAGAGAAGAGAAAAGCCTAATGGCATACGCTGGCTGGGCAATCATGCTTGAGTTTGTCCGCTCACGAATCGAAGACGTTCAACTCACTGAGAGGGCCATCGAGCTCATTGCAAGAACATGGCCTTTCATGTTAAAGGAGCTTCTTCAGGAGAAAAAGAAAGAGATTAAAATCACCCAGAGGGTGTTGGAAGAATGTGCTGCAGGTAAAGACGACGACAAGGGAGAAGGGTTGGAACGCCTTCTTCGGGTAACCCCTAGTCGAGTGACTGCCCGTATCGTAGAATCTGCCGCTGCAAATGAGCGAAAGGGAGACAAGATTATCAAAATGCTTCTCGAGGAGTTTGGTGACGAGTTCAAGGTCACCGAAAAGATAATGAGGAAAGCTGTTAGAAATGAAGGAAGTGGTGCGCAGATCATAGCCGTGTTTCTCCGGGAACGAGGCCAGAGCGGAGAGATACAGATCAATACGAGACTGATAGAAGAAGCTGCCATGAACCAAAAGAACGGCGACGAAATCATCGACCTACTTTTACAAGAAAGCGATGGCAGCATTCAACTTACTGACACCATAGCTGAGATAGCTGCCGGAAATGAAGGACGCAATGAAAGGATGTTAGAGACATTCCGGATGAGAATGCGGTGTTGAACTGGACACGAGCTCGTGCACGTAATTCTTTTTATGTAAAATAATCTAAGTTAGATGCTGGACGAGACCCAGCCCGCCTAGGCTAGGACAACAAACGCGTTCGGAGCTCTTGAGCTCATCCTGCTTTACACGTCTTAGGTAGACTTCCGCAACATGAATCCCAAATTTCCGGCAGTCGCACGTTGAATGACTGAAAGTAGCTGAATTGCCACGGATGTAGTTGCTCCTCCGTCGATAAGATTGACGAGGCTATGTTGAAGAGATTCAAGACATTATCGAGAGCATGCTCTTCCGTTATCATCGAAATAGGTTCCTGTGGCCAGCTAATTTGGAAATTTCGATAGCGATAAATGCCTTAACTACCGACAGCGCAATTTTGGCCTTCTCATCTGCTATTACGTTGCTTATTTATTTACCTCCCATATAGACGCTCTTTTGCACACAACAAAAGAAAAAGCCTCTACTCAAGTACTTCACAATGAGCCACCCTTTTATAGTTGGCTAACTGTCAGTCAAATTGGTTCTGTTGATTGATGGTGTCTATCTGGCTGAGTATGTACACAGAGAGTCCTCCTCCGGGTACCTACTGCCTACCAGGTTGCAAATCTCATCTAGGCCACTGCTAGGCTACTACTAGGCAGTTACTAGGCAACTGATTCGTTCAGGATAAGAATCTGTGTTTCTCAAAATGACCTGGGGGCCAGATTGGACCCGTAGGGATGGGAAAAATAGATTCTGTAGATGACCCTTGTGGTAAGTGGCCAACGACTCCATGGCCCGGAAACATGCATTCTTCAGCTGACATTTCTGTCAAAGCACTTTCAGTTTGGTTTATCTATGAATGTTAGTATTTCTGTTGTATTTGCCATTAATTCAATCGACTTACCCCCCATAGCTTTCCTTTGTCATAACGATAAGCGGACATGAATACGATTCTTTGTTCATCCTATGTCGACTCAGTAAGCTGTTCCATATGTTTTCATTGACTGAGAACTTACTGGGCCAGATGTATGGGTTTCCCACCCATCAACCTTCGATGAACTCGTCCTTCCGAAGTCGGCGCCTCCACCTCCATATCCCGGAACTGTCACTTTACCCCCAATAGTGAGCTCGCTCTTCTGACTGTTGAGAACACTAATATATGCTGTTTTCGTTGTGATCAAAGATCTGATGAGCCACAAGCCTCGGTCCAGCTCCTTCGCCCAGTTCGATTTGAGTGCGTCTACGTTGTCGTCGATCCATCGTTTGAACGACGTCTCTCCTGATTCGAACCATGTTTTGGTAATGGGGTTTTCCACTACTAGAATTGCTCCCTTGGAATTTTTCTTAGATAGGCCGAATTTGACCTCGGCGTTCACAGGTAAAACAGCGCTGATTCTTGTTAGTCCCTATGAAAAACGTCTTCAGCTGGAAGTAACACTTACTCTACCTTCGCGTTGGTGGAAAGGTCAGTACTCGTGACATTTGCAGTGATTCTAGCGCTCCATTCGGTGTTGCTGGCTGAGCGGATGGCAGGCACGCCAGTGGAAAAAGGTTTGAGGAGCTTCTGGCGGTTGTAGGCTCTTTGATTCGCCTTTGCGATATCCTTCGGATCCGTTATCTGGGCAATGACCTGCCAAGTCCCATCATCGTTGAAACATCCAAGTTGCCCCAGTTTCACATCCTTAGTTGAAGGAGGGAGCCAAGGGGCGGTGCCTAGTTGCCATACCGCCATCTGCTCGGTATATATCGATTGCTGACCCTTAGGGCCGAACAATGTAAAGCTTTCAGTCCCACTGTGAGTGTACAAGTCAGTTATGTGCTTTACTGTACGTTGGAAGCTTGCTTGAAAGGCTTGAATCGCGTCAGAAAGACGTTGCAAAGACAAAACCTTACCTAGATTGTGAATCATTCGGTGGCAGACTTCCAGGCCAAAAGTAAGGGAAGTTTTCCTTGTTCTTTGAAACAGGGAAGCGTCCTTGAAAGTCCTGGAATATGCTCTGCGAAAATGGGCAGGCGGGTTGTCCACACGCAATGCAGAGACCAGAGGCGCCATCTAGCGTCCCTGAAGTCGTATCCTGAGACTGATAGTGGTCTCCAGTCTCCGTTTGTGAAGACCAATATCCACCTCTCGCCGATGTCCGCTCACTCTTGCTTCCTGACATGCCTGTACTTGCGGTAGATGGAGGTTGTCTGAAGTCATCATATATTGCTCCAGATGAAGAGCAATCTTTTTCACTTTTTCCACAGGCAGCGCAAATCGTTGAGCCTGATTGTGAAGAGAAAGAGTGATCGGACAAGGCCTTCATACCGGCAGAAGTGTTCTGCTGACTGTTCTGATTGATGGAACTGCTCGAAAATCCCTTGGTGGTTGTTGTCGCACTGGATTGATTCGTCCTTTGCTCGCTTCGAGACGATGTCGTGTTTGTATTTTGTTGGCTTCGGGATGATGTTGTGTCTGTATTCTGCGCCTTGCCTGAACCATCGGACCCATTTGAGGTTTGGCTGTGTCCTCCAGAAGATTGATTTCCATTCTGGGTCTGTCCGCCAAACTGGTTTGAGCCCCGGTTCGTAGTTTGAGATGAATCCTGACGTTTCTGATTTAAGGCGCTACTTGAACCATCGGACCCATTCGCGCTTTGGCTGTGTCCTCCAAAAGATTGATTTCCATTCTGGGCCTGTCCGCCAGACTGGTTTGAGCCCCGGTTCGTGGTTTGAGATGGATCCTGACGTGTCTGATTGAAGGCGCTACTTGAACCATTACGGGTAGTTTGTTCACCCGTTCTCGACAAGCCCTTGTTGACGGAGTCCGTCCCCGACCGTGCGGCATCTTCCCCGGACTGTCTCACAGTTCTCCTTGAACCCGAGTTCTCGAGTTGGTTTTGGCTAGTATCATTAAGCGCTTGTGTTGAGCTTCTCGGAAAAACCACTAACCTGCTGCTACTGGAACCGCGATTCTTCTGTTCGGTGCCTCCTCTATCTGCGCGAGCAATCCCCCCATTTGAATCTTCGACATTCCCATCACCATCATTTATCTCTATCTTAGTAGTCGTTGTCGTGCTGTGTGTTTCTATCGTCTTAGTGACCTTTCCCTTGCTTGATGCGTGGTCCTGGGATGCGTGGTCCTGGGAAGTTTCGTCGCCGTCTCGGAAGCGAACAACTTTATCAGCATCGTTCCGACCGTTTGTATCCTGAGATTCTTGGCTCTTATTGTGGTCGTAACTGCTCCAATTGTTGTTCCATTCATTTCTGCTCTCGGTTGTCGAGTAGTTGCTCCACACATCATCGATGAATGATCCAAAGCTCTGCGATTTTTGGTCTGACAAGTATCTTCCTCCATGTTCAAGCGGAGTGTATAATGCCTTGCTGTCTTTGGGATCGCCGGAGAGACTAACGGCGGTTGAGCGAGAAGCCGGCAAGTAATGGAGACCGCCATCAGCTGGAAGTGGAGCAGTCATGACCGATAGATAATCTTCAAATGGATTGCCCCATTCGCCGATGACAGAAGCAGAGTTGATTGAGCCGCCATAAACATGAACCCCGACAGATTTCGTGAACGAATCGGTTTTCAGAAAAACGGGGGAACCGGAGTTACCTAAACCACAGAAGGGTCAGCAAGCAAAATAGAAAGGCTCAGGCTACTCTCTCACCTCCATAGGTATCGATGGTGTATTCCAACATTCTCAAGTCCTGCTCGGCGAGGTTAAAACTCTCCTAAGCGTTGTTAGCACCGAGGTTAATCTTCAGACAATCTGCTCACTCACTTCGACGAACATCTCATGCATGAGGGCGCCTCTTTCGCCATCATGTTCGAGATCACCAGGATAGCCGACGACTCCTAGCATATTCGTACCACTGGTAGGAGTCTCCATGAACTCGATTGGCTCAATGCCTTCGAACGGTTTGTTAAGCTTGACAAATCCTACATCGAATGGTTTGGCCCCTTTTCGAGTGAGCCAGCCTGCTGTGGTGACACATCTGACACCGGTGCGGAACTGAACTCCAGGGGTTCCGATAGACTTCTTACCCTCGTACCCGATGTACGCTTTGATAACAGCTGCACGACCAAACTTGGGTCCATGGTTGAAGACGATGTGGCCAGCCGTCACCATTAGGTCAGGGCGGATTAGCCAGCCAGTTCCCATAGCCCACCCATTCGAATATTCGTATTGCGCAAATATTTTGACGATCGCTATATTCTCGTAAGGACGCAAATCGGGCAAAATACGACAAAAGTTGTGTACACTTACAGCGATACTTCCCTCCAGGGGCGTAATCTTCCGGCTTCACTGGTGTTCGCTCATCCTCACCAACCACCGACTCTGAGCCCGGATTGATGGACTTCATCCATTGTGCTTCTGCCGGGGGCTCTTCTTCAGCTGACGCTAGATCCCATACACCTGCCACGAGATTGCGAAGTTCAAAATCCTTCTTTTGAAGGTTCGAAGCACTCGACAAGATGTCATGGGATTGGTCGACACGAGAGTTGATGAAAGGCATTTCGTCGTTGGTTTGTTTGTTTTATGAGGAACAAAGCTGCGGTAACAAGTGCTGGACATTCGAGTCTGATGTGGCCTCAAGTCATTCATTTATACTTGAATCTGTTCCTGGTCGGTCAGATATGGCTGCATATGATTCGAACGTGTAGGTTCCGTCGTGTATGCTCTAATCTAATGAAAGTCGCTTGCATGACTATCGGCTTGCATATTTTCCTTGCAAATATTCACGGCTTGGAGCAGATCGGTCACAGTTCGCGTCACGAAAGACCAACAAGGCCTCAGCGTCCTTGTTGCACTCTACATGGCGCCCGTTGCCGATTGGCATTTGACACAGTTGAGCTCGCTAAGAAGACTGCACTCGGTCTCCTCCAGCTTGCATCTCGACTCCTGCAGCTAGGACATCTGCTGATCCATCGTCTGCGAAGCTTTCGCCTCCTTGTCGCGCTCCGCATCGTCTCCGCTGCCAATTGACCTTTGATGCAGTTGAGCTCGCTAAGAAGACTGCAGCTGGTCCATCCACCTTGCATCTCGACTCCTGCAGCTAGAGAATCTGCTGATCCATCGTCTGCAAAGCCTTCCCCTTCCTTGTCACACTCCGCGTCGTCTCCATTGCCAATTGGCCGTTGATACAGTTGAACTCGCTAAGAAGACTGCAGCTGGTCCCCTCCAACTTGCATCGCGACTCCTGCAGCCAAGACATCTGCTGATCCATCGTTTGCGAAGCCTTCGCCTCCCGTTGTACTCCATAACGTCTCGGTTGCCAATGAGCATTTGACATGGCTGAGTTCGCTTAGAAGACGGTACTCGTCATTTTCGTGCTTTCGTATACCCCACTGCTGATGCAGATATTCAGCTGGTAACTTCCTACATCAACCAGGGACTCTTATCACCAGCGACGATCACCCCTCAGTCCGATACGAGCTGGTGCTTAGGACATGACTTTGATCTAGACCGAGCTCCGAGCACTTCGAAAAGATGAGAAACACAGTACTTTGCTATAACAATGGCGGACATGTAGATAAATATTTGACACTGAGATGAACATCTGGAGTATGACTGTATCCTTGGTATAGCACGAGTCCTAGCGATCAGATCTTGGATGTGGATGGGTTTCTACCTGTTCCGCATTACCTTTGAACGTAGTTGATCACGGAAATCCAAGCCAAGCCGAATCGAAGAAATCATTTCCGAAAGCGTCGAAAGCGCAGGCAGTCGACAGGGGATAGCTGGTGTACCGAGCTAATCATGCAGGCGCATCTTTCAGCTGCCTTCTATCATGTTACATGGGGTTGTACGGAGACAAGCCTATTTGAGAAGCAATCTTTATCAACACCTCCTCCTCAGCTAGCCACAAGCATCTCGGCTAGTCTAAAAAATGCACTTATGACTGTAGATCTTTGGCCAGACAATACTTTTGGGAAGGAGAAAGAATAATCCATAATGGCGGACATGCATCGAAACTCTCACGTAGTCGTACTCACGTATCTCTCTTGTTCACCTAATTCTCTTATATTGGCATAAAAGATGACTCGTAGATTTAATCGTGAAAGCGTAATGGCATCCTCTAAATCGCCATACGAGCAATTATGCCGTATCTTGATCACAAACAACCTCTCACTTAACCTCAAATACCAGAGTCACTACCTTAGTCAAGGTTCTTGGGCTCCCACTTGTCCCCCAGCCAGCACCATCAAATCCGGAGAGAGTCATGAAATGGAAGCGAGAGGAAAGGCTCCCTTCCCATTATCGAAGCCATGTCTAACATCCGGCCAGGGGTAGCTGGCGCACAAGGCTGTGTAAACTATGTGTTGGATATTGGAGCGGATTCAGTGAACGAGATCGTGCTTCAGTTGTCCTTTGAAGGTGGCTTCCCATGGGGAAGTAATAGAGCCTTTGGTCGAGTATTATCTGCTCCAGACAATTTATTTCGAATCCGACAAGAAGGGCCGTCCACTATTGGCATGAACTACAGTAAGATGCCCTGGGTTACTCTGCAGTCGATGCCGCTGACAGATCCGCGATTAAAGCCGTTCATTTCACCATCGACTTTGATCAGGCTTTTTACAGTCCCTCCATCAAAGCAGTTGGAAACACATTGGAAGAGCCGGCTCTCGAAGTGCAACCAGCAGCGGAGCTTTTGTACCCCACCGGGGATGGGAACGAACCTGTGCCAGCCATCGAGGAACAATTAGGTGAAATCCCAAGCATTCCTGAGCACAGTTTCCCCGCCGAGCCAACCGAGTTCTGCGAGAGAAACGCATATTCCGACGGGACAGGATATGACCGATTTCACCCTGCGACCTACGATCGCCACTACGATGTAAATTTGCCGAACATGATATCCACGATTGCCAGATTCGGGATGCATGTCGCTGCACTCCATATTACTACATCAGCGTATCGAACAAAGGTGTTTCTAGCTTGTTGTAAGGATCAGAAAGTGGTTGAGGTAGAGATCAGGTTCTACCAAGATTTCTCGGCAAAGTGGGAGACTATCGGTCGGTTCTTGAGCACAAGCCAAACGCTTCTCGAGCAGAAGGCAGGCTCATCTTCGAGCCTAGGCTCAGATCTCGAGGAAGCTGTACTAGGAGATGTGAGCGTACAGCCGTGTGAGATCTGGGCTTCGGGCAATGTGTGCTGCAACAGCTCGGCGTCGAGCCGCGTTTTGCTGACACAGGCGAACGCGGCAATTCGACAATCGCTGAACCTGAACATAGCATGACGGGCTGAGCTGCTAGGGCAAGAAGATTGGTGGGTGTAACGCCCAAGACTGTGCACTTCAAACTTGTTCAGTTTCGCCGAAGTTCGTCGTCGTTGGAACGATTCACGTGACTCGCCTGACCGCCTTCGAGAAGGGCAAGCCCAATACGGTCATTTGGTATCTAAGCGAGCCGCAGCTGTCTAATGCGGCGCTAATGCGGCTCTAATGCGGCTCTAATGCATACCGCATTGGAACACCGGCCCACGACCACCAACGCCCGCCCCAGACGTCTCGTATTGCCATGTAGGAGGATTGCCGTCGTGATTGGAGTATTGTGCTGGCTTTCCTTGCCGCTCGACGACCGCGTCCTCTTTCCCGCGGCCTGCGCCTTGCCCGGTTCGTCCTGCACCGGTAGTTGTGGGATGGTCATGATCGCCATAGTCCCACCTACCCAGCTATTGCGGGCATCTTTACCCACTGACTGCACTTACATAGGACAATCCGGGAAAAAGCCATATCCCAATGCATCGGACACCGGTCCCAGAATGCGCATCTCGTCTTGGGTAGCAATGGATGCCAAGTACAGACTCGCTTCGCCGCTGCCCGCGCTGCAGAACAGCCGGAGGGGGCCTACCTGAGTCTCAACTTGCAACTGCTTGGAGTTTCTCGGCTCGCAACTGCCCGCGCTACGGAACCGCCGGAGAGGGCCTTCTACCTGGATCTCGGCTCGGAGTTTACCCACCATGCACGTAGGCACGAGGCACGTTCTCGCCGAAAACAAGACCCCTGCCCTGACGTACAGAGATGCAGCCATCTGTTGCTTTCCCAGCTGAGGGAGCAAGACGGTACAAGGTGTAGTCGGACCAAAATGGCATCAACCCTTCGCTTCCAGTTCTGATTGGTTTGGGCACCTACCCTGCTGCAGATCAGCTTCCCTTATGGGGACTTGACCAAGAAGAGTTTTCCCCGGCGTGAGGCTATTTTCTGTAATTGGATTATGCACCAAGTAGCTAATATCTACTTCAGGCCGGGTTGCTTGATGATCATACCGTTTGGCGACCCCCCAGCCCTGCTTCCTTGCCGTATTGGGTCCTTGAGCGCGCGTCCGATTGTGCCAAACGGTCCAGACTTTCTGGGGCACCCCACGAACCGGTGGATTGGGCCTAGTCCATGGCGATCAGTCTTATTGTTGAAGCGTGACGCTATCACGGCTCAGCTACGAGTGCTATCAGGTGGACCAGGGCCCTCAACTTCAGCTTGCCTGCATGACACGCGGTATACTCGGATTTATGGAATAGGCTATCTTCCAACCACAGCGAAGCCCAGAGACTACAGTATTAGCTTATCCGGCACCATGCATCCTCGAAATCAACTCCACGGTCATGCATACGCGGACCAACAGCTCTCAATCGCTTAACTTGCTCCACTTCCATCGAGATGGTATAGCTCGGATTGTTGTTGAAATTTCAGCTGGAAACTAGTCTTGGGATCAGCAAGAGACACTCTAGAGCGCAACACGTCGGTTAGCTTGTCCTCGGGTGTAGGCTCGACTACCGGACTTGGAAAGGTCTCGCGCTGGTCCGATAAGCTGTTGGATGTGTTGCCACGGCCTTGGTCGGATGAATGTGTTCACGGCGTGTACAGGGGTCGACGTTCATGTTTGTTTCTCACGTTCGGTGGCAAAGGTATAAAAAGCGGTCAGAAGTTTGGGACTTTCTCCGAGCAAGCTATCAGCTACCTATTATCGATTCTTCTTCACGGTGACCATCCTCAAACCATCAGATCTCAACCACTACACTTCCCAAACCCACGTCGACGCCATGCCAGAGGTTAAGAGGGAAACCGTCGTCGACGAGAAGCACACCAAGACCGTCGAGTATGGAGGTGCCAGTAACGGGCAACCTGCCCCTAAACCTCCACCAGAGAGTGTGCCTAAAAGTCTGCCCCATCACACCCAAGAATCAAAACACAACCATAATCCAATCTACAATCGAGTTATGTCGGGCGCAATCTTCGTTGCTTCTCCTCCCAATTCAGCAAAGTTGGATTTCCCTTCTGCCGCTGCCTCTATAGGCCCAATTGGGAATCCAGCTGCAGCTCTGGCAGGCTTTACTCTAAACGCTGCATCTGTGCTGCTCCGAGAGGCGCAAGCGGGGAAGCAAATGTCAGTAGTGGCACCTGTCGGAACGCTTGAGCGAGCCATTCTTGCGGAAGCCGCGTTTCGAGTCGTGGAGAGACTTGACCTGGACGCACCCTATAATCAGCAGGTCGAGGATGCCATGAAACACCACATCGACACAATCGGCATCAAGGTTGCGGCCGCGGCTCCTATTGTCATGGACTCGATCATGGAACCAGTTCTCCGAATCGTGCTGGACCAATTGAAGCGGCCTTGTGCCAAAGGTCACAACTGCCATCAGGGCACCTCGTTCGATGACCATTACTGGAAAAACTCTCAAATTTCTATTCCCACGGCAAGCCCTTTGAGCAACCAGCTTATGACCAGCTTCAAACAAGCATACAAGGACGCGCCTACACCCGCTGAAAGCCAAGAGGAATTCCTATGGGGCCTGGCTGGGCCCTTGATTGGTGCTGCCGGCAACCTACTCGGCGGTCTTTTGAAGGGGAAGAATAAGGCAGAAAGCAGTATGGCCGGAGAGGGAGATGAGGAGGGCATATTCAGCCGTATACCGTGGAATACACTCGGCAAACTTGGCGGTGCGGCTTTGAGAAAGGGAGTGGATATTCTGGACAAGAGAAATGCAGCCAAAAAAGCAGCAGCCGGGGGCACTGAAAGCGAGATGGGCGGCGACGAAGAATTGTTTGGGATCAGGATCCCGATCCTCAGCGACCTTCTGGGCGAGAGCGCTATGGCCGAAAGCGAAACGGGCGGCGAAGAGTTGTTTGGAATCAGAATTCCGATCATTAGCGATCTTCTGGGCGAGAGCGCTATGGCCGAAAGCGAAACGGGAGGCGAAGAGTTGTTTGGTTTCAGGATCCCCATCATTAGCGATATTCTGGGCGAAAGCACCATGGTCAGCGAGACCAAGAACTCCAGAGTCTCCTCCCACGGTAAAACCAGCCTACCTACCGGTAGCATCGGGGGAGATCTTGTACGCAGGGCCATCGCAGGGGAGGCTGCCCTACAAGCCTTTTTGGAGCTTCCCGTCGAAGTGCTCGAAGATGAGGGGATCATGGAGGGGCTTGCGACGTTCGTGAAGGATATCGCGCCAGGACTTCCCAAGTACACGATACCGGCGATGAAGAATCTTGCTCCCAAGATCCGATCCATGGTTGTCAACAAAGCTGGAAAAGGCGGCCAAAAGAAACTGAATGGGGCTCCTCCCAACGGCACTCCATCTCAGCACAATTCAAGCTTGAAAAAGAGGAAGAGCTTGCTCCTTCCTGGTGGCTATAGCCACACTGCGAGCAAGTTTGTCAACCAGTCTTCACCACAGGAGGTCTGATGAGCTGTTCCGGTCTCCAAATCTCTCCTCTGACTATTCCGTTAGGATGCCACGGACAACTCTGTGAGACCCCAAAGCGACTTCATCAGCCTCTGAGGCACGACAATACCTTGGTGGGTCTGGTTTCATGACAGTACTGCCCAGCCGACTTTTGAAGTTAACCTGAAAGAAGAGCGGAGAGAGGGGACCATGAACAGAAAGTTCAGATCAAATGATTAGAAGCGCCACTCATTATTACAAACTCACTGTCATTACTGTATTTTTCACCATGCTAGCTAGTTTATAGTCTGTAGATAGCCCAGTCCTTTCTGCCTGAACTTTAGCACTTGCAACTATGGATCATTTGGCTTACATAATCTGAATACCGTGAACGTTGGCATTTCAGATAGAAACTTGTTTCGCTCTGATATTCTCTGCCGACACAAATTCGCAATTTCTGCATCCATGACCTAAGTTCTTATCTCCTGACATCGCCCGCTAAAGAATACGGGGACATGACATGAGGAATACGTTCCCGATTGCTATCTCACATGGGCGAAGTTGATCTATACTTGCAAAGACGATCTGCCCTTCTTGCGAACTCCGTGACACTCATGCTTTCAGCTCAACTATGACCGTACCGTGATAAGGCTCTAGATACAAATGAGTGCCAAAGGCAGATAGCATATTGTCACATTGTTAAGTGACATGCCTGTCAACCGCTCTGCCCAGTCAAATGATAGCGGCAGCTATTAAGGGGTTGGGTTGCCATTTGGCACCCATGCTTTCAGCTCAGCTGTGGCTGTGCCTCGATAAGGCTCTGGATGTAAGTGAGGGCCAAAGGCAAATGGGATATTGTCATACTGTTGAGTGACACGACTGTTGGCCGGGGTTTCCAATGAAGTGATAGCGGCAGATATGACGGGCGTAGACTGCCGTTCGGTGCTCATGCTTTCGGCTCAGCGGTGACCATACCTCGATAAGGCTCTGGATATAAGCGAGAGCCAGAGGCGAATGGCGCATGACCTTCATGCTGAGTGACACGACTGTTAGCCGAAGTTTCCAATCGAATGATAGCGGCAGATATCACGGGCATAGATTGCCGTTGGACACCCATGCTTTCAGCTCAGCAGTGACTGTACCTCGACAAGGCTCTAGATGTAAGCGAGGGCCAAAGGCAAATAGCATATTGCCACACTGTTGAGTGACTCGGCTGTCAGCGGCTCTTTCCGATGGAAAGATAACGGTAGAAGTACAGGTATAAGTTGCAGTAGAGCACCATATCCGTTGCTGAAGTTCATACCTTGTGTCAAACCCTCAATTCGACCACACTTCGCTTTGCTCTTTCTAGTGCAGCAGTTCAAAATGGCATTACGAATGCCACTTTCCGCAACCACAAAGCTGGTCCTCGAAATAAGTAGCGTAGGGACCTGCGACCTGGTAGCCGATATCACAACTCTTGATGGAACCGTAAAAGCGAGATACGTAGATTTCCATAACGCGTTTTCAGTGAACCAGCAGACCTGGGACTTCGACTTGTCAGAGTGGAGCCCTGGATGGTACAGTAACGTGGGGGCCTCTGGATCCCGTATAACTGAAGAGAATATTCTGGTCGTCACATATCGACCATGGGGAGGATATTCGGTCGAACGCCGCCTGAACTTGACTGCTTTCATCACCGTTCGTGGCGATAAGCTTGAGTTCAATAGATGGTATGACCCTGCCCCTATCTTAGCTTATTTGCAGGACAAAGGTACTGGAGTTAATTGAACGTGTGATAGGTCTCCCGGGATCCACTTGTCTGCTTCCTGTCATTATTTTCAGGGCTCAGTATTATCAGCTTGGTGTCTCACTAAATCCGGCCAACTGCAACGTTCTTCAATCGATCTCAATGACCACATTGGCGTAGAGGATGACGAGTTTGTTGTGGGAGGCTCGGGTTTCGCAAGCAGAGTCAGCGGCCTTCGTCTTGAGAAAAAAGACGGTCACCTTTATATGTATGCGATGCTCAAGAATGCCCGAGGATCCTGGTTCGAGCCGAAGAAGCAAGTGAATTTGTCTTTCGCGCTGTTGAACAAGGACGGCAAACTCGTCTGGGAGCCAAGGTATGAGCATCGAGGACCGAAATTGACGGCAAAAATCTGACAGCCTGGAACAGCGATGGCTTATTCGACAGAAACGGCTTCTTCGCCAGATTTCTGGAGGATGTTCCGTTTGTCGGCTTAGTTGTGGCAGCTCTGCACCTGAATGCCGGAAATCTTGTAAAATATCATCTTTTGACCCCGGTAAGCAGAAGGCTGAGCGCTAACAGAATATATAGGATCACGCTAAGGGGGCTGCTATCAGAGCAACGAGTAAAACTCTGATGGCCGTGTACTCAGGGGCCATTGGAGCAACGCTCGGGCCAGTTGCCGCTATCCTTCTCTCCTCGATAATGACGCCTCATATTATGATATTGGAAAACAGAATTGCGAATGAGATTATCGACGATCCTACAGCACTTGACCGATTCCAGAAAGTGACTATAGCAAGAGTGGTAGTTGAGGGTCTCGGGTCAATGGCTGGAAGCGGTGGTGGTGAGATTATGAAGATATGGGCGTCCAAACTGTCGCAACCTTATGTGGAGAAAATCGCAAACGAAGTAATTCGAAAGGCTGGAACTTTTACTGTTGAGAAGGTATCAGGGAAAGCGGGTGGAAAGTTTACGGAGACGTAAGTTACCTGACCATATTTGATATTTTACTAACGCTCTTTTCAGACTAACAAAGATTGTTGCTGGGGAAGCAATGCCAAAGGAGTGGGAGGACGCGGCGGTGCCAATTCATTCACGAGCTATACAAATGTAGGTGAAAAAAGAGGTGGGAAAAACAAAGGCGGAGAAACCAAGAAAGAGATGGACAAACCAGTAGACCAAAAGCTATCTGAGGAAGAGGAGCCGCTATTCAAAGATCTGGATGATGTTATAAACCCTCGACATGATCGGAAAGGTGCATGTGGAATCCAGGGAATCTCATTGGGGTAGCGGTGAGAGCTACAGCAGGCGCACGGCACCTGATGTATAGCCTCACCCTCCTTCAGACCTCCCCCTCTTCTCTACATCCTTAGCATCTTCATCAAATACAGCACGTACAACGTCCACTCTCTCTTGTTACGTGACAATAAGCTTTTGAGACCCACAAACCAAAAGCTGACTGACAGCTAGCGTAACACGTCCGCTCGGAATATATTCCGACGTCACGTTACTCATCTTATATGCCCTATTTGTATTCCCCTTCCTACATAGATAGCACAAGAGTTCACTACATTTCTCCAGCAATCACTGACTGAGGAAAGGGAGCAATACTTTGCGGCCGCAAATTTATCGAGAGACCCTCTTTGCCCTCATTGCTGATTAAACTTGTCGCGGTACGTCCCGCCCGAGACAAGTATCTGCTTCTTCTATCCATGCCTCCAGGCCATCAGCAACCTGCTCGGAGTGCCCACGAGAACTGGTCCATTTCCTCCTATGGAGATGATACGCTGTGCAATAGTATCCTTTGTCGATTTCGAAGTCGCTGTCGAGAAGCGCGCATACGCTACCGTGATTGATTTCACCTCATTACCCTCCACACGTCTCGACTCTTCGTCCCCACCGTACTGATTGATGTGAATTCATGCTCAGTCGCCGAACAAAGCAAGTGCGCCCTCGCCCGCACAAGGCATATTCGCAATATTCTTTCAGCTTCGTTTAGGCTTCTCCTTTCGTCTTTACTCTCCTCTGTCGGTGGCCCGGGTACATAAAAGCGGGCAGAGCTCTAGCCCTAGAGGCTCCCTATATCCTCAAGAGGAAGGACTCGGCGGGAGCTGCACAGGTGCGATCCTTGGGCGTGAGCCAGCCGACCAGTGCGCGGTGTCCTAGGATTGGCAGATTTGACTAGATCGTCGACAGGCTCATCCAGAGATAAGGCAGCATGTGCTTCGCCACCACAACCACTGTGCGAGCCGGAACCGAGCGCGGAGGTACTAGCAGACGAGTCATGTGGGCGGCGCCTGTGACGGACTCAACCTGAGCTGCCTTCATTCAAAATTGCATGGCCTGGTAACGCTGGACATGGCCGAGATGGGCGAACCAAGGTATGGGCTGGAGCCGATCATCGTGGGGGCTGGTTGCATCCTAATCCTCTCGTCCGTGGCAGGCGATGCTATTCCAACGCTCCATGTCAATGCCATGCTATCCGCGCGTGGAGCCAATCTGAAAGGTTAGTCCAGGGTCGGAAGTTAAGGCGTGGGCATAATATCTCATAACATGTTTGGCGGTTAATTTACGGTAGATAGATGTAGAAAGTCTCTGCTACCGCGTATACCTACGGCCCTTACTAGCTGCCCCTGTTGCTGTAATGATCGCGAATGATATCCTGTCCTATTCACCTCCAATACTTCTTAGTAGCCCCTCTTTCGATCAACTTCATTGATCAACCCCTCCCCCCTCTCCTTTTTCCCGATGTTCGCTTCCAACAGCTGAAACGCGCGCTCCATATACCTCGAGCTGTTGCTGCTGATGTGAGGTGTCAGCACCAAGTTCGGCGCCTCCCACAGCGGGTGGTCCTCCGGCAGCGGCTCGGGGCTCGTCACGTCGACAGCCGCGCCGCGGAGCTTCTTCGATTTCAAAGCATCAATAAGCGCGGGCTGGTCGATGATGTCGCCACGCGAAATGTTGGCGATATAGCTTAGATTAGGGTTTGAAGCGGCGAGGAGATCGAACTCAGGAGTGCTGAGGAAGTGGAAGGTTGCTGGACTACTCGAGCTTTAGTGACCTGCTGAAAGGGGTGCGGTCCGGTCTCTACACCTCGGTGATCGTGAAGAGGAAGGAGAGGAGGGGAGGAGCGTCTTAGCTAGTGTAGAGAAGGATAGAGGAGTATACGTGGCCTAAGGAAGCCACGGAGTGGGGTGAAGTGAAGTCAGCCACTCACGTCAACGGCACACTGATCACCAGCAGATCGATCTCCAGCTTCAAGAACGCATGAAGGGCCTCCTTGCTAGTTCCGCTATACCAGGCGCTCGGTATAGAGCCGTCGGGATCGCCGGTGCCGGGCACGATGAAGCCTTTATCCTTTTTGGACTCGGGCGTGGTGCGCGGTGATGCCGTGTAGGCGATCACGTCCATACCCAAAGCCTGGGCTACGCGCGCGACTGCGGCACAGACGTTAGCATTATCGATTGCGTGGGATGGAAAGTTCCATGTTCCATGCAAGCCATGCCTGCTGTGCCTCAGGCATGACGCATGGCGGCTGTGGCGCTGAGCGGATGGGGCCGTTGCGCAGAGTCCGAGATGGCCATCCTGCGTGCGGCGCAGCGATCTCGGGGCGTCCGAGCGTGGCGAGGCGCTGAAACATCTTCGAAGGAAACTTTTCAAGTGTACAAAGCGTATATTGTGGGTTGAGGATGTTTTGAATGTCTCGGATGTGCGGAGATGGAATCCGGCGGGAGTTGGAGGATCCGAGTCCCGCCACTGCAAAAGGATTCACGACTGAGAGATTTGCAGCACTCACCTTGTCGTCCGATGCTCCCATAGCCTAGCACGCCTACGCGCTGACCTGGCAGGTCTCTTACGCTGCCAGCTCCGTTATCTTTTTTCCAGGCATGCTTCTTTTGCGCCTCATAGAGGTCGTTGTACCCGTGACTCTGGACCAGGGTGGTCAGAATGACCCATTCAGCAATCTGCGGGCCATGGATGCCCGTGGCCGTGCATAACGGTATCTTAGAATCGGTGTAGATAGGGTGTTTCATGACATGATTGATGCCGGCACTGAAGAACTGGATAAGCCCCAGGTTGGGGGCCAATGAGGGTGTAGGGGGGAGGGCGGCGACGGTTGCGATGATCGTGGCGCGTTCGTAGACATCTTTTGACAGAATGAGGGTATTAGATAAGATTTTCTGATAGATGAAATGAAAACCGTAACTAGTGGCACCGTCCTTCGACATTGATATTGCAGTATAGATGAATAGAATTGGTATGCATGTAGTGAAAAAGAGAGCTGAGTCGGAAATTCGGACATGTTGTGAGGCCTTAAGAAACATACCTTCGGGAATGCCTGCTTCATGATCCCACACCGCTGTAGTGGTGGCATTAACATACTCAACTTCCAGCTTGGGAAACTTCTTCTTTATCTTGTCAAGGCTCGGGGCCATGTTTGACTCCGGAGCTGGGAACAGAACTAGCAGCACCTCCTTCTTGCTCTCTGCAGCTGGGCTGTCCGGTCCACCGCCCATCATTGCAAGATTTAGTAAAGATATCTGATAGTAGGTGGATGAAAGTGTGAGTAGATTGGTGTGAGTAGATTGTAGATAGCTGTAAAAGGACGGGTGTAGGACATGGGGATATAGGAAAGTCAGGTAGATAGAGGTAATGGTCTTTGATTACTAATGGCCTTCGCAACCAACCTGGAACTCCGCACTTAACAGCATTGAGAGTCGCGATGAAACCGTGAGGATGCAGACGAAAGATGTCGTGCTGTTAGTCGTGGCTCGCGTCACCGCGTGCGCCTAGCTAGAACGCGGCAAGATCTCGATACGGCAATACGCCACGCGGTGGAGTGAACGTCCCGCGGTCAAGGCTTCGATCTTCACCAGACAAGCTTTTGTCCCAGCTAACCGGGAACTAAAATCAAGACACCTCTCATGAACTGCACAATGGCGCTGATATTGCAGTTTCAGGAAATATGATCGGGAAAGGGGGCTTATGGTGCAAGTGAGAGTCTTCGCTGACTGATTCCAAGGCTGTAGAGTTGGAGCAACTGAAGCCGAAGCCACCATGCGCGTCGCCCAGTCCCCTCACCCGCGATATCGGCCTCCAACTACCCACGCGGGGCATGAAAAAGGCGGCGCTCTGAATCTAGAACAAGCCGCCGTGGGTGTGAGTGTGTCTGCCACTGCTTAGGGTGCCTCAATGCATTTATAAAATTCTGAACCAGATAGTTCTAGAAGCTCTTGACCTTGGGCTACGTGGAAATTCGTTGAAGCACTTCAAGCAGTGACAGGCAGGCGTACACACGAGACGGAGTGCTTGATGAGTGTGCCAGTTTCTTCACGCCTAGCGTGCTATCACCACGCGTCAAATACCCGCCCGCGATAGTGATACGAGCGCCGCTTTCCATCCAGACGGTCCAAATTTCCCCAGACCCAGCCACAGAGTAATCCCCAGATTTCAGCTCGCATTTCCTCCGTAGCCGAATCAGAGACGGAAGGCCATGTCAAGAATATCCGTGCCAGGATGCCGAACGCCATCAATCAAGGTTGATTAGACTCGCTACCGATGTCACCCCGAGCGGCACGGCACGGGAATACTGTAGGTACGAAGTACCGGGCGCGAAGTCTTTGTAAGAACCGGACAGGGTAGTTCGAGACGGACTGGTCGTTGATCAAGTCCCAGGGGTAGACGAAACACAACCCGGTAACCGATGCAGTTCAGAGGTAACTGTGCTAATTAGCCTGCTTACGCTTACACCCAGGGGTGCAGACGTGGTATGAGGTCCCAGCGAGGCAGAACATGTCGTGTCACATGCACGTTGTCTAGTTTCGGAGTGATGCGGTAGGGTCGATAAGGTATCATCGAAGATCTGGTCTTCGTTCATTGATGAGAGAATCTATACATGCTGACTGGTGCGCAGTGCAGCTGCCTGCTAGGGCTACTAAGTTTTGCGCAGATCGCTCCGCTGGTACAATATATGTGTGACAGAAGTCAAAGTGTCGCTTCCCTCTTGGGAAGCTCTATTACCGCATCCTTTCGTCGATAGACAAGACACTAGAGTAAGTAAGCCCCCTCCTTCCTTTCAAGGCAGAGGGCGTTGGTGGGAGTAAGGGCAGGGTCGGCCTGCGTACTCTGTAACTCTTGTCGTGGGTGTAATAAGGTGTAGTGTAGAAGTGTGGGTGTAGCGAGACACGAGAAAGGAAGTGAATGCGCACTTGCGGCTGTGCGAAGCCGTTAGAAATCTACCAGAAGCCCACCTGTCATTAACTCCGTCGCTATGATCGTTCCGTTACCCCCTAGTCCGACATGAAGAAGTAAAACGGCTTTTTCCCAACCGGCCCAAAATCTCCAAAGCGCCGGTGCTGATAGTGTAGACATAAAGAAGGTGGCGTTCGTACCCCGGGTATCTTTCGTGGGCTGCAGAGGGCATGCGATACTGCCAATCGCTCTCTGTGCCGTCCTTGAGTGTTGTTCCTTGCTTGGTTGTAAAGCGGAGGGTGGGACTGATGAGTGTCTGCTCACTAATCCCAAGTCGCAGAGTGAAACGAAGAATTTGGAGTTTCTCTATCTGAGACTCGTGTTCACATCTTGTTCGTCATCCCTGGGCGTTCAATCTCGTCCTCCGTGACAGGAGGGTGATAGCCAAGTCCGCCCCTTGCGTGCGTGTTGCGCGGATCCCATTCAACACGCAACGTGGCCTGAGACGGAGCGCGAGGAGTAGAGAAACTGAGAGTCGGACTGCGGTACTCCCGCTGTACCTCTTTGCCGAAGTAATCCGGGGTACCAGTCGCATCGCGATCAATGTCGCGTCCTGACATGGGGCTGGTGACTGCGGTTTCGGGTGATTTGATTTGGGGTGTATTCCCAATCTTGAGAAGTTCGTAGGCACGCGCATCGGAGGAGAAGCGCTTTGCGTCGAGCGAAACGAATTCTCGCTTGGATCCAAATTTGGATCGGACCATATCCCACCATGCTGTGTAGATGGAACCTCTACCCAGGAGTAGCAGACATTCAAGGCCAGCAAGCTGTAGAGAGTTAGTTGATATTACCAAGATATAGAATGATTGAACATACCGATAGTAGCACCAATACCGCGATGATTGTTGGCATGTTCATGAATAGGGCCTGTCCCATGGAGAAACACTTTTCTCTGTGGTCAGGATTGGAGATCAGGCAGACGGTCCAGGGTAATATGGAATCCATATGGTGGCTGAGATTCCCCACGATCTGATTGAGATAGATGAATACCACGGAAAGGAAGATAACGTCTACCAGCATAAAGGCAACGATGGTCATGCCGCGCCACTGCAGCCACACTACCTTTCTTACTCGTCGGTAGACGGCTTTGGCGGACTTTGTTCGGATGCTAGAGGTGGTAAAGGAAGGAAGGCCGCCAGAGCTCTGGGTCTCCGTAGCGTCATCGCTCCACATGTTTTTCACGTAAACTTTGATGCAATAGGCGAATCTACCAACAATTAGCAAAGGTCAAATGGTTGGGCACTTGGTCACTCACGTGGCCAGCTGTATCGCCGTGGACGCACACCCAATCCCCAAGAGCGGGCCCCAAAAGAGCTTCACTGAATCCTGTGCATTCACATGGCAGATGTCTCCAAAGCGAAATGAGACGCCAGTCAAAGTGATGGTCACGGTGAAGAGGGTGGCAATGATTCCCCAGCCCAGGCCCTGGGCAGCGTACATGAACTTTTTCCCGGGCAGGACGTCCCAGACAATCTGAAGATGCATAGAGAGAACGCGAACGAAGACTATAAAAATCAGCGAGTGCGCTCAACGCACGATGTTGGGAACCTACTCCAGACCGTCATTGATAAGCCGCCCGCTATAATGAAAGCACCCGAAAATGCACAGGTCAAGTTCGAATACATGTCATTGGGCGTGACTTCGTCGTAGCATTGCGGTGGTCTCACTGCGAGTGGGACGACGAATCCCAGCTATGTTCGTGTCAGTAAATATTTAGCTCGCAGGAGTCGGATCACTTACGCCGACAAACAATATACCTACGACCATACAGTAACTTAGGTAATGCCGACGAGTCTTCTCTAAGGGAAGAGCGATAAATGATATTAGAAGGAATAAACAGGACACGACGCCACCAATGCTGAGTCCCTCTGCAATTCGGTACCATGTTACGAAGCCTGGAAAATAGTGTCAGAGGAGCATGCGAAAAGGCGAAAAAGGACGTTCTCACTTTCGGGGTAGAGATAGTCGGTGATAGGACATGGTACACAGCAATAGAGGCCCGGATGAATTTGGGGTGCAGGTGCGCAAAATCGCCCATCGACGACTATCGAGTGATTAGTTCCTTGACTCGCTTTGCGCTCGAAGAATGCACTCACATCCGCCATCTGCGCCAAAGGCTGCGAGATCGAAGAACGGAGCTGGGCAGAGCCCTCGGAGTATAGTGTTGTTCGCCATTGTGATGTTCTTCTAATTCAGGTGTCGCAACGGACCAAACTCAGATTACACGCCGTGCAACATTGACGAAGATGCAATGCTTTTTCTGGATGCCTGAGTTCTTGATAGACAGACAAATTGCACAAAAGGAAAATTGTTGACGCTTCGGGCCAGTAGTCAATGCTTTAAACAGGACGAGATCCGTGCCGGAAGAGGGATATTGGGCGGTTTCGGGCAACGGTATGATGAGGCAGGTGGTTAAGGCCTTGTTCCACGCAGAGATGAGACAATAGAGGTTCTGAGTCAAGAAAAGGCTGTGACGGTACGTTGGAAGGGGAACGGGAGGGTACGCAGGATCGATTGGGTTGGTGGTGGCTTGCAAGGGCGCAGACAGATGAGTTGATTACGCAAGTGAGGGTGAAACTGGAACAGTATGAATGGATCGCAGAATGGAAGCAGAGCAAAAGCACGAGAAACGTAGAAGCGCGGGACGGGGTACAGTAATGTAGCCAGGCGGGTCGCAGGGCAGAGCCAGACGCAGACCAGCTGCTTGGGGGGTACATGGAGAGACGCCGCCTGGTTGGACCCGTGCCTTGGACCCAGAGCACGACGATCCGAGATGCCCAAGCCAGTCACCCATGGCGCTCCGGGGGAAGCAGCGCGGGTTGCAGGGCCTGAAGGGGACGCCAGGCATGGCGGACGGTGAAAGGGCTAGGCGTAGTGGGGACGGGAGACAGCCGGGGCCAGGTACAAGCACTTCGGCGTTGCGAGTGGTCGCAACGGCGGCGCCGTCGAGCCCGCGTCGGCGCAGCACGCTGCTATGCAAGCTGATTCGCGCAGCCGACTTCATGTCGCGCCCTCTTACGGCCTCTCCAGGCGCGAATGGAGTATCCATTACGGGGTTTTGCTCGTGCGGTTTGCCATCACGGGCGAAGTGGCACAGCAGAGAGCATGAATCCTCGGGATGCCCGCACTCTCGCAGATCATGCAGTGCGCTCGCCGCCGACGAGTCTCAAGCAGCACGGTGCCGCAATTAGGCGACACCGTCCCAAGAGCCCAATATCGCGGCATGCAACTGAGGCCGCGGCGAGGGCGCGACAATATCGAGACCCTGGACGGGAGGAATTTTGAGGCTGGGCTGACAGGTGCGCGATCACTGACGCGGCGTTCGATGACGACGGATTATGATGATGCTTGGACGCGCCCCAAGCAAGATGAGCATGTTCGCGTTGTTGCTGCGCATGGCTTCGGAGTGGATTCTGCGTGGTGGTTGGTGGAGGGCGAAGTGTGTGGCGGACGGTCAGCCCGCCTCAGCTTGCCAGAACCTCCCAATTGCCATGCCCTCGTGCTCCTCACGTGGCCGCGAGCATGAATCAATATTTGTCGGCTGGCGTGCTCGTCCAGCTTGTGTGTTCAGTCTCTTCATATCCAGTCAAGGCCCAGCGTCGTGCATATCGACTTTCTTTTCGGTCGTCCTTCAGGCTTCAGCCATCCTTCAGCTGGGAATCGGGGACAACGACCTGACTCGCCGCCATTCTGATCCACCGCTGTGTCCCCAAAAGGCCAGAGTACAGCAGCGGGGTGCCCAGTCTTCAACGGGCGGGCTCCTCCGACCTGGATGCCTTGCAGAAATGCCCCGATGGACCATACCGAGCTGCGTTAAGGCGATGCCGCTATCACAGCGCCCCATCGGCTCGTTCTTCTTCACGCCCCGACCCGTCCCTCTTCGCGGCGGCGTCAAGTCGGCCTATCAACGCGTCGAGACGTGCCTTCTGTTGATAGCCCTTCGAATTGGCTGCACGCCTCATTGCAAACTCCGCTTTGTCAGACCGGCCGTCGAATGATCTTTCCACTCCTCTGCTTGCTCCTGGAATCGGGCCACTTCGTCGTGCTTCGCGTGCGAGCTTGTCGATGATGGCAAAGTGATGCCAAATTTTCTCGACCAGCATCCTTTTCCCGTTTCTGGATCCCCATTCAAGGACGGTTACGAGGCCGCCGTTCGTGACCAAGGCGAAAACCCTCCACCCCTCGTAGCCCCTGACCGACTCAACACCAGCCGCGCCGTCTTGCGATGCGGAGGAGGGGTTCCTGCAGAAGGTTGTCAGCCCGATTTCCCGTGCATGGCATCCCGCACCTAACGCGTTTTAGGCCGGACTGGCCACCAAAGGCGGCCCTAGAACCGCTTCCGGACACGACTTGTGCTGTTCTTGCTGCCGGATGTGCGGACGGCATCGACATCCGTCGTCTCGACTTCAACATCATCATTACCGCGAACGAGCTGCCGTTCCCAGAACTCATGCCGAGTCTCCCTACGCACTTTTTCCGTTATTGTGAAGCGCATCATGGAGCACCTTTCTGGTGGCCGCAGCATTCGTGGACTTCTGAAACATTCGCGCAACGCCGGATCGCCATCCACTACGTCCACTATCAACATCATCAACCTGGGAGGTTGCAAGCAGTAGTGCTCCCTCCTCCTCCGATACGACCTTCATCCTTGCCTCCATGATTCTGCGCATCGGGCCCGAGCCGTCCTAAACCGAGTCTAGGTCGCGGTTCTTGGGTCTTCTCGAAGGTGTGTCAAGGCCCGGTCGCATGGTTCAGTACAGGCCGTTGAACAAGTGCGACGTTTCACTAAAAACGAGCGAACCATTTCCCTTCCCTAGCCAAACATATATTCTCTCCATCAATCGCAGGGCACGGAGTTGGTTCAACACCCCCTGGCGTTACGTGTATGGCCTCGCGAACGGTCTGCAAGATGACACTGCAGCTGCATTTCACTACATTTCATTAATAATGGCATCCCGAAAAACTTAACCCGTCATCCACTCCCTAGCCAAAACTTCAGCTGAACCAACTAGCGATTCTGAGACTAATATGCGCTGTGCCCGTCGAATTCAGCTTACAGTCAGTTTGGCCTCTTTAGTATGCAGGAGCGTGTCGCATGCCCAGCGACAGACTACTCCAACCACCATTCTTGCGAGAGACGAACGTCACTTAAACAAGCTCGCCACCCTGGTCGCCATCCTGGACTGACACGCTGTGCACGACCTGCCGTGCCGCAGAGATTCAGCACGTTCGGTTCCTCACACAGCGATTAACTGTGCACTGTTGCATCGCCCTCCGCAAGCCCGGTACCACTCTACCAGGGAGGTAAGAATGTCGGCAAGGAAGTGCTTCGAAACGCCTTCGAAATGCAAAGCTAGACAGCGATTGCGCGCCACCGAATGGTCTGACCGGAGACAGGACCTTTCCAAGAGCGTGTCCGAGCCGCGGCCTCAGTGCTGTTTCGGGAAGAAAACGACTAAATTCACCCCACGTTCATCAAACATAAATGCTGACAACGACCGGGAACGGACTGTTGAGCTCTGTATCCGGTGTCTTGCGCTATGGATGGAAGTCCCAAATTGGTATGTACGTAGCCCTGATGTTCATGAATCGTTAAAGTACTATGTAAAACGAGAATGCTTCTACCGCACGGCTCGTGCACAACCTACGATCCCGTTTTAGGGTCGAATCCTACAGACTTCGTGTTTCCGTAGAGTCCCTTTGGACCTCCGAACAGCCTCGCTACGAACGCAATGCAGGTAAGGATTCTCTTTGCGCGTGGTAAGTTGTTCACGTTTTCACCTTCCCTGCATCTCACTCCGTCACATGCTATTGTCATGTGCAAACGCCGCGCATTTGTAGACCCATCGCAAGATCACGAGGAGATGCAATGCGCCGACCGGACATACGCCGTTTACCACACCGAATCTGTAATGACAACCTCGCTTCATACTACCCCGGATTCACCTACGGATTGGATATCGGGTGCATGCGCGTATCCGCCCTCTTCTTTGCTAGTCTCGATCTCGATCATGAGTTCGTGTTTTCTTCGTTGACTAGGAGTATCGACCGGATGTGCATACGCGTACATAGACTAGCTACGCTTAGGGCGCAAAAATCCGCGGGTAGATTCGCAGTTTACACATGAGCCACTGTCTAGTAACCAACGCTTTCAGAATACTACAACCTCGATAACGTTGCCATTGAATGTACATCGAGCTCCTGCTTCCTATGTAGCACTAGAAGACCTCATACAGTAGCACTTTGAGTCGAAAGAGGCAGCTTAAACATCAATCCGAAGGACAAAGCGATAAACTTGAATCCCGTGCGGACTTCAGACAGCGTTGCATGATTTGAGCTTCCCTGAAATCACCACAATCACCAGCAGTTTCCTGACACACCTCTCAAGCCAGGACGCGTTTCTCCGCGTATCCAAGTTGCCACATACGTACTCACTAATCGAATTACTCCCGGCGGACACTTGCAGCTTTGGGAAGCAACTGGCTGAGGACAGCGGTCATACGGCGCTCCATTATCAATAGACTATCGATAGAAGTAGCTCTGGTGTAGCAATGGTTTCATATATTGGTTACATCACAATTCATCGTCGCTCACGACTCCTCGGCACGTACATGCACTCATCATTGGCTATATAGCTCTCCTACTTATCATTGACTCCCTCCTAACCACTGCCACCCATATCACCCAAAACGCGCTTGACACGCGCTCCCCTCCATCTACCGTACACGGCTATCCTTTACCTAGCCCAGGAACCGTTGCGTGTCTCATCCGACCCACTCCCCAAACCACAGTTTTACCCACTTTCCCCATCCGCCACCCACCCCACCCCCTCCGTCCCGCTCAGGCGAAACTGTTGAGACTCTCGAACGTCACAACACGGCACCTATGTATCAACACGAACCCCCCTGAACCGCAACCTCCGCGTGATCCCATTCGCTACACCGCGCACGGCATGCCGTCCCGCGTCAGCGCTTCGCATCCCGCTGCCGTGGCGCTGGACAGACCCAGCCCGGTCTAAGACAGACGCCCCAAGAAATTTGCTTTTTCGGAGATGAACGTTCCCAGCCACCAGCTGCCGGCTTAGGAATTTGAGACGCTATTTTGGAAAGCTGAGATACGGCTGGGCGGTGGTTTGGGAAGGTAGGTTTTAGCGAGGCGAGCGCCGACGGGGGTGCGGAATGTTCTAGGGCGGGCGTGGCGCTGTGGGGTTTAGGGATGGGGTGGTTTGGGGGAATGGGAAATGTGGGTTTGGGAAGGGATGGTGGTGATGGGGATGGGGGGTGTGCGGTGCGTGATTGGGTGGGGATTGAGATGATGGAAAGTTGAAGCTGGGTGGGTTTTTTGTGGTGCGATGGAGCGCCCTGGACGTTGTCAGCGGTCTGGTTCATGGTGGGCTGACATCCTGGCTGGTTTTGTGGAAAGGTGTTGGAGGACCCGAAGCAGTGGCAAGGCAGAAGAAGTAGGCCAGAACCTGTGGAACCACAGCTTTGCGAACTGTGATAGTTGAAGCACTCATGTCCATGTGTAGGAATCGTTGAGTGCTATTCTGCCTCACCGACACCCGTTTACACCTCTGACCCTAAGCAGCCGTATATCACGAAACGCACAATGAAAGAATAGCTTTCCGATCTGTGATGTCTATGCAATCACCTCGCATCGTCCGGCTGATTAGCGCTTCGCATGTTCCTACATCCGGGCCAGAGTTCTGAACGCGTATCAGAGGGCCCGAAACAGTGGCATCGCCAAAGACAGTTCCCATATCTGAAGTACAGCCGTCTAATTGGTGCACATATATCGAGTACAAACTCTCGATCTGCGATGACTGGTGCCCTCATATCAATATGCTGCAGTTCCCCGTATCTCGGAACGTGTGATATGATTCCCCGCGTCCCGTCTTGTGCCAGCATAGAACTCGACTCACAGGTCTAGACTGGTTACATCCGTCTTCTTCCTACATAAAGATCACATCACATTATCGACATGCCGTGGTCGCTTGCTCAAGTGTCCCGTATATCTCATTCACTGGTGGTAGGCTTGTATGCCGCTAGCCGAGCAGAAGTCGTCACATTACATCCCGGCTGTCACATTGCACAAGAGCAAAAGGAATGCATGCCATGATCACTGTTCAACATGCGTAGCTGCCGTGCTAGCCGTTCCGAACACCGTGAGAGCAAAAAGATATGCAAAAATCAAAAAAAGGAATTTCGACGTGGGCAGGACTCGAACCTATAACACAGTTAGTTGATGGTATCGGAGATAGGATAGCGAGGCACTTTCCTGCGCTCCCGAAGGAACAAGCTTTCTAGGCTTGCGCGATAACCACTCCGCCACCACGCCTGCTGGTGATTGATGAATAGTGGGCAAAATTATGTTGTATATGACCCGTGGAAAACTCAACACGAAAACCGACACTAAGAAGCACTAGTGGACTTTCAGTAGTGACTGGGATTAGGTACTATGTACCACTGATAGGTACATAGGGTGGACATTCGGCCCCACTGAAACAACACTTCAAAGAATGACTTGGTATTCTTCAATTAGGATCACAACACGAGCTAGTATGTCGTTCAGAAGAGGTCTCTCTTCCATTCTAGTTATTCAGATTCACCTTAGAGGGGAATATGTCATTAATTAATATTTAGAGAGTGTTGGAGTGCGCTTCCGCCGGTCCACTTCTACGTACTCATGAAAACTACTCTTCCAATTCGCTATGGTGATCATTTCCTACACTCATAGCAGCATGTATATCTCGCAATAAATTGAAGTAGAGGATGTCGTTATGCAGTCCCCAGATGAATGTGTTCAGAATATTTGATGCTTTGGCTATCTGAACGATACTTGTCGTGTGCAGTGTGCCAAGCATCACCGAGTTCCCTCACAATACCCCCTCGACACTCCCAAAGCCGCTACAGAAAACTCCCCCTCTCAAACCTCGACCCAAAATCCGCCGCCTTACTCAACATCTCCTTCTTCTCCTTCGTCCCCAGCCTCACCCCCGCTGCGACATCCTTCTCGCGATCAAACGCCCTCTTACTTGGGTCGTCCTCCTTCTCCCTCGTCGTACTCGCCTGATGCCGCTCATACAGACTCTTTCCCCGATTTCGCTCATCATGCTCCCTTACCCTCCTCGCCGTCTCCTCTGTCTCCCGATCCCTCGCCTGCTGCCGCGCCGACACACTCGCCTTCCCTGCCGGCGCAACACCCATAACTTCGTCCGCTAGCCGCTTGCGCTTCTGCTCCGGCGTCTCGGTCCAGATGGCATTGTCGCCGTCTGTAGCTGTGGGCGCGCGTGCGCCTTTGCCACTATTGAATTTGCGCGCGCGCTGCTTGGTCGGATCCATGCGCGCAGCAAGATCATCAGCCTTGGGGGGTACCATCATCCATTCATCGCGGCGCGGTTTGGAGGAGGGCGCAGCGGGTGCATAGGCGGGGTTGGTGTCGAAAGCGGATTTGGGTTCGGAGGGTTCATCGCTCGATGCCTGTGTATATAATCAGTGAGGGGGGTTCGAGAAGTCTAAGTAGTGAGGATTGCGTACATTTGCGCCATTCGCTGGGGGTGGCGCAGGACCGAATTCGTCGTCGTCGCTGCTATTGTCCTCTGAATCTGAGGCTGTAGGGTTTCCTCGCGGTCGTTCATCTAGAGGTGCGGGTGGTGGTGCGGGTCCTAGGACTTTGCGCCGCTTGTCGCTGCTTTCGGGGCTGCTGGAGCCGTTCGGTGAGAGTTTAGGGGATTCATCGTCTTCGGAGTCGCGTTTCCGCTTGGCTAGGAGGTGGGGAGGTATCTGGGGGCCTATTGAGGGCATTTTGGAGGCTTTGTTGGTTTTTTGTTGTGGTGATGTTTGAGGAGTATAGGAGGTTGGTGGTGATATAGGTAGGAAATCGGTGGGGGCTTCAGGTGGCGATTAGGCGGGGGACTTGTCCGGCACTGGTCTAGGGGTGAGGGGATGACCGTGTTTAACGTCCACGAGCGTGTTAAGTGCGTGGTTTGAGTCCAGCTGGAACCCGGCGTGCTTGAGCACGAAAGGGTACGCAAGGAGGAGGATGAGGAATGCACACCAACCGGCCAAAATGCAACCGGCGGATTTCTGGAGGCTCTGAACAAGGGTTTCAACGGCTTTTGTAAGGTGGCCGACGATCTGGCCGGTGTTGGAAGGGCGGTAAGTGCAGACTTTGGACTCGGCCATGTTCATGTAGCCATGATCGAGATATACCATGGCTGCATGGGAACCTGCATGATAGGAAGGGTACGTAAACAATTATGCCTGGTGAGTGTGGCCACGCTGCACCTCCAGAATTGGTAGCATGGTTTGGTGAAGCGGTGTTTGCCGGATCGACACAGCGCCTCGAAGCTTGAATGGTACACCACCAACTGCCCGCTCCCTACCCGGCGTACGTCTCTACTGAGCTTCGACCGCTAATTTCTTGAGACTTTAAATCGAGCATTGTCGCCAGTCGCCACCTAATATTCCAGACCCCGTTCCGCCGCAATCGTACCTGGATTCCTTCCAGGCATCACCGCATCGCCGCGACGAAGAGTGAACGGACCGCATCGAATAGCTTCGAATACACGGGCAACTTTACCGATGCTTACAGGACGCCGTGTTTAATCAGTTTCCCGCCCACTTCAAGCTCAACTTCCAACGCGCGATTGAAGACATGCGCCGCAGCAAACAAGACCGATGAGCTCAGATTCGGGAGAGAGCCATGTCACCGCTGACAATGAGGAGCGGGGGACAAGCGGTGCACCAGTAGAGGAACCATTTGGAGAATTTGTGGAGCAAGAGGAATCAAACCATGGTGGTGTCCTGACGAAGGAGGTTATCGAGGAAGAGCAGCAGCATGTGCGGGACGAGCTCCGAACTGGCGTCAATGGAGGTTATTTTGCGAGGCATACGACTCGGCATCATGAAGAGGAGGGTACGGATGATGGTACAGAGGTAGGCTCTGGGTTACCTATCCGACAACGAGCTCAGACCCCTGGGAGTCCGGAATCAACATCAATACCAGATGATACGCCCTCGATTCAAGTAAGCTCCTAGATGGCGAATCATGGACACATCTAATTGTTTCAGGGCTCAATACTATCCTCCCCCAGTGTACCAACCTCTCATGCCTCCTTCTCTCGCATGCACCATCCTGCCGCTCTACAGCCTTTCGAACGACGCTTTTCCTCGCGATTAACGCCATCCCCGCTACACTCACCAAGAGTGGTCTCTCCTGCCTTCCTCAATACGCGGTCGCGACAGTCTTCTGTGGCAAGCACTCTTTTATATCAGCAGAGTGAAGCAGACACTCCCCAAGCTCCATGGGAAGTGGTACGATGGACAAAGTTGAAGAAGATGACGGGTCAGATATTCTCAGAGGTTGGGAAGCGCAATTTTGGCCGTCCAAATTGTCTCGCAGTTGCTGCATCGATTGTAGTTGGGACGTCAAAAGGCTTCGTTCTGGTTTTTGACTACAACCAAGTGCTCAAATCCATCATTGGCCCAGGAACTAAAGGTAATCGCAATTCAAAGTGCACGATATGAATTGCGTTAACGACGAATACAGCTATCGAATGTGGTCCGGTGACTTCATTAGCCATTTCCGCTGATCATTCAACCATTGCCGGAGGACATGCCACTGGAAACATCTTCACATGGGAACTTGCAAGGCCGGCCAAGCCCTTTCTTCACATTCCGCCAACCGAAAGAGACGCTTTGGATGGTCGACGGTCTGATGGACATGTCGCTGATAACGCGGTTCTCCATATAGGCTTTCTAGGCACAAGACATACTGCTCTTGTCTCCGCAGATGATGGTGGAATGGCATTTTCTCATCTTGCCACGAGAGGTCTCGGAGCAGTAGCGAGAACGGTGAAGACCACTCGAATTCTCGGGAGATACCCTCTTACAGCAAAGTCAACGGAGCGACCCCGGAAACCTAGTTCAGTGCTAGCATTTGCGCCTCTGCCATTAGGAAATGTGGAGCAGCCGACCGACAACATGGGATTGACTGCGCTTCTTACGCCGTATCTGCTGGTCATTGTGTCCACTACACCCCTTGCTCAAACGCAACACAAGGCCTCCAGACCGAAGGAGATCGCACCTCACAGCACGCTAAGTGGGTGCTTGGCTTGGTTTCCCGCAGTGAAACTAAAGAATGCCTCCGGAAATGCACAACAGCAGGTCTCGAAAACGAAACTCGTGTACTGCTGGTCTAACATTTTGACTATTTTGGACGTCGATGCCATACCGATAGCGGAGAAAGAAAAGCCACCGGAACTCACGTTTAAACCACGGAGTCGCTGGAGAGGCGAAGAAGCTATTGTAGCTATTCAATGGTTGAGCAGATCCGTGCTCGGTGTTTTGACCATCAGCCAGCGTCTGATCATATTGGAAGACACGTCGTTACGGATCACGGACTCATTCGATCTATTGCAGAAACACATATACCACGAAGATTTGTTCTCCAAGCAGCTTCAACCAGTAGTCGAGCAACTCGATGAAGATGATGTCTCAATGCATGGAGTTGTCGCAGACGCCTTTCACATGAGCTTCCGGGCCTATAAAGGGCGGTTGTTCATTCTGGGTTTCAACGATATCTCCATTGGCACTTTGTCGAACTGGGCTGACCGCTTACTGGCTTTTATGGAAGATGGAGACTTTATTGCGGCTATTGGGCTTGCTACCTCCTACTACAACGGCGATGCAGACAAACTCACCGTCGGCTTACCAGAGGACCATACTGCGCGGCATAAGCTCGTTCAAGAGAAGCTCCTTGATATGATGGCCGCTTCCTTGAAATACACCTTTGCGCGGAAACCTAATGTTCTTGATAAAGATACCCGAGAAAAGCAGCTGACAGACTTAGCTGAAGTATGCTTCACTGGCTGTTTGAGTATGAAGGAGCAAGACTTCTTGTTTGAGGAGATTTACGACGCTTACGAAGAAGGATCAGCGGAGGATATCTTCTTCCAAACTCTCGAGCCTTACATTTTGGAAGAAGAGATCACAGCGGTTCCGCCTAATGTTCTAAAGGACCTCATCACATATTATGCGTCCTCAAATCGCGCCAAAAGGCTCGAAGAGATGCTGTGTCGGCTCAATACTCTCACTATGGACATCGACCAAGTCACAACTCTCTGTCAGCAGTATAACCTGTATGACGCTCTCATCTATGTCTGGACGCAGGCACTTCACGACTACATCACCCCACTTATTAACATCTTGACCCTCATCAAGGTCGTTGAGTACGATACTACGGATGATCAAACGGAGAACGTATATGTCACATCCGCCATGAAGATATTCCCATATCTCGCCTACATTTTCACCAGTCGGGTTTATCCGAGTGGCACGTTCATGGACGAGGTGGATGCCAATCAAGCTAAGCGAGACTTGTACAGCTACCTTTTCTCTGGAAAAGCCCTTGACTGGCCGAAGGGATCCGGCGAAGTTCTTCTTACACGCTCGGACAAGGGCCAAGAGCCATCTTTCCCCTATCTGCGCATGATTCTTTCATTCGATACAGGAAGTTTCATGAGCATGCTCAACGAGGCATTCGAAGATAGCTACCTGAATGGTGAACAAGATTCAAACCTGAATGGGAATGGCACTCAAACAAATGGAACTCAACAAGCCTCGTCGTTCACGCCGACTCGACGATACATTATAAACGTCCTGTTGGGTCTGATGACTCCCGAGGACTTTGATCCAGAAGACATCATCTACTTCTACATGTTTCTAGCCCGCAACCTTCCAAAGTATCCCCAGCATATAATCTTACCCGGAACTTCTCTTCACAAGATTCTAATTGGTCTATGCAACTACCCTACCGACGTCGTCAAGGACGACTGTCAGCTCAGCGTAGAATACCTGCTTTCAATATACCATCCCCCAGATCTTCAGAGTCTCGTCCCGCTTTTCGAACAAGCCGGCTTCCATCGAGTCCTCAAGTCTGTGTATAAGAGCTCCCAGCAGTATGCGAAACTTCTTGAGGCACATCTCAACGACACCGAGAGCCGAGAGTCAGTTTTCGAGTGCATCAGCGATTGCATGAGGCCTAGCAGAGGACTCAACAAAAAGCAAATGAACGAAGTCAAGGCTGTCATCGTCAGGCACGCGAGAGAACTTGCCAGCATTGATGCATTTCGAACTGCTAAGGTTACCAAGCAATACACTCCGGATCTTCTACGCGACGTCCTGGATGCTCTGGAAGATGAGTCTGAATCGCAGTATCAATTCTTACGAGCCATCATCGAACCGGAAGAGCAAAGCAAGGTTGATTCGCATTACCTTGGAGAAGGGGCTCCATCTGGCTTCGCTGAGCGATACGTCCAGTTGATGTGCAAATACAACAGCACTCATGTCGCGGACTTTGTGAGCATTTTGAAGTCAGGAGATTTGCGGCTTAGCTCAGTGCTTCCCGCCCTCGAGAAGAGTGGCGTAGTCGATGCTGCAGTTGTGCTCATGGCTCGCGATGGTCTCGTCAAGGATGCCATGGATCGGCTTGTCAAACATCTCGGCACCCTCGAAATCGCTCTGACCAGCCTAATCAAGGCCGCCGCTGACAGTCCAGACGCCGCGAATACAGAAGAAGCCGTCGGGGATCTCCTAGCCAGCGTCGAGAAATACAGCAAGGTCGGAATCTGGCTCTGCCAAGGCCAAACCCGATCCATGGAGCGCAACTCCACCAACCCTACTCGGCTCGACCCCTCCATCGCCGACACCGAAGAAACCCTCGCCATCGACGAACTCCTCTGGCTCGACCTCGTCGACACCGTCGTCAGCGTCACCAAAACCGTCTCCTCGGCCGCCTCGTCCCTACCCACCGCCCCCAACCTCGACCCCCCCAAAATCACCACCCCCCTCCGCGCCACCGTCCAACAAACCTTCAGCGCCCTCCTCGCCTCCACCGCCGCAACACCCAAACCCACCACCTCCCCATCACCCACCCGCTCCCGCTCCCGCCCCCGCCACCACCAACACCCCTCCTTCCTACGCATCCTGCGCGCCTTCCTCACCCGCGCCGCCGCGTCCGCGCCCTCGCTGCGCGACCTGCGCGCCGTACTCGCCGACATCTTCGCCGCCTACGCCTTCGAGGACACGCTCCTCGCCCTCGCGACGCGCTTCCTGGATAAAGACGCCTTCGCGCACGTCGCGGCCGTGCACGCGCTGCGCCAGCGCGGCTGGCGCCCGCGCGGGCAGGTGTGCGAGGCGTGTCGGCGGCGCGCGTGGGGGCCCGGGGCTGGTGGGGATATTTGGGATGCGTGGGCGCGACGGGGCGAGCGGGAGGAGGAGAGGAGGGGGAGGAGCAGGGGGGGGAGTGAGGTTAGGCGGCGGGAGGAGCGGGGGAAGGGGAGGGCGAGGGTTGGTGTGGAGGAGGAAGAGGAGGAGAGTGAGAGTGGGAGGGAGGAGGAGGAGGGGAGGAAGGAGGAGGGGGGGCCGTTGGTTGTGTTTGCGTGTCGGCATCTTTGGCATCGGAGGTGTCTGGTGCGCGCTATGGATGAGGGGAAGGAGGAGGGAGGGGAGGGAAGGGGTGGGAAGAGGCGGTTCAAGTGTCCGATTTGTGCATAAGGGGTGATACTATATGAGGGAGATGGGGAGTGCGTGTATGTGTATCTCTCGCAGTAGGCTCGGTTGGTATTTTCTCGTGTTCGCTTCGAGCTGATGAGCGAGAGAGTGGTTGGTATTCTCTAATTCATTAATCGTGTTGCCATCGCTCAGCGCCATCATTGCAGGTTTCCATATCTGATGAACAGGCCGAGGTTTTCTTGTAGTAAAATTGTATTTCATGTTATCGTGTCGTGTGTTTCGTGGAAGTTCTCCAGCCATGTCATTGCCCTTTGAAGCAAACTCTCCAATCTCCCCTTTCGACATTCATAATCATCGTACATTGTTAAAAGCTTCGGCTGTAAAAGAAGATCCCAATACCCAGATACCTTTGCCCGTCCAATACCTCCAAAAAGTCATACCTCGTTAGTCGATCCAGGAGCATATCGTGTCGTTCGTATTTCCGCCGTCCGGAAATTGTACCGGCCATAAGCCATCGTACGCTGGTCCATCATCCACAGGTCCATCACATACTGGTCCATTCTCCAATGGTTCAGATCCCTAGGTCACCAATCCAGAAGCTCGACCTTGAGACCCGGCGGCGCAATGGACAAGATATCGTCAATCCTCTTCGCACAGATCCTCCTCGCAATCGTATCCTGCATATCCTCCTCGAGCTCAACAACCAAATCCCCATGGCACAGACACCGCCTGCCGTACACACTCGCCACCACCTGGCGCGAGATATAAACCGTCTTCAGCGCCGTCCAGCCCTGGAACAACTTCCGGTCGTAGTTGCTATCCCGGCTCAGCGCACCCTGTGCGCTTGCGTTGCCCCAGAGGCACCGCATGACGTTGTAGCTGCAGGCCAGGTGCTCGGCGAACAGCGTGGTGATGACGGCCTTCTGCGCGGGGACCCGCCGCCGCATCCACGTGCCGATGACGCCGGGGCTGAAGGAGAAGACGTTGAGCATGTACGGCATCAGCGCGCACTCGTTGTAGATCTGGCGGCAGGTGCGCGCGATGGCCGTCATGCGGTCGTGGCCGAGCTGCGGCGCTTCCCAGGGCAGGACGCCGCGGAAGCCGAGGAGCTGCAGCGATTTGGCGTCGGGTTTCTTAAAGCACTCCTCGTGGTCGGCGTACATGCAGTTGGTTAGTGGGCCGATGGGCGAAGGTTTGGGCTCCTCCTCGTTCTTCTTCTTTTGGCTTCCGTTACGTCCCAGGAATTTGGCGACCTTGGAAGGCTCTGGGGTGCTGGCGGCTGTGGAGGTCGGGTTGGACGTCGGGTCCAGCGACCTGTCGTAGACGTGGATATGCCTACCGTCGCCGCCAAAGGCGAGTCTGAAGACGCGATTGCGGATCTCGGGCGGAAGGCGGAGAAGGGGTGATTGCTGCTGGTTGCGCTCGCTTCTAGAGAGATGTTAGAGAAGCCTTCGCAAAGACATCTGGAAGAGCCCGAAACGTACATGGCTGCTATCTCGTCGCCGGGCGATGACAAGTCCACAAGTCCGTCCCTTCTCAGTCGCAGCGCTGGTCGCACTGGAGGCCGATTAACAGCTTCGTCCACCTCCTGGGCTTGCTTGCCGACGCCCATGGCGCCCTTGAAGAGTTGCGCCACCTTTGACATGGCTAGAGGTTCGTCTACGGCTCCGGCCCATGCAGTCTGGCGAGAGGGCGAGAGGTGTAGGAGCTCAGTCCGGTGAAAGAAAGCGGTGGAAGGTTCTGTTGGGCATGCTGTGTAGAGATGGAAGGTCCAAGTCACCGACGTAGGTCGGACGTCTACCACGCGACCCTCGACCGCTTTAGGGAGGAATTGATGAGGATGCAGAGATGCCCAGCCTTGGAAGCCGCCCTCTGGTCCCTCGAATGTCCTCGTCGTCGCCGTCGTTCCGACGCACTCGCTCTCAGTTCGCTGAGTGGTCTGGTGATGGGTGGAAGTCCTGTAGTGAGTCGGCCTAGCCAATCCGCGCTCTTGTCCCTTCTTCGCGCTCACGTGCGCACCTTCCTGCTCCCTCCCCGTTTCGGCAACTCTTGGCTGCTTGCCAAGAAGGCTAAAAGTGTTGAGTCGGGGAAACCTGAATTTTTCGGCCATTCGATGACGCAGCCACCTTTTTGCAGATAACTCAACAACCACAACTCGTAGAACAGAAATTTCAACGGGACTGGATGCGCCGAAGCAAGGAGAATAAACTGAGATTTTATAGGAAGATTATTGCACATGCCCATCAAGATAGGGGTGGGGTCCGCAGGCTGCGGCACCGAAAACCCCACGCCTCCCTACCCAAACGAACCCGCCTAGTCCACCGCCGTCACTGAAGCCACTCGTAAAGGCGATCCTACCATCAGGCTATGCATGCAAGGCATTTTGGGGGTATTTCAACTATCTGGTTGCGGCATACCTACGGCTTGCCGGTCAGGGGCCGGTTGGCGCGATAAGCTGCTAGCCATCATCGCGGAGAATACAATATCACGCATATCTTGGCCGGGAAAACGACAACGAATGGAAGAAGAAATATGTTGGTCATGTTGCACTCCAACGTGGACCGTTGGGCAACGGCCTTGCTGGCACTATTGGGGCATCTGAGTCGGCACCACCAGATGACGGCATAGATCTCCGATTTAGCTTTCGAAGAGGAGTAAGCTTTCCCTATCACGCCATGCGTTTCATCTTCCTTGTTGCGGCGTTCCGCTCTAGACACATTTCCATTTCTTATATCCATACCGTACCATCATACCTATCAAAACGAACTCCACCGAGGCCTAGAGAGCTATCAGGCTTACCGGAAATGGCATTTTGGGAATAGCAATAACATTCTAGAGAACCTTAAGCGGCGCTAATGAAGCGTACAAAGGATAGAAACATTGTGTGCCTCAGTGATGAGAAGTTTGAAATCAAAACCACGGATTCGTGGACTAGGGACTTTTGCAGCAAGCTGATTATCAGGGCGCTCTCTTCTACTACTTTCCTCGTACCGTCCAGCACCACCAAACCGCTTCAGGCTTGGAACCCCGATAGCTCATCAGAAGCCTCTCTCCTTCCGCCGCCTACTTCGGAAAGACTTGGCATACTAGAAGACGGGAAACCGTAGAGAACATACGCGTAAAGTGGTGGGTACTCAGGCACGCAGAATGGTGGTTGTCAGTCGCGGTTCGTGTGGCTGAGTGGGCTCTAGAATTGGAGGTTGGGAATAGTGGCATACGTAATGCGATTAAGGGATCCACGGATTCATTACAACATCAACCGCGGATCTCTGACGACCATCTAACGTACTCGAGGTAGTAAACAATCGCGGCCTGCATTGTTGGAGAGTTACATTGCTATATGCGCTTCGATGTTGAGTTATATTGGCCTACGCACCGATGTCTTTTTTTCAACGACTTATGAAACCATAACAGAAGTATGCCGTCGAACTCTCAGTCAAATGAAATGCACGCTACATTCTCAGCTTCGAGCCAGTCACGGCATCACGATTTCCCTGCTTCACACACATCTAAAGACTCGATCCATCGAAATTTTCCTATCTACAGCAAGAGCTCTCAAAATATGTACAAAACACACCACAGATGCGTCATCGAAACGAAGTCTACCACCACAACCCCTCATACCCATCCAGGCCATCCCTCCACGCAATCTCTACCTCAAGGATCTCGAGTCCGCCTGCTCTTCAAGAGGCTCGTCCCTCTACACGCACTGGTAGTAGTAAGGGTTCCACTGCTTACAAGTCGTCCCCTCGACACAAGTGGTAGCGCCGATGTAGTTGAGCCCGCCGCATTGGTAGTACTTCGCTACGGCGCCAGTGAGGGAAGTGGTCGAAGCCGCGAAAGTAGAACTGGCCGCTGTCGTCGGCTTGGCAGCTGTCACGAGAGTCGTAGGGCCGGCGGCGAAGGTTGACGTAGATATAGTGGAAGAAGCGACCGCGGACGACGTCGCCACAACCACCGGAGTCGACACCACCCGAGTAGAAGAAACAGCAGAGGTAACAGCCGCAACAACCGAAGTCGGCGTAACCGTAGCAGAGGGCGACGAGACAACCACCACAGCAGACGACGCCTTAACAGCCGTCGACGAAGCCACAGCCACCGCCGCCGCCGACGACACAGCCGTCGAACCCGCCGCCCCAACCGTAAAATCCACACACGCCTCATACGTCTGATCAATACTCCTTGCATCCCACCACCACTGAATCACACACTCGCCCCCCGTCTCACACCTGCCCCCCAAATCCGCCGGAATCTCAATCTCAAACCGCGTATTATTCGCCTGCTCCGCCAGCGGCACCGCATTCGCCGCATACACCTCCCACCTCACCAGCGGCCTCCCCACAATCTGATTCGTCCCCGTGTCCACAATGCTCACATTCGCGGTCCCCGTGTGCGGCGCGCGGATATCCACGACCATCGGCACCGTCTGCCCGGGCGCGTACGCCTGCACGTGCGCGGCGTTGTCGGCGAACTTGTAGCCCTTGCACAGCCAGACGTCGCAGGCCGCGGCGTTGTAGTCGGCTTGCGCGGCCGCGACTTGCAGCTCGCCTTGGGTGTTGCCGTAGTTGTCCGAGGCTTGGTTGCTGTAGACTTGCGCGCCGCAGGCGGCGGACATGGCGGGGCCGGCGAGGCGGGCGGGCGGCGAGGTGATGAAGCCGTGGGCGTGGGCGGTGGTGGCGAGGTAGGCGAGGGCGAGGAGCGGGGCGAGGGAGGGCATGGTTGTTGGGAGATGGTTGGACGTTGCTTCTGTTGGAAGAGGGTTCTTGGGGGTGGAATGAATGGATTCGGTAGGTAGATAAGAGTCTATAGCGGCAAAGAGAATGAGAATGTAGAAATGAATGTAGCGGTCCCAGACCGATGCAAGCATGAATGAATGAAAGTAAGGCAAAGAGCGCTGGATGAGGTAGAAAGGGAAACCGATTATTCAAATACTTCGACACACCCAGCAAGGGAAGGTGATCTCATTAGCGCTCTGCTATATCCTCCAGGCGATCACACCGCCGCGGCATGAAGCCAAGAAGTTTCCTATCATTACACAGAGGACCTTACCAGAACAGGTATCTAAGCGGCTACTACAAGACCTCTAAGAACGCGGACGAACCAATCGCTTGCTATGTCAATTTGTTCGATACAGCCTACGGTGCGTGAAGCGCTGACTTGCGATACCCACAACACCTGCCAAGCGCTCTCTCCCGGAGATTGAGCGCCACTACATATGTAGTTCCCGCATAGCGTCAAAGCGCTGTTTATATCGGAAGCGATCCGCGTGCCTGGGTTGAAACGTGGTGCGGGGATGGTGGCGTGCTACTAATGTCCCAATGAGTTTCATGTTTCTAAACGAGGCCGAAATGACGGTATGTTCACGTTCAGTCGATCAACCGAGGCTACAGAGGACTACGCGGAGAAATATTATGGCGTCTCGGCGTCAAAAGGAAAGCGAGGAGAGTAAGGAGTTAGTAGAGATCGTGGTGTTGGAGGAACAGTCGGTGATAGTGGTGGATAAGAGGCAGGCGTGAATTAGATGGTGTCGTTGCATCTACAAGTTAGCGCAACCACGAGATACGGGAAATTGGTGTAGCTTAGAGCAATGAGCTCAGTTCTCAGTTTCATTTGTCTCCGAGAGTTCCACCCGTCTCCGCGCTTCCGCGCCCTTCCATCCGATATTATACACGCTCCCCGATCCATGCAAGTGCAGAGGCTGTCCGGCATCGAAGCACACAGCGACGCTGAGCGCTAGCACAAAGTGTTCCCACCAAAAAATCACGCCCCGGCCGCTTCCAGACTCTCCGCCCGCAATCCTCCAGCAAAGCAAAAGACAAGTGTGAAGTATGGGTAGTGAAGCAACAGAACACTTGCACAGGTACGTACCGACCAGAAAGAGATTACAGATCCTGGCCGTTGCAAGAATTGTTGTCCATAATCGGTGGTACGGTTCCAGGGTCGTCCCAAAAGAAGATAAAGTCGAAAGCCATTGCCATTGCCATTCCAGGTGCCGTTCCGGAAGTAGATGTCGTTGCCGAAAGCCATAGCCAGCCGCCAGAATCACCACAGATGTTCACGAGCAAACATAGGCATCAGGGCAATGGCATCACGTCATAGAATTACGTACCTTTCAAAGGAAAATGGCCAACTCAGGCCTCTGGAGGGAACCCTCGTCGAGAATCGGATAATAGGGCACCATAGAGTCGCCGTTCTGGACGTAGGCATCGTTGTAGATGCGCCAGTATGGCTGGCGGACCTTGCGTGCTGGATGGAAGAGACCAGCCCAGGCATAGTTCATGACGGTACCGGTGCCGACGGCGTTGCGAATTGCGTCGATAGCTTCAAGGATCCTGTCGATGACGTGAGGACTCGTCTCGAACAGGTTGGGCCAGACCAGATTAAGAAGATGCAGCTGTGAGATCGTTAGCGGACGTGTTCGTCGCGGGTTTCTTACATACCATTGCGTCTTCACACCCAAGTCCCACAACTCCCAATGCGATGTGTTTGACTACCGAGGCCGCGGTCTGGCGATGGACTTGGTCTCGATCGATGAGGGCGTCTTCGAGGAGCGGTGTGATTGCGTACACATAGTCTTTAGCCATCTCGCCAATGTACTCGAAGAGGAACGACAGCGACTTCAAGACACCGTTCTGAACGTTCAGCTCAGGGACCCGGTACTCGTTCATGAGTGCCGGCAGTACGGTGTATGGACCACAAGTCTCAGCAACAATGCCAATGGCGACAGCCGTGCAGACTCGGCTCTGGCGCTCTTGTACCCTCAAATTGTTCAAGAGTGTGTTAAGGACGTCCTGCGGACCAATGGCTTTCGCAATGAAACCGAAAGTGTTATTGGCGGCGCGACGAATGCCCTTCTTGTGCGCTTTGAGCATGTCGAGAAGCTCAAAGCAGATTCTCATCCATTCTCGGGGCGGGACGCGATCTGCGCCACGATCTGCAATGCGACCGACTAGATCAATTGTATTCTCTTGTACCTTCTCGTGGCGATTGCGAAGGATGGGAGTAAGTCGGGGCAGGAGGTCGCGGACAGGCGGCTGCATCAGATCGATGCCAACAACTGTGACAATGCTTCGAAGCGCACCGAGAATGGAACCCAAGACTTCTGGATACTCCTCTCCAAGGTATTCGTAGAGAATGATGCTAAGCTTGCCCATGATGTCGTCTCTGTCGCAGACCCTCAGCGCCATTGTGATACGAGAGATCAAGTCCGCAGCTTGCATACGGACAGTAGCCTGCTTGTTGTTCAGTCGCCAGAGAATAGTGCTGACGATCTGAGGAAGGTAAAAGTCGATACGGGTGCCCAACGCGTTGATGATTGTTCCCACGCCATTCAAGATCGTGTCGTCTTCCACGCTCTGTTCCTGGAAGGTATGGAGGGCGCCATCGACGAGGCGCTTGTCGAGTTCACCATCGAGATCAGCTGCACCTAAGCTTGTGACGACCTTTTCGATTGTCTCGATTGTCATCTTGCGATACGCCTCGTTCTCATCCTTCAAGTTGTCTACGATGCGCTCAACAATCTGGCTAGTCCCGACCTTCTGACCCAAGTCAAAAGTAGTTTCAACGACCTGCTTGTAGTTGCGCTTGTCGAGTGCCATTCGACGAACCCAGAAGCACTTGAAGAACTCATCGAGCACCTCTGATATCAAGTACTTCTTTTCAACACCCACAGTACCGGCGCACTGAGAAACTACCTTGAGCACGACCTTCTTCATCTCCTCATCGGGCGAGGAGAACTCCCGTAGGAGAATTTCCATGATCTGAGTAGTGTAGTAGTTGGCGTATTCACCGTCCATCAAGGGGATGAGGTAGCCAACGGCCTTGAGGAACGAAGTCAAGCTCTTGCCCCGCTGGCGCCGAGCACCAGTCCACAGGGGATGGAGGATGTCATTGAAGCTATCAATACCGTAAGGGTTAGAAGCCTCAGCAAGAGCGGCGATTGCCAGACTCGTGACTGTACGGACTCGGGGCTGCTCGTCGCTGAGATTACCCGCGATGCAATCAACGAGGCCCTTGAGATGGGGCAGGACGGCGCAACCCAGGAGAATGGGAATCTGTTGAACGATCTTAACACCAGTGTGACGGGCCGCCCAGGACCGCTTGCTCTTGCAGACAGCTCTAAGGAAAGGAAGCAGAGCAGGAATGCCAAGTGCAGAGGCAACTACTGCGAAGGCTCGAGCGGTTGTATTTCGAACATACTCATCCGGGTGATCAATATCTGGACGCATGGTACTAATCATATGCGCGAGGCCAGCGGCTTTACTGAGATTTGAAATGATTTCACGACCCTCCATTCGGGCATAGTAATCCTGGTCGATCAGAAGAGGCTCGATGACGACAAGGATCTTGTGAACAAAGGGGCGGACGAGGTCGTCTAGCTTGTACAAGATGCGGTCGATAACCTTAACGAGCAGATGACGTTCCTGATCTTCCAGAGTCTTCTCCATTAGGAGCGGGAGGATCTGATTGAACAGTGGTCCGGCGTTAAATTGTCGGGCACTATCGGTAAGCTGTCGAAGAGCCGTCTTGCGCATTGCCGGTGTGCCGTTCTTTACTTTGAGAAGCAGACGCATGATTTTGCGTTCTTTTAGTTCTTCGACTGTCATCTGGTCTTCGTCTGCGCCGTCGACCAATTTTCCAAAGTAGGCCATGTCCTCAGCCTTGAAGAACTGAAGGTCTCCGACGCCAGGAATCTCGGTGGGAAGTTGCTTGCCCATCATGGAGTTGCTCTGAGGCGTTTGCATCATGAAGCCACCGTAAACACCTGGGGTTGGTGGCATGAGGCCGCTCGGGGCGACTCTAGTTGGTTCGTAGCCGGGAGGCGGATCGAGGATCTTGTAACCTTCGGATGGCAACATCATGTTTAGAGCTTCATCAGATAGAGGCGCATTGCGCATATCGCCTCCAAATGGCATAAATGCCACCTGTGAGGGGTGCATGGGCGTGGCGAGTCCAGCAGCAGCCGCTGGTGTGGCACCTCCAACCGCGGGCACTTCGTCCCACCTAGGACGCTTTTGTGGTTGGCCGGGCGCTACTCTCTCGTCCCACCTGCTCTTCTTCTTTTCAACCGCCCCATTTGTTTCGCCGTTGGCCACGGGTTCGGTTGCCGTGTCCCAGCGGTTCTTGCGCTTCCTCACAGCAGCGACGGCAACGGTTGATCCAGCCTCGCTGTTCTCTTTATCCGGCGTATCCTTCAAGGTAGCTTGGTGCTCAACAACAGCCCCGGTCTCTCCATTCGCCTCTTTCTCAGCAATGATTTTGCTGATTCTCTCTTCCTCGCGCTCAATCTCCCGGGTTTTCATAATGTCCTTGTACGAAAGTCCATCGTCCTGTACACCAGCTTGGCTGTTCGCGGCAAAAGGATCGGCTCGGGTTGGGGTGAGGGGGCCGCGCTGGAATCGGCGCTTTTGATAGTCAGTTTCGCGGGAGGCGATCTGTGCCTGCTTCTCTCGGGTCATGAGGATATCGGCCTCCTCGGTATCGCCACCTGCGAACTCGTTGATCTGCGCTTTCGTGGCCGTGTACTGTCCCACGAGCCGTCGGCCGTTGAGCTCGTCCGCATCTTCCATATCGTCGTCGCCATCGTTGGTAGCAATGGAATTGTTGTATCCAGCAAATTTGTCAACGGCAGTCCGCTCATACAGCTCCGTGTCGAAGGACTCCGTGAGTGATGCCTTCGTCGACGTGTCAGTCCTCTGCGTGGACGGGTCAAAGGTTTTTGAACCTTTCTTCCCTGCGTTTGCGGAGTTGCGCTCTGCTTGGAGGCGCCGGATGGCCTCGAAATCCTCTGAAAGGCTCGACGTTAGTGAGGAGCGCGGAGGAGTTTGGGGGCACGTACTGTCAGACATGGTGGCAGCTGTTGCAAGCCAGTGTCTTCGGTTGTGTCTGGTGTCCACACGATGCAGTCGGAGGGTGCGCGTAGGATCAGCGCATGCGGATGGAGTGAGGTCGATGAGGTTGATGAGAGACTGGTGGTGAGCGACGTCGCGGAGGAAGTTGACGAGGCCGCGCCAAGATATGCGCACGAGCCACCAAGAGACCCGCGCTCTGCCTCACCTCTTCCAACGTCTTCCCAGGGCTCGTCTGCGTTACTTTAGATTTTCCATTTGGGCCCTAATATATGAGGCAGTTCATACTTCACCGTCGCAAGCCCCTTCACTGAGGTCTCCTATACAATCTAAACAACAGTTCACTCTTTTCGCCCTTTCCCCGTTCAAAGCGAAGTCTGCTCTCCTAAAAGCTCCAGTTGTGAAGACTGTGACCCTTCATATTCCCAAAATTCGCATCAATTTTATAGTCTAAACGCGAAAGAGGTTGGTTTCCTCTATCTTCCCGCACTAGGCAAGTAGGTGAATTGGTTTGTGGCCAGCTTTTAGTGCATCGCATGTTCCCTGTTGCCCTTCAACTACACTCCCAGTCATCAGCGGACGTGATCTGTATATGATCACCACCAGCAGGAACGATGCCGTTCAAATAGTAGAGAGCTGGCCCAGTATATCTGTTCCTCAGCGGATACCTATAGCGACTCGTCAGCAGTGGTGTTTTATCTGTAATGTGGCAACGCACCTGCAATGCCTTCTTCGGAACTCCACTCCAGAGGCCGCTGTGTCATTCACGAATTTTGTCCCCTCGATAACATCTGGCGCTTTCCCTTTTTCTACCCAGTCTACAATTGCAGCTAGGACGTTGTACTGACCATCGAACGGAATGCCTTCTTGCTTGGACTGTCCGATCATCCATGCCCCAGCGCCAGAGTTGCAATGGTGCATACCGGATATTCGAAAGAAGCGCGTAAAGGCATCCAGCTGCGATGGGCTCGCATTCATCCCGCTTGCTAAATGATCGTACCAACGCTCGGTTTCTAGCGACGTAATCTGCTGATCTGCTTGTCCATGGTAGACAAGGAGTTTACCACCGGAAGCGTTAAATGCTTGCAACCCTGACGGAAAAGTGCGAACATTGAAAGGATTTAACGCTTCCACCACTGCAGCATCGCGGGTGGTGAAAGTTGCGGGATTCCACGCAGGATCAGAGTAGACGACATAGCGAAACCAATCCTGAGAATCGCTAAAGGGCTTTCCGGCATAAAGGCGATCAATTGCCCTTAGCTCGCTTCCTGGCTGCATGGCCGGATAAATGATGGTGCCGTTATCGTAGGTGAAAGGACTGAAGATCTTGCGGACTATTTCCACTTGTTCAGCAGTCAGACATTCATCCCCAAACTGCAAATCTCGGCATTTGAGGGTCTCTGGCTTGAAATGACAGAGATCGGGATCTGAGCTTGTTAGCCTGCTCTACGCGTTAATCATAGATACAGTACTAGGACAAAAGTCTGGGCACGCCGTTTTTCATCTTGTCCCGATTAATGACGAGGTGCTGAAGCACCACAAACACCGGCAAGTAGGCCGACTATCAGGATGAGAAATCTTCCTAGCTTAAGCTCTTAGGGACTTTAATCTTATCAGAACTGTCGGAACACGCTGAAGCACCTCCAATGGTGGTGGGCAAGTGTGCCCAGACTTTTGACAAGGCACTGTACAGTTGTAGAATATACGCACACTCGATTATCTCATCTCTGACGTGGTCAATGAAATCACACTGTCTCAACACCTCATCGTGTATCAAACCTGTCCACATCGATGCCTTGATGAAGTCGAAAGAGTTCGCAGCGCCAGTGATGGTAAAAAACGAGGCTCTCCAAGAAATGAGATTATTGAAGTCAGTCGCGGGAGATCCGGCAACGACTGTGAATGATGGTCAGCAAGTGCCTTTCATTCTGTGGATGTCTTCACTCACTACCATCAAAATCGAGTGGGTACTTCTCCGCAGCTCCAATCCCTTGTCGACCACCCTGAGAGCAACCAAAGAAGTAGGCGTATCGATGAGGCTTCCCGTAGTACTGTTTTGTCACCTCCTTCCCGACCAAAGTAGCCGTATGGAGTCTGGAGTGTTTTAGAATAAGAACAGCTATCTGAATGATACACATACGATCTTCCAGCAAAGTCCTCCACGACATCAGTGTTGTGAAAGAATGATGTACCCCCAGTGCCATTATGACCATTGTTTGAGCCTACCGCAGCAAACCCATACTCTGCAGCATATTCTATGATAGCGTAGTCAAGGCCTGGTCAATACTCATCAGCGACCATGTTCCCAAAACACTATCTACAAGGCAGACTTACAGCCTCCAATTCCTCCATTTCCCGTTGCCACAAATCGCCCGTTCCAGTTATTCGGCAGCCAAGCTTCAAATTCAATGGACGATCTATCGCTTGTGCTGATATTCAAGGCGACTCGGCAAAAATCTTGTGCTACCGGCGAATTCGTCCCTGGGCCTCCGCAAGTTGTATCGCGGTATTTGAGATCTACAATCTTGTTGCGAGGAATATACTCAACTATCTCGATAGTGGCATTCTCAACCACGGGCTCGAAGGACTCGCAGGCATATTTGAAAGATGCAGCGTTAATGTGAAGGAAAGGTAGGTAAAGCAAGACTGAGAAGATCAACAAAAACATCGTAGCTGCTGCAAAGGACAACGATTCTTGTTAGTATGGTTGCTCCGAGAAAGTCTACGGCATGCGGTTACTCATGCCAAGCAAATAGACAAGATGCATTCGAGATCTTTCACCCACCTGATCGAAGAGCTAAGAGACTTGTGAAGTTTGTGTGCTTTGCTGCTGCGAGCGGAGATGCATGCATCCTTGGTGGATCTTTGACCCGCATTGGTGTACCGCAAGTTCGGCGAAAGGCCATTCTCGCACTATTTCAGAAGTAACACTTCCGTAGCCGCTTTTGGAAGCATCATTGGAAGTCGGGTAGCATCCGAAAGATAAAGATGTGATTCGTGGCTTTGAGACGCTCCCACGCTGGGCGGGAAAAAGTGGCACACTCATAAAGTCCTCTTTAAGTCTACTCCTGTCCGCCAGTGCTTGGAGTGCTTCAACGACTTTTAAAATCGCACAAGGTGAAGAGCTTCCATCACGCTCAAGTATCTGTAAATACATTGAAGCAACCCAAGCAGTGGCATACAAGTGTGCACACTCACCGCGCAGTTTGTTTAAACTCAGAGTGCCACTTTTTGTATGCCCCGCGTGGCTCTCGCGATCATTATTGGTGCGGTGCAGAGGGAATGACACTAGACTACTTTAAGGAATTTCGAACGTAACGCTCATTTGGTGAATAGTATTGCCTTAGAATAAAGCACAGGAAGCAATGTAGTCCAGCAGACACCGGAACAGAATGCGAGAGACATATAGACTTAGAGCTAAACTCTCGAGAAGACAACAAGCAGTAATTTTCCTTGGTCGTAGGGGCTACTTCCAACGGTGTCAGAATATCGAAAACCTTGGAAGGAGCCCGAAGGGCAATGACGAGATGACCATTATGGTCTGATTTGGAGTTGCGAGATTCAGATCGAACACGCTAACTCTCGAGTATGATCACAAGTCGGGGGCATTTGTTCTAGCATTTTGTATTTCATGGTATTGAAGTAAAGTCCTAATCATAGCCGAAGCCAATTCAAGGTCCCAAGTTCCAGCCACCAAAGCTACAAAAGAGAAAACCCAGAACTGTATTGAAGCAAGCATTATACTGAACCGCAGTTCCAATTTAGGCCGAAGCCAACACCGAGGCTCCAATTACCAACCAGCTTAGCAACAGAATAGAGGAAACCCGCCCATATTGAAGTAAACAAGCAAGTATTAGTCGGTAAGAGAAGCATGGACATGGAACAAGAAGCAGAGCAGAATGCAGAAGTGTTGAGCCAACAGTAGAGTGAAGGTGTTGAACAACAGTAGAAGGGGTGTGATAATGCAACAAAACAAGGGTAGTGTTGCAGCAACAAGTATGTAGAAGTATGAGCAGGAAACAAAAAGTGAGGCAGAGGGGAAGGTTTGAAGAAGCAGTACAACAAAGAAGTGGATGTCTGCAGTCTCTTCGCCTCGAAACACTTTAGAACTCCCCCACATCATATCGTGGCCATCAGCGACGAGCAATCTCAAGGTCGGTCTTACGGTTGGCCTCCGTAAGTTTCTTCTTGAGTCCCGCGATGAGGCTGCCGTGCTCAACATATCCCCACTTCTTGACGTTGGGCTCACCAGTCTTCTTGTCTATGACCTTGCTGTGGAAAGAGTTGCTGCCGAAAGAGAGGATCTCCATGACAGCAGCCGCGTCCTTCCTATAGGGGCCGGGGTTGTTGAAGCTAGTGAGCCAATTACCAGCATCGGACCAGATGACTTTGAGGGCTTGGGGAACCTGGGAGTTGCTAGATACGTGGTCGAATCGAAGCTTCTTGAGTTGCTTGCAGCCAATTAGCAGCTGAAATGCTGGCTGCGCCGTCTTCCGCTCGTACATCTCGACGATGATCTTGGTAATGTACTTCCTGCCAACATCGATCTGCAATAAGAAGTTCTGCAGGCTGTAAGTAGTCTCCATGATGAACTTCTGATTGAAGAGGATAGGGAGAGCCTCTTCGCGGACCTCGCGGTTGAGGGAGAGGATAGCCAAACGGTTCAAGCCAGTATAAGCCGGAGCGAAGCTCGACTTGTGCGTTCCACCCCTAGTCTTGACTCGGATAGTCTTGCCTTCATCGCAGAAGATATGGGTGTAGATTCGCTCACGGGTGTGCTTCGGCAGCTTCATGAACTCGAATGGGAGGGTCTGCTTGACGATGATTGCCACGAGGCCCGAGTGATTGGTCTGGCCCATGTTGACCTAGAAGCTTGGTTAGCACGACCAAAATTAGGTCCAAACGAAAAGTGCTTACCATTCCCATCAATCTGAACGGGTTGTCAGAGCGGAGCTTGAGAAGTTGGCCGAACTGAAAGTCCTTGCCCAGCTGTTTACATATTAGCATGGATTCAACACAGTGATAGAGACCAACGTACATCAGCAGACTGAGTCGCGGAGTTGAAGTAGACCTCGAGGACGATTCCAGGGTCCGCTTCCTCCAGCTTGTTGACGATGGCCTCATTGACGTCGTTAAACTTGTTCACCTATTCATAGTGTCAGATATGCAGGCCGGGGCCAGGGTGTTTGATTGCTTACCAAGGCGCGCTCGCGAGCTTTGAGCTTCTTGAGCTCAGTACCTGAGATCTGAGTGGAAAGTACGAGCTCTTTGCCACGGGAGCGGCGTGGCGTGGGAGTGCATGCGACGGCACTGCCCGGGGTGGGAGTGCTTGGGGCGTCCAGCATCATCGCGTCTTCAGATGTTGCGGAAGACATGTTGTCGGTGAGAACAGTGAGAATTCTGGGTGATTTGAACCGTGTGATGAAGGCGATCGACCCCAGGTAGGTGTGAGAGAGAGTTGGAGGTTGGTTGAGGAGAGGAGGCAGAAATGAGGTGGGGTGGAAGGAGAAAGGATATTTGTAGGTGGAAGAGGGAAGAAGTCAGCCGAGGCGAGTTTGAGGTGTCCAGGCAGCAACTGAGGCCAGAGACGCAATTTCAAGTGAGGAATAGGGTCGCCGTGGAGCGCGTGCCGTCCGCTGGGGTGCCTCGATGTGGTAACAGCCTACGCAAGATTAGCACTCAGAGCGCCCAATTCTCAGGCGTCTTGAACAGAGACCTCTGCAGAATAAGTCAACAGAGCTGATACTGCGAGTAATGCGCAAAGTGACTCGAGATTGCCGGGTGTTTTGCTGAATGCCTTTAAGATCCGAAGTTGGCTCAATGGTGTATAGGTTGAGCACTCAACAAAGCTTGACGGAAATATACAGGGTTCTAAAGGGGCTTAAGGTCATATGGATCATATTTGAACTCGGATCTCACTATAAGTGAGCAGTGTTGATAATAATTTGACGGCATTCGGTGATGCATCAGGGAACGGCCCAGATTGTCAAAAGACATGCACTTCTTGGGCAATTTGGCTCACGCCGCAACTTGGCAGTGGCTTCTTTATTCGATCGGCCGCTCTGTACGACTGTATCTAGAATTCTCGTTCGAGGAGGATATCGTCGAGTCGAAAGTCGAGTATCTATCTTTTCCGTTAACAATCAGCTCAGTAAGAGTCGTGCCATGCAAATCAAGTCTACGCCACTCAACTTGAATTCTTTGGTGTTACGTCTTTGGAATTGCCTTTAGATTAGTCTCGCGCTTGATTTAGCAATTCATCATTGCTCATAATACGTTCTAGGGATAATCACATGAATGACAGAGCCTACTGCAGGTTAGGAAGTATCGGCATTTCTTAGTTTTAGCAACTACAATTCAGCGATATATCGTCAGCCGTGCTACACTGAAAAAAGGCTTGAAATTCGAGTCTTCCAAATCTATTTTCTTACAAGGTCTGATGCCTGGGTGATGTACACCAGCCCCTCAATCGAAAGCGCTATTGTGTGTGTGAGAGATGCGGAAAACTGGAACGAAAGACTTAGATAAGAAAAGGCAGGCTTGATACAATACCGCTGTGTATATGGACCTACTGCTGCCGTCGCCCAATGAGCCTCCTAAACGCGCTTTCGTCATTAGGTTGCGGGAAACCCGTCTTATCATCAAAAAGCATTGCTAGAAGGCTTCTCTTACCATATCCAGCATATTGAACCATAGTTTCTAATCAAAAGACTACTAGGGGTGTTCCGTGAGCTTAAGATGAATATCCGGGATGTTGAGGTAGATGGATAGAAACAAAACACGTTCACCGACGTTAAAATAACTTTGGAGCTCTGAGCACGCCCCTCGCCGATCTCAACATCCCACCTCAACTTCCCCCAAACTTTCCCAAACCACCGCGCAATCGCCCCAATTCCCGTCGCAACCACCTCCAAACCTCCCACCCACAATCGCAAACATGGCAGAAGCCTCCCCAAACCCCCTTCCCGCCGACCTCACTCTCACCTTCCCCTCGCCCACCGCCAACGGCACAAACATGGACATCGACATGAAAGAAGAACCAACCTTAGAAGTACCCTCCCTTTTCCCTCTCAAACCAACCCCCAACCCATCCCTCCACTGCCATGAATCTCCGTAGCAAGGCCCTAGCTAAAGCCCAGCAGAACCAGCCCGTCGACCCGCCCACGCCCTCCGCCGCGCCCACGACGCCCCTCCCGAACCAGAACACAGCTGCGACGTCGGCTGCGCGCAGCTCGCCGCACCCGGGCCAGAGCAATGGGCCGCTGCAGCAGCCGCCGGCGAATCCGATTCCACACGGGAGCCCGACGAGGGTATATTTGAATAGCTATGTTACGCCGTATTTGTTGGAGGCTATGAAGCATTTGGCGACGCAGGAGTAAGTTTGGTTATCATTTTCCGAGGAGGGCTTGGGGAGGTGTGATGTCGACGGAAGACTTGGGATAGCATGCTGATGCGGGTGCATACAGGCCCGACAAACCGCTGAAATGGCTATCTGAGTTTCTGGCGGAGAAGAGCAAAGAGCTGGAGGGTTGAGGCAAAACAGCAACCCGACATTTCTCGTCTTCCTAAAGATGGTTTGTTAAACAGGCAAGGGCATGTCACTCTGGTGGGACGGTTGTAAAATATCTGCATGGGTCTGGCGTTCAAAATGAGGGTGGCCTACTGGGCAACGGAGATATCACTTTGGGACAGCACAGCTGTATCTGATGCACTGGAGAACGGTGTTTGTAGTGGGCGCGGCACTTATGCACGCTTCCCTAGTTGCTCATAGGATTGCCATAATCGACGTTTGATGGATCTCATTCCCTCACAATCAATCTACTGGTAGTTGTGAACCTCAGTCACCACCCGGATATGCCTCCCATGTGCCAATCCTCCAGCAAAAAAACTCCATTTTGATGACCAGGCGACTCGTTTATGCGACCAGCGTGCTGGCGGTGGCGCTCTCGTATCTCCAGGTCGGGGGAAGGACACCAACGGTCTTGTAGCTAAATAATCGGTGAGTAGACGCTCGACACTTCGATCGGCGGAGGACATACTAGCGAGACAGGCGGTGGATACGGGACTCGATGAGAATGAGACGGAACTAGCGTGTGTTAGTCCTCGGCTTCTCAACATGGGAGTGCGTCTAGGTACCTTGGAGTCCTTGTCGTTGCGGTTGCGCTCAAGATGCTTGCGGACGGCAACAGCCTTCTTGATCAACACTAAAGTTCGAGTTTAGTGATTGCGGCGAAGAAAAAAGAGCTCTAGCAAGGCAGCTCACTGTAAAGGTCCTCGGGAATCTCAGGAGCTTTGGTATAATTAGCATACGAAGACATGCAACGGGAGGAGAGAAAGAATTCTGAACATACCAAGACCTGTTCAATCACGGGCACTCTGTCAGCATTGAAACCAAGCAGAGGCAAATTTATATAGCGCTGCAGATCCATTGCTAGAGAGCAAGTACTGCCGTCGACCTGCGCTTCACACGGGATGCGTACCATTGCCCTTCAGAATTCTCAAGATCTTGTTTCCGGTAACGACCTTGACCTGTGCGATACCGTGCGAGTCCCGGAGGACGACACCGATCTGGGAGGGGGTTGCACCCTTCTTCGCGAGCTTGCAGATCTGGTCGACAACCTGCTCGGGGGTGGTCTTGAGCCATGCCGGGGGGGTGCGCGAGTAGGGGATGGCGCTGGCCGATATGCCCTTTCCGTTGGAGTGGAGTCTGCCCATCTTGAATGTCGGATACCGTTGGCGTCGGGGTGCTGGTGGTGATGTCGAAGTTGTCGCGGCGGAGCTGGAGGCGAGGTTGTGGGAAAACGCAAATTGTTCGCTTGTACGCTCGGGCCGCATGGCGACCGCAGCTGGGCCTTACGAAAAAACTGCAACTCAACCTCAAGCCTTCTCTGCTACACCTCACGTCAACAACATCGACTCGATCGAGCACCTCCGCGATCCAGCTCCAACTATGGAGCCTCGTGGCTAGACAGCCTGGATGCTCACGCATGCGTAACCTCATCATGCAGGAGACCTTGGCATGCTGGGCAAAGGGTTTCTTCAGACTTGGGTATGTCCTTGCCGTTCACACCTTTACACCACCTCCCTTCAAATGATGATCTTTTCCAATACATACAATATTTCTGGTACCTCTTGATTTAGTGGGCCTGCGGGTTCGCGATGATCGCAACGGACTTCTGATAACTCCATCACCTCTTGTTACATTCGAAATCTCGGCCTTGCATCACGCTAACAAGTTTGAAGATAGGAATAGTATTGTATTATAACTCACCCTTCGAGCCAGCCGCTCCAAAAAGGTTACTGTCTTGCTTGGGAACGCATTGATAGTTGGTCTCCCTTCTTGATGGCTTGAGAAGTCCCCGCTTCACGCCCTCCCCATGGGAAGTCACACCTTCTAGTCGGCTATGGGCTCAGATAAGCAAGCATGGGCTGTTATACATGATTGATCCTGGTTTAGGTAGGCCGGTAGATTATTAGAGGTGGGTTCAGGCAGCGCAAGTTCGGCATTCATGAAAGCTTGACAATGGCACCCAGCCTTCCCTTAAGGATACGTTAGAACTTTGATACTATAATGGACGTATGAACAGTACGCTGGCCATAATTACACAAGACTATGAACTCGTCAATGTGACCGAAGTAGCTTCATCGCCGTGTGAGTATCGGGTGTCCCACGTGCGAAGCCCCATGCGCTGGCCTCCAAACCAATATTTTTCCAAGGGCTTGTCAAATTTCTCATTGGTTTCAGCTTTCAAATTGTGATTTTCCTAGCACTCGTGCCTCTCCAACCAGCCTTATGCAGGGAGCCTGGAAAGGCTCGAGTAGGTGGCATTTCCTGCGGATTTCGTCTATCTCACATCTTCTTGCAAACTAGCGTTGGGCATCAGGTCCACGCTTTCCCCTTCTATTCTTTTTCCAAACACAGAAATGAAGTCTTGAACGCGGATGGAACATTGAAATGCTGCCCTAGCATCTAGCCCGAATCATAGCTACCTGCGCGGACCCTGCTCGCAGACTTGGCAGGCGGAGTGCTGGGAAAACACACATTCGTAGTTACCTGGTGACCGTTGGGAGCCCCTTCGATGTCTTCAATTTGTTCCATGATCTGATCAATAGGTGTCCTAGTTTGAGGGAATTTTGTTGTTCAAGTGTCGGTCCCCTGAAATGAGGCCGTTTTGGCGTGTCAAATTCTCGAGGGTCCAAATCGTGAGCTTGCTCAAACGCATCGGCCAGCGCGCTTCAGTACACGGGGGAGCTTCTTCACGAGCAAGCGAGCCACGCAGTGTCCTATTTACCACAACAAACGCCATGAACCTCGCCCTCCTCCACCTCCACTCTCCACCAACCTTCCTCATTCTCGACCCCCATCTACCCTAGATCTGTATACCAATACGCGATCACAGCGCTTACCTTCTAGCATTTACTGCCTAACGCCGCAATCATGCACGCCTACCTACACACCTTTCTGGTGTTGACCTTTCTTCTCTTGACCTGCACCGTCCGCGTAGTCGCGAAGACGTCCGGCGAGCTGTGCAATGGCATCGCGGTCATGGAGGGTGGTAACTCCTACTGCTCGCAAGTTACCAAGATCACGTACCACAATATCAGCCAGTCTGGTAGCTACAAGTCGACTACCAATATGGACCTGAACAGCGGGATCTGTTCGCACGACAATGTCTCCTATCTGAACACGGGCACCCTCACCCCGCTCTTCGGCGAGGTAAGTCAATCTCTGCTTGAAACGGGACGAGCTTCTTGAGCATAGACTAACAAATTCTCTGCGTCAGGTCTCCATGCATCTGCGCGGCCCCATGAACCTGACTCAACTCGCCGTTTACACGCTGCCTGGGACTGTCTCTGGCAAACGTAGCTCGGTCTACGATCTCGGACTCAAGGGCAAGGGCCATCGTCACAAGTTCGCTGGCATCCAGCCCAAAGTTCATGGTCATAAGCATGATAAGCGCGACGTCGGCGATATGGTTACCGCCACCATCGACGGTCAAGCTGTTTCATGGATTAACGTGTACGACGGCACTCCCGCGACTCAAGATACAGACACAGCTACTTCGCCGACTACAGAGGCTACTCTCAGCTCTTGCGACAACAGCCTTGTGACCATCACTAGCGTCGAGAATGTCTATGTCACTACTACCGTCACGGAGGACGCTGAAGCGATGAGCACTGCTTTCATGAGCCCAGATCCCACCGTCGCCGAACAAAAGCCTCGCACTACTGTTTACGTCACGACGACCGAGATTGTTATGATTCCCACTGGATCCGCTCCTGTACTAATCAAAGCCGAGGCGACTGGCGTTGATGCGATGACCGATCTACAGTCGACGGATTTCTCAAGCTCGACAACTCTGTTCTCTGCTAGTGCAACGACTACTAGGGAAAATTCAACTCCGACGACTTTCCAGTCGGTGTTCTCCACATACGCGACCTCTACCGATAGCGACAGTCAGAGCAGCGTAGCGACAACCTCCACAGATCCATCGAGCTCACTACAGCCATCGACCGTCGTCAAGGCAGACGCAGGGTCATGGAGTCGGGTCGCATACTACCAATCTGCAGCTTCAGCTCAAGCCACTGGATTCGCGTTCCTTAACAACCGAGGCAACGATGCGGTGTCGGGAACATGGGACTCGTAATGATACCGCTAACATAGATTATGTCGCAGCATAGCTAATCGAATATAGGACCTTCGGCAACTCGCTCTCTTACGCGTCCAGCGACGGGACTACGTGTGCGAACATCAGTACTCCCTTCAACGGCAATCTCTCGACCTCCGAGGTCGAGCTGGCGGTATTCACGAACCAAGTCTGTAACGGAGATTGCGACTACACTCGTCCTAAATCTGTAGCCCATCGTAAGTAGAGAGGAAACTTAACTGTTCAACAGGGCTAACAAATAAGATGGTTGGAGCGGTGAAGCAAAGGCCTTCTTTATCGAGTTCCAGGCGGATCACTATAACAACACTCCAGGTTCCAATCAAGGGTTGATCCAAGACGCTCCGGCCTGGTGGTTCCTCAACGCCAATATCCCGCGGATCCTCCAGTATGGAGACGATCGGAACGGAAATCCTTGCTCTTGTTGGGCCTACGGCTGTGGCGAGTTCGACGCATTTGAGATCCTCGAGATGGGAGAGATGCGTGCCAAGTCGACGCTCCATCGCCAGGGAAATATAGAGGGGGGAGACTCAAACTATTTCCTTCGCCCGGTCGGGAAGACTATCAAGGTCGCCGTTGTCTGGAACGATTACGACATCACGGTTGCCATTCTGGATGATAGCTTCTCATTCAGCGAGACCCTCACTGCCAGCCAGATTGCTGACATCGTCTCCTACTCTGAGCAAAGTAACACAGATTCGCTGTTTGCTATTGGGACTTAATGCGACATCAATCTCCGACTTCTTTGCTGTTTGCCATCTGGCATTTGCAGCGTCGTCAGTCTCAGATTTCTTGAATGTAGCTTGGAGGCTTTGGAGGAACGGAAGGATTTTCCGAGAAGTTTGGTATGGGGCATATCGTCCACCGATGTATAGTAGCAAATGACAGACTTTCCACCTGATGTGGGAGGATTTCTATCTTGATAAGGAAGAGGCGACTCATGTGACGAGCGATTTGCTTGTGAAAAAGCCGTGAAGCTTAGGTCAGCCAGGATAGCCTCGGCCTTGGGAACCGTCAACCCTCTTAGCCGTGCACCGCAGTCACCACCAGCAATCGCCCTCGCCACGCATCACGAACCTCGCGCTTCTTCATATATCTTGCGAACATCCTACAAACGACTAGAATCCTCGTTGACTCTCTCGGTGTCTCTCCCTGCTTTATTTATCCGCATTCCCCGCTTCTCTACTAGCGCAATCTGTGAGATCACATCACGACTACAAGAAACTGGACTCGCGGACTGCCACCGCACACAGACCGATGAAAGAGTGGTGAACCGCTGCGACTTGGAGAGATGGCCGCACCATCGCCACCGAAGCCCTGGGAGCGCGGCGGCGGAACAACCAGCGCGCAAGTTGGTATGTTATTGCTTGAATGAGTCGTCTTGATCGATCGCATGCTAATCCTAACGGCAGGCCTTACGGGGACCACGAATAACACATCAATGTCCTCCGCCACGACGACGGCAACGGCGCCCTCCTCCGCGTCTAATCCGCCACCTCTCCCCGAACTACCCAATACGCTGAACTCTGTCGTCAATCGCAACTCGTCGAACTATTCTACAATGAATCAGAATCGCCTCGGATCATCCCCCTATGGTTATGGTTCCTCTCCCTACTCCTCGCCCTACTCTCGACTTGGAGGCGGACTTGGAGGTGGGCTCGGCGGAGGCTACGGCTCAATGTACGGTGGCGGGATGGGAGGCATGTACGGCGGGATGGGCGGCATGGGTATGGGAGGCATGGGCATGGGTGGGATGTACGGAGGGATGGGCGGCATGCCAGGCGACCCGAACAACCCTGCTTCCCTGACCCAGTCGTTCAGCCAAAGCACGCAGGCGACATTTCAGCTTATCGAGAGCATCGTGGGCGCCTTTGGCGGGTTTGCCCAGATGCTTGAGAGCACGTATATGGCTACACACTCCTCATTTTTTGGTAAGTCTAGACTATCTAACGAGAATATGTAATGCTAACGATCGCCTTAGCCATGGTTTCGGTAGCCGAACAGTTTGGAACCCTCCGACAAACACTTGGGTCGGTCCTTGGAATTTTCACAATCATGCGATGGATGCGGACAGCCATTGCAAAGCTCACAGGGCGTCCACTTCCCGCATCCTCGAAGGAGCTCACGCCCGCAGGCTTCGCTGCATTCAATGGACGCATGCCCGATGGCTCGCCCGCAGCGCCGAAACCTTCCAAGAAGCCATTCATCATGTTCATGGTCGCCGTATTTGGTCTTCCATATCTGATGGGCAAACTCATCAAAGCCCTTGCTAGATCGCAAGAGGAGGAAGCCAAGCGCCAAATGGAGGCAAACCCACAGGCCTATCTTGATGGCCAGCCATTAGACCCGAGCAAGCTGGACTTCTGCCGCTTGTTATACGATTTCACACCCGATACGAACATGGCGTCAGTACAAGGAGTTGACTTGGCCGTCAAGAAGGGCGACCTTGTAGCAGTCCTAAGCAAGACGGATCCGCTCGGAAATCCATCAGAATGGTGGCGGTGTAGAGCACGCGACGGCCGCATGGGCTACCTCCCCAGCCCATACCTAGAGCCGATTCAGAGGCGGCCAGCGCAAGCCCAGATTACCAGCGGCAGCCAAGTCGGCAGTCCAGCCGGCAGTCGCGCACAAACTATGACAAGCAGCTCTGGTAGTCGTGCGGCGACCATGACCGAGACCAAGGCCCCAGAGAAGCCACCCCAGGTGGCAGGCAAGGCGGGCGATATTGGTGTTGAGAGTTTCCAAAAGGGACAATTTTATTCATGAGGATAACGGCTTGACATGGCGTACAGGCGCTTTTTAACCGCGATGCACTGGAAGGAGCGCTTTCTGTGTAGGTACTAGGGTTATGGGTTTACGGGCTCCTACAGTATTTGTGGCCCTCGGAAATGGGACAAGGGAATGAGCAGTTCTTGGGCGTCTTTCTTTCTCTATGTATGTTGAGCTTGGTTGACAAAAGCGGTTTGAGCGCTGGATACGAGTTCACCAGCGATCTTCTTTTATAATTGTGTTAAAAATCTACGGGGCTTCTACATATCACATTCATCATTGTGCTGTGTATAGTGCCTTACCATAGATATCCGTACACTTTCCTGCCATTATCTGCGGGACTCTCACGTACTGATAGAAAGTTGGTCAGCGGGAGCATTTCCAAACTACGTACACCTTGCTGATGCTATCTGGGGTGGCCTCACAAGTTTACTACTTGTCCAAATTGCCGAACGCCTCTCTTATTTAGCATGCTGAAAATACTATGAAGCTCCTCATGCAGCGGTAAACAAGTGTACGGATTCCTATTACTAGCAGTAGCTAACAGCTGTGAAGAAGAATATGCTACATTGTCCCCATAAGCCTATTGCGGCCCTTTTGCACTATGTATGCCTTTTACAAGCTAGGGAGTTGCTTAGCATTCAGTAATTTTCGGTGAAGTCATATCACGTGTGATATATTTACCAGCGAATCACCCGGCGTTTCACTTTGGGATCTTCGGTGGCCCCTCGACTAGCAATCCAGCTTCTACAGCTGTCGCGGCGCAACCGCTGCCTGCAAACGTATCCACCTGGCCGAACAAACAAACTTCTAGGGTCGCCTAACCATCGCCGCTACCTCTGCTAACCTGATCTCACCTGGCTGAATCACAGTCCTTCCTCAAATCCTGGAGGTCTACCCCACCACGTTGATCCAGCACTTAATCCTACATTCCTACTACTCACTCACCAAGACTCACCTAAGACACCGCCAGAATGTTTGCCAAAAGGCTCGGTAAGGTATGTAATACTCCACCGTATGGTCACGATCGAGGAAGCTAACCTAGTGTCTAGGAGCTCTCAAAGGTATGCCAGCCCATTCCGAGACCCAGAGCGCGGCCCATACTTATCCTTGCGTAGATGCAGGGCCATCTCCCACCAGGCATCGAGCTCATAAAGGTGGACGACTTCCAGGAGTGGCTTGTGGATCTCAGAGTGCTGGATTCGAACCCGCTATACGAGAACGAGATCTACCGGCTCAAGTTCACCTTTGGCAAAAACTATCCTATAGGTAGACCTCTCTCTCTCGCTGTATGACTACGAATGAAGATCTGGCTAACACTCCCACTACAGAATCTCCTGAGGTCGTCTTCGTCAAAGACGCAACTCACCCAATACCCTGGCATCCCCACATCTACTCCAACGGAATCATATGCCTCGACCTCCTCGACAATGCTGGCTGGAGCCCCGTGCACAACGTAGAGAGCATTGCAGTCAGCCTGCAGAGCATGTTGACAGGGAACTCGAAGAGGGAGAGGCCGCCAGGAGACGAGAACTTTGTCAAGTACAACACACAGCGGCCGAAAGACATCAACTTCTTGTTCCATGATAATAGCGTGTAAGGATGCAGAGGGATGAGGTTTGGAGAGGGATCCATGGGCTCGTGGTCGTTTACCTGGCATATGGCTTTTGCATGGCTATGGGTTGCACTGGCGTTGGGGCGAATGCTCTTTGCATTGGTGGATGAACGCCATAGCTGCTTTATGATATTCTCATTGACGGGATGATTACGCCTAGGCATGATTCGAAGATATCAGCCCGGTTGTTTTCACTATAAATTCGATGTCCACCTGCTGCTTCTCTTGCTAAGCAAATAAATACCTGATATGAAGACTCTATAACTTTATTGGGTTCCACCATTTTACTCCCTCCTAAGATACCAATGTGCCTACGTCCTCTCAGGCCTTGGAGAGTACCTTAAAGTAATGGACAGAGCATTCACGGGATCCGAAGGCTCATCACGGGATGGACGTCGGCACGCACAGACTGCAAAATCCCCGCGGCCTTAGCGGCAACATCGATTTCATAATTTTCGGAGCACTAAAGGCTCGATTCTCTTTCTCTCCACCACGCCCATCCTCCATTCCTCTTCCTCCACCACCACAAGGGGTATCTAGCCATAATGAGCGACGAAGTTTACGAGGGTGCCATTGGCATCGATCTTGGTATGCGCCCAGAGTCGCCGACGCTCGCCGCACCCAATTTTTACCTCTACTGACGCTTTCACCACCAGGCACGACCTATTCGTGCGTTGCCAACTATGAGGGCACCAACGTCGAGATCAGTACGCTATAACCCGCGTCCGCTTTGTTTGGAACGCCTGATCTGATTTACTCGGCGCACAGTTGCCAATGAGCAGGGCAGCTTCACCACGCCTTCTTTCGTCTCTTTCACGAGCGAGGAGCGTCTTATTGGAGAGGCGGCCAAGAACCAGGCTGCTATGAACCCGGAGAACACTGTCTTCGATGTCAAGTAAGATTTTCGCTGGCCTGGCGAAGAGGACATACGGCTGACCACAAGCAGGCGTTTGATCGGGCGACGATTCGACGATGAGACAGTCAAGAAGGATATCGAGTCCTGGCCATTCCGGGTCGTCGACCAAAACGGCAGCCCCATGGTCGAGGTTGAGTACTTGGGCGAGACCAAGACCTTCTCGCCCCAGGAAATCTCTGCCATGGTCCTCGTCAAGGTATGCATTCACTAATTCCTGTTTCGAGGCCGCGCTTACACCCTATAGATGAAAGAAGTTGCAGAGGTCAAGCTCGGCAAGAAGGTCGAGAAGGCTGTCATTACCGTGCCCGCTTACTTCAACGACAACCAGCGACAAGCCACCAAGGACGCCGGTGCCATCGCTGGACTCAACGTTCTCCGTATCATCAACGAGCCTACCGCCGCCGCTATCGCCTACGGTCTTGGATCCGGAAAGTCTGAGAAGGAGCGAAATGTTCTCATCTACGATCTTGGAGGAGGAACTTTCGATGTATCCCTTTTACATATCCAGGGTGGTGTGTTCACTGTCAAGGCGACTGCTGGTGACACTCATTTGGGTGGCCAGGATTTCGACACCAACCTCCTTGAGCACTTCAAGAAGGAGTTCAACAGGAAGACCAAGAAGGATCTGTCGGGAGATGCGCGAGCTCTCCGTCGTCTACGGACGGCTTGCGAGCGTGCCAAGCGTACTCTCTCCAACGGTACCCAGACCACGGTCGAGATCGACTCCCTCTTTGACGGAGAAGACTTCCAGTCCAACATCACCCGTGCCCGTTTCGAAGACTTGAACGCAAAGGCCTTCAACGGCACCATCCAGCCCGTCGAGCAGGTGTTGAAGGATGCCAACCTCGACAAGACCAAGGTTGACGAGATTGTGCTTGTTGGTGGCTCCACCCGTATTCCCCGGATACAAAAGTTGCTCAGCGACTTCTTCAACGGCAAGAAGCTCGAGAAGAGCATCAACCCTGACGAGGCTGTTGCGTACGGTGCAGCTGTCCAGGCCGGTATCCTGTCCGGCAAGGCTACATCTGCTGACACCGCCGATCTCCTCCTCCTCGATGTTGTTCCTCTTTCCCTGGGTGTTGCCATGGAGGGTAACATCTTCGCTCCCGTCGTTCCCCGTGGGCAAACAGTCCCAACGATCAAAAAAGTTTGGAACCTTTCTTCTTTCCCTTCTCATCCTATCTCATTTCTTCTTCTTTTGATTCCCGAATGCTAATACTTTCCAGCGAACCTTTACCACAGTAGCGGATAATCAACAGTAGCTCTCCCTTATTCTTCCCCTTCTTGTCTTTCGACTTCACCTTACTGACGCTTCAATAGGACCGTCCAGTTCCCCGTCTTCCAGGGCGAGCGTGTTAATTGTGAGGACAATACCTCGCTCGGGGAGTTCACTCTTGCTCCTATCCCTCCCATGAAGGCTGGTGACGCCGTCCTCGAGGTCGTCTTCGAGGTCGATGTCAACGGTATCCTCAAGGTCACTGCCACTGAGAAGACCTCCGGCCGCAGCGCCAACATCACCATCTCCAACTCTGTTGGAAAGCTGTCATCCACTGAAATCGAGACTATGATTGAAGGTAAGATCCAAGCACTAATGTCTGCACCCAACACATCCGCTAACCTGTTTCTTCAGATGCTTCCAAGTTCAAGGCTTCCGACGAGGCTTTCAGCAAGAAGTTCGAGTCGCGACAACAGCTCGAGTCCTACATCTCCCGCGTTGAGGAGATGGTCTCGGATCCCACCACCTCCATCAAGCTCAAGCGCGGCCAGAAGGAGAAGATTGAGAGCGCTCTCAGCGATGCGATGGCCCAGCTCGAGATCGAGGATGCGGGCGCGGACGACCTCAAGAAGAAGGAGTTGGCGCTCAAGAGGGTGGTCACCAAAGCTTTCTCTACCCGTTAGACAACAGACCATACAACAGAGATGAGGGTAGGGGTTGAGTTGAGAGAACGCGGGATAGGTGGGTGCGGGTGTGGTGCAGGGTGGGTGGTAATTACGATCAGCCAAAGGGTTTTTTTGGAATCGATTAGCAACGTGATTAGCTTTGAAAAGAACAGGGGAAGAGAGCCCGATTTTTCCTTTTCTCCTTTTCACGGTGTTTTCACTCATGCTCAGATGTCTTTTTTCCAAATTAGAGTGGCTGGTTCTGGGGCTTTTGAAACCGGGTTTTCTGCGGTTTTTCCGGCTTCTGGGAGTGGGGAAAATTGTGGCCCAGTAGGACAGTTGATATGGCCCTGGCGATATGCTGACAAAAGTATGTACTTATCATGCCCGTTTCCCCCAAATGATTTCTTTCACGGTGCTTCGTCATGAGTCTGTGCGCTTTCTTGCCGCCGTTAGGAGTGCTTCATGAGGCTTTCGAGGATCTGGACGGGATGCGGATGAAGCGTTCTGGACAACCGGTAAACTTGGTGGTCCACCTCAGACGGCCGCAGCCCGGGAAAGCACATATACAGCGATATGCTGACAAAAAGTATGTACCTCTCATGCCCCTCCCCCAGATGTCTGTCTTGGTTTGTGATTGATGTGCTGCACTACGATGCTTCTTCATGGGTCTGTACATTTTCTTGCCGCCGTCATTAGTGCTTCAACCCAACTTCAAGTCTCTGAACCATCTCCAAATTCGTCGCTCTGAACAACCTTTCAACTTTGTGAGCCACTCAGACGGCCGCGGCCCGCGATAACACGAGTCTAAAGATCTCTGCGAATATCTTACCGCACGCTAGGTAGGGATGGAAGGCGGCACAACCAGTGCCTTGCCATAGGTATCCGTACACTTTCCTACCACTGTCTGTGGGGCTTCAACCTACTAATAGAAACCGGGGGCGGCGGACACACTTCCAATCTGCGTGCACTCTGTTGACGCTGTTTGGGGTGGCCTCGCGAGATTACCGGGTTTCTAAAATGCTAATTTTCTCGCTTTTTTAGAAGGCTAGAAATAGTATAGGGCTTGTCACGCGGTAGTAGATGACTGTACGGGTTTGTATGGTAAGGTGTTGCGCTTTTAATGGGGCATTGAAGGCTTTTGTTTGGTGTGGGAAGTGATGAATGCACGTGAGGAGATGGTTTATCACATGCTGGCTAGGTTTCGGGGGTATATGTAGGACGAGCCTACTCATCACCCCCCTTTTTGCTGCATATCACCCCCCCTAGATTTAGCCTAGCTCCGGCCCGTATTCATATTGTTCCACTAATTATATTCACTCGCTTGTTGGATGCGTAAAACGGCAAGGCTATACAAAACGGTAAGGCTATACAAATCGGAAAGGATGTATACACAAACTGGAGTGGTGGAGGACCAGGATCACGTGGAGGAACGTCGCATCTCCGGCGAGCTTGTAAGACTACTGCTTGCGCACAACAAGATCAGAGTGTTGTAGGTGGGCAGGAACCAACACAATCGATGCAGATTGCGACACCGGCCAGCTAAAATTACTATGGCAGGTGTTTTTACAGGCACGCCGGCGGTCGAGCGGACCATTGTCGTATTCAACAATCCTGTACAGTTCACAAATACAGCACCGGACCTCTCCGCCGGACAAGCAGGCACTCTAACAGCAACCCAGGGCTCTATTTCCTTAGTCCCCGACAGTCAAACAGCCTTTGAGGATGGCCCTCTGTCTACTCCTGAGGAAGAAGCTGTTCGTGGTGAAGGAGATTTTCAGGTGTAAGACCTCGGTACAATGCTGTATACGGCGTTCCTTTCAATTAGCAATTGAGAGATGGCCATCTGGGCGCTTTCCGCTTCTAGACTAGCTAGAGTAGACAGAGTGAATAGACTAATAGACTGTTGTTGTATATATATACATCCTTTCCAATTTGTGTATACATCCTTTCCGATTTGTATAGCCTTACCGTTTTGTATAGCCTTGCCGTTTTACGCATCCAACAAGCGAGTGAATATAATTAGTGGAACAATATGAATACGGGCCGGAGCTAGGCTAAATCTAGGGGGGGTGATATGCAGCAAAAAGGGGGGTGATGAGTAGGCTCGTCCTATATGTATTCTCAGAAGGTTTTCGCTGGAGGACAAGGAAGCGGGTTCTGGTTCACCAAAAGAAGGGAGGATGGGAACCATGGGACTTTGGTGATCAACTCTTGCTCAGTAAGGTTGGATGTGAAGGAATGGGGTGCACTGGTACAAAATGAACCGTCAGCGATTCAATGGAGGCGAGGACTGGTGTCGTTGAGACTTGCACAGTGGGAACCTGGCATGATAATGGTGGGCTTTGAGTTTCGTTGGTGCTACGGCATGTTTCTAGTCGGTTATATTATATCCATTATCAAATTTCAAGGGAGATCTGAGGTAATTCTGTATGATCATGTTTACAACCATCACTCTCCGATACCCCTCCGCCATCTCCACACACCCCGAGAAGTCCTCCGCCATGAAATTTCGAGTGTAGTAATTGATCCGTCCCCTCCACTCCTCCATGGGTCATTATCATCAAATCTTTTGATCCAACACAAGTCCACACAACAGAGCCGTGAAACGGCTCTGTTGGAGTTTTTGCAACGCACATCGTTTCCGGCGTTATGCTGGTTTGAACCCCCTCTTGCCTTTCCCCTCCCATGAAGGAAGAATGGCTGAACGGCCGCGAACATTTTTTATACCCTCTGACCGGAGGAACTGACGCCGAGGCCGGTTCACATGCATGCATGGGAACAAGTCACAGGACATGAGCTTGGGTATTGTTTGATATGTTTGAAATTTGCTATCTATGCTATCTCAAGCAGAAAACCTCGTCTTACATCCCGCGTCATAAGCTTTCAACTCGTCTATCTGCAATACCACCGATGTTTTCATCTCTTCTTTCATCTTCTCCTCAAGCAGATCGAATTCGTCCCAAGGTCTATGAAGCCCAGCCCAATACCGGTGATCGATTCGAAACTCTTCTTAATCACGTAGTCAAAGCAGAACCGCACCGTGTCCGAGCAGTCACGCATGCATCCGGAGAAGCAGGCCACTTTGGGGATTTTCTAGATGTGTCAAGAGGAGCCACCACGGTGGATGAACTGTTCTGGCATGGTGTTCGAGAACTCGAAGTCCAGTGCAGCTGCAATACGCAGCGTTTCCAGGTCTGCGAGTATATTTGTGGGTGGCAAGTCGTTGCAGTAGGACTTGAAAGGCTCGATGTCAGCAAAGCAGTGGCGGTTATTGATTCATTTGAATCGATGGCGAGCGAAGAGTCGCTTTTTAGCGTCTTCCCGGTCGCTGTCGAGGTTTCGTCGGCGAGGTGAGTGGAGATAGGCCGTTGTGGAGGGGGCGATGGGGAAGTCGTTTGTAGGGTACTTCGAGACGACGGTTGCCAGTTCATTCATGTTGTAGGTTAGGAGTCTTTCGGTGGCAGTCCACTCGATGGGAAACGGATCCGTGGATATGGCTCCAATGGTGGTGATGTCTAGTCGGGAGAGCTGCAGCATGTAGTACCAAAGTTGCTCGAAGGCGTAGGTAGCTGTCGAGTTCTCTAGCTGGGTTATCTTGTCGTTAGCTTGTGACGAAAGCAATAATTCCCTGTTATGTCTCGATGGTCTTGGATAACCAGGCTTTGAATTTGTCGTCTCCGCCGGTTTCGGCCAACTCGTCGAAGATAGTCATCTTCTCGGCAAGCCAAATTCGGGTTGATGGGGCGATTGGACATTAAAGGTAGTTGTGTAGCCAGAGAATATAAATCAGAGATATGTAAAGGGTGCTCTGTACGTGCAAAAAAAGGTGCTCAAAATGTAACGTAGTGTACTGCAAGGTCGGCGTGGGCGCCAACTGAGGACGAGTAGAATAGCACCCCGTTCCTTGTACGAGAAGTCGGAAAATTATGCTGTAACCATTTGACTCGGTATTTGTCGAAGATCTGCGTTGCATATCGGGAAAGGATGGAGTATGTCGATGCTAAGTGAGCGAAAGATCCATCCCGAGGCCAGGGGAATGGAGGGACGCCCGCGGGAGTGTATGTACATCCGATGCGATGACGACCGCCGCACTCAATTTGGAGTTCAGATGAGCTTCTGATATCCTCGCAAATTTGTGTCCTTCTTTCTATGCGCTTTTTGGTTGCTCCCAAACGGCTGTAGTGTCGATCCCAAACTCTTCTTGACTCGCTTCAAGGCTCGTCGCAGAGATGCACACGTGGAGTCCTGGCCGGAGTCGTGTTCAGACACCAACGGTGTAGAAACACTCGTAGCGTCTTGGATTACCGGTTCAGCTGTTTCCATCTCCTCGCGGAATTGGCTCTGATTCTTGGGGTTCTGGGAGACGCCTAGAAGTACGGGCTCATCGGGTAGTGGTTGCTGGGAGTAGTGGCCTTGCGAGTATGCTGGGATGAAGCGCTCTTGATGCACAGACTGGATATTGCGTGCGTATGAGAGGAGATCGGCGTTGGACTTAGTAGCTGCCTCTTGATAGGAGACGCTGTGGTCATATGTCGATGGGTTCGAGATTTCCGAAACGGTGCGCAAAAGACGAAGGGTGACCTCATCTACCATCTTTTGTCGAGTCTTTGAAAGTTTGGGAAACAGTTTAGGGTACTCTGAGACACTCTGGTGTGTGTGTTTGTCGGTTGTCAGAAAGGGGTTGTGGTTGAAGCGGTGTTCTGGTGTCAGCGGTTCTGTCAGGCCTTGGGGGGGGGGGCTTGGCGCTGACTGGTGGTGAGCGTATAAGTAGCTGGCAGTTGGGAATCAAGATCGGTTCTCAATTCACACTCTTTTGTGGCGCCGTTGGTAAAGCCAGCTGCCCGGCTTTACAGGTTCTTTGTGTATGTCTGAAGCAAGAGAAAAAGGAGCAAGACGCAAGGTGGAAGATATGAGTGTGCGCTTAGATAATCGGTTCGTTCCATGGTTAGACTTCTATATGCGTAGACCTATCCAAGTTGTTCTTTTTCTAATCGGTAGATGTGATCCATGGATTCAGCTTTCCGTGGACCATGGAACCGAGAGCTCCACGATTCTCCATCTCCATAAATGTCCGCAAAGAGAAGACTGTAAAGCAAACATATAACATAGTCGAAGACACAAGGCAAAAAGCAGTCGTTGTAATAGAGGTGAGGAGACGAAGACTGAAGCCACGAAAGAACGACATGCAGTGGCCATGAGAAGTGAGCAAAGAAGTTAGACACGACTTATTTTCGATGCTCTCTTAGCAGGGCACAAGGACCTGAGGACGTCGCCTGGATATGTATCATATGTTTTGTCTTTCAATCTTTAGAGAAGGAGAATGTCGAACGTCAGGACGTTCACTTGAGCCGAAGGGACTCACGAGCCGGTGGCGCCAGGCAAGAAGCAGGATAGCGTTATTCGGGTATAGTTGATCAACAGCATGATCTCCTCTTACTCATCATCAAACAAACCTCAAAGTCCTCATTAAAAATCCACTCTCAAACGGTGGACACATCTTATCCATAAGTGTGCTCGATGTTGTTTCGAATAGCGAGATGGATTCCAATGCGGTAGAACTGCAAAACTCCTACGAAATCTCTACTACGTTCGAATTACCTTGCACAATTTGCCGACGAAGGAAAGTGCGATGCTCGAAAACCCTTCCATGCAACAACTGCGAGAGAGCCGGAGCGCCGTGTAGCTACGATGATGCAAAGCGGACTTCCCGTCGACCACCAAGACATGCAGAACTGAGCACACGTCTGGCAAGAGTGGAGTCTTTGGTAAGAAGTACTAGCCAGCACACTAAGCAAAGTAATTCCACTACAGCTAGTGAACGTGGGTCCATGGATGCGGCCCTCGAGTCTGATCCGACTATGGAAAGCTTAGTGAAGCGTCTAGAGCACAAGCACCGATCGCAGCTCACAACTCCCGATCCAAACTCAAAGCGTGGAAAGCTAGCCTATGTCGAAGGGAGCTCACGGAGCATCCAAACAAGATTCTGGGCTGGATTGTATGAAGAGGTGCGTTTCCCTCTTCATTTTTCTAGCAGGTTCCGAGTATCAGAGGACTAAATCCCGCTGTCTACAAGATCCTAAATCTCAAGTACCTCTTGGAAGAAGAGCAGCCTTCGGCACTCAATTTCTTGTTTCCCGAGACCATCCCAACTTCATTATATGAACAGACTCCTATATCCCAAGTCCACAGCGATCTCTTAGTGCGCTCTTTCATACAAAACGTGGACCCTTTTCTTCGGATCTTACACAAACCGAGACTATTACTCGAGCTCAACTATGTCAGGCGGGGCATATTACGTGATGGGGACGATTTCGAGTGTCAGCTCCATGTCATTTATGCACTGGGAACGATACCGATGACGGACGATGAATGTATATTTCAGTTTGGAGTAGAGAAGTCCATTTTGATGAGCAACCTGAAGGCCGCAGCGGAGAGGGCACTATCCCGGTTGAATATCACATCAAGTCACAAGATCAGAAGTCTTCAAACCCTGTTGTTATACATCGTAAGCTCCTCGCTCCTTCAAATTGCCGATGAAATGGTCGGGTGCGGTAAAGATATGAGGACTAGTGATAACGTGGAGATGTCTAGACCCTCCTCTTCTGGACCGGGAACATCACCCAAGCTAGTGGTCTCCTTGGGCTCGCCGTTCGTTTTGCCCAACGGGTAGGCATCCACAAAGACGGAGAGCGCTTCAAACTTTCGCCCTGGAGAGTAGAGATGCGACGTCGCATGTGGCACCACATCCTCCTGATAGACACTTGGTGTATGGAACACGAGGGCGCCGAGAGCATGATACTTGCTGAATCTTCAGACAACACTCTTCCTCAAAATTCGAATGACGCAAGCTGGGATGCTTGCGAGTTTGCGCTGGAAGGACCTACCCCCTCAACACAATTTACGGATATGACCGGGGTTCTAGTCCAGTTCGAGCTTGCTTTAGTGTCCAGGACTATCCTGGAAGGGTCGCTTGCCAGTGGTGAAATCGAGGCTTCTTTTCAATTTCAAAAAGAGCTGGTATCGCAAGCAAGGGAGAGGCTCGATGCGGTGTACTTACGTGATCTAGATGTGAGGCAACCGTCGCAGAAAATCATCAAAGACTTGACTACCCTCGCATATGAACGGCTTTTCTTTGCCATTCACCAGCCCCTCTTCAAGCATGGACAAGGCGGGGAGTTGGGAACTCCAGAACTCCGATCTGAGTAAGTCATCCTCCCTTGGTACGCTCTACCCTACTCACTACTTCTTCCGCCAGGCTATTCGATCGAGCAATTGCGTACTGCGAGACTGTGCAACGTCTCCAAGACGAATATGCTCCTCACCATCTCGACTGGATCTTTGTCCGGGCGTTCTTTTGGGATTCGGTCGCGATAATGCTCACGACTTTGACGAGGGAGCATGCTCATGGCTCTACGGCTCAAGGACAACGAGCTTATAGGAGGATCGAACGCCTCTTCCAATATCGACAGTCCATTGATTACTTGGCCGGGAATGGCAATCTTTGGAAGCCTTTATTGCAGCTTTGGGAAGGGCTGCAAGCCCTCGAGAATGATGGCTCGGAGAGACACGACGTAGATGTCCTGGGGGATCTCAACGGATGGCCTGTGGATAGCGTCAATCTGGACTTTGATATCGATTCCGCATTTCCGTTCGATGTGCCTATGGGATCTGGTGGGGCAGATTTAGCAATGCATAGCCTTGAATAGATTAGATTTTAGTACTACTGTCCATGTTGAACCACTCATTTATGTATATATAATTTGACATAGAGCCTTGTCATAGGTCTGCGTAGACCTTACTGACGTTGCTTGTGAGGTTTAACGTGTAGAATACTTAGAGATCAGAGCGAGATGGAAGTTCCTTAAAAGCCCCCCAGCAACAGCGATAAGAGCACTTACGCAAATCTACGGTTAGGCACTGTACCATAATCATCCTATCTCTTTTTAAGGGACGTTCTCGTTCGCCGAGCGAACAATAGCGTCGCCGTGCATTTCGCTGCCAAGCATTTCGGCGAACAACTTCAGCGAGCGAGCGAGCGAAGGACCCACGGGGTATGTCAAGCAACCCACGAATAAGATGCATATGAGGGGCTTGGTAATTCACGAGAGTGAGTCAGTCTTATTAATCCCAAGGGAAGCGAATAGTAATAGAATAAGTTGTAAAATATTAGAATCCATAGAGGAGTAAGTACATAAACCCCTCCGACCAGCCAGCAATCAAAAATACGCTCATCATCAAGAAGTATTTAGCATAAGATCCCCCTCAACTTGGCTTCTTATCACCCTACCACCTATCGTCTGTGCCTCACTACTTCTCAACGCAAAAATGAGCCCAAGAATCTTCATCACGGGAGTGACCGGTAAGATTATAATCCGCTATGCAAATTCAACTCTAACCACCACAATTATTTAGGGTACATCGGAGGACATCTTCTTCGCCCTCTTCTAGAGGCTCACCCCGAGTATGAGATTGCTGCCCTGGTCCGGAATGAAGCACAAGCCCAAGCTGTAAAGGCGGCTTACCCAGCGGTTCAAACCGTCTTGGGCGATCTGGACAACGACCAAGTCCTTCAATTGGAGGCGAGTAAAGCAGATGTGGTTCTGAGTATGTGTATGATCAAATTTGAAATGTAGTTGTATTGACATGTAGACAGACCTTGCCTCTGCGGACCATATCGCAGGTGCCGTCTCCCTTATCAAAGGGATTGCGGGAAGCCAAAAGAACGCCAAGTTCGTCCATATCTCGGGAACCGGAATCCTGGGAGATACGTCTACCGGCGCGGGAAACAAGTCCGAGAAGGTGTACAATGATCTGTCTTCCACGGACATCGGAGAGATCCTTTCGTTCGACCTCACGCACATCCACCGCGATGTGGAAGAGGCGGTCATTTCTGCTGCTAAAGAGCATGGCGTTACCGCTGCGATCATCAGCCCTCCAATGATCTACGGTGTTGGTGCCGGGCCGGTCAAGAAGCGAAGCATCCAGGTTCCGGTCCTGATCGAGAATGTATGTGGTTGTCCCATGAGTTGTAAGAGCCGAGCTAATTTTGCCAAGGTCTTGAAAAGAGGAAAGGGTTTCCAGGTCTTGGAAGGAAACAACATCTGGAATAGTAGGTCTTGCGAAGCTGCTCCGTTATATATTTGCTTCGAATCTTGACTAACTGGTTGAAGGTGTTCATATTGACGATTTGGCGAGCGCGATTATTCTCCTCACCGAAGAGGCACTTAAAGGGCTAGAGAGCAAGGCTGCTTGGCTCCCGGGAGGATATTACTTCACTGAGAATAATGAATTTGTGAGTCTAGTGCCTGATAAACGTGTGCCCAACTCCACTTGGCAGTAGCTAACCACTATGAACAGCGCTGGGGAGACATCAGCGAAGCTGTGGCTAAGATCGCTTACGGCAAAGGTCTGATCAATTCCGCTGAGGTCGACAAGATGTCTCCTGACAAGGTGACTGAAATGCATCCTTGGGGTACTATCCTTTGGGGCACAAACTCTCGCGGCTCTGCTGAACGCTTGCGGGCTCTGGGATGGAAGACATCTGGCAAAAGTATCGCCGACAGCTTACCGGCTATGGTTGACTTTGAGGCGGCCGCTAATGAAGGGCAAAGGCAGAAATTGACGTTTGCCGATAAGTAGAGGATCATATTTAGATATATGGGTGTATTGATGGAGAAGGCGGTATTGAAAGAAGGGCGATAGTTGTAACGAGCGAAACTACTCATGGATTTTTCTATAAGACGTTAACAGCCCAAGCCACTAAAAGAGCTTATTGCAAAAACATTGGCAATTCATAAACGCCAGCGCCAAAGCGCCAGCTCGCTGACATCTCTGGTGCCAGCTATCGTATATGTACGGGTCAGAACACCTTCACCGCCCCCATCGCTGCTAGGTAGGGCTGAGTGCGCGCGTCCTCGCTTTTGTCATCTTTTTTGATCCACGCGGCTGCTGGCACAAGACTCCAGACGACTTCCGATTACGGTACTGGATCCACCCACTGCCTCGGGCACACTCGAAGTGGCTGCCTTGTTACGACTAGGAAGAGCCAACTAGCCCCCACTACCCACTAGCGAGGACGACCTGTTCGATCTTGGCGTGCGCCGGGCGTCGAGGATGTCATGGGAGGACAAAGTCTGCGGGCGCGTGCCGTGAGGAAAGAGGGGGAAAGAGGGAGTAAGACCAAGGTAGCGCGGAGAACTGTCGTGGAGAACTATCGTGGAGAACTTACGTGTCTTCTGTACGTTGAGCTATACATATGGAATTTAGCTTTCGACCTCGCTTTTTGCTGTAGGTGTTTCGGATGTTAGGCATGGAGTCTGCGTGATAGAAATGGCTGCTGAAGTTGGAAGGAGACGGAGACATCACGAAGATTTCCAAGAAATCGCGGTGTCGTGATGATTGGAGTGCTCAATTGATGTTTCTGAGGCTGAAAATTTTCGATAGGTTTGAGTTTGGTCACGTGCCTCGGCGATCGGAGCCATTTCTCCGAGACGACGCAATTCGCTCGTGTCTGCCCACACTCTAAGCGAAAATCGACTGAGCAAGACCTCACCGACGCCGCTTCATCCACAAACCCTCAATCAACCGGTACGCACGTAATCCACCCCGCTCCTGCTCGCTGCATCGACACCAAGCTGATCTCTCTCGCAAATTGTAGACATCATGGGTAAAGGAAAGCCAAGAGGTCTCAACGCCGCGCGCAAGCTGCGAAACCACCGCCGCGAGAATCGGTGGTCCGATCTCTCTTTCAAAAAGCGCCTCCTCGGCACTGCCTACAAGTCCTCGCCATTCGGAGGCTCCTCCCACGCCAAGGGAATCGTTCTCGAGAAGGTCGGTGTCGAGGCCAAGCAGCCCAACTCTGCCATCCGGAAGTGCGTGAGGGTGCAGTTGATCAAGAACGGAAAGAAGGTCACCGCTTTCGGTACGTTACAATGGGATATATTAGATGGGAGCAATTTGGAGTTCGTGCAGAGGCTAATGGGATGTTCAGTGCCAAATGACGGTTGCTTGAACTTCGTCGACGAGAACGACGAGGTCCTTCTAGCTGGTTTCGGTCGTAAGGGCAAGGCCAAGGGTGATATTCCTGGGTATGCTATTCCCGGTCACATTGGATTTCGCGATACTAATGAACGTCCAGTGTGCGATTCAAGGTCGTCAAGGTCTCCGGAGTCGGTCTCTCAGCGCTGTGGAAGGAGAAGAAGGAGAAGCCCAGGTCATAGGCGCTTTCTTAGTCCAAGATTGATGGTTCACACGATGGTCGAAGGGAAGCGGTCACAATGAAGGGGGCATTGGCCTCTGAGGTTGAAGGAGATGCTCTGGAGACACTTGGAGGCGTTACATGGATTGATAGTCTGGAAAAGAATGTTTGCTAAGGCGAATCTCATAAATGCTCCAAGACAACTCTTTCAATCAACTGGCTGACTGCTCTGAGATATGCTGTTCCATGTATTAGTGCTCTCGCTATCCGATAGCCTGTTAGTTCTGTGAACTCAACACGCGCCTGGGAAATGATTTCGCATAACAATTGCACATTCACGTAATCAACTATGGACTGCACCTAATTTCGTACAAAGAAGGAATATAACATGATCAGTTATTTTCGTCGAGCTCGTCCCTAAAGCTGTCTAATGATGCGTTTCGCTAGACGGGTTTAGCCAAGAGCAACTTGCGCGCCCTCGGCCTCTTTCTTTCGCGCTTTCGCTCATTAACACCAGCGGCGTGTCTAAGCGCGATTTTGAGTCAACTGCTAACCCATGTGCTAATCTGTGCAACATCACTTCACTATAAGTCACCGTGGTTTGCTTCGCAGGACCTCAATTGAACGCGCTTTCCTAGGATATCGCCCTCCAAGACTCTTCAATTGCTCAACCTCCTCACCTCCACAGTCTGCATGCTCACCGGCCTAGCAGTGGTCCTGATACTAGCTATCTTCCTCCAATTCATCCCCTTCGACGGCTACTTTCAAAGTTACCTCAAAACTTCTCCTAGTACAGCCGTCAACATGAGCACTCCACGCGCTTTCACCCTCAGCAAGGAGATCTTCAACCCGAGCCTGTACAAGCTGGTTCAGTCTACCTGGTTTGGAGGTCTTCCCGAAGGCGCTCGAGCTCCGACTATGGAGGTCGCGAAGGTACGTGGCATTCAATTGAGTGTTCTTTGTGGTCTTCTTTCTAACTGGACTTTAGAAATGGTGGGGAAATGGAGTCCCCCCCGAAGAGAAAGCCGCCTTCGACACAATCTGCCGCTCCAACTTCCTCTCTGCCCTCGAATCCATCGGTCCTGAGAAGTATCCGCTCTCCCAGGTGCCCTCCTCTGCGATTGCCGAACCCTTCCTCCGCGAGATCAGCGAGCAGTCACCACAAGACGAAGGCGCTGAGAGCGCGTCTGAGAGCGCGTCCACGGCCTTGAGTCTCATCTTGATCCTCGACCAGATGCCACGCAACATCTTGCGCACACCGTCAACACTCCCACTGGTCTACAATCACTATGACACCATCGCTACTGCTGTCATGGCGAGCCTCCTTTCGCCCAACAGCACTATGCCGCGTCTCGATAAGCACCCCCTCTACCGTCTCTCGTCAGCCCACCGCTTCTGGTTCTATATGCCTCATATGCACTCAGAGTCTCGTGAGCTCCACAAGCAGCTGGCTGGTGTGCTTGACGAGTTTCGGAGCGAGCTTGTTGAGGCTGGAGCAGAGTGTGAGGCTTCCCTCGGATACTTCGATAGAGCGGCGAATTTTGAGAAGATCCACGCCAAGATAATTGAGAGGTTCGGAAGATATCCCTACAGGAACGAAGTCCTAGGCCGAGAGTCGACTGAGGAGGAGGCGAAGTACCTCGCAGATGGAGGGGAGACTTTCGGTGTGGGCAAAAAGGGTTAGGGTCTTTTGACACTGCGATGACACCGTCGGGATGGGCTCTGATTCCCCTAAAACTGCTAACGGCTAACTCATAGATGTCATGATCCGGGGTCTTGATAAGGAGGATTGATATCCGAACCTTCTTTCCAGTGTTTCATGCGGGCAGGTGACAATTTCAGGAGCGGCCCAAGGTGCCGCAGCCAAGCTATGTCTCCTCTAGCTTCTACCATGATTTGGGCGTTGAAAAAGGGTATCCTAGACGGCTTCTCCATTTATGATATCCAAAAAACCAATTTCCTTTCTTCTACAAATTCAAACTCAACTCAACCTTTGTTATTGAACTCCTCAAAACAGGGTGAAAGCTAACACATTAAACCCGGTATTAGGATAGCAGGCCATGTATGTACGTTTTTGCCGTGCCTTGTAAGCATTATTGGACCTCCAGCAACGAGATGAAACGCGATATACTATGTAAATACATATGGCCTCTGGGCGTACCTCATAGGTAGTGTGCCAAGTAATCATAGTGTTACAAAGGTTTTTGGTCCATGAAAAGGCGCATTCCAAACAATAAGCATTGCCATACGAAGGTCCAGTGTCGTATAGTGTGGAAGTCACCGATAGACTAACCATTAGATGCGTCTTGGAGCTGCACGTTGCTTGTCAAGACGTATCAATGAGGCTGGCACATGACGAAACTGATTGGATGCCATCATGCAGTCTGCAAATGCGCCTGGCGAGGCTGCATCCGAGAACATCGACTCAGCCTCTTTAGCCTTTCTTTTTAATCTGCCTTTTGAGTCTCGTCGCAGTCATCTCCACTGAATTTCCCGTCACATTTTACCTGTCCTTTGGTTATTACTGTTATCATGGCGGCCATCGCTGCGTTCTCTGTCGCAGCAAATGCCATCAGCCTTGCGGACATCGCTTTCAAGCTCGGCAAGGAAACCTTCGAGATTTACGATCGCCACCGCCATGCTGCCCAGAGCGTCCCTCGACTACTGTCCGAGCTCCAGGCACTCATGTCCGTTATATCTCACACGCAGATGTTCCTCCGCGACTTTGAGAAGTCTCCCTTTGCAGTCGACGACAGGCAAATACTGCCAAACTTGCAGACGATACTTACACTCTGCGAGAACGAATTCAGGCAACTACGCAAGATTGCTAGCGAGGTCAAGCTTGCAAATGGAGATTCGTGGCTGGAGCGATTACGGAAAAGCTGGCGATGGGCAGCTGAAGACAAGAGCGTGGAAGATGCAAGTGTGCGTCTGCATAGGCTGGGGACAAACCTCACAGCAGCCCTGTCTGTCACGGGAAGGTATGTTATCTGGCGATATGCTGCAAAGCTAAATACTGACCGATCCGCGGTAGGCAACAAGATATCGCCATTCGCAAGGAGATGCAAGCCACGAGGAACGACATCGCTACCCTCTTCCAGACTTTCACCCAATACACAGTATCGGTGACGACGAAGGCCCCTATTCATCACCAGGCGTCTCGCCAGATCAAGTCTATCCGGCATAGTAAGAAACGGGGTCTAATGATCACGGCGTCAAAAGGAACGACAAGCCACTCGAATGCACGCAATATCACTCGCAAGGTGGTTCCAAGTGCTCCGCCAAACCTTAAAGTTGTCGAGTCCTCTACCTACGATTTGGAGCTTCGGTCATTCCAGTCTTACGCTTCCCAGTTATCGCAAATTGGACTCATCGAAAACCAAGATCAGACGATAGCACTTGAAGCTGAACCTAAAGTGCTGGAACAAGTCGCCTTGCCTTTGATTCTTCTTAGAAAGTCTCTTCGCCTGGCATTTGACGTTCTAGTCTCTTCAGAGGATGTCATCCTGTCTGAGAGTGAATGCGTTTACATCAAGAATGTTTTGGATCAACTTCTCGCCTCGTGTCACAATGCATCCGCGGATTTCCTTTCTCGGAATTCAACGGTGTCGCAAGATTCCAGCCCACCTTTGAGGCCAGTGGTGCGGACAGCATTGAAACCGTCAAATCCTTCAAGGCCCACGTCGTGGTCGCTACAATCCACGCCAATGACGTTAATTCGGCAGAAATACGCGACTACGACTCCCCTCGGTTGCCTTGAAGTAGATGTTGCCGCGCTCAGAAATTCGTTCACGCATCAACTGGAGAACCAAGTTCTTGCTTTCTCGTTCTCCTTTCGGCCAACTCAATTATTAGCCCGAAGTGCGGTTTCGGTCACGTACATGTCGAACCTGATGTTTCGGCTTAGCACGGAGCCGCCAATTAATCGCATTTATCCTCGTCGTGACCCATACCTATGGACAGGGTCACTAAGAATGTCCCTCAATCAAGGCGATACCGCTTCCTATCTAGCAGTAGCCGAACTAATGTCATCCACCATCAATCGTATTGACACACTAGCAGAAAGGAGCTTGGAGACTTACGAGTTACGGAAAGAAGCAAGTAATATTCTTCAACGCATGAACAGGACCTGGCCGATCAGAATAGGCGATATCCAGCTCTGGAGATATGAGACGATTGGTGCAAACAACAAACCACAGATAGCATGGACTCTTGCGCGCTACCTCCAAGAGGCCTCCAATGAAAGGTACTTTTCGGCGCTACATGATACATTGCGCTCCTACATGGTCGATCTTCGACCCTCAACTTTCGACATACTTGATACTCCGAAATTTGACAATTACGGTAAAACACACAAAGTCTTTTCTAACATGGCATATGTGGACACGGAAAATGAAAGTGAGCTCTGGAGGACACTCCCGATGACCAAGCTCGATCTCAATACACAAACCCAGGTCTCACTTGAAAGTAGAAATGTGGTTAAGTCCATTGAAGACTTTGACTGAACATGATAAAGTAGCCTCGGTCTAAGAGATCGCTCCGCAAAGTTGCAGTTTCGTTAGGAAAAACCTTGTAGGATGATACCTGTGCGAAGGGGGTCGCATTACATTGGATTTAGTGATCAAAGAAATTCATGCGTTTTACCATCTCGAACGAACCTTGAGCTTTATGTGCTTGCGCGCCTAACTGCTCTATACAAAGACTGATTGTGTAGCTCCTGATGTTATGCTTTCTGGGTGTACCTCAAAATGCGTCCAAACGTCGTCTCAATGATGACCGCGCGCTCTTGGATATAAAAGTCGAGATCACGTGAAACAGGTAGTACGACACCGCAATGTGCACATGAATACTTTCCTTCCCTGTTCAAAGAACTGAGCTGGAGCTGCGCTGGAGTAAGCGCATCCTCGGTCGGGACTGAGTGACTGAGCAGCTCGTCGGAACCCCAATTTTGGGCCCTGTATTCGACTTAGAGGGCTGAGACTGGGGTCCTCATCCTACCTCCGATTCCGGAAGCCTGCCAGGTTCCAGTCCTAGGGCCCTAATTCCCGAGTAAACTTAACCCTCCGATAGAGAATAGCGCAAAGCTGGTCTGCACTTTATCAGCCATGCAAGGGTACAACTCAGGTTGAAAATTGATGTGAACTCTGTCTTATTTCGGGGGCCCGAAGGCCAAACTATATACTACGTAGGAAGTGACTGTATGCATAGGCAGAAGCACTAATTGGAGGCAGCAGTAGGCAGCATTAGGCAGGGTAGGTCACCGTACCCCAACCCCTCTCTGTAGAAGTTGTAACTGGCTAGGCATGTAGGCAGCTACTATGCCAGCAACTCCAAGTCTGTACGTAGGTGACCGTGAACCGTATGAGTTGTTGATCCTAGGTTGTAGCTGTTACAACCCGAGTGTACAGCCACAGGTGGATACTTCGAACGTCGTCTAAAGCTCCCATCCTTCAGTCTCGAATTTCCTTTATTTATATTATAACACAAGGCCTACAGCTCTCATCAATAGTTAAAACAAACGCGACACTATAACGGAAACAACAACTTTTAGAATCCACCACTTAATAGACACTTTCCATGGCAGCATTCCGCTCCTTGCGCCCTACTGAGTTGATAAGGACTTGGCCGAGAGTCTTAAAACGCGGTTGAGTTGGCTTCTCGCCGGTTTATTCTAGTACAAAGGGGCTGTTTTGCAGGCTATAACACGCACTCACTATACCACAGAACCACCACCACGCTGCTGCAGTAATGCAGCGATGTAGAGACGCAGCAGCGCAGATACACACATAATTAGACATATTGGAACCCAGTAAATTGTTGCTGCTAGCACTGTAGACCTTGTTAATAAGCGGTATACAGGACCCGACGTCGTGGCCTTTGGCCTCAACACAAGCCTAATGAAAGCACCACCACCACCACCCCCTCTCATCATTAACCTTCTTCAGTTTCTCGCTTTCTTCCTTCTTCTCTTTCGCATCTTTCTGTTCCCCATACCGCCTATGAAGTTCAACAGCCAGAATTACTTTGCGTTTATGAAGCTTTTCTTCCAGAACCCTGACAATTTCTAACGTCTTCAAGGGGAACCCAATCGCCGTGCATGCCGAGCATGGAACGGAAACAGTTGTTGCAACCTCGAGACGCCTAACTGCACGACTTGTCCGATAAAATTGCGCATCCAGAATCTCGACCTGGAGGCGTCGGATATCGTGAAGAGAAACACAAGCCTGAACTCCCTCGTCCGCCTTCACGCATACCTCTTGTCTGGTCGGTAGACTCGGCGTCGGTATGAAGATCCTTAGTACGAAGCCGGTCAAAAACATCCATGAGAGCAGATTCAGGATCTCTGCATTCCATGATGTAAGCGTCCAGATGATAGTTCCCCAGTTTTGCGCCGCGACTTCCAGTTGACTGAGAAGTTGACTTTCGGCGGAGGTACTCCCAGCGTCTCCTACGACGTCATTGGCATTTCTGATAGCGGACAGCGTGTCCATTGGTTCTTCCTCCACTTCTGAGAGGCTTGATTAGAATAGGCCTACAGTTTCTCCGAGAATATTCGCACACACCATCTGAGTACCAGGACTTCATTCTGCGAAATTCATCTTCTTGCTCGGCAACTGCTCGCGTATTCCTGGTACAGTCAACGGCTCCTTTTGCCATTTTCTGCAAGTTTGCGGCAACCTTACGAAAATCCGGGTCATCCTCGCCTTTGAACTTGCACACCGTCTTATGATCTCGATTGAGATATATACAAATCCCCTTCGAATCCTTAAGCCCAAGGGTGGCTGAGACAGGATTAACGACCTCTCCTCGTAAGCTTTATTTCATTAATGAAGCTGCCACAGATTTACTCACTACTCCCACGGGGAGGCTCGAAATGTTCTTCTCCAATGTCTCGCAGACATTCAGATATATGTACTGCTCTAAGAGCGGGTTAAAGCGCTCTCTTAGATCACGATGAAAGCTACTAGACCTGTCAACGCTTGCAAGGAACGAGTTTCTCGTTGTAAGGCCACATGAAGCTAGAATGGAGCCTCGATGTGGAGTACCAAAACATGCGATACCGTAGGTGAACGTCAAAATCCCGACGTATATTCCTTCACTCTCATTTGCCTTTGCAAGCGCCTGAAGAATCACTCTCGGTTAGTCATATTTATTTTCACCTTCGGGCATAGGACAAGGAGTCAAGCTGCACGCACCTCTTTGGCAATGATACCACCGAGACTATGCGCAATGAAGATAATCGGGCGCGAGTTAGTCTTCTAGAGAACACTCACCAATCAATACAAGTCTACCACGAAGCTTTCCTTCTTATCATACCTCCCGCTGCAGCCAAAGGGAATTCAAAAGATTCTTAGCCTGCTCCTGTACGTCTGCACATGACGAGTTGAAGAACACGTTCGCATTATACTCGAAAGCCAACATCCGTGCCCTCGGGATGCTGCATGGCAACATGTGTTCGTCCCGGAGCCAGTGCGTGCGGGACTCTTCATCAGTCCAAGTATTGTCCGCGTGAGCGATATTGCTCATGGGGTTCATGCCATGGATAGCGACGATGCTTTGCAGTCTTAGCAGATGCAAAGATCTTTAGTTATGTCGAACTTACTCAATTTCTGGATGCTCATGGCTATACAGCTGCTTCAGCGCCTAGACCAGGTTAGAAGGGCGGGTTGATGAAAAGGGAGACGGACCATGATTTGGATCCTTGACTTGAATCGTAATACAGCTGGAGCAAGATGAAGCACTGATAGAAACTAAATGGCATCGAAGGCTGCATCCAAGTCTTTTCTGCGTATGTTCAGCCTTACCCCGCCGTAGCGGCTGTGCCTCAAGTATAGATCAATTGGGAGGGTCGGCGGTCAGCAGATCCTTGGCAACAAGTCTTCAGCCTTTGCTGGCGTCTGATTCGTTTCATTGTGTTCTAATATGTATGCATAGATGACTCAGGCCATAACACTCCAACATCGACTTTGCAGCGTTGTATGATAGCTAGCATGACGGCGATGAGCTGCAATTGGTGGATGAGGTATCACCACTTTTATTTCTAAAAGTTTGCAAATTTTTGTTAATAATCAAAGCTCTACGGCAAGGTCATCGCCTGACTTCCGCGGCGGCGGCCAGGACGACGGTTGGACACTCTCACCGGAGCTGGATGATTGATCTACTCGACTGCACAATGCCTACCATAGATATCCGTACACTTTCCTGCCACTGTCTGTGTGGTTCCATTGTATGAGACAGCGGATACACTTCTAATCTGCGTGTGCCCTGCTAACGGTGTCTGGTAGCCTCACGAGTGTACTAGTTGTCCGAAATGTTGAACTTCCCTCTCATTCGGTAATACTGAAAAAAGAAAAAACATGAAGCTCGTTAAGCATCGGTAAACGAATGCACCGATTCCGTTGACTGAAGAACCGAATATCTTGACACAGCGCAGAAGAAAAGTCTGCTCATGTGTCGGTGGCGGGTATAGTTGGAATCGAGTACGGCCCTGCTTATGCAATCCGTGTATCCTCCCACCTCACAATGGCCCCCCTCTCTTCAGGATACTCGTACCACGGATACGACCCATGCGGTGGTCCATCGTGCTCATAAAACTTGAAATGGCCCACGCGTTCATTCGTCGCCGGATCCTCTATTTGCCCCAAAAGAATACCGGGCATATCAGGCCACTCGCGGAGTATCAGAGCAACGCATTTGGAATGTCTGCTAGTCAAGAAGAACTCGCCGAGCATGGCGAGTGATGGCTTGTCGCCGATACTATATAATGACATCGGGAGATATTTCTCGTTCACGTCGAAGAGGCGTTCGTGGATTTGAACATGGGTTGGTGGAGAGTTAGAACTAGCTTTCTTGATGATCTCTTCGTGTTCTTCCGCCCAGGGCAGGACTGAGCCTTTGAATTCAAAAGATATTGTCGAGAGAGGAAACGTGTTGCACCAGAGATAGTCGGGATGGTACCCGCCGGCATTGTACTCGACATCGTCGGTCACGTAACTGAAGAAATCACTATCATCTTTATATGAAAGTTCCATCTTGAATACATCCTCATGATCCGGATCCAGTTTCCACTCTGCCCAAGTCCAGCTTGGAAGAACGTGTCGGCGGATGCTAGCTTCGGAATTCCAGTCCAGACCAAAAAGAAGTTTCTCTGTAATGTTGAGTTGGGTCTTCTCCGGGCTCCAATGTCTGAAGGCGGCCTGGGGAAAGATTGGAACCCCTAGTATATTCTCAACCGGGTTTTCCATCATGGCAAATCTCCGGAGTATGCCATTGAAAGCATGGAGAGAGTCGTAATCGTTTGTCAGATTCCGTTGGATGTAATCACGAATTCGAACTATGAGATCCCTTGGTAGTTGGCCAACTCGGCACTTTGGAAAAACCGTTGAAATCCAGCATTTCTTACTTAGCTCTTGCAGATCATCATCGGGCATTGCAGCCAGTGGTATGTCCAAAGCTTCGAAGCAGTGCATGGTGTTGCATTGAAAGCTCATTCCCTCGTCTGTAAAAACAGGCTTCCTCGTTGAACACAACTTCTTGGTAAGTCCACCCTTGGGTGTTCCAATGCGAGCACTTTATGTCATTCACAATGTCAAATGAGACTAGAGCAATGATTCTCGGGCCAACCGCTACGCAAGGGTGAGTATATTCTCGTAGCCTACAACCTGCGCCTGGTAGGCCGTGATCGGGATTCTCGCCTTCGGCGTCGACGAGGGTAAGTACTGACTTCTCGTAGACAAGGCTTACGTCATGCATAAGCTTATGCTTCTGGGGTTCGGTTCGTGGAACGCAGTACCTGTCTATCCACAAGTATCGATAGACTCAGGTTGCAGCACTACAACCTAGGATCAACAACTCATATGCCAGAAAGCTACTCTCCGAACATCAGCTGTAGAGAACCCAGCTGAAATCTCAGCTGTAGAGAACCGAGCTGAAGCCTCAGCTGTGCAGGGCTCATCTGAACTTACTAGCGCGCCACCCTGGGGGTGGCCCCCTTCCTTCCCCTAGTATATATACAACTAGCTAGACGTCTATAGAAATCAGAGTTCACATCAATTTCAACCTGAGTGATAGCCAAGGGCGTTGACTACTTTAATGGCGTCCTCGATAGTTGCCGGCAGCTTATTTGACAAGAATACCATGTAGATTTCGGCTCCAGTTGCGTTGCTATTATCCCGGACGTAGCTGAGAGTGAGACACCCCTGAGACGGATCGTGCGGAACGACTTGACGAGTGACGCAATCAACCACGAGAAGACCTAGAACTTGAGAGTCCTTGCTGGGTTTACAATGCCTTCGGTGATGTTTTTCGCAGGACTCTAGCCAGTTCTTCACAATACTCCAATCGACAGCTTCCATAATGGGCCGTCCAGACACAACATCCGGGCCTCCCGTCGGTATTATAAAGGAGTTAGTATTCCAGTTAGAAATATAGCGGGAATATATCTTTTCTTGCTCAATTGAGAGAATAGTAGTGTCTTTCGAGATACTAGACAGAAATGTCTGTGGCACTGGCTGTGCCACCAAATGCCATGTTTTATGATTAGGGTAATGACTCAGTGACTGCATTTGGCGCATCACTTTACATAAGCCGCAGTCTAATGATCGATATGTGGAGTGTAGTGCACGGACTCGGGTGCCATACCCATCTGTGCATCTCTGTTTAATGTCTTTCATGCGAAAGATTCCATCCAGGTCCAGATTTTGACAAGATTGGCACAAGTTGCTGTAATGATCTGCGCCGTCCTGGACTGGGGATTGGAGCTGCTGGAGGTCCGCCGTGACACCCTGCATAGGTGTCATTCGTCCATGATTTTCAATTTGAACCCTTTTGGTAGTTTCATGACGGTTGACATGATCTTCTGGCGGCCGCTTCTGTCTTGTCCTCGATGAAGTTGTTGGGGTCGACGACCCCTCAGGAGAACCTTGGGAAACCAAATTGTGGCCACTCACGGGCAAATCTGGGGACTGACGCGCCATGTGCGTCTCCATGATGTCGAGACGAAGTCCTCCGGCTTATGGTTGGTTTACCCCCCCACAGCGTGTCTAGCGAGCAAGGGTGTAATCCGTGCAGTGGTATCCGTGTGCCCAAACTTATGGCCCAGTACTGTACGGCTCATAAGCGGATGTTGTGAAGGTTCACTGGAGTGTTCTATCGGAATGGTTACAGCAGCCCGGGGTAGGCCGAATGAAATAGCGGGGGTTAGTACCTGTCGAGAAAGCCGTAGACGGAATGTTCGAGGAGCTATCCACTCTGGGGAGCCTTTGGAAAGTCGTGAATGAGTTGAAGTCGGTTCGTGGAGGTGGGAGGAAGTCTGGCAAACTTGGCAAGCCTCCTTATGCACGCCTCCTCTCGTTCTACTTCGGGCAAGTGGGGGCCCTTACGCGCCTGTGTAACCAGCTGCGCCTGAGTTTTCGCTTCTCGGATATCCGTGTGAAGTCCAGCGTCTTAAGATCTGCTCGGAGACTTCAAGTAGGTATATAGCCAACAGACCCGTTTATTTCAAGCAGAGTATCAACCCTAAGCCACAGCAGCAAGGCTTTTAAAGTTCTACCATAACGGCCACTACGACTCCTTTATCTTCATCTTCATCTTTTCCACATACTCGTCCGCCTCTTCCCCAGTGCGCCCAAACGCCAGCCGGATCATCTCTCGCGTCAACTCCTCTCCCATCCCATCAAAAATCGCAATCTTCCCCAGAGCCGCATAGACCCTTGACGCAGGTCCATCCAGCGCCTTCGCAATCGAGCTCTGCAGCGGCCGCCCTTTACCAGCTAGAGCTTGCTCCGCCGCCGAAAAGCTGCGCTGGTATATTTCTCGCGCCTTGACATGCCGCTGGACATTCCGATACGTTACGCTGTCCGGGTTGCTCAGAATGTGCTCAATCTCCGCGTCGGACGAGATGAGCGGGAACGGCATCGGGTAGTGGTTTACCTCCGCGGGCACCGACTGTGCGAATTCCCAGTCGATGATGGCGAGGAAGTTGAAGGCGTCGTCGACGAGGATGTTTTGGGTTCCCATGTCCATGTGGTTGAAATGGAATGGGCCTGTGTTGCCAGGTCCTTTGAATAAGTCGGTGCGTTGGACGATGTCGCGGAAGATAAAGGGGCCAAGGACCGTGAAGATGTCTGCGTCGTCGTCGTCGTCGTCGTCGTCGTCGGCGTCGGCTTCGTAATTCTTGCATGCTTGTAGATGCTTGGCATCGCCGACAGCTTTAAAGTAGTCGTGTGAACTTAGGAATGGTCCCGCAGTCTGTAATCCCTCGGCTACGGCTGTAGCCAGTTTGCCAATCGTTGGCCCAGTGTCTTGGGCAAAATGGGCAATTGATCCGATGGTTGGGAAGGAAAAGCTCGCCAGTTCCGCTTGAATGGACGTCCATTGGGTGAGGATGTGCTCTTGAGTTTGAATCTATATAAGGATATGTTAGCTATAGACGTTTTAGAAGCTTTCGAACGCCAAAGCAGCCTTACGGGAAGATCGCAGATGTCAAACTTCACATCCTGTAGAGTATTTCCATAGAAGCCCTCAATCAGCATAAAGCATGCACCAACCTTGGCAGCTTGCTGAGAACCCGGACCCGCATATGCGTATAAGCAAGGGGACGGCACGCTCGTAGCTTTGCCTTGCACGAACCGCATAGTTGCAACTTCGCACTCGATGGCGTATAGCTCGGACTCCTCGTTGACATCATCGTTACTTTCTGGATGCCGCGGAAGTCTCACACGAGCAATTATGAGGCTTTCGTCGGACAAGATAAACTCGAAGCAGCACCAGAATTGGCTGGCGGAAAAGGGGTCGCTCATGGTTGCCGCCTTGCCCGTGACTTGCTCAACATGCTCCAGCAGCGCGGATTTGTCAATGCTTCCCATAAATCTTTCTAGCCGTTCTTTCATTCCATCATAGCCCCATGCATCGTACGATGTCCAATTTGTGCTGGGGCATGGCTTTGTGATGGTGGCCATCTTGGAGTTTATGATGTCAAAAGATTTGAAGTGCGGGGCAGGTGATATTGCGGAGATCGCAGAGAAAATGCGGCGAAGGTAGATGAGAGACATGCAGGCCTTTAGATTTCCCACACTCACTCTTTCATTACACCGTCTTTCGCTATTTGCACTTATATTAGCATGTCTATCACTCCAGTACGTCAACTATCACTTGTACCTTGCGAAAGAGCTCGAGTATGGCAATTTTTGCAAATCCCTAACCCTTAAATTGCAGTGGTGCATACCTTCGGTCAGTCGGAATGAGCGGTAGAAAAGTAGACAAAGTCCCAAGAGTTCAAACGCTTTTCTTCATTAGACTCCAATACCTATAGTACAACAACCCAACCAGATACCAACCCAACAATGCCCACCTTCCGCAGACTCGCAGTCAAACTCAAGACAACGCACCCACCCTAGAGGACCCACCATCCCGAAATACAGGCACCCGATCCGCCAACACCCTCAACCATTCTAAGCCTAAGCCACCACAGTACACCCCCTCCCCCCTCTACGACAAGGCATCTCCCATCTACTGCGACACGTCAACAACTTCATCACACACTCTATTTCGCAAAATGCAAATCATACGCCAGCCACTTCCGCGCCACCACCTGGTCCACCGTCAACCCGGGTTTCCCGTACGTCAACGGCGCGAAGAATAGGAAACTCCAGATCACCAGCGCCAGGATAACGGCTGTGGCCGCCCAGCTCGCAAACAGCGTCTGCGTGCCCAGCCGCTCGCGGACCGGTCTGCTCCGCTTCTCCACCTTTTTGCCCTTCTTGCCGTCCGTCGTGATTGTCTCGCCATCGACGATCATGGGCTCGATGTTGAAGATGAACTCAACCAACGCGCCTGTCACGAGCGCAGACGCGAGATGCGCGGGGAGATAGTGATGCAAGAACAGCTGCCGGCCCATGATGAAGAATGGGACGTAATGGGCAGCCCAGGTGAGGAAGAAGAAGCCCGTCGAGTTGTAGAGGCGGGAGCGCGTGCCTGGATTCCAGAGATGAGTCAGATACGTAATTGTAGGTCGCGGACGATGAAGACGATTATAACGAGTAGCGACAGCATTCGGAAACGTAAAAAGACCCCAAAAACGAAAACCGGGTCGATGAGAAGAGTAGTAGAAGAAGGAGAGGGGGGGATACTCACGCTCATCTAAAGCGTCGATGCCGCGGCGGAGCGCGAGCTGGTCGGCGCCGATTATACCAGCGAAGACGGCGAGGAGACTGCTGGCTAACCACCAGCCGATGGGGTTACCGAGGAAATAGATTTGCTGCTTCGTGTCGTTGTCGGTCCAGAAGGACACGCCCCGGAGGAGAAAGGGCCATGCCACGGGGAAGCTGGAGTATGGATGGCTGCTGGTGAGAGCGTTGTTGTGGAAGAACATTGCGCGTTGGAGCTCGAAGTATTTCTTCAAGAATGGCACATGCTTGACCTTCTTGGGCTCATGTTTGGCTCGATCAACTCCAGGTGCGAGTGATGGGATCTCCTCGGCGAACCAGATGTTGCTGGATTGCTGAATGTTCTTGTTACCGTTAATTTCAGCTTGCTTATATGCCCAGTCCGGGAGAGGGGTAGTGTGAGTCCACATAGCAACCTTAGAAGGGAAGTGGATTAGCTTGAAATGTGAAGACATAGTCTTGAATTCCTGTCCCAATTTGCCATTCTCGACCTTGAGTTCGAATAGAGTGTCGTTGAATCGATCTCCATTACCTTCTTCGACGCCAATAGTCGTGAATTCTTGGTTGGTTGGATGATAGGGAGATGCAACATCATGAGACATTAGAAAGGTGTCTGTAATTTGGTGCTTGAGGCGGATGAGATCTCCGTTCTTCACGCGGTGGCCTGTGCCTGGGAGGTCTTTGGCCGGAATAATCTGCCATTGATTGTTGGTGTCGTTGTGTGGGTAGCCGGTCACCTGCTGTCCTTGACTAGAGATACGACCATCGTCGTACCTCAGAGGATACTTGTCAGGATGGCTGTGAAGATAGACTTTGGTCTCCTTGTGCCGGAGGGTAAGAAAATCGTAGTAATCAATGGGAACAGCCTGGGTCATCATGATGTTATCGCTCAGAGTTTCCTGGAATTCAGGGCTCATAAAGTCGTCACCGGGACCGGAGCGAGAGAGAATGGTGAAGTGGACCTGGAACCAGAAGAGATACAAGAAAAAGGGGACAATGATAAGGGCAACGGCACGAGCCAGGAAGTGATTGGTAAACTCTCTCAAAGTCAATGTTCCTTGCCGGCGATTGACGTCCAGGAGATCCCAGAGATCAAACAAGACGGGTACTCCAATGGAAATGAATGTGAAAACACCGACGTATTTGGTAGAGATGACGCAGCTCAGGCAGACTCCAGTCAATAGAAGCCACTTCCACCACTTGCGGGTGAAAGGAATATGCCTAAACTTGTAGAATCGGACATAGCTGAGCACGCTCAAAGCCATGAAGAAGATGAGGGTTGCATCTAGGAGAATCAGACGTGTTTGGCCAATGTGAGCATTGTCAAACAGAAGCAGGCCAGCGGCAGTGACGCAGGCTGGTAGCGAGTATCCAGACTCCCACATGATCATGAATGTAGTTGGAACGGTAAGGGCGCCCATAAGTGCGGGCATCGACCGGTATGCAACATAGGGAACTTTGTTGGTGATGTACGAGTCGCCGATGTTGTCGAACAGGAATGAGCCGTCATATCCCACTAGCCAGCCGGCGAAGGCAAAGAGGAGCTTTCCGAAGGGAGGGTGTACGTCGAAAAAGTAGGTCCGTTGGAGGTAATACGAGGCGAACTACTGTGTGTCAGCAAGAGCTCGTGAAGACCTCATATTCCAGCCTGGTGAGAGTGTATCCAGAGGTTGGACATGGCAAGAGAACACAGCCATACCTTTCCAAAGTGCACCTCGTCGAAGACGACCTGGTTGGGGTGCTGAATCCCCCAGAATCTCGTCACGAAAGCCAGGATCGTGATTATAGAAATGGCGAGCTTGTAATCCCACTCGGAGCCATGGGATGGCGTCGTGAACTCTTTCTTAGCCTTGTTAATGACCTCGAGATCATCTTTGGCGATTGCCTCTGGGTTCGGGGTGGTCGGCCGCTTGTTCTTGGGGCCACGGTGCCGTACGTTGGCGGGAGAAGACATGGTGCAGTGGGTTGCGCCGCAGCTCCTAGAAAACTGAATGGGAGCCAATGCGGTTAGTTGATACTGTTGGCGGGAGAGTTTCGAGGCGGAAGAGAGGAACATACCAGGAGTAGGAACAGCAGGTGGGATGGAAGGGCGAAGGGAAGATGTGAATGTTCAGAGACGGGGAAGGCTGCGTGGTCACTTCTTGAGAAGACGCGCCACACACCCCTGCTCCACCCTGTCAGTTCTTGGTGACCTAGCCCCTCCGCACCCCTGAAAGCACCACCATGGCCTCTTTATAACGAGCACACATTGCTTGTATTCCCAGGATTTCTACCCTGGCCATTCGTTGTTACAACGGATTGTTCTAAAAACGAACTCACGATTCACATCACCTCCCAAGCAGGCGCGGACCCGTTGAAGAACATTATCTAATTCAACTCGACTATCTGATCATTTTTTCTATCCACATAGCACCTGGAATGCTTCAATGATGTCTTTTGTGTAGCAATTGACTTGATATGGAGGCTTGCTTCAGAGTATCACGCAAGATACATGACACATTGATTCTTATATCAGACTCTCAAGCAAGGGCTTTTCATCGGTGATAACGTGTCTATGTATGCATGCCAAACGCCCATATCTACCGAATCTGAGGCTCTAATGATCCTATTGCCAGGCCTCGACAATCTTGAATGCTCAATGTACAGCTATCCTCTCAGCTTGATCTAACGCGTCCACCTCATCCACAGACTCGCCATTGGCCCCCTCAATTCGCCTTCTCCACCCTCTGCTTCGACGGAATCCGATAGGTAGTCTCGTACCCATACAGCGCCCCAGCACCAAACACAATTGCCGCCCCCAGCTTCATTAGATCGCTCATCGGGTTCCCAAACAGCCACACGCTGACCAAAAAGCTGACCAGCTTGCGGATGTTCAGCACGATCGTCACCGTAACAGCCGACGTATTTGCGCTAAGCATGTTCACTCCAGTAATACACAACAGCTGCGTAACGGCGTTTGTAGTGAGGTAGATGACAGCTTCGGGCGTCGAGATGAGTGAGTTTGTCAGTACCACTGGAAGCGTCCGTGCCATAGAGATAGAGACGGGGAATGGGGGTGAGGCTGCTAGGCGCTCGTATTGAGAGTAGATGGAGGGGTAGAATTGGAGGAAGAGTGGTAGGCTCAGGGCATGCGAGTAGAAGAGGTTCGATTGCCAGTCTTTGCCGTGCTGGGCGAAGATGTCTTCCACGTAGACGCCCATGTAGGCGGAGAGGAGTTGGGCTACGAGAAGCACTGCGAGGCCGGTCTCGAAGGAGGCACTTTTGAAGTCGATGGAGGTTGTGCTCATTGGTTTGCCCTATGATGACAATATGTGAGCAACGGGTTCATGCATACATGGAATGAATAGCTGCTATACCTTTGATGAAGCATCTGCCCAAGCTGAGATCACGACTCCAACTGAGAGTAGAGCAACCGACAGCACTTGAAGGGTAGTATATCTCTTTCCGCGTATCCATCCAGCCGCCATCGTCGTGACGCTACCGAAGCTTCGAAGGACGATATGCACCGGCACCGAAATATTGAAAGCGAAGGCCCAATTGTTCAGCATGTTGACTGTGAAGAACAACAACGCGCTATAGGCCCATTTCCGCATCGGGACTGGTGTATCTTTGATGAAGTATTTCCCATTGATGTCGAGTTGGTTACCTAGGCTGAAAAGGGTAGTGAAGATGAATTGAAATAACGTGATCAAAAGACCACTGTCAGGCTCATGCCTGCAAGACGTGAGTATTTGGAAAACCATAAACATTCATTAGATTACGTACTTCACAATCGCTTCTAGACAATAAACCTAGCAGGATTAGCTAAACAAACAAGAGATCGCGCGGCGAACCACTTACATTCGAACAGCAGCCTCCGAATATCAACGCAAAGCTGCTCGCGAGGGGGGCGACGGCAGAGAGCATGATGATTGCCTTGGACGATTATTTCGTCTGAAGGAGACCCGAATTGAGGAAGACTTGAGCGGCGAACGAACAAGTCACGTAAGCAAGATTAGGCTATAGATAATGATGAAAAGGTTAGCAGCGGAGCGTGATGAAAGCGGGGGATGGAAGAAGGACTCTACATACGACACGAGACGAATTGCAATGATAGCGAAAGAGTTGAAGAATTTGGAGATGCGAGAGGCCTAACGGGACTAGTTCAAGCTCTAGAAAGGGGTCGGCAAAAGAAAGTCGGCAAGAAGAGAGTAGGCAGAAGAAAGATGAAAGCTGCATAGGGCGCGTTGTCTATATATAAGAGCAAAGCGGAACTCTATATCATGATGTACAAGAAGGGTTGAAAGCCAGGATGGGAAAGCAAGGTGTTGACGTGGTGGAGATCGTCGCGTGTCACCCGCGAGGCAATCTGTCGTAGGGCTGAGCCAGGCTAGGAACGTCAGATTAGCTTTGCAGGGGATTTGCATCTTTAAACCTGACAACTAGTTTAAAGCATCCTGACCAATTGTTTATCGATTTACGAGGACATTTACCGTCACATTATGGCCGATCAATTTCATACTCTCATATTCCTCATTATTCATACTACAGATCACTCTATTCTTCAACTTCAGTTGAACGCACCAAACGCCTTTCAGTGCATACGCCACGCCCTACGCATCACAGTCACGAAGACCATCCGCATCCACATAATCGGGCCACTCCTATCTGCATTTTCGACTATGCACTGCCTATAAGCCCGGCCTGCATGCCCACCACAATCTTCGCCGATGCCTGCCAGCCATGAAGAGATCCATCTATCGGAGCCAGTGCCGCCAAATCGACTACGAGAACGCAAGCAAGATGAATGTGTTGATAGGGTGTCCGACCCGCATATGCACTAAGAAAGAATCCAGGGACGGCAAGCCGTAAGAACGTCGATGCTCTTCCAGATGCGACGCTGCCAATACCGAAGCTCCCTCTACAATGCTGAGAACACGAAGAGCTAGTAGAAGAATTAGTACACCCTCTTGGCAAGGACGCTGAACATGAAAAGAAACTCACATTATTCGTAGCCGCAATTGCAATGCTGTCCTCGAATGGATGCCAGCTCATATGCAAGATCTTCTTGTTGAAGTCGATCTGATCTGCATCCGTCTCCTTCCGCATGCGCTGGCCTTGCCCAACAGCGCCTGCTGCTGGGCTACCGGCCCGTGATCCTCCCTTTTTGTTTCCTGTCGGGCTTGTCGACGAGTTCATGGGTGTAGGTATTCCCACCTTCTTCGCCTTGAAAGCTGACTTGTCTGCCTGCAACACCACTTCGGTATCCTTCTCCGGGTCAGAAGGATAGATCATGAAGTTGTTGTTGTAGCTTCCCGTCATGACATTCTTCGCGTCACCTGAGAATACCACCTCGAACTTGTCGAATATACTGTCGTTCTCATAAGTATCGCACAGCCGCGGTCTAAGATGCTCGTGGATAGGGATGGTCTTGATGGGTTGACGCTCCATGTTTACGTCCCATATCTTCACCGTAAGGTAGTCTCGGGAGAGGATGTAGCGACCGTCATGTGAGAAGCGGACGTCGGATATGGATGAAATGATTTCGGAAAAGAATGATCTAGAGGATGGGTCTTCTTCTTGTTCGAACTCTAAGGAACGGGTTAGCGCATTTTGACGCAAAGTGTTAAATCTTGAAAACTTACGCTTGGCGTGCGAATCACAGAGGGCGCTCGCTCGCATATCCGCCAACTTGATGGTGCCCTTGGAACTAGCATACATGAACCAGTTACAGCTCTGTGGGTGGAACTCGGCAGCAGTGATGACTTCCGTAAGTTCCTCCATGTTCGCCGGCTTGATATCCACAATGTTGAAGCTCTGATCCTGGATGTTGAGGTTCCATAGGTTGATGCGGAGGTCGTCGCTGCTGATGAATGTCTCGCCATCACTGTTGACCGATATGCTGTTGATATGGTAGGCGTGCGCATTGGCGTAGGTCTTCCGGGGAACAGCGGCAACGACGGTATCGTGGTGCGTGAGGCGGGGTAGCTTGAGATCGGCGGCAGTACGGAAATGCGCGTTGGGATTTCGGACTGGGCCCCCGGCTCCAGTTCCAGGAGCGACACCGCTACCCGGCGTCAATTCGTGCGACAGGTTGTTCTCCGCAACCACCTTTAATGACTTCTCAAAGACCTTCCAGAGCTTTATCGTCTTGTCGTTGGTGGAGAGGAGGTAGTGTGAGGCATTCTGTCGTCGACACCACTTGATCTTGTTTATCTTCTCTTCTATCTCCAAGGATTTAAGGTAGTCGAACTCAGGCTCGTGGGATTGGAATTCGGTATGGAACTTGTATTCACATGTTTTTTTCTGGATACGTCAGTTGAGTGCGCCCCCGCGGGTTGGGGAGGTGGGCAGGTGAAATGCCAACATACTGTTTCGTTCCGCTCAAAGAGTACTACTCTGCCGCCTTTGTCGCCCGTAGCAAGGTAGTTTCCTGTTTGGTCGAACTCGACGGTGGAGATGATGTCCGCTGTATGGTAACGCTTAGCAACCTTCCACTTTCGAGACATTCCGAGCGGAGGGTGGGGTTATGGCTGGGGCAGGGTGAGCCGAGGAACCTTACCTTCTGTGATGTCTTCAACATCTCCTTTGTCGCCAAAGCATCTAGTGAATCATCAGTACAACTTCACCGCTTCGGCACGCGCCGAAGGAAATAGACAGCAGCAACTCCGAGGGCAGCAACAACGACCGTATGGAACCAGATAAACACATAAGAGAAGTGAGAACAAAGCTAAAGCACAGAGAAAGACGAGAGGGAGTACTGACTGAGTAAACTTCCACGTCGTCGGGTTCCCTTCTGCTTCTACCATGATTGTCGCGGCTTGGCCAGCAGAAGCTCAAGCCACAATCCGAGAGAGGAGAGCCTAGGGCGAGGAGGGAGGTGGTGTCTGTTGGAGAGTCCGGGCAGGGATACTGTTGGGGATATGGACTGCCGGTTGGCACCGTCGACGTCGAGGCTGGCGGGCAGGTGGCAGGGCGGCGATTGCGGGTGGCGGGCGCGGGGCGGGCTCTCCAGAGGGGTGAATTCGCAAAAGGCAGTGGGAGGCCTTGGGGGAGTGTGGGCTGGGGCGCGAAGGGAGGGATTGTGATATAGCGGAACAAAGCTGCGGTGGTGATTGTACCTTGGGACTCTGCGCTGCGTGGAGGGCGGTGGGGTCTTGCCCGTGGATTCCTTGGAGGCCGGCGCGCTAGGCCCGATGCATCTGGCAGGCTCGCTAATCAACCGCACCTCCTCCAAATATTCGTTTTCTGGCTTCGAGACGGCATCACCGACTAACTTCCAGCACCCAACTCTCGACACCACCATGTCTCACCGGAAGTTCGAGGCTCCCCGCCACGGATCGCTGGCATTCTTGCCCCGCAAGCGGGCCGCCAGACATCGCGGCAAGGTCAAGAGGTAAATTGAGCTTCTCCCGCCGCCGCGAAGTTTCCCATGCTGATATCAATCGCACAGCTTCCCCAAGGATGACCCGAAGAAGCCCGTCCACCTCACTGCCGCCCTGGGCTACAAGGCTGGCATGAGCACCATCGTGCGTGACTTGGACCGACCCGGTGCCAAGTTGCACAAGAAGGAAATCGTCGAGGCCGTTACCATCATCGAGACCCCTCCCGTACGTGAAAATCTGAAGAAACGAGGGTGCAATTGCTCACAGTCACCCAGATGATCGTCATTGGTCTTGTCGGCTACATCGAGACCCCCCGCGGCCTGCGTTCCCTCACCACCGTGTGGAGCGAGCATCTCAGCGACGAGATCAAGCGGAGATTCTACAAGAACTGGTACAAGAGCAAGCAAAAGGCTTTCAAGAAGTACGCCAAGAAGTACTCGGAGAACAGCGGCCAGTCCATCACGCGCGAGCTCGAGCGCATCAAGAAGTACTGCACTGTCGTCCGCGTGCTCGCCCACACCCAGATCCACAAGACCCCGCTCAAGCAGAAGAAGGCCCACTTGATGGAGATCCAGGTCAACGGTGGCAGCATCGCTGACAAGGTCTCTTTCGGCCACGGACTCTTCGAGAAGCCCGTCGCCATCGACTCCATCTTCGAGCAGGACGAGATGATTGACGTTATCGCCGTCACCAAGGGCCACGGATACAGTGGTGTGACCAGCCGTTGGGGAACCAAGAAGCTTCCTCGCAAGACGCACAAGGGTCTGCGAAAGGTTGCCTGTATCGGCGCGTGGCATCCCAGCCACGTGCAGTGGACTGTTGCCCGCGCCGGTCAGCGGGGTTACCATCACCGTACGTCGGTCAACCACAAGATCTACCGCATTGGCAAGGGCGAGGACGAGGGCAACGCGTCGACCGAGTTCGACGTGTCCAAGAAGACCATCACCCCGTATGTGTATAACTCCTTTCGATCATTCAAGTCTAACATATTACAGTATGGGTGGCTTCGTCCGCTACGGTGAGGTCAAGAACGACTTCCTGCTGCTCAAGGGCTCGTGCCCGGGTGTGAAGAAGCGGGTCATGACTATCCGCAAGTCAATGTTCACACACACGAGCAGGAGGGCGCTAGAGAAGGTCGACCTGAAGTGGATCGACACATCGTCCAAGTTTGGACACGGTGCATACCAGACTTTCGCGGAGAAGAAGCAGTACCTGGGAACTCTCAAGAAGGACCTCGCCCCTGCTGCGTAAGTTGGTGGTTCTGTTCTGGATGTGTGCATTTCAAGGTTCCGTGGAGGGTAGCTCTGGCGTTGTCTTCCTCTCACTTTCGACTAAAACCTCAATGGAAAAGTTGAACGATTGTGTTCATGCCACGATATGATGCTGCGTATGCTCTACTTGGGGTGCTTCAAAGCCTGCAGAACATGTTGGCAGACGTGTGATATATCTTCTGACGGTTCGAACGGTAAGGATCTTGCAGCCTTACTCAGATTCTAAGGAGTGATATACCCTAAATAGTGGCAATCAAGTGTCATTGGGTCGACAATTACTATCGCAGACGTTATGCTGGGAGCACTTTGAATGATCACGCGGTGCTTTCTCACTGGGCGGAAATGCATGACGATGTGATTTGGGAGAATAATGAAATAACCGTTACAACGCCAGTGTCGCCGCGATGGATACTGCAGGTGAGTCAATAATACTCGGCCCAGCCCAGCAGCCCGGGATCTGATATTGCGCACTCGCGATCGCGTTCCGCCGCTCCTGCTCTTCCCGAGGTAAGGCATTCGGGCAGACGAATCACAGCAGACGTAATCGAGACTCGGTGCAAGCCCTAGTGCCTCGCCCGACCTCAACTTCCTCTCGCACGCAGCATCGCCGCACCTCTCCACTCTACCGTCGCCCATCATGAGTTGCCTCCGATCGAGGCGCCTCCAGCTTGCGAGCCAGGTGAGCTCCACTCCCTCAGACTTCTGCCCGCCCATTGAGCCATCCGAGGCGCTCCGCATTCCCGATTAGCCACCCCGCGAAAGAGACACAATATACACCAATTGCCCCCATAGAGCCTATAATGCTTCAGATATCTCCCGCGAGCTCGCACTGCACGGCCATCAGCTGTTACCACCCACCGCCAGACCAATTGCTAACCGCGCATCTGCCGAACAGCTCTCCAAAAGCCTCAGGACTCCCTCGCGAGCCTTCTCCTCGACCAGACCCGCCGCCCGCATCTTTGCCTCCGACCCTTTGAGGGCGAAGGAAGCCTCGCCATTCCTCAGCCAAAAGTACCCTGTGATAGACCACGAGTATGATGCAATCGTTGTCGGAGCTGGCGGCTCGGGTCTACGCGCTGCCTTCGGTTTGGCGGAAGCTGGATTCAACACTGCCTGTATATCGAAGCTTTTCCCTACGCGGTCTCACACTGTAGCTGCACAGGGAGGTATCAATGCTGCGCTTGGAAAGTAAGTGTGGAGCAAAAAGCATTTGAAGGCGGGCGGGGAAGCTTATATTCGAAACAGCATGCACGAGGACGACTGGCGATGGCACATGTACGATACGGTTAAGGGTTCGGACTGGCTAGGTGACCAGGATGCTATCCACTACATGACAAGAGAAGCACCTCAGAGTGTCATCGAACTCGAAAACTACGGCTGCCCATTCTCGAGAACAGATGACGGAAGGATGTGAGTTCAACTTGTTGCATTCCTAGGACACTATTAACGAACGGCGTAGCTACCAGCGAGCTTTCGGTGGTCAATCTCAGAAGTTTGGCAAAGGCGGACAGGCATACCGATGCTGTGCTGCCGCTGACAGGACTGGCCACGCTCTTCTTCACACCCTTTACGGCCAATCGCTGCGACACAACACCAAATACTTCATTGAATTCTTTGCTACTGACTTGATAATGGAGGATGGCGTCTGCAAGGGTGTCATTGCCTACAACCAAGAAGATGGTACTCTGCACAGGTTCCTAGCTAAGAACACCGTTCTTGCCACCGGCGGCTACGGGCGAACATACTTCAGCTGTACGTCTGCTCACACATGTACCGGTGACGGAATGGCAATGGTTGCCCGTGCAGGTCTCCCTAACCAGGATCTGGAGTTCGTCCAATTCCACCCCACAGGTATCTACGGAGCAGGATGTTTGATTACGGAAGGATCTCGAGGAGAGGGCGGATATCTGCTCAACTCCGAGGGTGAGCGATTCATGGAACGTTATGCCCCAACTGCAAAGGATCTGGCTTCCCGTGACGTCGTCTCTCGGTCAATGACATTGGAGATCCGCGAAGGCCGTGGTGTCGGACCAGACAAGGACCATATCTACCTTCAACTCAGCCATCTTCCCCCGGAAGTCCTCCATGACCGTCTCCCAGGTATCTCGGAAACCGCCGCTATCTTCTCGGGTGTCGACGTTACCAAGCAACCCATTCCCGTCCTACCGACCGTCCACTATAACATGGGCGGTATTCCCACAAAGTACACCGGCGAGGTTCTAACTGTCACCGAAGACGGCAAGGACCAAGTCGTCCCCGGCCTCTTCGCCTGCGGTGAGGCCGCCTGTGTCTCTGTCCACGGCGCCAACCGTCTCGGCGCCAACTCCCTCCTCGATCTCATCGTCTTCGGCCGCGCCGTTAGCCACACCATCCGCGACAACTTCACGCCCGGCCAGAAGCACGACCCCATCGCCGCCGACGCCGGCGCCGACTCCATCTCCGTCATCGACCAGATCCGCACCGCCGACGGGCCCAAGAGCACCGCCGAGATCCGCCTCGCCATGCAAAAGACTATGCAAACCGACGTCTCCGTTTTCCGCACGCAGGAATCCCTCGAGGAGGGCGTCCGCAAGATCCACGAGGTTGACAAGACCTTCGCCGACGTCGGCACCAAGGACCGCAGCATGATCTGGAACTCGGACCTCGTCGAGACGCTCGAGCTACGCAACCTGCTCACTTGCGCTGTGCAGACCGCGGAGAGCGCTGTGAACCGCAAGGAGTCGCGTGGTGCGCACGCGCGTGAGGACTACCCGGACCGTGATGACGAGAACTGGATGAAGCACACGCTGAGTTGGCAGAAGAAACCACATGGGGATGTCAAGCTCGGGTACCGGGCTGTGGTGGCGACGACGCTGGATGAGAACGAGTGTAAGGCAGTCCCGCCTTTCAAGCGAGTTTATTAGGCCCCGTGTTGAATTCGAATGTGTGCGGTTCGCGAATTGTGTTCTCCTTGCATCTGTACGTATAAAGTTCGGCTGTCAGGCCTGTGGGAGGAGGCTAGATTGGGTGGATGGATGTGCCACGACGTAGCGGAATGCAAAATAACCCATTTTTTTGGTTTGATATATTGTGTAGCGCTAGGTATTGCCACATGTCTATCATTATAGCAATGTCCATCTCAAAGCTTTCCAGGAATGAAATTGAGTTCGCTCATACCGGGAGCCGTTCACGTGGCCCTCACTGAAACAAAAACCTGCTCCTACAGCGGCTCGTCACAAACATCCGTACACCCGGTTGCCACTGCGTGAAGGGCTTCATGGTATTTTCAGCATTGTGAATCAGAGAGAAGTTCGGCTTTTTAGATAACTAGTAAACTCGTGAGGCTACCCCAGACAGTGTCATCAGTGTGTACGCAGACCGGAAGTGTATCTGCTACTTGCCTGGCACAGCTCGAGTCTCCCTGGTACGTTATGATGATTTAGAAAGGACGAGCTTAATTATCACCCTCATTTTTCTCTCCGTATCAACCCCCCTAATCTAATTCTCTTCCTATCACCACCCCCCCCCCCCCCCCCCTTTGATTTGGCTTAGCTCTGGCCTGTAACAACTTTCTTTTCACCAATTGGAAGCTGAATTACTAAATCTCAATGTGGAATTCACATCATCTCTTTGCTAGATTATGCAGGCACACTCTAACAGCGACGTAGGGGCTCTCTATTTCCTTAGTCCGCGGCACTTGGCCAGCCCTCCAGGGATAGCCTTCTAACGAATCCTACATGTAAGAAGATGGTAGCTTGTGGTGAAGGACCTAGCACGGTAGGTGAGCTATGTGGGAGACGGACTACATGACTTTCGTTTTGATTTAGTAAGTAGGTCCTTTAGTCTCGATTAATTAGTAGGTGGACGGGTGCGTTATAGGCGGGCTAGTTGTGTTGATATATAACTATTGATCCGCTCTCATGATGTGAATTCCACATTGAGATTTAGTAATCCAGCTTCTAATTAGTGAAAAGAAAGTTGTTACAGGCCAGAGCTAAGCCAAATCTAGGGGGGGTGGATAGGAAGAGAATTAGGGGGGTGATACGAAGAGAAAAAGGGGGGTGATAATTAAGCTCGTCCTTTAAACACACTCACTCTAGACTTGTGTACACGTGCCTAGCACCGCTTGAGGTCCCCTGGAACGTTGGGATCATTTGGAAAAACACCGTTTCGACAGGTCTGGTAGCTCTTCGGGCCACCTCAGACGGTGTTAGACCACCACTTTATGTTCAGCAAGCGTTGACGGGTTTGGATATGAAGTCAGTGGCATTGGTGTATGCTGAACTTGTCTCTAATAACGCAGCCGCACCGTCTTTACTCTTACAGACGACCTCGTGAGAAACGCTATGGCTAAAAAGCGCCAACTCCTTGCCATGAAGCTTAAGTGTCTTCCCCTATCAACCTCAAAATCCATCAACCCCGTTCCCTCCAACTTACCTGCAGAGACGCTCTAATTATACTGCATATACGTCGCCGTCGAGTTGAACTTCAGGTTCCCCTTAATGACCTTGTCCACCGCAGCCAAAAAGTCCTTCTCCGTCGCCACCTTCCTCCGCGCCCTGATCGCGAACATGCCTGCTTCGGTAGCCACACTCCTCAGCTCAGCACCCGTGCTGTTCGGGCACAGCCGCGAGATAAGCTCCCATCGAATATCGCGCTCGACGCTCATGCTCTTGGCGTGGATGCGCAAGATATTCGCGCGGCCCTCCATATCCGGCAGCGAGAACTCGATCTTGCGGTCGATACGGCCGGGACGCATGAGCGCGGGGTCGAGAGTAGACGGGCGATTGGTAGCGAACATGACCTTGATGTTGCCGCGGGAGTCGAAGCCGTCGAGCTGCGTGATCAGCTCCAGCATAGTTCGCTGGACCTCGTTGTCGCCGCCCGCGCCGTCGTCGAAACGCGCGCCGCCGACGGCGTCGATCTCGTCGAAGAAGATGATGCAGGCTTTCTTCGTGCGGGCCATTTCGAAGAGCTCGCGCACCATGCGCGCGCCCTCGCCGACGTATTTTTGCACGAGCTCGGAGCCGATGACGCGGATGAAGGTGGCGTCGGTGCGGTTGGCTACTGCGCGCGCGCAAAGAGTCTTGCCGGTTCCTGGGGGGCCGTAGAGGAGGGCGCCTTTCGGCGGGTCGATGCCTAGGTTGACGAAGCGTTCGGGGGAGAGGAGCGGCATTTCGACGACTTCGCGGAGCTTCTCGATTTGCTCTTTGCAGCCGCCTACATCGCCGTAGGTCACGTCGGGCTTGTCTTCTACTGTCATCATAGTGACTGAGGGGTCGATCTTGGGCGGTAGGGGGAGGAGGATCTGGTATTTGTTCCGGTCGACACTATTGGAATCTTGTTAGCCTTGATACTGGTCATTTTGCTGAAGGGATTCCATACCCAACCCGCATGCCCTCCTCGATGTCAGTCGGACTGACCCGCTCGCCCAGGTTGACGACGAATTTGGCGATTTGCTTGACGTTGATGACATATTTGCTCTTCTCCGTGTCCTTCTCGTCCTGGATGATCTTTGTACACCTTGCGACCTGGAGCGGCTGCTCTTCCTGCATCCGTTGCCTATCCGCAGCGATGTCCCATAGATGTGGTGGTGCGAGACCTGTGTCTGATTCCTGTATGACTTGTTAGATAATCCAATAGTGGTGGGCGCTTCGAGGCGAGTGTACCTTGACGCCTAATCGGAGGTTAGCTTATGCTTCATCATATAACGGACTCCCACGACTCACCTATCTTCTCGTTCACACTTTGCTGCTTGTCCTTGATCTCCTTCTCCAGCTTCTTCAGCTCCGCAGCATACGGCGCGGCCCCGTACGTCTTAAGTACCTGAATATCCCTGCGTAACACTTAGCCCGGGAACCATAAAAGCGCCCACGGGGAGCTTCGGAGACGTACTCATCGGTCAGAGGCGTGATCTTCTTCTCTTCTACCTCATCGTCGGCAAAGGTCTTGTTGTACTTCTCCCAGTTCTGGCCGGTGGCACTGGGCATGTTGACTGCGGCGACAGGCTGTCGCGGGGTTTAGAGGTGATGTATGAAAGGCACTCGTCTGGGGAGGTTGGTAGGACTTCGACGGTGGGTTCGTGTAAGAGGGACGTGGGAAGTGGTGGTCGTGAGCGAGGCCGATGAGATGTAGATGGACAGCTAGGTAGGCCGTGATGATGAATCGAGGAGGATCTCGGTGTTACGTTGTTCCGTACGCGTTGTGAAATCGCGTTCAAGGCTCCAAAAGTTTATGCGCGGGGCGAGAGGAGAGCAACGACACAGCGCCACGAACTTCAAATACTCCTTCCTCATACCATGGCGACTCAAGTAGCAAGCAGCAATGCCGGAAATGCGGCATTCAGGGTATTGATTATGATCTAGAGGGTTCAGAGCACATAGACTGACATTTTATAGGACAAGGAAAAGCCCAGAGCTGTTCGGACAGCAAATATTCTTGCGGCCAGAGCTGTTGCCGATGCTATTCGAACCTCCCTAGGTCCCAAGGGCATGGACAAGATGATCCAAACCGGACGCGGTGAAACCATAATTACCAACGACGGCGCCACTATGCTCAAGCAAATGAGCGTGATGCATCCCTCCGCAAAGATGCTCGTAGACCTTGCACATGCACAGGATATCGAAGCGGGAGATGGCACTACCTCAGTAGTAGTCCTCGCCGGGAGCCTTCTTGCGGCCGCAGAGCGGTTACTATCGAAAGGACTGCACCCTACAGTCATATCAGAAGCATTCCAGCGCGCTGCGGCGGCAGCAATACATATCCTGGATGACATATCCATCCCTGTCTCCCTCTCCGATCGATCTGCTCTCCTCAAGGCCGCTTCCACTTCTCTCTCCTCGAAAATCGTTGCGCAAGAGGCCAAACTACCCATAATGGCCGTAGACTCTGTGCTCAAAGTCATCGACCCCAAGACCGCAGACAATGTAGACTTGAAGAGCATAAGGATTCTAAAGAAGCCGGGCGGAACGATCGAGGACAGCGAGATGGTAGATGGTCTGGTGCTAAACCAGCAAGTGGTCAAGAGCGGCGGAGGACCAACGCGGATCGAGAAGGCCAAGATTGGCCTGATACAATTCCAGCTCAGCCCACCAAAGCCCGACATGGAAAACCAGATTGTCGTGAACGACTACCGGCAGATGGACAAAATCTTGAAGGAGGAGCGAACGTATTTGCTAAACATGGTTAAGAAAATCAAGAAGGCGAAGTGCAATGTTCTGTTCATCCAGAAATCGATCCTGCGGGACGCTGTCAATGACCTAAGTCTTCATTTCTTGGCCAAGCTGGGCATACTCTGCGTCAAGGACATTGAGCGGGACGAGATCGAGTTCATTTGCCGAGTAAGTTATCTCACATTATCTCGATTGGAGAAACAGAACTAACGAAATCAGAGCACCGGCTGCAAGCCAATCGCCGACATCGACTCCTTCACCGAAGACAAACTCGGCTCCGCTGACCTGATCGAGGAAGTCCAAGCCAACGGTGCCCGCATCGTCAAGGTCACTGGGGTCAAGAACTCCGAAAAAACCGTGTCTATCATCTGCCGTGGTGCCAACAGCCTCATCCTCGAGGAGACCGAGCGCTCTCTCCACGACGCCCACTGCGTTATCCGCTGCCTCGTCAAGAAGCGCGGCCTCCTCCCCGGTGGCGGCGCTCCCGAGATCGAGATCGCGCATCAACTCTCCAAGCAGGCGCGTGAGCTTACCGGCACCGAGTCCATTTGCTGGAAGGCGTTCGCGGATGCCATGGAGGTGATCCCGACCACGCTGGCTGAGAACGCTGGTCTGAATTCCATCAGAGTCGTGACGGAGCTCAGGCACAGGCATGGCCAGGGCCAGCAGAACGCCGGCGTTAGCATCAAGAGCGGTGGTGTTAAGAATGATATGGCCGAGGAAAACGTGCTACAGCCGCTGTTAGTCAGCACAAGTGCGATTGAGTTGGCTGCGGAGACAGTCAAGATGATCCTGAGGATCGACGATATCGCTTTGTCGAGGTAGGCGGTGTAGGGTAAAATAGGAGGCTGGAGTAGGTGTCCTAGACTCGAAGGCAAAATACCATGGTTGTGAAAATAATACAATCAATGAATGAGAATAACACAATCCAAATGTGCATGTCGTCAGATTGTCGAGATCTTTAGGAGAGGCCTTAAGCCCGTGAGCTGTGAGCACACTTGAATACTACTCTCTCAAGATCCATTATTGGTTATTATACCAACTCCTCTAAACCCCCTTCCCAAACCTCCCCGTCTCAACCGCCGCCCCAACAACCCCATCCCCCTTAACAATCCCCGTCGTACAAATCAACAGCTTCTTCCCCCCCGCCTCCGCCAGCTTCCTCCCCACAAACCTCACCGCCGCCACCTCCGCGCGACAGATCCCTCCCAAGAAAAACACAACCACCGTCTTCCCACTATCCGCGTGGCCCGACCCATTCAGCATCTGCCGCGCCTTGACCGCCTTCTCCTCCCCACTCTGCGTCTCATTAAACGTGGCGCCCCGGATATGCTTCGCCGCGTCCTCAAACAGCCGCCAGCCCTGCGCAGCCGCCGCGGCCTGCTGCCCCGCGGGCTTCACTAGGCCGGCCAGTTGCTGCTTCTGCACGACGCTCTGCACGAGCCGCACGCTGAGCGGCGCGTAGCCCGAGAAGGCGTACGAGATGTCGTTGGGCTCGGCCTCGTTGACCTCGTCGTCCCAGACGCGCAGGTTGCGGCGCAGGGGCGTGTAGTTGGTGACGGAGCCGGGCTTTGCGGCGCCGGCGCCGCCGCCGAGGCCGCCGCCGAGGCCGCCGCTACGGGCGGTCAGGAGGCCCATTTTCTCGAGGGCGGCGAGGGTGAGGAGGTGCTGGTGGCCGTAGGCGTGCAGGATGGCGCGCTTGAAGGTCTCGAGGTCTTTGGCGCGCATGCCGGCGCTGGTGCAGCTCTCGAGGCAGAGGAGGCGCAGGACGGTGGGGAGGGCGACACCGCGGTCGATCAGCTCGGTGATGGTGGCGTGCTGCGTGCTGGGGTCGGCGCCGGACATGATGTTTTGCTGGACTTCGAGGGTGCGCAGAAAGGTGTCGGTTCGCGTGCGTTTTATGATTTCTTCGGCGAGGCTGGTGTGCAGTTTTAGGCTGGCTTGCTCGGCTTGGTAGCCGGGGAGTTTGGCGACGAAGTCGCGGAGCTCGGCGGTGGTTTTGTTGGCGATTTGGCGGCTTTCGTAGGAGCTCTGGAGGCGGCGGGCGACTTTGTTGAGGAGGTTGCCCACGATGGCGAAGTTGGAGTCGCCGAGGGTGCTGTAGAGGGTGTCTTTTGCGTCTATGGCGATTTTGCGTTTCAGGGTCTGTGATTGTGTTGCTGCGGAGCCAGAGTTCTGCCCGGGTTGTTGCTGAGAGGCTGCTCCCACGATCGAGGAATCGACTTCTGTTTGGTTTGATTGGATTCCAAAGAACTCGTCAATCAGGCCTTCATATGTGAGTTGAGAAAGCAGAACAGTTGGGTAGTCGACTTCGCGATCTATGACGATCAAGGTGTCTATTGAAGAACTAGGAGTGAGACCGAGAAAAGATGGCCCATTCGTATTTGAGCTTTCGCCTGCTGTAACCTCAGTACGCATTCTTATTAGTAAATCGGCAAGACGCTTTGCGTTGTCGCCTTTGCCAATGATCCGCGGGAATAGGCCATGTTTCTGTTGCATGAGCATGAGAGCCTTCGCAGAGAGATATATGGAAGTCGGGTCTTTGGACTAATGGGTGTTAGTTGGCGACATATCGGTTTCTCATAGAGGAATCTTACAAGGTACAGATCACTGAACGCGTCTTCAAGTTCCAAAGATAACAGATCGTCTGCCAGAGGGACAAAATACAATGCAAGCTCGGAGATGCTGACTTCCCCTAGCACGCCGGCTTCCTCCAGAATTTGGTCTGACACCATGGTTCTTCGAGGCGACCAGAAGATGGAAAATTCGTGGTCTATTTGGCTACTCCGGCGAAGGCGCTTGATCTGATCTAATCGAGATGTAAGCATATAATGATGGACATACTTCATATAGCAAACAAAGAAGAAATCCAATGAGAAAGTGCTCGGATATGTGGACGTATTCAATGTAGAGATCGACTATGACTATGTAGGGTAGGGAAATAATCTACATAGCCTCTTTATGATCCCACGGTTCCAATACGGAACCAATGAAGCAAAGGTACGCTTCTTGATAGACTATATCTCAAAATTAATCACTCACCAGCAACTGCCATTACCGTCCTAGCCTTCTCTCCGCGCACTAGAAACACGACATTTCTTTGAGAGGAGTCGATATTGTCGTTCTCCAAGAAGAATAGCTTGTCCACGCCATATTCCTGGAGTGTGGAAACCTTGACAAGAAGATTCAATGGTCCAGCAAGCGCTTTTTCTAGCACCAAGTTCTTCTTTCCCCGTACCTGCGGAAATATTGTCAGTCTACTATTGAGTTTCTTGTAGTTTCGTAGCTTCACTTACTCCCTCAAGGAGTAGGAGGAGATCCCGACGGGCTTTCTCGCCGATTTCAGATGTGCTTAGCGTCGTATGAGGAGCCATGATGGATTACCGTCAGGCTTCAAAGGGAGCATTAACAGGCTTCGAATCCATCATGGAGGCCAACTGTCACACTACGGTAGCCTGCACTGGTGTCTCGGAGGAGTCGATGTTGAGGTGCCAGGGTGCGGAGGTCAATAGCCCGGTTTCGCGCGCCGAATTGATTCGGAGCAGCGAGGATTTTCCGTGCCTCAACTCCAATGACTCTTTTGAGGACCCCACACCCGGTTTCTAGTACTCCACACCATTCAAATTCATTGCATGCAGCTCCTCTTCCTCGCGCGTGTCAGATCTACCAGATCCCTCCAACGCATTTCCTGGACTGCTACCCACACGAGAGGACCCCAAGCGGCTGCTACCAGCTGTAGAACATTCACGCAACAAGCCCTATTCGAAGACGCCGACATGGGGAAGAAAGAGAAGTCCTCGTTTCAATTGAAGACGCCCAAGGTAGCTAATACGACACCAAAGATTACATACACAAGGCTAACAGATTTTCACAGGGCACTAAAGACTGTAGGTCCCCTCGACCCTGCCTCTCAGACTCTACAATTGAGCCAGCCTAATACTGTGATTGCAGGGCAGGGGACTGATATGATCATCAGGGATGGGATATTCAGCAAGATCAGCGAAGTCTTCAAGCGCCACGGAGCAGTGACAATCGACACGTGCGTCCCTCTCCTCTGAACTTTCTACAGACAGCACCCTGACCTTCACAGACCCGTTTTCGAACTCAAGGAGATATTGGCAGGGAAATACGGGGAGGACTCGAAGCTCATCTACGATCTCGCGGACCAAGGTGGCGAGCTATGCTCGCTCCGCTACGATCTCACCGTCCCGTTCGCGCGCTGGCTCGCCATGAACTCGTCTGTCAAACACATCAAGCGATACCACATTGCCAAAGTCTACCGCCGGGACCAGCCTGCGATGACGAAGGGGCGTATGCGCGAATTCTACCAGTGCGACTTCGATATCGCCGGCGAGTACGACAGCATGATTCCAGACGCGGAGATATTGCGGATTACGAGCGAGATCTTCGAATCGTTGGGGTGGCAGGGCAAATACACCATCAAGATAAATCACAGGAAAATCCTAGACGGCATATTCGAGGTCTGCGGCGTGCCAACGGACAAGCTCAGGACGATCAGCAGCGCGGTGGATAAGCTAGATAAGGTAAGCACATTTTAAATCAGCAGACACTAATTTGAGGTACTCCGTATTACTTTCACATCAGTTGTTAATTGCATATAGTCGCCCTGGGATGAAGTCCGCCGCGAAATGACCGAGGAGAAAGGCCTCGATCCAGAGGTCGCCGACAAGATAGGGCAATACGTCAACTTCAAAGGCGGACGCGACCTATTAACGAAGCTAACCGAAGATACCACCCTTTATGGAAATGCTTCTGCAAAGAAAGGCCTCGACGACATGGCAACCCTATTCGACTACCTAGAGATCTTCGGGGTACTACCCAACATATCTCTCGACATGAGCCTGGCCCGCGGCCTCGATTACTACACCGGCGTCATCTACGAAGTAGTCACGGAAGGCTCAGCAGGCGACTCCACGGCCAAGAAGCCAGCGAAAAAGGACAAAAAGCCAGCGGACGCGGACGAAGATCGGTCTTCAGACCCCTCGGTCGGCGTGGGCAGTGTAGCCGCAGGTGGTCGCTATGATGAACTTGTCGGGATGTTCAGTGGGAAAGGTCAGATCCCGTGCGTTGGGATATCCTTCGGTGTCGACCGGATATTCAGCATCACGAAGGCGCGCATGGCGAAAGAAACAGAGCTACGGCCAAATGAGGTCGATGTGTACGTCATGGTGCTCGGGAGCAAAGGCGGCCTCCTCAAAGAACGCATGGAAGTCGCGACGATGCTGTGGGACGCGGGCATCAAGACCGAGTTCTCGTGGAAGGTCAAGCCAAAAGCGCCACCGCAATGGAAGGCGGCGGAGAACGGCGGCATTCCCTATGCAGTCATTCTAGGAGACGATGAGGTTAGAGACGGGAAGGTGACGCTGAAGAAGTTTGGCCTTCCCGAGGGCCACCCGGAGAAGAACGGCGTGTTGATCAGCCGATCAGACCTGTTGTCCGAGCTGAAGAAGAAGCTGCAGGCGCTTTCGGAGCCGGAGCTGGAGGAGAAGGTCGGGGAGCTGACCGTGCAAGAGAGCGCCTGATTCGGGCAAGTTTTCTCTTCTTGATGTCGTTATGCTAGATCTTCAAAAGCTGCGCTGCGTTGGCGCAGGGTTGATATCCTGGGAGAAATAGACGAGGCTGTTGGCTTCTGTGCACTTGCTTGATGCTGTTTGAGGTGCGGAACTATGGTGCGAGAACTGGATTGTGATTGGCTGTGCTTCATGTCTTCCGGCAGATCGTGACTGTCATGAGGTAAGTTTCCTGCTTCCGCTCTTCCTTCACGTGTTTCAGCGATCAAGCGGTGTCGTGTACGGGAGATGTCGGAGCGATCGATGGCATGTGATGGAGCACGCGTAACTCGTCACACGGACGAGGGTGCTTACTCACTCACCTATTTTCTTTCTTCTGGAGGGTATAAGAGCTCGTTGTCCCCCCGTCCTGGACGCCTGTCTTCAGGGCGGAGAGGGGGATGGGGATCGAAAAAGCGAACATCGGTCGATCGATGGGGAGGAGGGGGATCAGAAACCTCAGTAGTCTCGACGCAAATGGGTCGTGTCAACTTCATACTTGATGTGGGGGTTATGGCGCTGTGTCTTGGTCCTCGTCTACTTCAGGGTGGAGAGGGGGATGGGGATCGAAAAAGCGAACATCGGTCGATCGATGGGGAGGAGGGGGATCAGAAACCTCAGTAGTCTCGACGCAAATGGGTCGTATCAACCTTGATGTGGTGTTATGGTGCTGTGTCTTGGTCCTCGTCTTCTTCAGGGTGGAGGGGAAAGGGGGGATCAAACCACGAACGCATATACATCGAATGGAGAGGAGAGGGATCAAATCGTCTTAGGGCATCAGCTGATGAGCCGTGTCAAGATCAGTGCTGACGTGGAATCATGGTGCTGCGTCTTGGTCTTCGCAAAATCGCAAGAGGCAGCGATGTGGGCGTGGGAGGGGGAGGTGGCTTTGGAGGAGGATTGGGGATCAAAATGAAGAACGGGGGGGTGTGCCCCATGGGGGAGGTGAGGGATCAAAGCTTCGTACGTGCATGTTCATGAGTCGTGTCAGCCTCGCTGTCGACTTGGAATAATGGCACTGTGTCTTGGTCCTTGAGTTTAATGAAGGCGACAATCAAGTCTCATGTGGGTGGGAGGCGGGAGGTGGATGGAGGATCGAACATGATCGGACAAATTTACCTATGAGGAGGCTGGGGATCGAATCCTCCTGGGTTTACAGCCCATGAGTCGTGTCAACCGCACTATTGACTTTAATTCATGGGGCTTTGCCTTGGTCCTCGTGTTCAAAATTGTAGCTGGGGCTTCAACGATGGGGGTGGAGGTGGGTTTGGGGGAGGACGGGTGATCACAGTGGAAGAAGAAACACCTCCACGGGGAGTCAGGGGATCAAATTTGGTAGCTTGTTGGATCATGAGTCTTGTCAACATTCGCACTCCAATTCTGAAATGGCGCTGTGTCCTGGTCCGTGTTCAAAATAGTCTCGGGGGCGATTATAATGGAGGTGGAGGTGGAGGATCAACACGTTATCCTTTGTTGGTACATGAGCACTGTCATGGAGGTCTCGTTGTGAGAGGGGCAAGGGGATCGGTGGTTAGCTTTGTGAGGGAGAAAATGACATGCGCTGAGCGTTTTCCTCAGTTGCCTCTCCCCTCAAAGTCTTTTGGGTGTTAAAGCATCGATGTCAACCTCCACGACGTCTATTCGTTATGATAAAAGAGAGAGAAAAAGAAGGGGGATCAAAACGGCATTACTCCTCACGTCATGTGCCTCGTCGAAACCTCGAAACTAGTTGTGCTATGGTAGTGCGGCGCAGTTCTCATGTTCAAACGCCGTGTGGAAGAGAGATCTATGTGGAGGCGGCGGAAGAGGATCAATCATTCATCTTCTGACTGGTTATGGTGTCGGGGGTTGGGGCTGGAGAGGTTGGCGTGCATCGGTGTGCACAGGAAAGGAGGAAGCAAGAGATGTCACGCGCTGCTTACTCCCACCCTTATTTCTCCCTCGTCCTCTTGGGTACATTAGCTTCGAAATTAGCATCTGGGATTTCTCGTCGTTATGGGAAAGGAGAACCAGAGAAATGGGGGTTCAGACTGAGGGAAACATCGAGGAATGGCTGATCTGTCGATCAATTTTCGCATGTTAAAGTATTTTATGGCTCCGTGACAGTTGACTCGGTTCTCGTGTTTAACTGCCGGAACAGAGACCTAAGTGAAAGTGGAGGAGGAGGATCAACAACTGCATGCCATTAGAGATATGGTGCGGAGCCCAGGGCTGGAGAGGCCAAAAGGGGAGGGCACAATGAACGGAGGATGAAAGCGGCACATGCGGTATCACCCGCAGAAGTTTGCTGACTTACCTGACTTTCTTCCGTCCCTGGGTATAAAAAGCTTTCTCATGAAGTTTCAGAAAAACATCCGTGGGAAAGGACAATCGGAGCAAAGGGGGTCCAAAATAGGGCCCAAGACCAAACAATGGCTGGTCTGTCAAATGGAAAAATGAGTCTTGAATGGCTCTGCTGGTGGGCCTTTGCGTTCGAAATGCTGAAAACTGGAGCAGTATGCGGGTGAGCGTGAGGGATCAACAGCAATGACCGAGGAGAAGCATGGTGCGGGCACCGCGGAGCTTGGTGTAGCCTCACAGAAAATAAGGGCCAGAGGAAAGGGGCTTCAGAATGGGATATAACATCGGGAAATAGCTGGTCTGTCGACAGAAAGAAAGAAGTTCTACATGGCTCTGTGGGTGGGTGTTTGTGTGCAAAAACGCAAAAGACAGGAGTCATGGGCGGGTGGAGGTGGAGGATTTCTAGCAATCATCGCCGAAGAGAATGGTGCGGGCACTGTGAAGCCCGGTGTGGGAGGGATATAACTGGAGCAGTGGTTAGGACTGTTCAGAATACACTAGTCATTACGCCATGAGCTGTCACGAGAAATATCTTGGTGTCTCATAACAGTATCTTCTGCGTGTAAGAACGAGGCAGTTGGTGGCCTGTAGGACCTTTTTCCTCGTGGGAAAGAGGAGGGTAGGGATCAGAAACGCCGTAACCCACGGACAATGTACCTCGTCGAAATTTCAAGAGCAGAACCATGATGGCGCAGCAGCCCGGACCGCTCGGTTGTTGTGATCAAATCTTTGCAGGTCGCTGTCGTACGGAAGTAGTAGGATCAACAACATAACACCGGCGCAGCGTGGTGGAGAGGAGTAAGAGGAGAGATGGAGGATTATGGCCGTTTAGAAGACGAATAATGACCTCTGCCGATGAGCTGCCACACTCCAAAGCTTGCTGACTCAATCACCCAGCTTTCCCTATCATCTGGGAATACAAGCTCTTGATCTGCAGTTGCATTTCTGTCCTCATGGGAAAGGAGATATTAGGCCGGGGGCATTAGAAAGGCTTTGTCCTGACCTTTATGGAGAGAACTTCGAAACCGCGTGTTCAAGTTATGATGGCTCTGGTCTCGGTCATGATGCTCAGATAAAGTCATAAAACTGAACGGAACTTCCTCGTGTGGAGAGGGGAGAGTAGCGATCAACAAACATGACGCAGGACCAGAATGGTGAAGAGGGAGGGGGAAGAGCAGAAATGGGGATAGTGATGACGAGCATATTGAATGCCCAGCTCACGAGGCAGCACGTTAGAAGTCACGAGCTGAAGCTTGCTTACTGACGCAACTTTCGATCATCTTCTAGGCATAAAAGCTCCTCGTCTACGGCTAGGCTTCTGTCTTCAGGCGAAAAGAAGGGAGTGGGAGTGCAAAACGCTGCGACAACTTTTGGCCATGGGAAGGGCTTCGAAGCCTCGTGAGCCAAGCGCATGATGGAACGATTGTTTGGTTTAAGACTACATAGAACGAGCCGATGTTGGAGAGGGGGGGATTGTGGAGGATCAACAGCATTCACAAATCATCCGTATGGTCTGGAGGCCGGGCAAGAAATCTTTAGCGGTGACGGTGAGCAGGGTTAGGGCGCGGAGAACTTGACAGGAGAGGAAAGTGGAGGCTTAGAGCATGTGAAATATCACGATTCTGCTTACTCACCCTCCACTCTATCCTCCGAGAGTACGAAGGCTCCGCCGCTGCGCCCTCGAACCTTCTTTCCTCTTCGTGGGTAGAGGAAAGGGGGAGGAGATCAAAATTTTGGTCTCGGCTTTTTCATGGGTCTTGTCAAACCTACGGGAACAGAACAACGATGGCTCCGCGTCGTGTATCAACAAGGAGTAGGCAGAATAAATATGATGTGGCGGCATTTGGGGGCAAAGTTACTAGTAGTAATGGCGAGCAGCGGAATACAACAGCAGAGATATGAGAGATGCGTGACCAGCGCACGTGAGCTATCACGCGTCTGCTTACTCACTCTCGGATTTCTTTTCTTTTGGTGGTATAAAAGCTTCCACCGTCGTCGTCCAAACTTCTTTTCTTTCTTCATGAGAAAGGGGGGAAGGGGAGGAGATTGGAAGTACCAAGTGCAATCTTATTACAAAGGTATGAGTCTGGTCAAAACTTCGCGACGAGCAATATGATGGCTCTGTGGTTGGGTTCTCGTATCTAAAAGCCACGAGCACCAGGCTGATGTGGAGGTGGAGGTGGAGGTGGAGGAGATGGATGATGGAGTTTAGAACACATTCTACAGCTGTTTGATGTGTCGGGCCAGACCATCCCCACAGTTTACAATGGCGCTGCGTCTCGGCTCCAGTTTAATCACATCAAAGTCACGGAACGATTCGATGTGGGCCGCGGGTGGAGGGATCAACAAGCCACCATTCGACTGGCAGCATCAAGGATTGGGACACGTGAGGCATCACGCGTCTGCTTACTCACCCTCCTTTTTCCTTTCTCCCGATGGTATAAAAGGTTCCTCGTTCACGTCTTCGACTTCTTTTCTTTCGTCATGGGAAAGGAGGATGGGGTTCAAACACATCGTTGATGTGGCTTGTGAAGACTAACTCACCAGCCTCGCGATGGCTCTCGCCCGGTCTTCGCGTTCAAACTTGAATACGAAAGGACATGATGTGATAGTGGAAGAAGGGATCAACATTCGCCTCGACATCTGGATATAGTGCGGTAGAGGACGGGATCAACGTCGCTGCTGTCGGAATGCCATGGTGCAGCAGAGGAGGTCGCCGTTCCGAACCTTTTGGCAAGGTCTTCGACGTAGTTTCTCAAAACTTGACAGCGACAGTGGTGATGGCTCTGGTTCGCTTGGTGTGTTCAAGTTCACAAGAACACATGCCTGATGTGGAGGAGGGTGAAGTCAACGCCGTGATCAAGACGAGATCCATGTTGCGTGACTGGAAGGCGAGATATTTGAAAAAGAAGAGTAACCGCCCCTATGCGTGGAAGCGGAGGTATCAACATCGACGATAACGATGATGAATGGTGGAGGTGTCGGAGTGGGAGGGGCAATAGCCGGGTGGTGATGGTGAACATCCTGCTATTAAACCGGTAAGAGCCGACCTTTTTGCTCTACGAGACCTATCATCTATATCTGGGGTAGGCCCAGAGTAGTATTGATGGATAGCATTGTTTACCATTATCACGATGTGGTGAAGAAAGAGGGACCGCGGTCCTCCAACCTCCATTCAATAGCTTCAAAACATAGTTTCGATTCAGCCTTCTTTAGTTCTATCATATACTTGAACCACTTCATGGTTTCTTCCTCCCCTGATGGAAGACAGAGGTTTAAGCAGGATAATATATATTCTCCTGGGTAAGCTCGTCATGTGATAAAAGGAAGTTGCACGTGGTTTTACATCAATGTCGTGGGATACTTCGCATGCATCCGTCAAGGCACCTTCTTTTTAACCAACGATACATTCATTTCATTCTTGCATAACAAATGCGAATAAAAACTGCTTTTCCACAGAAAAGATTGAATCATGAAGCCTTAGTCCTAAACGCCTCAATCCCATTCAAAACCCAAACGACCCATTTCCATTACTGCTTACCCCCCAATCAAGTCATCATCTTCGCCATCGCCTCCGACAGCACCCCCAAATGCCTCTCCCCCTTAAAAACCGGCTTCGGCATCTTTTTCTCCCCCAGCCCCATCAACTCCGCCACCGCCATCTGCGCGCCCCGCACGCTATACTCCACCGTAAACACCGTATCCTCCTCAATCTCCACAAACTGCCCCACCAGCCCCAGATTCGTGCTGCCCTCCGGCACCACCTTCGGGCGATCCCCCTTCTCCCTCGTCAAGAACTGGCTCGTGATATACGGCATCACGCACGGCCTCACAATCGCGTGCTCCAGAATCGGATGCAGCGGGAAGTGCAGGTGCCCGAGCAGCTCGGTGAGGAGTTCCTGCCCGGTGCAGTCGCTCATCTTCTTCGGCACGTAGTTGCCCAGCGCAGTCGGGAAGAGCCCGTAGCCCCACAGCACGAAGGTGTCGACGGGCTGGTCGGCGAAGTGCGGCTGGTGCGGCACGACGATGGAGAGCAGCCAGTTGCTGTCTTTGAACGTCATCAGCGCGCCGGTGCCGGGCTCGTTGTGCGTGAGGCCCGAGATGCGCGTGAGGAGTTCGGGGTTGGAGAGCGTGATGGTGAAGGATTCCCAAAGCGACTCGTTGATGCGGGTGCTGAAGACGGAGGGGTTGCCGAGGGAGGGGGATTTGGCGGCGAGTTTCGTCCATAGGTCCCAGGAGCCGTCTTGGAGCTCTTCTTCGAGGATGGGGTCGGGTGCTTCGGTGTTTGTGCCGATGGAGGCGTTGGAGGTCATGCTGCCGAGCGTGACGATGACGATGTCGGCGGGATCAAGCTGTGCGGTCATGGGGACCCCGTTGGAGAGCATATGGATTTCGTCCACTGTAGTAGGTATGCCAGTGATGAAGTCAATGTCCGTAACCTTCGTGTTGAAGCGGAAATCGACGCCTTGCGTGTCCAGATACTTGATGATAGGCTTGATGATGCTGTCATATTGGTTATATGGCGTCCGATCGACGCCAGCGAGAGTGTTAATGCGTGGGAATTCGTGCAGGAAGCGGTGCAGGTAGCGGCGGAACTCAACGGCGCTGTGCCAGGGCTGGAAGGCAAACATGGTCGCCCACATATACCAGAACTTTGTTGTGAAAAAAGCTTTCGGGAAGCATTCGTCGATGCGTTTCTTGCCGAGGCTGGTTTCGCTTTCGAGGGTGAGTTTGATCATATCGAGACGTTCGGTGGGACTTAGGCCCATTCTTCGTGTGTCAACGATTTCGACCTCGTCTTTGCCGCTAGCGAGGAGGCGGGCCTTGGAGCTGGTTTGATTTTCTGGGACGGCGTTGAAGTCTTTGATCTCTTGGAGTAGTGTCTTCTCTGGGTCCGTGAGAGATGGGACGCGGCTCAGCAGCTCGTATGTGCAGAGGTAGCTGAAGTTGAGCATCCGTCCACCACGGAGGACATAGCCCTCTTTAGGATTACCGGACCCATCCATTGACCCGCCAAAGACGGGGAGTGACTCGAGGATGTGGATATTCTTAGGAGGCACCTTGGCATCCTGGATCAAGTGAACGGCAGCAGCTAGCGATCCAATGCCACCACCGACGAGATATGCCTGAGTCTCCTCCGGGTCACGATGAGGTTGCTCTACAGCCTGGCGACCCTTCTTGAAGAAGTGCGGCATTATGATGTTGTAATTGTGTTTTTGTTTTGATGATAGGTATTTCTGAAACTGAGTGTAATAGAAATTCGACTTACTGCAACTGAAGGGTACGGCATCTATATACCTACCTGTACTGTCATCGGAGCAGTCATACGACAGGTACACGGCCTCACGCAGGGTTTGAGCTGGTCATGCCATCACCATTTTCTCTGGTAGCTTCTCTATGGACGAGGCACATCGTGATGCGGACAACCATGAAAGCGGAGTCGGTAGGCACGGTGGCACGGTGTGTCACATGTGGGCACCGAGAGCCAGTAGAAGGATCACATCAGATCGTATCTGAGTACGTCAGCGGTCTCGGCAAGCCTGTGAGGGCTGTTTGTTGGTCAGGCCATTCCGAGGTTTTGAGCTCGATGGGGTTCGTTCAGGTGAAGAGAATATGCTCTTGAACAAAGCACTCAGGGGCCTGATTTGATGCCTTATCTTCGATGAAAGGCGTGTTGTCAGCTATCTTTTCAGTAGGTCCAACGAATATCAATTAACGATACCGGACTTCTCATGGAAGTTGTTGGAAGAAAGACGAGATCTCGTGAGATGGTGGCGATCCGGACCGAGGATTATTCTTCTACTAACCTCATCTGGCCGTCCGTGGATCACGATCAATCCCGAAAAATAGCTTACATCGTACCTAGGCTGCGTTAGATATAATGAAGGAAATCATGTGAAGAAAGGTTAGGCAATGTAGGAAAACGCGTATACGATAGAAACTTCATACCGTTAAAACATCAAATGGCATCATTCATAAACTCTACCTAGCAAAAGATTTTAGGATACTATCCTCCCATGCCGAACCGTCTAAAAAGCCGAGTCTGCCGCCTGTGAAACGCCGTGTGCTACTCATATATGTATAAGTCTTAGTAGCCCCTATCCATCCGTAAGACATGCCGTCGCAGATATACTCGAAAAATGCGCAACTAACCCTCCAATGCCGAATCACACTTCTGTTCTATGCAGTTCCGTTGCCGTTGACCCCGTTCTTGACGATGCCGCCAACCACAGCCTTCTCAAGCGCCTGCAACACATCCGCCCTCAGATCGTCCTTGTCCTCAATTCCGCAACTGACTCGGACTAGATCGTCGAACACGCCTGCTGCCTCCCGCTGCTCACGCGGGATGCCTCCATGTGTCATCGCACTCGGGACCTCGACAAGACTTTCCACGCCGCCTAAGCTCTCAGCCAGTGTGAAGATCTTTGTGTGCTGGCAGAACCGTTCCGCAGCTTCATGACCACCACGGATCCGGAAGGAGAGCATACCACCACCCATACCATGTCGATGCTGCTTCAGCGCAATAGCGCGGTGCTTGTGAGACGCAAGACCCGGGTAATTGACCGCCAGAACGTGCGGCGATGCCTCCAGCGCCAGCGCAACAGCCGTCGCGTTCGTAGTCGCTTCACGCGCGCGGAGATGCAGCGTCTTGAGGCCCCGATGCGCGAGCCACGCATCGAACGCAGACGGCACCGCACCAATCGCGTTCTGCAAGAACGAAAGCTTCTCGAACAGCTCTGGCGCGTTGAACGCTGCCACGCCCATGACGACGTCAGAGTGGCCGTTTATGTACTTTGTGACCGAGTGCACGACAATGTCCGCGCCGTGGTCGAGCGGGTTCTGTACGTATGGGGAGAGGAATGTGTTATCCACCACCACTAGTATGCCATGCTGGTGCGCGACGCTGGCGACGGCGCGGATGTCGACGAGGGAGAGGGTCGGGTTGGAGGGGGTTTCGATCCAGATGAGTTTTGTAGTAGGGCGGATGAGCTCTGCGATGTCGAGTTCGAGGGAGGGGGAGAAGGTGACTTGTACGCCGTGCGCGAGGGCGACTTTGGTGAAGTAGCGGTGCGTGCCGCCGTAGACGTCGGACACGGAAACGACATGGGAGCCGCCGGCGAGGGACTGGAGGATGTTGGCTGTGGCTGCGGAGCCAGAGGAGAATGCGAGGGCATAGCGGGCGTGCTCAAGGGCGGCGACGGCTTTTTCGAAGTTGTCACTGGGCGGATGTCAGCGTTTTGCCTCTTTTTTGCATACAGATTGAGGACTGAAGATTGGTTTGTGCCTACCGGTTCGGATTTGAGCTTCTGCTGTACTCGTATTGTCCCACTGGTTTTCCGACGGCGGTTTGCGCGAAAGTGGTGGAGAGCGAAATCTGCAATTGCGTTAGCATTTCACTTCCTCGAACTACGATGGCATGCTTACAGCTTCAATCACTGCTCCCGTCACCGGATCATGAGGCGACCCAGCATGTACAGCCAACGTGCCAAATCCGTGAACTGGAGACGCTGGTCGCGGGGGCGTGTCGATGGGGTGCTCTGGGTGCGTCATCCTGTCTAAGATCGAATCTGTAGATTTGGAGAGGTGAGAAGAGGGCAGAGAGACCCTTCAACGGTGTGTTCTATGGTGCAGAGGCGTAGAGGTTTGTTGACGGAAAGAGGGAGCTGCGTTCGTATTCCTTGGAGAATTTCAGGCACGGCGCAATGGGGCAGTCAGGCACAAAGAGACGGTGTTATATTGTTAGCAGAGCGATTGCGCCATCGATGGTACAATCGGCGGCGGTGAGAAAGGTGTCACCGTCAGAGTCATCTTCACGCCCTTTATATAGGCTTTGGGATTAGGGGCAGGGCTGGCGATATGGAATATGTCATGCCGTGTAGTTGATAATCCATCGTCGGCTCTGGAATGGCCATCTGTCAGCCATCTCGGATGTTTGCCCGTCGTGTCGATGGTGTCATCGCAGACGGCGTCCCGCATTTAGCCGAATATATCTTGGCAAGCGCTGCGATTTGGAAACATCTGTACTACCTCGACCGAAGGTGTTGAGTAATAGTTATATGATTCCAGGAAGCTGTGTGGCTCTGGTTAATCGCTCTTCACGTAAGAACCATATCAAAACCCCGCTAAGTCAGATTGAGGCATGATAATATTGATATTACGAGCAACCATGCTCTCCTGTCTTTATATATCTGGTTTTCATACCCTTGGAGTGCGAAGACTGTACCTAGCTATCCCATTTAGGAACGATTATCCAGCATCACATCTAAATCCAGTCCGCATCCTGCGCCTAACGCCGTCAAAACCCGTGGAAAGAGAGACTATGCCGTCGAGATTCGAAAGATAGAACATGCTTAGAGACCGTAGAGAACCAAAAACCCCATCCATGACACGCGAAATGATGCCTTGTTGCCGGGCAAACGCTCCAATCCAACCCATAAATCCCCAAAAACGTCGCTCCTGGTATCAAATCGTTCATGCGTTCGTGACCCCTTATATGTCGAAAGAAGCTTCTTTAGACCCTCACCGGGGCGGACGACCATCTCAGTCGCCTCAATCCCATCCCCGTACCTTTCATTCCAGATGCTGCTTCTCGCCCACAGCGTCCCGCGTCAGCACCAACGCTCCCCAGCTGGCCAACAGCCTCCGCGTGCCCAGCTTCGCGGCCGACGACGTATCCGGCAGAGAAGCTGATAGCGCTGACAAGGACGACGACGCCAGCGCTCACAACCCAGGTGAGCAGGGTCGGGCTGATTTCATCCATCATCGGGCCCGTCTTGCGGGCTTTCTTGACAGCCCTGCGGTCTTTGCTACTGCTTCGTGTGCCGGAAGGGGGCGTAGCTTTACGTTTATATTTGTCGCTGTTCGAGTCTCGGCTTGGAGAAGACGCTGGGGATGACTGTTCTGTTTTGGAGGGTTCTCCGCCCATGGCCACGGATTCGGAGACCAGACGGAGTGAAGATGGATCAACTCGAGCACCACCGGCAGTACGATGGGCAGATGGTTGGACAGGCTTAGGCAGGCCGCGAACGGCTGCAGCAGCAGATAGAAGGGTAGACAGGCTGGCGCGAAGGGCGGCGTCATGATCTGCTTGGTGAGATGGTGAGATAACATTATACGGAGTATGCTGCGGAGAGGAATAAGCATTGCGGTGAGGAGTAGGCCGGTTGGGAGTCCTAGATTGCGAGAAGTAGGTAGTGGCAGCCTCGGACCTCGTTGCTTGCGTGGTTGGTGGGTGCGAAAAGGCATTGGGTTGAGGGGTGAAGCGCGAGCCCCCAGTGGCCCGTGGATAGTTCACGGCCGTCGAGTTTTCATCGTCGTCATCTTCCTCGTCGTCTCCTTCCCGTTCCGAGAAGTCTGAGGATGTGGTCAAAAATACGGCCCGGGTGGAGCGTCGTGTTTCTTGATGTTGATGAAGAGGCGAAGGACGAATGGCTTCGTTGGACGATGACATTACCCGGTCAGACTCGCTCTCACTCTCGTCGTATTCCTCCTGGCTGCTACCGCCACCTGAGGCGTGATATAAACCCCCTAGACGCAGCGGGTTGGCTCCGTGGGACCGTCGCCGCCGGCGGGCGTTCGAATCGTGGCGGACGCGGAGGCCAGTAGTAATGATCTCATCTGCGGCAGATGACAGGGAGGACGAGGAGGGCTGGGAGGAGACTTCTATCCAGGACTCTGGAAAGAGGTTAGCATACGCTTTCGGGCCTAATGGGGATTTATTGAACGACGAATCGGCCTTGTAAAGGCCACGCTTTCGGAGAACACATTGACAGTACGGTAGAAGAGAGAACTCACCCTCTGATCTCTGACGGGGACCCAAGGGGTGAGCAGCTTGTATAGACCTCAGCGTCTGGTTCGGAGGCGGGCCTTGCTCCGTCCCCGCATCCCGCAGCGGGCGCTGATGGTTGGGGTCCTGGTTCTGCATGGTATAGTCCCTTTTCTCACTCCTCCAAGCTATGGACTAGTCGACGCTCTCGGGCGATGTGTGAGGGTATTGGTAGACGCGTGGTGGAGGAACGCAGGCAGTGTGTTTGTGCAAGACGAGCGAAGGGATGCCGTAATAGGCCGTTGGGGGAGGATGCAGGCGGAGGCCGAAGTCGCTTCTTTGTCCCCTCGCGTGGTGGAGAGAGAGTGGGGAGAGATATAGCGGTTACGCAGACGCTGAAACGGCAGCGCAGAGGACGAGAGCGCAGAGGGTACAGTTGGCGAGGCGTGAGACTTGCGGTCAGCCGTGCCAGTCCCTGCGTGGCCTCGGCCTTGGTGGAGGGTGGCAGCGCTGAGAGGTCGGATTGGAGATACCAGGCCGTGCAGGCCTGCCTCAAGACAACCTAGTCGTGATGCTGGCGCGCAATGACGTGGGAGCGTGCTGGCGTCGCACTGACTTGATGTCTTCCTACCCAAGTGCTACCTGTGCAGCCTCGCTCTTCATGTGTAGCGGACAGTTATTCTACATCTTCATCTTCATATGAACCCCCCCGAAAGACGCGTTTTCTATGAAGACACGGCTGGCTGGTCGGGTGGCTCACATTCACAGCTGCACAAGGTCACATTGGCCCTGCATCATCTCCACGTGCGCCCCCATCATCTGCTCGCTTTCGCGACTTATTGAGCCAGCTATTGGGTCAGCCTTGAGGGCGACGCGTGCCTTGTCCTGGACGCCTGCTGCCACTAAACAAGTGACTGCGTGTGATGCTTTAGGATGCTGCACAGCCGCCGTATAGGCACCTCTGCAAGATAGTGCTGCTGTTATACCCTCCACATTACAAAGGTACAATACGTCAACTAACAAAACTACGGTCTTTATAATTATAGACTGATGCCCTACCACCGAAATATTGACATACTGCGGGGGGCACTGAGTCTACCTGACGCACATCGGTAGGGTCCCGCGAGGATGGAAGGGTGCATGTAATGGGAAGGGCGTAGAAGAGGGTTTTCTGGCAGAGTTCCAGGAGGAACATTAGATCTGAAGCACCCGGACGAGGTTCATCGCTGCTCGCCATATAAGAAATTAAGGAGAGTGGCAGCCTGTCAAAAGCCTAGAAGTGAGGTACGAGTGACCGTTTAAGGAAAGAGAAGAGACATGATTGCATTATGTTCATCTATACATTCTTCCTACAAATCGTTCGAAGGTACTAACACAATCTCACACTAACACAAATCTGAGCATTTCGTCTTCCGTCCACAGCGGCTCTTTCAGGTCGGGAACAGGCTTTCCTGAATATCGCATCATTCCGGCTGGATTCATTATTGCATATCTATATTCAAGACCATGTTTCTCGAAATCGGAAACAGAAAGCCTCCATTGCAGTCTTCCGTGGTGTCGAGCCCGAACTGACTGAAATACTGCAATGCCTCCTCGTCAGCCCGATGCCAGGGGAAGAGCCTTCCTCTCACTTCAATGAAGCCACCGGACACACTTCCGAAAGGGTCGTCGCTGGACGCAGTCGTTTCGCATGTAATGATGGTCATAAGAGGCTTGCACCAACTTTGCTAATAGGTGTATTCTGGTGTCCATATTGTGCCTTCCACCGATGCCCATGACCATGATGGAGCTATCGACGGTAAGTGTAATTCTCCAGCGGAGTGAAAAGTCTCACCTCTGTAGGTAGTTGGGCGGGGACCAGACTTGCGCCATGTCAGCCCGTATATTATCTACCCTCTCCGGATTCCAGCAGCATACTCGTCGTCCAGTATATGAGCTATGACGCGTGCGATGCCGGAAGATGGCGACTAGTTTATCGGACGGCTTTGTCAGTGCGCATTTGGTGTATGCTATCACGGAATCATTCCAGCGCGCCAAAACGCTTTCAACTCTTGTTGACGGAGATGTCCAGTCATGCGAGGCATCGCTCAGAGGCTGCGAGCTTATTTTTTTTAGATTGGTAATATGGGCGTGCCTTTGCTGGACATGCTACCAGCTTTCTACACTTCCAAAACACAAGTGATCCAACATGTATAGTACGAGGACTCAGCATGCGTTCCTGGAGTACCCAACCACGGTAGTTCAGAGGCGCAGTTAGCTGAAACTTATTCCATGGGTCATGGAAGCAAATGTACTCGTCAGTTCTATGGCTCGTCCGAAAGTTGATCCTAAATGGTCTCTAGAAGGAAAGGCGATCTTGCATTTCTCTAAGAAATCCAGGACCGGGAGCGTTGTACTCCGAAGCTGCTATGTTAAGGACTGCATTTTGGTAAACTTTGTCTATGTTCGACGCTTCCAAAGCCCAATTAGTATCAGAGTCTTAAATTATACACAGCGAATCGATCCAAACATATTCGTATCCCAGGACTCTTGAGGCTGTGACGGAGTCCTGAAACGTTTGAGGCAGGTCATCGAAGTTGATTTCCCCTTTCAGCTGCGCCATATTTGACATAGTCAGGTTGAGGAACTTTGAGTTGCCCCATCGGTGACTTAAGGTGATGTATGCTATATATCGGCGTGGTCTACCAATCTGATTTTTGAATACTCATGTGATCCGACATGTATCAGCCTGGTTGGAAAGAAATGCTCAATGCCATCCGGTTTGCAGCCTTCATGGGAATCCAGACATGTTGTAATGCAACCTTTTAACCAACTCCAGGTCTCAAATCCTGAAGTTGGGGGTATGTTTATCGTTGCTTTCGCGTCTAAGTGGAATGATAGTTTTATTAACTCTATTCTATGTCTTGTGTGCGTACATGTACGTACGTACGTTTGACTCGGTAAATTTCCAGTGGGCTTCCAAATCCAGCTCTAGAAAAGGCAATGGAACTCAATTCGAGATCATCATCCTCTTCGTTTGCCCGCAAATAAACTTGAGCTAAGGCTGATAAATCTGGTAGAGTCTTGCGCTCTCCTATGCGTGTAGATCGGAAGATTCTGCATAATCTGCACGAATCCGCCGTCTTCATGACGTCCTCGATGGTCCGCTGGGGGAATCATATTACGCTGAAAGAGCGAGACTGATGAGATTTGGCGAAAAGCCCTTCTATTAAAGTCTTGCAACCCTCTCTTGCATCACCATCTTGATCGTCACAGTCAAAGACAAAGGTGTCGCGAGATTCCCAGTTCAAGTCCGACTCGTCAACTCCCGCATCTTCGCCCCTTTGAGTTCTCTTTCTCGGTGTGTCAGCTTGAATGGTATTAGAACGAGAGGATCGGGCATACGCATCTTGAGAAAAGTGACGGAACCATTCGTTCCGAAAGGCTACCCATTTCTTCTCAAGCCCAGACCCTATCCAGTCGAACATGGCCTCGCAAGCGGAGCACAAGGGACCCGAGGACTCCATTTTAATGATGTTTTGATGATGGATCTGTTTCTCGTGGAAGATTGGGAGGATGCGACTGCCTAGATGTAATCCTCTTCAAGGCCGTTGCTACCTGGCAGGTAGCTGAACGATGCAAGGCTGAACTCGCTCACGTGGCATATCCCATTTGGGTATCCCTTTCCTGACCCGGCCAATCTCTCATCAGAAAACATAGAACATAGCCGTGCCGTAAATCAGGTATTATATCTCTATTGCTCTCGTCCATTAGCATCACCTAATGGACCCCGAGTACCCCATCTGCAACTCCCAAAACCCTCACATCCAATCTACATAACATCAACAATATACACAATCCTCACGTCGCAAAGCACTTTCACAACCACTCCGCCCTCACCGTACCTGCTCCTCCGCCAACCTCTCCAAATCCCCCCTCACCCTCTCCCCAATCACCCCAACAATCACCCCCTCGTCCCCCTCCAACCCCAACACCCCCTTCTGCCACGACGCCGCCACCACCATCTCACCCCCCTTCCGACTCGCAACCGCAAAACTTATAGGTGCTCCCGTCGCACTCGCCGGCTGCACCATCAACGTCCGCCCCAGCTTCCACTTCCCCGCCTCTGCTTCACCAGGGTCAAACGCCATAACATTCGTAAGTTCATAACTACAATCCCTCTCTTTTCCGATATGCTTCGTCAACCACATCCGGAAATGCGCCAGGTACTTCAGCAGTCCAACGGGTTGGTCCGAGAGCGTGGAGGCGGTAGCCGCGAGCTTGGCGCTCGTGCTGCGCGCAGCGGCCCACATAGCCTCTGTAACGACGCTTTCGGAGCTGGGCGGGGATTGGGCTTCCGATGGCGACATCCGGGGGAAGATCTCGAAGGCCGCGTTCGTGAGGACGGCCATCTCATGATTCGAGACCGAGGGGATCATGCGGCGGAGATTAATAGGGCTTTGGGCGCCGAAGGACCCGGCGGCCTTGCCTTTCTCTGGCTCATCGGGGATCACGGCGCTGAGAGCGCGGACGACGAGTTGGTGGAGCAGGCCGGTGAGTTTGGTGTCGTGCGCTCGGCAAGCCTGGAGGACGGCGGTGAGGATGGGGGCGGGGATGACGATGAGCGAGAGGCTGGTGTGGAAGTTGGAGGGGTCGTAGGTGTAGGGGGTTGCGCGCCACATGTCTGGGGAGGAGGGATTTATTTCTCGCGGGATACCGAGGGCGGAGGCGATGGGGGAGGGGAGGTAGGTACCTAGTAGGGGGCCGAGGAGGAAGGACCAGGAGATGGGCATTGGGGTGGCATCTAGAGGTGGTAATAGAGGGTCGGAGGGTGCTGTGACAAGAGGGTTCAAGTCGGGAGTGGTGGAGGCGTTTAGGCCGCGGAGGAAGGTTTCGTGGAATGCGAGTCCCGACTGGCCGTCACCATGGGCGTGAGAGGTTGAGAAGATTATGTAGTATTCTCCTTTCTGTTGAACTATAGGGAGAACTACGATTTTCCAGGGCAGGACGTTGGGCAGGAAGGGGTAGTGTTCGTCAAGCTCTTCAGCGAGTGCTTCCTGGAGCTGTGCGAGCCCATCTTTTGGATCTGCTTTCAACGATTCTGGATGAACGATCTTGACATTGTTTCGAAGATCGACGGTCTCTGGTCGAATCCACACGGGTGCTTCAGTCTCGGAGCCGGAGATAGAGCAGCTGAGGATTGGATGCGTAGCTATGCAGAACTTCAAAGCTGGGAAGAAAGTCTCAGGGGTCACTTTGAGTCCTTCAGCGGCGTCGAAACTGTATTTTGCAGTGATTACGAGATTGTGATAGTAGCCTAGTTCCTGCCGCATAATACAGCGGCGCTCCGTCTTGCCTAGAAATTGAAGTCAATACCGGCCTTATCAAGGATAGAAGTTCTCGGATTCTAAGAATTTACCTGCCGCTCTGAGTTTCGTCATCTTTATCGACATCTTTTCGCAGAGAAGGAGCTATAGATGTGGTGAGAATAGACGAAGTTCTCGGAGCAGGGCGCATGGGGTTTTTACGCCGCGCGAATAAGTAATCCGACTAGGATTATAAAGGGCTGGGAGTGCTCTCGGTTGATAGCGCTCTGGTCTGTGCCATCCTATCACGATGCGTGAATCTCCGCTAGATCCTTCGCAAGCTTATCCTATTTTGGCGGTGGTTTAAGAGGTAAAAGTCAATAGACCAGGAACTACTACCTATTCAATTTGTGCTTATAGCACGTCCAAGCGAGTGATGGAAATACTCGCTTAAAGCACTATGCATTACGATTGGAGAAGAGTAAAGGGGGTTCAAAAAGGTTACGCAATGTCGTCAGGAAGTTAGTGGCGGATCACGAGATGTGAATTCGAGCGGGCTATAGCAAATTTCGCGAAAGTCGAACTTTGAAAACCCCCCCGACCTTTGATTTAGCCGTGGTGCCTTCTACAGTGCCAGGTCATAAGTTTAAGCACGCGGACATCTCGCTGGCCGGTTCTCACTTTTGCTCGCTCCCTACCACTGTAACAAGGTCCACCATGATGATTTCGTTCGAAATAGCAGTTTTCTTTATTCAGACAACTTAGATTATAGCCATCTTCTAGTCCATTTTCGAGGTGGGTTATGCGTGTGGATTGTCTTCGGGAGTCTGGCTAGCTTCTTTCTCTGGATTCTGCTTCGATTGAGGTTTTTCTTCTTCTTGTAACTTCCGTCGAAGCCGGGAGCAGCGATCTTGTTTAAACCCCATCAAGACAAAGTGGAATGACACGAAGTGGAAGAAGCAGCATTCCCATGTGCTTTCCGTATATTGATCGCAAAAGAGTCCGATGAGGACACAGCTCATCGACAGAAGGATTATGTACGTGCCTGGCAGTACACCCTCCAAGCGGTTGAGTACTGTTTGGATGTTTGCACTGATAAGTAGGAATTGAAGGATGAAGGAGCTGATTATGAGGAGAAGCGGTGGGCATAATTTTAGGGCTTGGTATACATCAGCAGCCAATGCGGATAGGAGGAGAACGCCAGGTATGAACACTGTAGGCTGGACGCGGGGGTGGGAGGACGGCATAGTAGACTTGGAATTGTTAGACTGGGCTGCTGAAGTGCGAGTAGAGTTTTTAAAGGGGTGTTATGAGAAGCAGAAAGAAGTGGAGGTATAAGTGGCCTAGATTTCTGTACCTCCCACTAGTGCGCATTCGAAGCTGGGTACTGGCTGTGGGCTATTTGCGGTAGCGGCATAGCGCCACTTCACATCCCCTCTCAACCATCACTTACACAGACGTGACGAGGTGCGCTAGAATCGATGACATATACATGTTGCAATACGCAATGGCTGAGATGTTCCCGCTGTGTTGTATTGAGATGATGAAGGTGTTTTCGAGCCGCTAGGGGCTCTTTTTGGGTGGTTTAGTTTAATGGAGACGTTCAACGTCTGATTATGCGTCCTTGTTGCTGGGATTTTGCGCCCTGTGATTATGATTTGAGGTACCTCAGACGACGGCAGCATGAGCCTAGATGAGTGAAAGAGTAGGTTTGATTTAGGAGGGCTGTCAAAGGAGAGAGGTTCAAGGGTTGAAATGAGGAAGGGAAGCTGATGATATTGCTAGGGGTCCTCAATTAGGTCGATGTTGTTATGGTTTTGTGTACCGTGATAATAAGTTGAAGCATCTCAGACGGCGGCATCCTATAGTCCACACACTGCTTCTAGTGACCTAATTCCGGGTGGTTGTCAAAGGACATCAACAACAGCCAATGCATGCGAAGCTCACGCTTCAAGGCGTCCTCCAGTAAATACAAAAATATCAGGAAAGAGGAATGCGCTCTTGTGACAGAAAAGAAAAACCCGATACATGATTAGCATCTTGCCGTGCTTGTAGCATCCCGCGGTTACAGTGCATTCGAAAAATAGGAATTACCTCTAACTTGGATCATCGGCTCTCATACGTAAGGGTAAGGCTAAGATAGATAAAACAAGAGAAGATTTGAAAGCTGAGAGAGCGGGATATCCCGCTTTTGTGGGGGATTACCGACCTCATGAGATCGGATTCTTGAAGCATAATCAAGCAACAGTTCAAATTCAACATGCCCGTTTCTTGTTTCTTTCAGCGTGTCGAGTTGGAAAGTATGGTCCCTTCTTTGAAGACAAGAGTCGGTTCTGATACCGCGCTTGCACTCTTCTGATCACGCTCACGTACTCATTCCCGAGTCACTCTCAAGTCAGCACTTCCAATTATTGGAGACGAAATTGAATGCTCTACAGACTATATCCCTGAAACTCGAAGGCTCTCTGCTCATCCGCCAATCCCACCTCCCTGACCTCTTCACTCTCCCCGATGTTCTCGTAGAACCTCGCACCGAGCTCCTCCAACCCCTTACAAAACTCCATCATCGTCTCAACACGAGCAAGACGACCCAGGTGTATCCCACCATGGATCAACGCATCCACCTCATCATTACTCTTCCCCCACATCGTCTCATATAGGCTCGGATCCAGCAAATTCCCATACTCGTCCCGTCTCCATGCCTCAGGCCCAACTCTCAACGGCAGCGCCAAGACCAACACCCCGCCCGTCTCTGGCCATCCGAACACGTATTTGCGCCTCTTTTCAACTGCCCACCATTCGGACGTGCACACGTCTTCGTACAGCCACGCCATTCCATAGGTCTTGCTGATGTCGATAACCGCCCCACCAGCCCGCCGCATCCGCAGCGCCAGTGCCGCTTCGTCCACATCGGCCCAGCCTTCGTCGGGCTTTTCTAGGTATTTATGGCCGCTTTGGTCGAGCTCCGTCTTCCATTCTGGGCCGAGCACATAGGTGATCAAGGCAGGCGTGTTTGTTCGCAGGTAGATGACGGTGTTCATCTGCCTTTGTTCGGGATACGCCCAGAGGAAGTAATCATATCCCCAGGGGCCGGACTGGACGTTTCCTCCTATTACTTGGTTCCCGTTGAACCGTAACCGATATTGGTGACGCAGCGGAAAGGGCGTACCAGGGAGATGATCCACGGAGGAGACCACAGCCGCCATGAGGCTAACGACTACCATGAAACTCCCACCTGCATCTGGGATCATTGGCGGTAAGATGAGGTTGCAAATGTACAGGAGCTACGTGGTATGATGAAGCCTGCTTGATCTGGTCAAGTCGCTGGGTGAGGGGACCTCGGGGCCTATTCTATGTGGCCCCCGCCAAGCGGCCGCACAGCAACACTACGGCGATGCAACAAGGCGAAGTTCCGTCCCAAGGAGGATGGCTCAGATGACCTGTAAGCGCCTTGATTGCCGTCTCTCACCACGGAGTCAAGTATTCCAGCGTCCTGCTCATGTTTCAAGTGTAAAGCCAGGGGCGTGCAATACCTCAGATGCCTTCTGATTACTGGCGGATACGCCAGGAGTTTGTCAGATAGATTGAAGTGAACATGAGTTTGTATTGTAGTGAATGTGCGAGCTTATATATGTAATTGAAAAGGCGGAGGTGTATGCCGAGCCAATAGATCTATAGGTCAAAGCTTAAGAGGAATTCCAGCAGTCACCTTCCACGGTGCGCAGCTTGCATTTCCCTCCGCATGCATGAAATTCTATCGACGAGGGAGTCTCGATAATGCGGCACAGGTCTCCATGGGCAATGAAATGGTTGCAAATTTGATGCCAGATCTCTTCTCTGGGTGGCGAATCGTGGCATTGCCATCATTCTTCCACCTTTCATATCTTTCCACTCTATCTCCGCTTGTCCCATCCGTTCCTCATCCATAAGTCTTGCTCCCATCCAGAATGCTACGTCTTCTTCCTTACTTCGCGTTTGTGATCTGTGTGGTTCTTGCCCAAGATCCAAACCTAGCCCCGTAGCCAGATCCCATCTTACCAAATCCATCAACTGAGAATTTCACCGCTCAATACATGCTATACGGGTGGAACGATTGTAGCGATGGCGAAAAAGGCGCAATACTAGACGCCTTAAAGGAAAAGTCGACAGTGGTTGGGACCCAAAGCACCTGGACTATCAACTGGAACGGCGCACTTGTGGTTCAATTCTTTGGGTAAGTGATGAGCTGGATTTATCTTGCTTTTGCATGTATTCGATTAGTTAATAGCTCTTTCACAGAAGTCCAACCGGTCTACTGGTCAGTCAGATGATATACCCTTTCGGACAGAGAAACACATTCCTAACTCCGTGAGGTACAGTTCAAAGACTATCGGCAAAAACTGCAGGATAATTTTCATTATGCGTACAAATTCGGCAACGGGAACTGGTTCACAGGGTACAACACACAAGTGCTCTGTCACGACAAGTCACTTGATGGAGATCACAAAGACGATTATCAAAAGCCAGATGGATGGCCTGGGCATATCATCGTGGTCTCTAATTACGCCGATGGACATGATGCCATCATGTTCTGTAAGTTACTATCTCACGTTGAAATGGCCCCATCCCGACTACCAGGAAAATGCTAAAATTTGCTATTACCTCAAGGCGACTCTTGGTTCAGGCTCCCTCCCCTGAAAGGGGCAATGGAGATAGGGAGGTCTAAGGGAAATGACCGCGATCGCCACAACTTGAATTACTACGACAACCGAGCCATTCACTGGATTACGGTCCTGATGATGAAACATGACGTTGGTTCGTGACATGCCGAAGGAACCGGCGGCCAATTTTCAATGGGTCACAAATTCTTCACCGAAGGTGTTAAGACATGGGTTTCCGATGCCAGGACTGTCGAAATCCTCGTTCTCGAGAGAGATCTCGATTACTTGCGCCCTCTGGAGAGTGCTGATACATATGGCCGGTATATCTTCCATTCTCTCGGACTATTAGCAGATTCAAGACTGATCCACAGTTTGCAGGTTCGCTATAGCCAGCTACATCCAGGATGACTCCAAATGGGGTTGGTATCCTGCAAGGCCCTACGTTCCGACAGATTTAGAATAGGCTAGCAATATGCAACAGCAACTTCCGGTGATCAGTTAATGATATGTTCTTTTATAGGAGAGGGTTTCCGCCGATACCACTGGCTTTATCATTCCAGGAGTTGGACCTTCAATACGTAGCAATACTATGTTCAGCTGTCTGTAGTTGTGTATGTGTGATGAAAGAAGGGAGAGGGGAAGCCATCATTTCTCGCGATTTCTCAAAACACGCCTCTGCACGTATGATAATAATAATCGTTAAATAAGTAATTCCACCAATTACCACTAATCGAAGTACCAAGACCCCCGATGGACCTCCGTTGTTTTTTCTAGCTCTAATTCGCGTGTTGTTTTTAGCACTATGATTTTGTGCCTCACAAAGACTCTCGGACTCAAAACACCCAAGCCGCTACCCAGCCTCAAAGGATGCCAAATAGATGCGACTGATAGGAAGTTGATCCAAGCCTAGCGCAGTCCAACACTTCCACAGTCTTCGCCGCGTATCCATCTGTCCTCAAAGCTCTCGGCATATCCTACTCTCCCAATCATGGCCCTCCAAGTGTCCGCCTTCCCGCCACGTAGGAAGTTTCGTGGGCCTGAGCAGCTTGAATGCTATTTCAAGAGGTGTATGCCTTACGTTTCGGATATGTTTCTTGGCCAGCCACGCCTCATGCCCGGATCCTCACTCTGCGCCGCATGCGTCGTGAGCTCGCTGTGTCCACGTAACGTTCAACCCAATTCTACCTTTGTATATATAGTAGGAGAAGACTTCAGCGTAGAGGTATTTTCCAGCCTTATTATTATCCTCTTCACATGTGTCTTTAATAGCGTCTTTCTAGTGGTTCATTTTGCTCTTATATATAACAATACCTGTCTTCGCGGACACTACTAACGAAGATCACAACTACAAGGATGTTCAAATCAAGCCAAATTCTAGGAACAACACCCTGGGTCCTATGGTTGTATTAACCGAATGGGATAAATGCGTAGTCAAAGATAAATATAGTGATGATGATGATACTAAAAAGAAAATTATCAAAGCTGGATTCTACGAGATGCAAAAGATAATTCCAGAGGAGCAACAAGACTGTAGACCCGGCGATGCGGGCGAGTAAGTCTGGAAAGCCTCTAGAAAGTACACACATTTAAGCTGGCTAATACGTAGGGGGGCACCCCTACTAACAACTACAAAATGGATTGGAACGATGCATCAGTACTTAATACTTTTAGACCGCAGTTTTGAAAAAAGGGAATTAGGCGTACCATTTAAGGTAGTACATTACTCTCCACCGCTTATACGTACTGCTGACCCGCGCTTCCCTGGCAGAGAACATAGACATATTAGGAAAATGCAAGGAATTTACTCGCCTGACTAACAGTCCCTTTTGATAGGCTCGCCAGACGTTAGATTGGTTTGTCGGATGGAGGTTGCACGTACGTTTCGATGATCTACTTAATGAGGTACGTAAAGTTACAGTACACCACTATTCGTAATTTACTAAGCCATTTTTAGTGCGAAGGAACCTTTACGTATGTAGGTCTTACACGTTTCAATATTACTGCACTATGTATGAATCCGAAAGCCCATAGCTAAGCTACGCAAACTAGACAATACACGGCGGCGACAGGAACAATCATATCAATTTCTGCCCCAATTATTTCTTGCAGCGGGACCTCGAAGGAGCGATTGCTTCGGCCATGGGTAGCGGGAACACCAGAGACGTGCTGGGACAGTATACAAACAGAGGTATAAATGTGCGGCGAGACGTTTCAGAGCCGTCATTAATAATGTCAAAATCGTAGCTAATACTCCTTCGCAGCGGGCCCATGAGCTCATGCATGTTAGCTGGATCGGCAAAGTCTCAGTCAAAACTGCTAATTATATGACCGATGAGACATATTGGAACCACGGGGAAGGAAAGTCGTGAGTTCTCAGTCACTGATCTGCTCAAAGCGGCACTAACCCCAGTATTACGTAGATTTAAGGCTTATACGCCCACCCAGGTGAAATATCTAGCATATTCCGAAGGGGAACCATTTTATGCTGCTGCGAATAAGTAAGTATTCTTTCTACTGCTCACTAACTTAGTGAACTAATATCGGGACCAGCCCGCAGAACTATGCGAATTTGGCGATGACCCAATATATGATGAGAACTAAGGGTTTCTACATGTAAGTGATATCTCTTAGAGATGAAGAGGTACCAAGGGCTGCTTTAGTGATGCCAATGTCCTCAACAGATCAGGCCCAGTGTGGGACACAAGGGAAGATCCACCTACACTTGGAAACCAAGACATGCTTCATGACCCGGATGAGTTCGGCACATTTCGCTGCTAAGTATCATTTTACGGGAACACCGGAGCCTCCTGCTCCACTGCCCACTGCGGGAAAAGTTCTAACATCAAGCATTGTATTGGAAATACCTCCGTCTCGCCACTGGGTTGATTAGATGCCACCATCGGCTCACCGTTTTCAATTCCTTTCATAGAGTTCCGGCTTCTGGCATGGCGGTGTTAAAAGGAGTCACATACAGCATCACATCTTTCACATCAACAAGAGAAAACATGGTGCTTTGCGGACAGATCCAAGGAAGAGACGGAACTCGACACAGGCTCGCTTGTCATCTAGTTTTCCAGTCAATTAGAATAGTGGAGCTCGTTTGATTTCTTGGCCGAGCCACATCGTCAATGAGGGACATGACCAAGACTTTACGACCCCATTTCGGATGGAAGGGGATGTAGTAGCTGAGAACATGTTGGCCTGGCCGCGCTCTCTGATAGCCGCGCTTTCTGATAGCCGCGCTCTCTGATAGCCGCGCTCTCTGATAGCCGCGCTCTCTGATAACCGCGCTCATACAGAGCCCCCCTTATCACTCGTTGAAGCGTTGGGGCCGTTTTGTAACATAGAGACCCGTCAAACTGAACTCCGACGAACACATACACTTAAGAGGTAAGTACAGAGTAAGAGACTCGATAAACGTAGTTTGGCGGCGGTGTTATCGCCTATTTCGTGGCAATTTGCTGATTATAAAGGTAGAAATCCCGTAGAAACCCGCCCATACCACGCCCGCTACCATTTCGCCAGCTCGGACCAGGGTGTCTCGAAAGCTTGTGAACCCGACACTGACTTCACCAACGGTTCTCGCATAGCCTCCTAGCCAGCCAAGCGCTCGGGAGGCAGATCCCTTTCTACCGCCCGCAGAGGCAGAAGAAAGTATTTGTCTGGATTATCTCTCCAAGAACCCTGTCATTGCGTTGCTAAAAGCCTTACGCTGCCGTCATTGGCTTGTGGTAATTTCCACGAGCGTGTCTACCATATCGTCAATGATGTACCCCGTCATCGCGGGTCTTTTTTTCAGCACTGAAGGCGACCTTGTAGAATTCTTTATATCATCTAACCCTGGAGCCGTTAGAGCAGGCACCTTTTTTCTCGTCACTTTATCTCACTTTGTTGGCTTTGCTTCTCGTGCTACCATCGAGCCGATACAGATATCATGGAGTCGCCTTATACCGTTCGAAATCTCGCTGTTCGTGCGAGGAAGAGCGATTTCCGAACCCACTGGTTGACGTTCCCTCCGTGGGTTGCCACCAAGTCTCTCCAGAAAAGCTTGGGTAAATTACGAGTACGAGTGGGCCATGATGCCGAAGGTCCATACTTGCTGGTACTATCCGTCTGCATGTTTCTCCCCGTTTGGGCTCTTCTCAAACTCTGGTTCGGCAAATTTCAACATCCTTCTCGCCGTGAAACGAATCATCTTCGCAGTCCTGGACGTACGCGGAGCTGTGTTGTATTGAGATGGTGGAGGTATATTCAAGCAGCTTGGTGGTTTAGTTTAATGAAAAAGTTCAACGTCTGATTGTACGTCCCTGTTGCTGGGGTTTTGCGCACTGTGGTAATGCGTTAAGGTGCCTCGGACGGCGGCAGCCTGAGTCTAGATGAGTTATGGAGGAGGTCTGATTTAGGGGGCTGTTAAAGGAGAGAGCGTCAAGGGTTGAAATCAGGCAGGGGAACTGATGATATTGCTAGAGCTCCTGAATTAGGTCGATGTTGTTATGGTTTTGCGTACTGCATAATAAGCTTAGGTACCTTAGACAGCAACAGCCTATAGTCCACACACTTCTTCTAGTGACCTCATCAACATCAGCCAATGCATGCGAAGCGCACCCTTCAAGGCGTCTATTTATCTGTATATAGGACCTGGCTTATAACACTCCCTCCTCCTTTCAGAGAGTCGTTCTTGACTCTGCGCATCCCGATAAAACCTGCAGAAAACCTCCTGTAAGGACAAAAATACCAGGAAAGAGGAATGCGCTCTTGTAACAGAAAAGAAGAAACTGTTACATGATTGGTCATTGCTAACAGAATCGCCAAGAGTTCGTCAGATAGATTGAATTGAATATGAGATTATATTAAGGTAAATAAGTGATACGTGATGGAAAGCAGAGTAACGTGTTGGAAGATAGCAATCTGACGCCCTCGGCCACGTGACTTTGGATCTACCGGTCACATGCAGACATCTCCCATATTATATATGGGCTTTGCACCTCGAGTGGAATACAATAAATGATTCACTTCAACATAACGTGACTTTGTGAAGCTATGTAGGACGGAAGCTGATGTTGTAGCTACGCACTTGTACGTATGAAGCTGTATAGATCTACACTTACTGTGGATGTAGATGCGGAGGAGTATGCAGAGCTTATAGATAATATAGATCTAGATGAGGATCCACAGGTCTGAGCTTGAGAGTGATTCCAGCAGCCAAATCTCTTTATTCGATCATCAGCACTGTAAATTTGAACGTTCGCCACCACGAGGAACTCGTCTATCGAACAGAGACGGAACTCCAGGACTACTTCCGTATTGTGAGAGAGAAATCTTGTTCATGCGGAGTTGGGAAGCTGCGAAGCTGGTATCATAGTTGCACGGCGCGGCAGGAAGCAAGGGCCAAGAATGGAGGAACTAGCATCAACGACCTCGACCCTCGAGTCACTTTGTGTTGTAGTCGACACAAAAAACTCAGTGAAGTTTTTTGAGAGGCTCATCTCTAGGACTACTTCAACGCCTTATTCGAAGGGGTGTCACTAAGAATATGCAGTGCTACTTGCAACCGGTAGGCAATGATTCATCTTTGATCCTGTAATCGTAAAAGCTACTAATAGCATCACAGGCAGCTTTCGACCTCTCGAGACACATATTCCTCAACCAGTTTACCATCGCGCTTAATGTGGACGCTGCAAGATTCGTCTTCTCACAATTCGAGAAGTTCGAGCGCTTCGTGGTTGTGCCATCCAACTACTCATGCTTGCGTGTCGAATACTCGCTACCAGGCTTGAATCTCCATCCGCGTCTTGCGCTGCGATGCTTAGCCTTCAACTGCCGCGTCGAAAAGAAATCACCTTACCAGACCTGACTGCGTTGCTGTGCGCTTTCTCACCCGCCTTTGCAGGTAAGATCACGAGCCATGCCACTGTCACGAATAACAATGGCCGGTTGACGTTGGAGCGAGAGGACGAGGGGATTCAAGAACATTGACGTGGATGACAGCATGACAAATTGTTTGTTGTACTCAGGGGTCTTGCGGATGACGCAATGGAAAGGTGGAAGAAAGATGTGGAATCGAAATGCGATTTGCTGACACCCCTCATTGTATAGGTCCACAAAACACTTTGGCAGAGTCTGACTAGCACTGGGAAGCATTCAAAAAATACGCCAGGGTCCATGAGCCTACAACTTCATGCGCTTCCCCATATCGGTATATTCATTTCTAAAACATATCGAACCTGGAAGCGTTCGTAAGATATATCTAGATTGCATCCCGACGATACTCCAGTCTGTCGCGACGAGCAACTCACTCAAGAGCAAAGAAATTCGTACATGTATGAGAACGAGTTGATCGATTCTGCAACAGACGACTATTCCCGCCCAACTTGCTGCGGCTCGCACCTCTGAGTCGTTGCTTAGCGCCGCAGGTAGACCTCTATCAAGCCCATGAGACCCTCAGGGCGGTAGCCGCGGATTTCGTATCTCTCGTCTGCCTGCTTTAGAAGGGCGCCAAACTCCGCCTCAGTGCGCAGCTTGCCGCCGAAGCCCACTAGCATGATGAGGTCAATCTGGCGGAGGCCGCGCTCAAAGTCGCGCGTCAGTGTGCCCTGCACCGGCACGACGAGGTCGTTGATGAGCAGCGGCGTGGTGGGCTTGGAGCGTTCGAGCCCCGGCACCAGAGCACGCAACATAGTGACGACGTCGCGATCGCACCAGTTGAGCGCGCATGCGCGCAGAATGAAGGCGGCAGCATCGCCCACCGGCTGTGGCTCGAAGAAGCTGTGCTGCATGAAGGAGACGCGGCCGCGGATGTCGTCGGTGAGCAGCGACTGGCCCGCTACGTGCATGTCGGCCGAGTCTTGCACTATGAAGTCAAGAGCGGGAAAGTGCTGCGTTGAGGGCTCGCGGTCAGATGGCATCGATGGTAAGAAGTGCATAAATGAGGGCAGGTGAGGGCTGCTTAGTTACCTGGGCCAAAGTTATGGAGACCTTGCCACTGCCGCCGCCAACGTCCACCACAGTGCCCTTGAGATCCGCCCAGGGGAAGGAGTCTTTGAGTGCATTGATATTCAAATTTACTGTCGACCGCTTAGCCCACGGGTTTGGATCACGGCACTGACATCGAAAAACAGAGATTCTAGAGAAAGCAAAGGACGTACATTTCGCCCATCCAGCCATGGCCTTAGCGAAACGAATCGATCGTTGGGTGTCGTTCTCGTAGTATTCGAAGATGGGAAGGCCATGCCGCGTCACGAACGGGGTGAGAGCGCTGTCATACTCGTGCGGCGACGCCCTCACATTGTCGGCCGTAGACGAGGCCGCCTGAAGCATCTCATCGACTCTGCAATCCAGGCGGACCCGGAGAGTTAGCACGTGATAGCAGCAACCCCACGTTGGCAACGTACGTGTAATGGAGCGTCGAACGGATCTCCTCGTCTACATGCAGGAGGTACGAGCTGGGGCTGTGTGCAACGTATCCGGGCGTGGGCTCGCGGAAGATGAATTCGGTGGCTAAGAGACGGACGATGCGGCTGGTCCTGTCGAGGTCGACGCCAGCCTGCTTGGCTAGCTCTGTCAGCGAGATGTGCCCCTCTGTGGGGACAATGGTGAAGAAGTTGAAGTCGAGGGCCACTTGGATGGCTGCAAGTTCGTATCCTTGGCAGCTAAGAGCGCGGAAGTGCCTCTTGGGGCCCTCGACGAGGTACTGGAGGTTTTCCAGGGACTGCTTCAGCCTGCTGTGGAGCTTTGCGTACTCGGGCGTCTCGGGACGGTCAATTGAGTCCGGCGCAAATGTAGGCTGGGCATAGTTGTTCGCCCGCAGGTACTCTGCGACAGCCTGTGTGTGCCTGACCACGTCGTCGGCAAGGGCGAGCAGGTTCCCATCAGGGGCCTTGGAGACTGTTCCGTTGGGGTGCGCGGACATGGTTGAATTTAAAATGCTGCTTACGGAGCCCCATGGCTGCTGCGAGCGTCGTCCTTATACGTTTGATCAATTCTTGTCGAGTTCACGCGGTTGCGCGCGAGCCACCGACCCCAGGAAGCCGTCGAGCATGCGTCGGGCGAAGCATGCACTGTGTGGTGCTGCGTGTTCGGTCAGGGCCGACGTTGATGATTACAGCGTCAGGGGCTGTTTTCAGTTCCGAGATATGTCGGTAGAGGTGAATGTGAGCTCGTTCGTGGAAGTTGGGCCCACGGAGCTTTTGTGCAGCCGGACTAGCTGATGTCGGTCTAGCACGGCCGGCCCCAGACAGCACCTCTTCGGGCCGCGTCGTGATTTGCCAAGGCCCATTCACCCGCCTGGAGCCATGCCGCTAAACAGATCGCCGCAGCCACCGCCTGCACGCGGGTGAGACGGCATCGGCAGCGATCGCCGGATGCTAGCCTGCACTCGGCCTAACACGGCGCGCCTGACGGGAGCGAGGCCGATATTGCTGATGCACTGTGTGGGGCTGCGTGTTAGGTCAGCGCGATTCTTTCGGCCGACATTTCACGGGCATCAGTTCGGCGCTTGACATCTGCAAGGTACCAGCACGTGACAAGCACACGACAAACACACACGATCGTAGACGGCCACCGCGGCGCATTACCAATCCAATCATGCATTGGCAATCCACACAACCCCGCAAGCAGCAACACGCTCCCTTGCTTGCAGTTATATCAGACACACAAGGTGGCCCGATGGAATGCGGGCTCGCTCTTCCCCCACCCATTGTCCAGCACCAAGACGAGCGGACGTTTCCCCGTCCATTTCCAATCCATCTGCAGCTATGGCGGCGCTTGACGACAAGGACCCAACGGCAACCAGCCTAGCCGACGACAGTGCTGTCGAGGACAGCTCGACCAGTCCTACCAGAAACTCAACCAGCGACGAGAAGCAGCACGACCAGGATCAGCAGCGTGACCAGGATCCGGAGCCCCGCCCACGCAACCTCAGTGGATGGAAGTGGTTCCTGTTCATCTCGGCCATCCTTTTCTCCACCTTCCTGTATGCCCTCGACGCCACCGTCGTGGCCGTCCTCCAGGCCGTCATCGTCGAGGAATTCGGCCACGTCCAGGATCTGGCGTGGCTGAGCGTCGCGTTCCTGCTGTCCGCCACAGCCACCAATCTGGCCTGGGGCCGCGTCTACGGAAACTTCAACGCCAAGTGGTTCTACATCTTCCATGTCTTTATCTTTGAGGTCGGTTCGGCTATCTGTGGCGCAGCGCCGTCCATGAATGTCATGATCCTGGGACGCGCCATCGCCGGCGTGGGCGGCTCGGGCCAGTACATCGGATGCATGACCCTCATCGCTGCGACCACCACCATGACCGAGCGCCCCATGTACGTCTCCCTCACCGGCTTTAGCTGGGGTCTTGGCACGGTGCTGGGCCCCGTCATCGGCGGTGCCTTCAGCGAGTCCTCGGTGGGCTGGCGATGGGCCTTCTACATCAACCTCTTTATCGGCGCTGCCTGCGCACCCGCCTACATCTTTCTCATTCCCAGCAAGGATCCCCGTCCTGGGACGCCGTTCCGGGCGAGAGCCGCTGAGATGGATTACGCCGGCATCATACTGCAGGCTGCAGCGCTGGCGGCCCTGCTGCTGGCCGTCAACTTGGGCGGTGTCACGTATCCGTGGAACTCAGGGCGTATCATCGCCCTGTTTGTTGTGGCTGGCGTGCTTTTCATTGCGCTGGGCGTTCAGCAGGTCTGGAGTATTTTCACCACGACGCCGCGGCGCATTATCCCTGTGCACTTCTTCCGGTCGCGCACGGTGCTTATGCTCTTCAGTTGCACTGCAGCAAGCGGCGCTTTGCTCTTTGTGCCGACCTACATGATCCCCATCTTCTTCCAGTTCACGCGTAGCGACGGTCCCCTCGATGCCGGCGTTCGGCTGCTCCCCTTTATTGCTGTTATAATAGTCTTTATCATCATCAATGGCGCCCTCATGTCGAAGCTGGGCTACTACATGCCGTGGTTTCTGACGGGCGGTGTGCTGGTCGTCATCGGCTCTGCCCTCATGTACACGATCGACCAGGAGGCATCTGAAAGCCGCGTCTACGGCTACACGGTGCTGATGGGCGTTGGGACTGGTATGTTCGCGCAGGCCGGGTTTTCAGTCGCCCAGGCCGTTGTCGACGCCGCCGACATTGCGCCCGCCATCGCCTTCATCACGCTGGCGCAGTTCGTCGGCATCACTCTCTCCCTCGCCATTGCCAACGCCATTCTCCTCAATTCCAGCCAGACCAAGATCCAGCAGATCCTGCCCAACGTGTCGCCCGCCGCCATCCAGGGCGCCATCCTGGGCGTCCGCTCCAGCCTTGTGCAGAACCTCGCCCCGGACGTCAAGACGCGCGTCCTCGGCGCCATCGTCAACGCCATCGACAAGACGTATATTCTTGTCATTGCTGGCGGCGCTCTTGTCACTGTCTTGAGCCTCGGGATGCGCCGCGAGAAGCTGTTCGGCGGTGCCGCCGGCGTTGCTGCGATGTGAGAAAATGCGTCGCCGTTTCAGGTGGATATTGTGTGACCTACCTAGAGGCTAGATAGCGATGCATTGTATGTAACGGAAAGGATTAGTGGCGTTGGCTATAAGGTATAGGTATAGACTTCTCTTTACAGGGGGCCGCGCAATCCCTTGCTGCGCGCGCGGCTACCTTTGTACTTTAATGTTAGCAATTCCGATAGCTTAGAAAAATCCTTGTCGGATGTCTATATAGTATAGACGTCAATTTCCATTAATTCTCGTGCAATCTCCAATATGAAAAAGAGGGAATATTTGGTGAGTGTTGAAATGGTATCACGGCTAGAGCAGCACTCAACGTTGAAGGATCTTGAGAAAAATAAGACATGTTTGTATTGAGCGAGCAAAAGGGAAGCTTCTCAAAGCCATCTTTAACAACACAAGTCCCATCAAGGAGATTACGTGGCGACATTTCATAAAGTCGTCGTCTTGATCCTTTTCTTTCGATGCAAAGGCCAGGGAGTTTAAGGAAACCATGCTTGTCCCCGGCCAACGACACAAAACAGGGTGCGTGTGTAATAAGAAAAATAGGGAATTTCAAATTCCATCCGCGAATCCATTCATCATCATCTTCTTCTTTCAAGAATCGCGAACATCCTCTCTGCGCCTCAGCCGCACATAGCACTCATCCGCCCGATGGATGATGCTCAAGGTAGCCGAGGGGTAGGCCAGTGCCGGCGGCACAGCGAGAAGATCAAAGTGCCACACCACCAGGCTCACGATCATGCGCAGCTCCACGTACGCCAGCTTGCGGCCCCAACAGCCGCGCAGGCCCATGCCGAAGGCTGCCTGGGGCGCGGCGTTGGCGTTGAATTCGACCCCGGCGTCTTCCTCCGTTGTCGTCGTCGTCGTCGACGCGTCTTCTTTCTTGCGCAGCCAGCGCTCCGGCTCGAAGGTGAACATGTCGCGCGTCTCGTCCCAGCCGCTGTCCGGCTCTGCGGACGACGCGTCGCGCAGGGCAGCAGCAGCCGCGAGGGAGGGCGAGTGGAATCCTGGCCCATTGGCCATGATGAACACGGTCGTGCCCTTTGGGATGCGGTAGCCGAAGAGCTGCGTGTCGGTGATGGCCTGCCGCGAAAGGAGCGTCGCGTGCAGCCGCAGCACCTCGTCGAGCACGGCGTCGAGGTAGGGCACCCGGCCCTTGGTCAGCTCGGCGGTCGAGGGGGGCCGCCGTTCTGCGTGGGCGGCGCTGTAGGCCGTGTGCAGGGCGTGCCGCAGCTTGGCTTGGACGTCCGGGGAGCGGGTCAGGTGGATGAAGATCCAAGAGAGTGTTGAGCTTGACGTGTGGAATCCGGCGATGAATTGGCCCCCAATCTGATCGCACGGGCGTATCCGAAATCAGCAAGACTGGAAAAGCGAGAACGGGACACTAAGAAGATGTGGTAAAGAAGACGTTCAATCTCACCTCGTCCATCAAGACCTGATTCTCATAGTCCGGCTTGCGGCCCTGCTTTTCGGCGGCCTTTTTCTCCCGCGCCAACATGTGCTCAATCGCCGTTTTGGCTTCGCCCGTGGCCTCAAACCTTCGGATGGCGCCCTGGACTTGCTCCCTGATGACCTGCCTCCTTACGGCTATTGATGTGCTGTACCTGGGTATCTGGCGGACCCACCACTTGGCGAACTTTGGCCACAGGGATGCGGTCACAACGTTTACAGCGTCGACCGTCCCGTAAAGAGAGGCGGTGAACTTGTTGAATGGCGCCGTCGGGAACTTCGCCTCGCCGTGGCGGCCAATCTCGACGCGTGAAGGGTCCAGCTGGGCCACTGCCTGCATCTGTGGGCTGAGGGCAGCGTGCTCGAACTGCCGGTCAAACACAAAGGACAGCATGCCGTCCAGGGCGACGTGGTCCAGGTCATCGTTGACGTCAAAGGGCCGGTCGTTGGCGAGACGAGCCTTCGTCTCCCAGAAGTGCACCAGCTGGAGCGAATTCTCGTACATGGCAGGGCTGACTGTGTTGTTGAGAAAAGGGGGGCTTAAGAGGTCCTGCAACCAAGCGCGGGTCCGCTTCCAGGAATCGCCCATTGTCATGCGAGAGTGGAACCCGTCCAGTGGACTAAGGCCAGTTTTGTCGAAGCTGGATCTGTCGAACTCAGGCCGTCGTGTCAACAGATTTTGGGCCTCGACTGAGTCGGCGAGGACGACCCAGGGCCTGGAAAAGGGCTGGACGAAGATTTGGCATAGCGGTGCTTGGAGTTTGTTCACCTTCTTTAACAACCACACGTGGATTTCTCTCGTGGCGCCGACCTCGCGAACCATGTCGGGACCATCCCCCAGCAGTTTCCGGGTGGATTTTGGGTCGTATGGAATTCCTGGGAGAGGCTGGGGGAGTAGCCGCTCGTACAGAAAATACAGCAACCCGAGGATGGCGAGGAGACCGGCCGAGGCTGGCGCCAGCTCGGATCCCACACGTTGGACTGCATCTGAAAGAGACATGGTTTTGAAGTGTAATCCTAGCTAGGTTGAGATGTTGGAAGACGCAACAGGCAATGAGGCTGCAAGTAAATCAAAGGATATTGGACTCTGTCCGCTATGGCACGTAACGCAACGTAGCACATATAAATGGAGTTAATGCTTATGTGAATAACTCCACATTGTTGTCTTACCTTTTCGTCAGCGGATGTGGAGACCAGAAGGAGCCTTATCCCAACATTCGGCGTCAGCGAGGAGATCTGTGCGCCGTACCTGGCCCGACAAACTTCGGTCGAACCAGGCCATCATGACATGCATAGTAGAAGTTGATGCACAATACAGCCTCTCTTCACGCTGGGTGGTCGCTCTCTGATATCAAGCCACAGCTTTACCATATAAGGGAGAAACTCCGGGCGCCTTTAGGGGGGAATAGCAACCTTCTGGCCAACCAATCCTCAAGCCAGTGAAGTAACTAGCCCAGAAAAGAGGTATGCCAGGATCAACTCAGTTGGGGGCTAGACCACCGGACGTGAAGAGAGGGTGCAGCTCGGAAAATCACTGGTGCACCGCATCGCCCTACCCGGTTGTTATTGCAATTCGACCGAGACTTCGCGGGCCTGATACCTACGACAAATGTCTTCAACCCTTATCACCCCAATCATTCCCCGTAGATACCCTTTTCACCTGCAATGGACGTTCTTCTCACGCAGATAAAGAGGTCGAGACGTAGATCAGTGCAGCTACGTTGGCAATCCGACCGAGATCTCACGGGTGTAGTATCCACCATGGACGTCTTGTTGCATTTCTAAGGCATGCATGTACCCATTGTATTTCTAAGATCTTTCTCTGCGCCATGCACCTCCCTCGTGGAACGCCGGCCGACAGAGCTAAAGCATGGATTGGTGGAGTGCGAGCGGGCGAGTACCGTTTGAATATCCGCAGGGTATCTGGCCTGATACGTCAAGCGTTGCTCGATGCAAGCTGTGAAGTAGACACAGCTAACGGTGGTATATAACCTAGATACATCAAGAAGAATATATTAAAGGAGCTTGCTTTATAATAATACTTATAGAACTACCACGCGTCCCCTATAGAACGTTCACCACTTGACCCTTATTCAAAGTTCGCAGTTCCTGGAACGCGGCGGCTTGGCTAGGTCTGCGAGAAAGTGTAGAGCACATACTCGGTCGGTTCAACACCTCAATACCATGGTCGTCGACGCGAAAGACATGAAAGGAAGCAAGGAGCCAGAGCCTATGGCGATTGTGGGCATGGGTAGGTTGCTCCGCAGTCTTGCAACTGTCAACCCTAACGGCGGCCAGGGTGCCGGTGGGCGGGCGGCGTGCGCGACGTTCGCGGGCTGTGGGAGTTCTTGACCAGCAAACGAAGCGGCTACCAGGACTGGGCGGCGCCTCGTTTTTCCGCCGCCGGCTTCTACCACCCGAACCCAGAGCGGCCAGGCACGACGGCAGCCAAAGGCGGCTACGTCGTCAGCGAGGACCCGCGGCTCTTCGACCCCAGCTTCTTTGGTATCTCCGGCCTCGAGGCCGAGACGATCGATGCATCGCAGCGCAAGCTGCTCGAGGTCGTCTACGAGGCCTTCGAGAGCGCCGGCGACTCGTGGGAGAGCGTCAACGGCACCCGCACGGGCGTCTACGTCGCCGACATCTCCTACGACGCCTCGTACGCGCAGGTAAGCTACTTGAGGTTGTCTATAAGGCCTTTAAGAGCGCCGGCGACTTGTAGGAGAGCGTTAACGTACGCCAGACGCGTGACTGGGAGTATGCCAGGCCGCACGCCACCACGGGCACCTGCCACAACATCCTCAGCAACCGCATCAACTATGTCTTCAATCTTCGTGGGCCAAGGTGGGCGGACAGACTCAGACTCCTTTTCAGATTTTTCATCTTCGGATTCCCTTTCCATTCGTTCCATTTCTTTCCTTTCCACTTCTTTCCTTTCCATTCCTGTCCTTTCCAATCGTTCTATTTCTTCCTCGCGCCGCTGAGCTAACGTGGGCACGACAGCGTCACGCTCGACAGCGCCTGCACGTCGGCCCTGTATGGCCTGCACATGGCCATCCAGGCCATCCGCGACGGCGACTGCGACTCGGCCATCGTGGCTTCGTCAAACTGGATCATGGACCCGAGCATGCAAATTGCCATGGACAAGCTGGGCGCCTTGTCCGCCACCTCCATGAGCCGTGCCTTTGACGCCTCTGCCGACGGCTACGCCCGCGGTGAAGGCTTTGCCGCCATCTACCTGAAGAAGCCCGAGAAGGCGATGCAGGACGGATCCCCCATCCGCGCCCTTGTCCGGGGCAGCGCCATCGGCGCCAACGGCCGCTCGAGCGGCATCACACACCCTAGCGGCGCCGCCCAGGAGGAGATTATTCGCAAGGCGTACGAGAACGCCGGCGGCCTACCGCCCTCCGACACCCCTTTTCTCGAGTGTCACGGGACGGGCACGCGCGTTGGCGATCCTCTCGAGGTGGAGGCGGCTGGCAAGGTCTTCGGGCCCGGACGGTCGGATGGCGATTTCCTGCTGATTGGTTCCGTCAAGACTAATCTAGGGCACACTGAAGGTGCGGCCGCACTCGCAGGCATCTTCAAGGCCGTACTTGCGCTGGAAGCCGGTGCGATCCCACCAAGCCTTGGTGTCAAGACTCTGAACCCGAGGATCAACTTTGAGAAAGCCAAGGCAAAGGTCGTGACTGAGGTCATCCCCTGGCCCGAGGGCAAGCCACGGCGGGCGAGCGTTACCTCAGCTGGCTTTGGGGGCTCTATCGGGCACTGCATCCTCGATCACGTCAACGAAGTATACCCAGACTACGTCAAGCCAGGCATTCTGGACAAAGTCAAGCGCAACAGCAGCCTGGCTAATGATTCTGCTCAGAATGGCAATGGTGCCACTTACACCAACAGTACGAACGGCTTTATACACCTAAACGGTCACAACCATGCAAACGGCGCTGCACATGGCCCTGAAAATGGGCATCAGAACGGTCCTACGATCTCAGGGCATCTTCCCGTCGTCCGCACGCCAAAGAAAACAGGAAAAGCCGATGCTAGCACCCGTCAACTCGTGCTGCTTCCCTTCTCAGCACACAACAAGTCTTCGCTGCAGGCGAACATCAGCGCTCTGTCCCACGTCATCGACCAGCATTCACTAGCAGACGTTGCTTATACCCTCGCGGTCCGGCGATCCAAGCTCACCCAGCGCACATTCTACATCGTGGACAAGGATAGCGTCACCGACGGACTACTGGGCGACGTTCAGAGGGTCTCCTCAAGCCCCTCTGAGGCCCCGCGTCTTGGCTTCGTCTTCACCGGCCAGGGCGCGCAGTGGCACGCTATGGGTGCCCAGCTCTTCGAATATCGCGTCTTTCGCTCTGCTATCGAGCATCTAGACTACGTTCTTGGCACGTTCTCTAGAGCCCCTTCCTGGACAATTGCAGATATCCTCTGTGGAAACTGTAGTGTAGACCGCATAGAAACTCCCGAGATCTCGCAGACGGTTTGCACGGCGATTCAAATCGGCCTCGTAGATTTACTTGCGTCCTGGTCCGTTTACCCCTCAGGCGTTGTAGGACACTCATCGGGCGAGATAGCAGCTGCTTATGCCGCAGGCCGTATCACTGCTGCTGAGTCAATTGCCACCGCCTACTTTCGCGGCCAGACTGTCTCTCAGAACAAGCAAAAGGGCGCCATGCTGGCAGTAGGTCTGGGCCTTGAGCAGGTTGAGGAGTACCTAGTCGGTCTCGAGCAGGATGTCAAAGTCGCCGCTATCAACTCACCAGGCAGCGTTACACTCTCTGGCAAGCAGGGGGCTGTTGAGAGGCTCTCTAAGACACTAGACCAGGAAGGTGTCTTTAATCGGCTACTAAAGACGGGCGGAAACGCGTACCACTCATGGCACATGGTTGCACTGGGCCAAGAGTACGACACGCTGCTCTCGGACGGTCTAGCTCATCTCGACAGGCTTGGACTGCGCGATGAACGCCATCGATACCCTCGTATCCCCTGGGCTTCGTCTGTTACCCCAGACAAGAGCATGCTAGCTGAGAGCGCTCTACCGTCCTACTGGAGAGCTAATCTAGAGTCGCCTGTTCGTTTCTCAGATGCGGCTGCGAATTTGGTTGGGCGGGAGGACCTTGAGATCGGAGCGCTAGTGGAAATTGGACCGCATTTCGCGCTGAAGAGCCCCTTGGATCAGATACTCAAAAGTATTGGTAAGAACGTCCCATATGCTGGGTCTCTAAAGAGAGGAGAGGATGGTCGAACATCAATGTTGCAGCTCGCCGGAACGCTATTCAGTCTGAATGCCAAAATCGACCTGGCTGCGGTTAATGCTACAGACGAGCGCACTGGAGCGGAGTGGACGCTAGCACACGGCGTCACCGCCATTGACCTTCCGCCGTATCAATACACGTACGGGCCAATCAGTTACTATGAGAGCCGGGCCAGCAAGGAGTTCCGCCTCCGCCGCGTCCCTAGGCACGACCTACTAGGGTCCAAGGTAGCCGGTAACGCGAAACTGCGGCCGCAATTCCGCAACGTCCTACGCCTGAAGGACCTGCCCTGGCTCGCTGACCACCGCCTGCTCCCTGATGCTGTCTTTCCAGCGGCAGGTTATATATCTATGGCTATAGTAGCGGCATCGCAGGTCTACGAGGAGTTTCCGGACGCGCACCCCGTTGAAGGCTACTCGCTCCGCAACGTCGATATTAAGACAGCGCTGAAGATCCCCGAAGACCAGCATGGCATCGAGATTATTTTGAGTATGGAACTTGTTGACACAGCGACGGCACGAGCTCCAGCATGGACTAGCTTCTCCATCAGCTCTATCGCTCGCGACTCGGAGAAGTGGACTGAGCACTGCACGGGTCTTATCAAGCCAGATGTTTTCGCGGGCCCTCTCAAGGTCGACAAGATCAGCACAACTGCCGAGTCACGAGCTGTAAACGCGCGTAACTGGTACAGAAAATTCGCGGCAATCGGCCTCGGCTACGGCCCTACGTTCCAGGCACTCTCAGAGATCCGCGCAGATCCTGCTAAGAATCTGGCTTCTGCCAAGCTAGGGCTAAAGACGACGGCAGGGACCGTTAAAGGGGGAGAGTCTGCTTATCTGATCCACCCCGCCTCTCTGGACGCCATGATCCAACTTGGTCTTCTTGCCTGCTATGGGGGCCAAACTGAAAGCGCCACGACCGCGTTCGTGCCCATCCACCTGTCGCAGCTGCACGTGCGGGCTGGGAGCGGCCAGGATTGGGGCTTGGCCGCCGCCCATGGGGAGTTCCGGGGACTTCGTTCAGCGTACCTTCAGCTGCAGTTGCAGAGCCAAACGGGCGACGTACTGCTCGATATCAAAGACCTTCGATGCATCAGCTACAGCTTAGAAGATCAGCCACTCGTTAGCAGCCGTACTAAGGCCTTCGCCAGCCCATTCACGCGTATGGTTTACAAACCTGACTTCCGCGCCCTTAGCAACCGGCAGGCTCACGTGCTATTTCCACCGCCGACGGAAAACGTCGCTCAGGTGCCCGTTCTTAACACCCTCGAGACCATAGCGGCGCTGATTGCTGTCGATGTGTACGAATCTGTAATTGCTAGCGATAGCAATGAATCAAATGCGCCCGAAAAAACGCGTCACTATATTGCATGGATCAGGAGACTGGTAGAGAGCCGGTCAGACCGGATCAATGAAGCGTCACAGCTCCCCGCTCCTAGGCGTCGACAAATCTTACAAGGCTTATACCGGGAAACCGGTCACCTTGTCGAGACAAAAGCCCTGCAGCGCCTGCACGAAAACATGGCAGACATAGTGCGGAATCGTACGACCGGCGAAGAAGTTCTAGCCCAGGGCGGGATACTGGCTGACTTTTTCACCGACAGTCTATTTCTCACAGGCGCACAACCTCAGGTTATCAAGCTTTTCGACTCTGTCAGTCACGCCAACCCCGGTCTTAGGATCCTAGAGCTCAAAGGCGGGCGTGGTGATACAGCACGCCTGGTGCTGGAGACACTCAGCAGTGCGAACGGCATCAAGCGCTACCGGGACTACACCGTGACGGACGCCTCTGAGGCCGCCCTGAAACTGGCTCGCGAACACCTCACCGCGCACCGCGACGTCAGCTTTTCTATCCTGGATATAGAGCAAGACCCGCTGCAGCAGGGCTACCAGCCGGTCTACGACGTGGTGCTGGCTTCGCAGGCCGTGCACACAGCCTCATCTATCGGCAAGGCGCTCGAAAACGCGCGGAAGCTTCTAAGGCCAGGCGGCAAGCTGGTCCTGGTGGAGGCTACAGGGAGCAGCGCATGGGTCGGCCTCATCGGTGGCGCGCAGCCTGGATACTGGCATGGCCTTCCAGACGGCCGCATCGACAGCCCCTTCCTGAATGTAGCAGAGTGGGACAAAGCCCTACACTCGGCGGGCTTCTCGGGAGCAGAGCTGACGCTGGACGACTACCCGGGCCCGACAACGCATTCAACTGTCTTGGTTTCCACCCTCGTTGAAGAACAGCGCGGCATCAACACAGCTGGTGCCCAGGTCGTCTGGCTGCTCCACAGTGCAAAGGGTGCCCCGGCCCTCTTGAACCAGCTAGCGCGCGAGTTGGAACACCGTGGTCTGCTAGTTAAGACGGTACCGCTTGATAACTCGCTGGAGGAGGTGCCTGCCAACGCGCGTGTAATTGCCTTCCTCGACGGTGAGAATCTGCTCCTGGACGTCGATCAGCGTCGCCTCGACATCTTCCAGCACCTCGCCCACCACACGGCCAGCATGGTATGGCTGACGTCAACGGGTATGGCACAAGGCCGCAGCCCTGACGGGGCAATTGTTGGTGGGCTCCTACGCATCATCTCCACCGAGGCGCCAACAGGCCGCTTCGTCTCGATCGATATTGACGCTGATGACTTCAACATCGCCGGCGAGGACGACTTGAGTGAGCTCGTCCGTGTCGTCACTGACCAAGAGCAGGCATTGCAGCGGGTGGGCGACGACGGGAACAACGAGGATCGTGAATTCGCCTGGCATAGCGGCTGTCTGTGGGTGAGTCGGTTGGTGCCTGAGGCGGCGCTCCATGGGTATGCGGAGCGCCTCATAACGCCAGCAACCCACGGCGCCGAGTTGCTGCCGCTGGACACACACGGCCCTGTGCGCGCCGCCTTCGAGACGCCTGGCATACTCAGCTCGCTCTACTTCCGCCCGTACACCGAGCTCCTCCAGCAGCCGCTACCACACGACTGGATTGAAGTCAAAGTGGCCGCCGTCGGGCTTAACTGGAAGGACGTGGCGCTTTCCACCGGTCGCTTCGATGCCAACAATCTGTCTTCCGAGTACGCTGGCGTTGTTACGCGCGTGGGCGCCGATGCAGCCAGCCGTTTCGACGTGGGCGACGCCGTATACGGCCTGGGGAAGGGCCACTTTGGCAACTACGCGCGCGTGCCTGCTGCCTTCGCCCAGAAGGCGGGCCCCGGAGACGATCTCGTCGGCCTTGCCACCTTGCCCGTGGTGTTGATGACAGCGGTATACGCCTTCGAGCATCTGACGCACCTGCGCCGCGGGCAGAAGGTGCTGATCCAGTCGGCGTCAGGCGGCCTAGGCCTCGGCGCAATTCAGCTGGCGCGAGCCAAGGGAGCGGATGTCTTTGCCATGGCGGGTTCGCAAGACAAGGTGCGCTTCCTTGTTGAAGAAGTCGGCCTGCCGGGCTCGCACGTGTTCATGGGACGTGACACCGCTGCGCTTTCGCGTGCCGTGACGGCTACAAGCAACAACGGCTTTGACGTAATACTCAGTACCGCGCAGGGCGACATGCTCTATGAAACTGCCAAGGCGCTGGCACCGCTGGGTCACCTGATTGATGTTGGTCGGCTGGATGTTATGGACGCCAGAGTCATTGGCCTAGAGCTGTTCCAGAAAGGCGCAAGCTTCTCGTCCTTTGACCTTGTCCGCGTCGTCGACCGTGACGCAGAGTTAGGTGAGCAACTTATGCAGGCCGTAGGTGAACATTACCGCGCTGGGCGCATTGCCCCAATCCGCCCTCTAGCTGTCTCGGATATCTCTCAGCTCGACCAGACGCTACTTAGCTTTTCTAGAGGCACACACCTCGGGAAACTGGTGGTGACATTCAACCCAAACTCGCCGGTGCGGATGGTGGCGGCGCCGCCAGCAGCCAGCTTCGACCCTGAGGCATGTTACATCATTACCGGCGGACTCAGCGGTCTGGGGAGATCTATCATTCAGTGGATGGGCGACCGCGGCGCCCGAGATCTCGTGGTTCTGTCCCGTCGCGGCGCCAGCGCCCCTGAGGCCCAAACGCTCGTCGACGCAATGGCCGAGCGCGGCGTGCGTCTCCATCCCGTCGCTTGTGACCTCAGCAGCCGTGAGCAGGTCGTGGGAGCCATTGAGCAAGCGTCCGCCCGCCGGCCGGTGAAGGGCGTCGTTCACTGTGCCGTGTCATACCGGGACATCTCTTTCAACAAGCTGTCCCTTGAGGGCTGGCGCGACGGACTCGCAGCCAAGGTTCTTGGGACGCAGAACTTACACGAGGCTACCAAGGCCTTCCCGCTCGACTTCTTCGTCATGACTACGTCCGCTCTCTCAGTACTCGGGTTTGCGACCCAGGGCGCCTATACGGCCGCCAACAACTTCCAGGACCAGTTTGCGCGGTACCGTCGCCGCCTTGGCCTGCCCGCCACGGCTGCCCAGTTCGGCCTGATCAACGATGTTGGTCACCTGAGCACAGACAACGTCGCGCTTGACATGATGGCTCGCAACAAGGTCCTGACGGTGCCGGAGAGCTACTTTCTCCGCCTGCTCGAGCCGGCCTTCTTAGGTCTCGAGAACGCCAAGGCTGCCACGCAATGCACTGGCGCCACAGCTGATCCGCTGGCCGGGGCCACTTATGTGACCTGCATGGATCCGGCGCATATGGCCGCCAAGGAGCGGGAGGACGCCGAGATGGGCCTCCCTAGCGCCGCTCCGCCGCGCTGGCACAGCGACTCGCGTGTTTCACACGTGATGCAGGCTTTGGACGACGCACTGCGGCACGCCGCAAGCGGCGGGGACGTACCGGGAGCAGGCAGTCAAGGGGACGACGGCCGTTCCGCCATAGGGCGGCTACGGCGCGACTTCGACGAGGCGGTGCAGCAGACCCGCGCATCGCCAGCCGGGACCGAGCAGGTTGAGCAGCGCGCACGCGCTGTGGAGCTTGTCACAGCAGCCCTTAAGACCACAATCGCGGGGATGCTGCTGATGGACGAGTCGACAGTAAACGCGGCCCGGGCCGTGTCGGACCACGGCGTCGACAGCCTCATCGCTACCGAGTTCCGCAACTGGCTCCTCCTAGCCCTGGGGGCCAAAATTAGCATGGTCGACCTCTTGGACCCACGTACAACCATCAACGCGCTCGCGGCAAAGGTAGTGGATGCTGCGGTTGGGACGCAGGAGTGAGGGTGATGCACTATTAGTAATGATGTTAAGAATCAGTAGACAACTCCGTAGGCGCTCGTTAGAGGGATAGAATTTCATAGAATTGCACATACGCCCCTTTTATCTTTTTTATCGCGCTATATAACTCTTTCTCTATGTCCTCCAACACTGTTCGCGCCCTCCGACGCTTCCTTAACGCTTCTCTAATAATTCCCACAGCTATTAACTTACACTTCTATCGCACTTAGCATTATAAATACGGCCCACAAATAATGATAATGATAGCTGACTATCTGGCGTTTTGTATAACCTTACTTTTAATTAGGATCTCACTCCGACGGGGCGGCTCTGGAGCGTCCAGTGCTCTCGAACAGTGGCGTGAGTGGGTCTCGGACAGTAGGCGTTTGTTTCATCACACTCACCGTACTTTATATCACGCCGCTCGCTTAGCTTAGAACCTGAGGAACTTTAAACTCGTGACTGTATCCACAGCATAGCCAGTCCGCCACGCTTTACTGTCCACAGAGACTTCTACAACGTGTTAAAATGTCTACAGCCTGTAATGCACATCTAGTACAGATCTAAAATGAGAGCGTTAGAGGTGCCCGGGGCCCCGGAGGAGGCAACAACGATAGGGGGTGGCACCTATAGAAACTCCTACTTCTATAGGTCTCTAGAGTTACTATTAAATATTAAGAAGCTAGGAACTTGCTCTCTGCCTCTTATAGCCTATAGCTAGGATTCGCACTCTTAAGATAATGTTCTGAGCGTGGTGGTGTGCTGTGTAGGGAGACTGTACGTGGGGACTGTACGCTCTGGAGCCGCGCCGTCACTCCGAACGCACTGATCATCGGGGGGGCAGAGGGGGGATTCCACCCGGCGCGTCTGGGTGGTGTAGACACTAATCAGGGAGCTCACCATCCAAGCCGGGGAATGTATCTGCTGAGCAGTGCGCGAAGAAATCATCCAAAGCGCTCGGAGAGGGCCATTGCGCAACGTCGCTGCTCGGCATCCTGGCCATGAGGCGGGCCAGAGTGGCGGCTGCCGCCTCGGCCATGTTGCTGACTTCTGCCAGCATCTCAAGACGTGCAAGCGCCTCCTGCGCCGCCCGCCGGCAGCGATCCCGCGTCAAGTGCGCCTTTTCCCATCCAAGTGGATCTACGTCGAGCGTGCGCAGAGGCCCGTCTTCGCCCAAGTTTGTGCCCGGGAACTGCCCGTCCATGGTCAGGCTCACCAGCACGACGGCAGCCTCGAACGTGGGCAAGATGATGGCGGCGAAGCGCGTGTGGGAGCGGCCCAGCATGGCGTGCAGCTTTGAAACGCCGTCCAGCATCTTCAGCGCCGCCGCCGCCAGCGCCCGCCTCTGTGACGCCACCAGCACCTGCTTGTATGCTGGGAGGCTTTGCACCTGGCCTGGCTCGCGCAGCAGGACCGGTCGGAAGTTGTAGCAGAGAGAATCGAATATGGCCACGTGCAGGATCTGCCTCTGCAATGGAAGCTTTGGCAGTCGCTCGTCCCACTCCTCGCTGGGCTCGAGCGCGAAGACGGGCGGCAGGTGCGTCAAAAAGTCGCCGCAAAACTTCTCGTACCGCTCCTCGGCCACCGTCGCCTCGTATTCTGCGCCCTGTCTTGGGGGGAAGCTCCTCCAGAAATTCGCCAGACGGGCCTGCATCAGGCGATCCGAGTAGCCCTCGGGGGCGTCAGCATCGTCGACATTGGGCGCGAGATGCATACGCGGCAGGTGGTCAGAGGTCAAGGTGGCGGATAGGAAGGGGTTGCAGTCCAGCTGCCTTGAAAGGAGACTGTGGTATCGTGTGTCAGAGAGATGCGGCCACAGCAACTTCGACGGCGCTTCGTACCTGTCCCAGATGTAGAGGTTGCAAAACACTCTGCATCGTATTTCCTTGTCGAACTCGTGCATTCCGTGCATCCATGCCGCGCGCCCTCGATGGAGCCCAATCCTCTGCGCTACCCGAACGGCGTTGCTGAGGGCTTCCCAGAAGGCATTGATGCGGCCCTCGCACTGCCACTGCAAGCCCAAAACCGACAGGTGCTGCACACGGAGCAATGTGCCTCTCGCATCAAGCCGCACGCAGATGGCGGCCAGCTTCTCGGCGATATCATGGCATGTGTCGCGGATGTCGGCTAAAGGCATGCCACGGATACGGTCGATGGTGTACGACGGCGAGGGAAGGAACTGCGACGCGTAGGAGCATATTCTTAGGAAGAGCACGGCGAATTCGACATCGAGTACCCCCGACAGTCGTCCCAAGGTCCACCATTTCTGGTACTGTCCTAGGAACCACGGGGCATAGACTACCTGCTCCATCCTATATAGATTTGCGCGTTGTCAGCGAAAGGACCGAAACAGCCACGCCAGCGATGGGATCCTACTAACCAATGGACTTCGGTCACATAGTATTGGACCAGAAAGTCGAAGATCTCGCGACCCGGCAGTCTTCTAATGCTCTTCTCGATCTCATCGTAAGCCTCCAGAGGAATGTCCCGGTTCTTATTCTGGTGTTCGTCTTCGCCCAGACCCAACTATACATGCGCACTGATTAGAAAAGGACGGCACAAATGAGCTTGGACGGTCCTGGTCGAGCAGCGGCCAAAAATCGTATCCCAATCTTGAAGCGCCCAGTCTACCATTGAGGATACTTGGAGAAGCTTCTCGCCTCTTATCAAGGAGACTAGAATGAAGGGAAAAGGCGCTCACCCTACGCACAAGAGCCATGGTGTTGGACTCGCTATGCTCGACATATCCAAACAACTCGGCAAGTGAGTCGCTCCCCTGGCCGAGCGTCGAGTTCCTCCTCGTGCTCCAGTCCGACGACGCGCCGACAGGCTCGTCGTTGCCGCTGACGTCTTGCGACTGGGCATCGTGGTCCATCGGCACGTCTTCGTGTGGGCGGGTTTCCGTCTGGGGCGCCTGCGATGCTTGCGAGGGATGGTAGGTGCACTCCTCGGGCTGCCGGCGTCGAGTACAGTGATTGCAAGGATAGCGACGGTTGCACTGCGCACCAAGGCAAGAAAGCCGCGTTAGCTATATCTTGGTTGGTCCGCGTGTAGTGTACCCTTATACATATGATTCTATTGCACAAGTCGAGACACACACACCTTCTGCTTCTTCCTGTAACATGGGATACATGACGACACCACGCGTTTTCGGCCGCCGCTCTGCATCGTAGATGGTAAGGAGTGCAACCCAAGCTGGGACAAAATGAGGGGAGACACGTGGTGAGGTTTCTAGGACCGTTGTCGTTGCGAAATTGCATGTGGGGTTTTAGTATATTATACAGCATGCCGTCCGACCTGGGGCCCTTTGTTCTGACGCAAGTCGTAAGCTGACGGTGCAGGTGGGGGGGGTTCCCGCGCAGGGGCCTGGTGCACCCTAGATCTTCCACAACACCAACCAATTCACCACGACCTCTATCTACACAGCCTTGTAACAATAGATTTATGCAATATAGCTATTGAAAGTAGGCGGCTAGTATTTACAACCCCCTCTTGTCTAATCTTCTAATTGGCTGGAGCGGCCCGGAGCAAGGTTCGTCCGGAGCTCTACTTTCACGTGCATCTGCGCGTGTTATTCTTTCTGATTTAGTTAGCTATGACGAGGCAGTATGTAAGGCTATATATAAAGCTTTATATACTAGAAACCTTAGCTCTCAGCAGCTACAAGGACCTAGATGCGTCCGACAAACTATCCAGAAAAAGGCCTCCTCCGTTCCAATACCACCTATTTCGCCTGTGGCCTCATGTCCGCGCTAGTTCGCCGGACGCATCTAGGTCCTGTAGATCGTCGTATCTCGAATCCTTCTTATGTACGTCTGAGTCTGCCAAGTAGTCCCACCGTCAACAATCCACCCTACCCCTGTCACAAAGCTTGCACCTGGGCTGCTTAGGAAGAGAATCATTCAGACCGTTCTTCTGGAAACGCCCAGCACTATTGGCCTTGGAATCGACTTCGACTCTACCGAACTCGGCGACAGCGTCTGACGTTAGACGATCAACACTCTCCTCCTGCGAAAATCCACCTCGAGCGTCATGGTCCGTTAGTCAGTGTTCTTAGCCAGTTTCCTGCTCTCGATAGGGGATGGGTAGCGTTGTTAGGGCTGATATCAGCAAAAGCTATTCTACACGTTCAACACCAGCGGCCGCAGATAGCAATGCACAGTTCTCTGCCCATACCCTGGCCGCGCTGCAATAGCGTAATATACAGTAGGAGTGGCGTCAGCTGGTTGCGCGGGTCTGCATATAACATGTGCAAAATTGTACTTCGGGTCGGCCTCGGTGGGGTAGTAGCCCGGTAGGACGTTGATACAAAGCCTGTTACCACAGTGTGTTCAGTCGCCCTTGAGTCACGTGATCAGATCTAACCAATCAGAAACGAAGCCGCTATCAAAAAGTTGGTCACGTGAGCCAACAACGTATATCACCCGGTGGGACTGAGGCATTTCGGCAGCGAGGCCGGCGGGCCGGTGCGTCAGCGGACCGCTTTTCGCCTCACCTGCATGTATCTGCGTCAGGGGATGCTGGCGTCGATGATCAAGTAAGCCCAAGCTCACCCGCCACCGCAAATGGAAAAGCGAACCTCGCACTGACTACCGCGATGAGTTGGTGGCGTTCTTCTTCGTACTCTTTGGTCTTGCATTCACGTTCTGGCTGCAACGGCATCTACGACACCACGTCCCACACCAGAGCATTCAACAGCTTCTCCATTCACCCGCGTGCAGGGTAACGCCCAATCATCCCGCACTAGCATGGTATGATTGGAGGTGGCATGCAGCCATGGTGTGAGCAAGCAGGCCACCTTAACCCGCCTTGTTGGGATAATATATGGGCTTTCTTATCTAAATGGCGAGCATTCCAATTGGATCTGACGGTCTTGAGAAACGCGGTCTTTTCATCTGTAGCGAGAGCGTTGATTTCCTCCGCTTTCCAGATGCATACTAATCTGAGACTACACCACCGCCGATTGCCATAGGCACTCCGCCAAAGCAGCCTACAATGAAACAAAACACAATCAGCACTAGAAGGCTAGTGCTCAGCGCGCAAGCGATGGTGGATATAAAGTAGAGGGTCGCCGTAAACCGCAGTATTATTATTCAGCCAGCAATTTGTTAACTGCTGCCATCCCGGCGAAAGGTCTGGAACACCTGGGGCACGCTCGGTGTGAGCATTATGGACGCAAGGAAGCTGAAGGCATAGTTAATGTGATGTTTCTACCCAGGGCATCCGGCGAGAAATTACGTGAGGCTAGGAGACAATGACGACAGATAATGCCTTGCGCCAAGGGCCGCCATTGCTGTGGTTCTGTTTAAGCGACAATTCCAGTTGCGGTGACAACTGCGAGGGCGAGGTCTAGCTCTCTAGGACTTTGTGCATTGGGCTTGAATGTTGAGGACCGGAAACTACAGCGTCAAGGCGCATCCGGTGAACTAGCGCAGATTTGAAGCCACAGGAGGAATAAGTAGGATTAGAGCGGAGGAAGCCCTTTTTTGGATATATTCTTACTGAAGCTGAGCTAAAACTGCTAAAAACTCGCTACCGCAAAGCGTTATTTTCTAGATTATTCCTCTTTTGCAGTTGACTTTCGTGGCTTGATATCCGCGCTAGTTCATCAGATGCGCCTTGAAGCTGTAGAGGTTTTCAGAAGGAGCCCGAGGATCTGTTTGCCAGTGCCTTTCGCTGCGGCGTTAGCCTCAGCCCTCCCGTCGTCTTGGATACGGGTCCGGGATCATCGGCCCCATACGCATCGTGCCACGTGCCGTGCCGGCTGTCAAAGGACATCAGCCTATGTCCCAAAACGGATTAGCGCAGAATCCGGAGCCGCTAAACCAATATAGGGCCACATTTCTGCTTGGTACCAAATCTCGATTTCGCAACATGCGTGAAACCTCAGCTCGATTGTTGTATGCGAATGCGCTCTGATTTGCAGTAAACATAGTAGTCTAAACGCGGTGAATTCTCTTCGAAGCCAGCCCTTGCAGATCCGACGCCATAAACGCCACCATGCCCCTGACGGTCTCGACTCAGCTGAACCCCCTTACACCCGCATAGAAACACCATCTCCAACTTCACGGGAACAACCATCCTTCTATGAATCTTGTCATGCTATCTCAATAGTCCCATCTAAAGCCTTGAAAAAGTAAAGCCCTCATCGAAGATGCTATCCCGCGGCCTGCCGAACGCCACGACGACGGCCATGGTCCTCGTCCTTGGCCTCATCTTTTTGCTCTGGAAGTTCGACTGGACATCAGAGCAATATCACAACGCTGGGGCAGTTGCGAAAAAAGCTAGCGCCAAAGATCCGCGCATAGCGATTATCACCTTCATCACGAGCCAGAAGTCGTATATTCATCTCTCATTGAAGAATAAATCACGTGAGCAACTCCCCGGGCTCAGAAGCAATCCTCTCGTAGTTGAAGAAGAACGAGGCTGAATGAGTATAGGATATGCCCAGCGATATGGATACGACTTAATTGTCGACTATGAATCGCATGCCGAGCGTGGTACCACGTGGCTGAAATTCGACATGGTCGAACGCCTCATCAAGGAAAAGCAGCACGATTGGATCTGGTGGATGGACTTTGATACGCTGATTACGAATACGGATATCAAAGTCGTGGACATCATTAGAGACAGCTTGGCGAACGTAACGACGCCTGCTGATGTTGATTTCTTACTCACGGATGATTGGTAAGAAGTGTCTTTTCCTATGTTAATACTGCTCGAAATGTTTCATTATCGTTCTTTTACTGGGAAAATTTACTTGAAGTCAGAACTCTTATATTGTCTAGTAATGGCCTCAATGACGGTTCGTTCATCGTCCGTTCGTCACCGCGCTCTATCGACTTCCTCAACCGCGTACGCAAGCTCCATGACGTAGAAGATAAGAAAGGCAACGGCCTCAACGACCAAGAATCGATGAGAGATCTCCTGAAGACCAACGACCCCTTCGTGAAGCATGCAGTCACGATTCCGCAGTGGAAGATCAACGCATTTCCGGAGGAAATCCATTGTTTTGATAAGTCTGAGCAAGCTTGGGAAAGAGGAACGTTCGTTGTTCATTTTGCGGGCGCTTGGGCGCATGTTGAAGGAGATGATCCCACGGGGTATTTGATGGAGAAGTATGAGAAGGAGATTATGTGGGGGCCAGATCCGGGTGCGGAGGTACTTGGAAAAGAGGGGTAATTCAAAATTTGACATATTCGCTTGGGTTTTTGCTCTTCACGGGCAGCTGTCTAAAGGACCTCAACACTGCGTCCACACTTGCAAACCACCTTATTTGGAGGCCTGAATTAGGCCGTCACGCGACTAGCGTCACAAAGTCCAAGCAGAATCAGCCTATCGGGTGATGTCTATTACTGAGCACCCTAAATCAGGACCTCGTCACTGAACACGTGACATGGCCCCTGGGTACTCGAAGTGCTTCAGCACCTTGAATACACTTGCAGCGTGACCTCGCTCAGCACGCGATCTCGGGCGCCGTTCTTTTAACATCCTAAAAAGTAGGTTGAATCGAGCGTTTCGACAATGCGTAGTGCCATACTAGCCAAATCAGATCACTGAAAAACTTCACATTCATCCATGCTTGATACACTCTAGGGTTCCTCAAGTCTTTTTCGAGGCCTCCAAAACACACACGAAAAGAGTCCAATTTGAAGTCCAAACGACGCGTCACCTCTCGAACACACCTAATTCGCCCCAAGTTGCATAAAAACTGTCAGCACCGCCGTATACGCCGCGGTCGCCGCTATCACCTCGAACGGCCGATTCACCGTTGCCAGCGACATTAAAACCATCGAAAGCAGCACAAAGCCTGTTATGATGCCGAGCCTCTTGGTGTTGTTTGTAACGAAATTCAGCCACCACATGGGCCCGAGCAGCATGCTGAACCCCAGGAAGATGATGCTAGAGTTGCTGAATGCTTCCAGGCGGTTGTTGCTAGCGTAAGAGGTGTACTCGGAGTCGACATGAGTGTCTTCGTAGCGACGTTTGTGGAAGATCGGGATTTTGCGCGTTAGGTGGTTGTTGAGGAAGGAGTGGATTACTGGATGAGGGCGGTCGGAAATGGAGATTAGGTCGCCTGTGTGGTCTAGGTATCTTATTTCCTTTTCCGTGACCGCTTTACGAGTGGCCCAGTTCTTGACGTTGGCTATTTGTCGGGCCGAGGCTCTTCTTCGGGCTCGTACGGCCGAATATGTGGTTATATACTCATCTATCAAGGTAAGTAGATCTCCTTTGCTAAACTACCGCTGTTGATCTTGCTATACTTCTGCAGAAGGTGTGAGAGGTCACTCATCAACTGGACTCTTCGTACTTCTTGCTTTTCGTCGGCTTGAAAACTGCTATTCTTCCTTCCAGTCTCAAGCGCCGCGCCTGCGATTGCCTCATGTATAGCCTCTAGCTCTTCTTCAATAATCCCGATGCGGTACTGCAGCCAGAGGATCGTCAAGGCGTTGAGCTTACCGAAACGCCTAAATATGAAGAAGTCGTCGTCCGAGGCCGTCCATTTAGCAAACTCGTTGTAGCCTTGATACTTCCACGTCTGCTTGTTCTTACGTTTCTCTTCAAGAGGATCAGGAGAGGGATCTGTGCCTGGTACCACTAGCGCAGGATTCGCCAAAGAAGAAAGCAAGCTGGCGGTGACCGGAGCTGGCAGTGCCATCGAAGATGTTGGAGTCAAAAAAGAGGCCGCAGCCTGAAACGTAGTGGCAGCTAGCTGAGCCGTTGTCCCCGGAAGCTTTGGGCAGAGTAACGTCTTTATAGTTGGTCAAGTCGAGGCTGTGCTCGCAAGGCTGCAGGGTCGTTTGCTTCCGATGCTACATGGCGTACGTTTCACGGAGCACGAATGCACGAAAAGGCCAATCCATGAGCACGAAGGGTAATACTTGTCCCTGTTCATGCTTTGGCTACTCCTGCCCTTAGCCTCACTGACTCGTGCTAAATGCTACGTTAAGGTTTAGCAAAGAAGCACAGCGTCAGGGGCGTCGGGCATCAATCCACCGTTCCCAATCTCGGTTTCTAGACATTCTGGACCGCAAAGACTCATACATCGACTGCCACGGGCTATGGAAGCCTGCTGCAGACTATGGCTATTCATATAGGCCGTGGACTGTCTCCTTCTCTCCTTCTCTCATCATCTTCTCGGATCACTTCTCGGATCACTTCTCGGAATATCTACTCTTCTAATCAATCATTCTCTCTTCCACTTCGAGCCTTCACCATCAAGCCAACAGCCACACTATCGCTGAAATTCTGTCGACACGACACGTACGTACTCTCAAGCAAAGCACCATGCATCGCTCAACCAAAAGCGTACTCAAAGCTATCACCTTGCTTGGAACCAAAAAGCACCCTTACAGCGAAAATACCACGCCCCCACTCGAACGAGCGGCCGATCAGAAAGTAGACACGACCTACTTGCATCAGGACGAAGAGCCACCAGACCATGCATGGCTCCGATTCCAGTCTCAACATCCAACAAATGGCTCAGAATTCGGCGAGTGCGCATCTTACTACGCGTCGTTTGGCACATCAAGCAGTAAAAGTGGACTTTGTTCTTCAGCACTTTATGGGAACACTGCCACTGCGTCCATGCCTCAAGTCGAGTCGTTCCATACAACTCCTGCTCCGCAACAGTCCCTATACACACAGGGCTACCAAAATGGCAATTTCCCAACCAACTCTACCACGCTTTGTGCCCCTAGTGTACCGTCAGCGTATACCCATGTGGTACCTCAGCACACCGCGTACACCTCCTAAGCCTACTAGCCTCAACCCATTTCCACCAACTATTCAAACGAAACGTCAGCTATACCACGCACTCTGGGTTATACATCGCGTTCTTTTACATCATTCGCGGAAAAAGAGGCGCCCAAGGCTCTACAACGACACCATACTGCGCCACCCGAAGTCCAAGGACGCTGCTCATCAGAAGGAAGATGCCGCTTGTGCGGAAACCTTTTATCCTGGTACGATTTTTCCCCTTAGTGTGCTCTTTTGGTGGCTAACAAACCACGTAGCGTGGGTAATTGCGACATGTGCTACCCTTCGGGCCGCACTGATGCACGACCCTAGGAGATGTTCTGGTCATTGTACACGTTCTTGCATTATGTGCGCTTAATCTACAGCTCTAAATTGTCATGACTGCTTCATGTCCAGAACGATTTCACGCCTTCGATACCCTTCATTCTAGATTGACACATCCACTACTGTAGATTGCAATGTATTCTAATTCTATTTTCACCTAACTTACGTTGAAGGCTTTCAAGGATTCCAGGACCTATCAACCGATGCTCAAGATCGATACCCGATTCACACGCGCTGAAAGCTACAGTTGCATCTCGCCCTCCAAATCGAACCCCGAACTCGACTGCTTTGACCGAGCACTGACAGCGCTAAGAGACCTCTGACGGTGGCAAACATTTCTACTCCCTTGGAGCGATCGAGATCCGATTCCCATGCGCTGAAAGCTATAGTTGCCCCTCACCCTGCAAATCAAACCCCGAACTTGAGTGTTTTGACCGAGCACTAAAAGTGCTGGGGGACCTCAGACAGTGTCAAACTTGTCTACTCACTGAGACTAAATTCCCAAGTGCCTAAAGGTACACTTGTAGCTCGCCCTATAAATCGAACCCCAACCTCGCGTGCTGTGACTAAGCATTGAAAGCGCCGAGGAACCTCAAACAGGTCTGCTCCCTCGAGACGTAGAGGGTGGATGGGCGGGTAGCCTCGGCGGGCCTCAGAAGATTATTGGTAAAAGAATTCCTGAGTGCATTAGCGTGACAGTGATGTGGAGCAGTGCATTTTTACCCCTCCTTCATATGCCGGAAAACTCCGACCTCGGAGAGCTACCCCTCCACATTCTTAAGGTATTTAACAGCTTGCATTCTGTATTCCGCACACATCAAGTGCTCATTGTCATTTTGCTCAGCCAATCCTACCCATTCAACTCGCTCCATCAACCACCAGCTGGTACGGTGACAAGGAACCATATCTATCGCGATGGAGATATCAGAGGATCAAGAAGGTACCGTCTCGTAAATGCATGACGGGTGTTCAGCCCTTACCATGGCCTGTCATTGCCTTGATTCGCGGGTCTTCTCGACCACCGTTTTTGAGGCATTGCAAGTCAGGGAAGGGCTGATCTGAGATTATACCGTCGAACTTGATCTGGATAATTCCAGCGAAAGAACATGCTTCTTCTCCCATATCCCCCTGTGTTGAGTTGCTTATATTTATAGCATCATGTCGACCGACAAGATCACGTTCTTGACCAACTGGTACAGAGTGGCCTGCACGTGTTTGGCGGGAAAACAAATTACTGATAGGACGCAGGCACGCAACGCCGTATCACGCTCCCCTATACCTCGCGCAGGCCAAGGGCTACTTCGAAGATGAAAATATCAAGGTTGCTCTGCTCGAACCGAACGACCCCAGCGTCAGCATTTTCCGATCTGCGGCAGAGGTTAGGGCTGATAATATCTTGCAGGACGTGACTGAGATCATTGGGAGTGGCAGAGTGGACTTGGGTTTCAAAGCCATGATTCATACTCTTGCGGTCCGTCTTAAGACCCCTTTTTGTAGCATATTTCGAGCTGACAGCCCCAAAAGGCGAAAGCCCGTAACTTCCCCGTTCTCAGCATTGGCTCTCTCCTTGACGAGCCATTCACTGGTGTCGTTTATCTCAAGGATTCCGGCATCACGACTGATTTCCGCACCTTGAAAGGTAAGCGTATTGGTTATGTAGGCGAATTCGGGAAGGTAAGCAGCTTTGCTCTCTTACATATGTTTTCACGAAAACTTGGACTGACAACGCGGATATAGATCCAGATCGACGAACTCACTTCCCACTACGGCATGGCCCCCACCGACTACACTGCAATTCGTTGCGGCATGAATGTCTCCAAGGCCATCATCTCCGGCACCATTGACGCCGGCATCGGCCTCGAGAACGTCCAAATGGTAGAATTGGAGGAGTGGCTAGCCAGCCAAAACCGCTCCACCACCGACGTCCAAATGCTCCGCATCGACGAGCTTGCCGAACTCGGCTGCTGCTGCTTCTGCTCAATCCTCTACATCGGAAACGAAAACTTCATCGCCCAGAACCCCGAGAAAGTGAAGGCATTCCTTCGCGCCGTAAAGCGTGCAACCGACTTCGTGCTCGCCGAGCCGGAGAAGGCCTGGGCGGAGTATGTCGACTTCAAGCCGGTCATGGGCACAACGCTCAACCGCAAGATCTTTGAGCGGAGCTATGCCTACTTTAGCAAGGATTTGAAGAACGTGAAGAGAGACTGGGAGAAGGTGACGAAGTATGGGATGAGACTCGGTGTTCTGAGTCAAGACTTTGAGCCAAACTACACGAACGCGTTTCTAGGATGGGAGACCGAGGGTGAAAGTGCGGATCCAACCGGGGACCAGAAGAAAATGGTGGAGTTGCAGAAGGATGTTGCTGCCTGCGGTGGCTTCCGCAGGCTGAATACTTTGCCGGCTACTGTCAAGGTTTGAGTGGTTATGTATATGCGCTCGGCTGCGCACGATAGTGCGTAGCGTTGCGAGAAGTGTGCATTGGAGAAGGATTGGTATGATGGTGCATGGCATTTCACTCACTAAATATTTACCAGCCAAGAGACGCAAACACGAAATGGATTACACCTGGCAAGTTCAGCTGACCTGACCTTAAATCTCGTGATATAATATTCTATATCAACAGTTAGATGCAGGGTCGCTGAGCGAATATGACAGAGAGGCAAAGAGTGTGTGCTCTCCGCCCATTAACATGCAGCTGCATTTTCGCAGAATCTTGTCCTTGAGCGTCAAGACCTGTTGATAGAGCGTGTTTGGTATGTCGTAGAGCCGTTTGGGTCCAGTACATCATGGGTTGGGATTCGGGATTAGACTGTGTTAAACATATCTACTCCCCTATACTAATATACAGGACGAAAGACTTATCATGTTTCGGCTACCGTAATCAAGCATTGTATCTAAGTAAGTACTTCCGTCCCTCGAAATCGAGCGCTTGAACCGCTAGAAACAAATTCAGCTTACCAGTGTCTGAGGTCCCTCATACTATTCTCGCACACGGAAAATCAGCTATGAGAGAAGCCAGGCTTTGCTTGTCCTCCATAGATACCCAAAGAGCTAATCTTTGCCGCTGACACGGAGACTACGAGTATCGCGACATATCTTCAACAAATTAGGAACACGTCAAGCTTCGAGATGCAGAACTTGCCCCACAGTCCCCATCATAACCCCCGATTTCCTCGCACCAGAACCTAGCACCATCATCGAAACCACAAGGGACGTGAACACATAAGGCGATGTTTTCGATTTCGAATGGGGTAAAAGATATTCTAACCAATAGCCTTATCAAAACACCCAGTGTAGAAGGCGTTGGTGCAGGTTTTTGAATTTTAGGGAGAGAACGGCCGTGCTGAACCCCCAATATTAAGGGGTTTAGCATTAATATTTACGGTCTCTCCGCTTAATATACTGCTTTTGTATAAGAGAGCTTTAAAGGTAAGGCTATATCGAGATTTGAACAGCATAGGTGCAAAAAAACGGGTAAAGAGAAAAGTGACCGTTATAACGTATGCTAACGGTATTCTATATAGCATGAACGATATACCGAGCTTTTACTATGCTTCGTAGCTAGCTTCCCCCCTCATTGATTGACCGATACGGCACGGCACGGTGCGTATGGGGCCGATGATCCCGGACCTGCATCCAAGACTCCGGACGGGAGGTGGCTAATGGCTTACTCATGACAAAACCGTATATCTATCCTTCCGTTGTAGCTAGCTTCCTTCCTCACTCATCAACCTCCCGCACTCATCAACCAATACACTACTTGACCCCTCTATTTGCCGCTGCTGTCTGCACCTCCCTCAGAGGGCTGGGGCCAACGCCGCAGCGAAGGGGACTGACAAAGAGATCCTCGCGCTTCTTCTGAAAACCTCTTCAGGTGAGACGTTGAACGATCACATTTCAAGTTTCCGGTCCTCAACATTCAGACCCAATGCAAAAAGTTCCAGAGAGCCAGACCTCGTCCTCGCAGTCGTCACCGCAACTTGAATCGTCGCTTGAATCGGCCCAGTCGCTCCCTTCAGAACCACAGCAATGGCTGGCCTGGCGCAAGGTATTATCTGTCGTCATTGTCTCCTGTGCCGACTGCCTCACATAATTTCTCGCCGTGATCCCCGCGTAGAAACATCACATTATCTATGCCTTCAGCTTCCTCGTGTCCATGATGCTCGCACCGAGCGTGCCCCAGACCTTTCGCCCGGATGGCAGTGACAAATTTCTAGGCTCCCTCTCCGTCACGGTCTACATATTAGGATTCGTATGCGGGCCGCTCTTATTCGGCCCGTTGACAGACCTAATGGGCCGAATAATAATACTCCAGTTTACGGCGGCCCTCTACTTCATATTCACCATCGCTTGCGCGCTGAGCACCAGCCTTCCAATGCTGATCGTATTTCGTTTCATTGCAAGCTGCTTTGGGGGAGCGCCTATGGCAATAGGCGGTGGTGTAGTCTCAGATTTGTATGCATCTGGAAAGCGGAGGAAATCAACGCCCTCGCTACAGATGAGAAGACCACGTTTCTCAAGACCGTCAGATCCAATTGGAATGCTCACCACGCTTCTCGCACCTTAAAACGTTCCGTCACGATTCTCGTCGTTATTACTCGTCACCTCCCAGCTCTAGTTATCCTCATCCTCATTGGTATCTTCAACGGCCTTGTCAATATGATACTATCGACCTTAGGCTCAGTGTTTCAGTTCCAGTACCATTTCCCTCCAGCCACAGCTGGTCTATCCTATCTGGGTCTGAGAATTGGTGGTATGGTTGGGCTAGCAGTGACGCCTCACCTATCTGACTCTTCGGTAAATTTCGACCGCATCCGGACGGGTCGAAGCGCCCACAACATGCGCTTCCAATGATGATAATAGCAGGTCCGTCAGCGTCAATTGGGCTGTTCTGGTATGGCTGGTCTTGTCAGGCCGGGATATTCTAGCTGGTCCCCATAATTGGACTTGCTGTCTTCGGATTCGGATACAGGTAGTACAATATCCCAATGTGCACCCAAGTAATTTCCTTTCCCGTTCAGGGAACTGAGCTGCTCATGCTCCAGCCTAAGCTGTGGCTGTGCTGGAGTGAGCGCATCCTAAGCCGAGACTGAGCAGCTCGTTGGAACCCAATTTTGGGCCCTGTATTCGAGAGGAAGAGTTGAGACTGGGGTCCTCACCCTGCCACGGAAGGCCCATTTCCGGGCCCCTAGTGTTATGAACCAGTCAGAACAAGAGATCATGCGACTGATCACAGAGATACAGGACGAGGCTGCGCAAAGGACCCATGCGGGGTAAGCTTGGCAGAAGGTAACTTGGCGCACGTGACGCGCACCGAGTTGCAACTCGGTCGGAACTTGGTGAGCAAGTTGGCACCAAGTTGGGAACTTGGTCGGTGATCGGAACACTAAGTTGCGAGGTAACTTAGTAGGAACTATATTATATAATAGAATATATTATTAAAATTTAATAATTTAACGATATAAAGCTAATCTGTATGCAGGCTTTGGCGTGAGGAGCCTCGACGGTCATGGGCACGACGAGCAGTGCGACCGGCGAACACGGCTAGGACTGTCATAGCCATAGCAAAGCAAAGTTACTTTGTACTATTTTCGAAGGCAGATCTTCAGCCGGCAAAGATCAGTCGATGATGCTATCGCAAATGGTTGTTTGCGCTGTAAAGCTTTATGTTCACGCCCCCGGCTACTTTATCTACCAATTTCCAATCACAGGGCAGTCGTCCTTTCGGCAAGGCTGATCCATCAATTGAGTCGAACTTTTGCAGGAGCCTGACTGTGACATAGGCAATCTCAGCAAGGGCGAATTGTTGTCCGATACATATTCGAGGGCCAGCGTTGAATGGGAGGTAGTTGAATCCAAATTTGCGCCCCTCCCATCGTTCTGGATTGAAGCGGTCAGCATCAGGGCCCCAAAGTTCTGGGTCTGAGTGCATTGTCCAAAGCTACACGGAAGAGAAGTCAGCACTGAGGAGAAGCCAGAGGCACAATAGTGATGTCAAGACGCAAAGACGTACCTCCCAAGCAATAAGGTGACCTTTAGGTATAAATACTGGTGAAGTCCCATCGGAGCCACCACCTACGGGCAGTGTTGTGTCTCTAACGGCTTCACGGAAGTTGACCGGAACCGAAGGGTAGACTCGAAGAACTTCGTTCAAGCACCATTGAAGGTATGAACAGTTCTTGAGCCCGCTGAGCGTGATCTGCTTCGGTCGATCGAAGGATCCAAAGTCATCTATGATGATGTTGCGAAGCTTCTTGAAAATATGAGGATATTGTGCCAATGAGGCCAAAAGGAAGCCAAGAGTTCCCGAGATGGTGTCGCTGCCTGCCAGAAGGATGTTCAACAGCTGGGAGCGGAGCTCCTGCGAATCCTTCACGTCAGCGACAATAGCATCCAGAACGACGTACTTTCCCGTCCCTGGCTTTTTATCCGAGCCACCGTCCCTCAAATGGCGCTGGACATACGTATCGACGAAGTTATGAACAGCTTTACACTGTTCCTTGAATTTGCGATCGTGCGTTAGCCAGAACAGGTCGCCGTATATCAAAGATTTCGCCGTTGTCTTCTCTGCTCCGAAGAAGGCCTCTACGAACTGCATCATCTCCTTCTTAGAGAACAAAGTACTCGTATCTGTACTATCATCTCTCTGGCTGTGCACGCTTTCGCCAAAGAGAAACTCTGTGGCAGTATCCATTGTAAAACGCTCCAATAGCGGTTGCATATCGAAAGTCGAGGTCCAGTTACCAGGCTCCACGGCACCTGGGAGGGCATCAAAGAGATCTTTGACATGTGTTTCGAAGAGCCCCAGATCAGCTATCTGTTCACGCATGAATTGCGGTCTTAGAAGAGCTCGAGAGTGTTCCCATTTAGGTCCGTTCGCTGAGAACTGTTGGAATTAGCTCTGCGTATGTTTTAAGTCGCAAAACGTACAATACCGAGACCCAGAAGCGCCTCGAACGCTCCCACTCTGGCCGCTGGCTGCTGAAAATCTTGAAACTGGGTCGCTAGCACAGCCTGCAGATTCTTCGGGTCGAAGGTGTAGAACCACGTCTCTCCCGGTGGATATTTTATTCGAAATGTTTTGCAGTCTCGTCCTATCTTTGCGCTCATTTCTTTCTTGCGATCCGAGAAGGCATAAGATAAGCGGTTTGTCTTCATTCCATTCATCTCAATCTTGAAATTCTGCACGCCAAATACATCCCAAGGTCGAAAGAGTGGTGCTGGTTGGCAACCGAAAGATTTCGCCTTCGCTGCCTGTCTTACGTGTGCAACTACACAGTAGATTGTGAAAATTGCTGCCACAGCCGGCGGCAAGAATATTAGTACGCCCATGTTGAAGAATGACTGAGGTGATGGTCGATATTCTAGGCAGGGCGACTTGCACATATAATGTCGATTCTGACACGCTAGACCAGCAGTCAACTTTAGCCGTCAAGGTCGTGCTTATCTCAGCTTATCTCAGCTGATGCTGCCTAAGGCGGGGGTTACGTTTGGTTCGAAGGATTCGCCCTCAAATGGAGCAAACCGACCGTGTTAATCTCCCAAGATCTCCCCATACATGATATCCATTAGCTTGAGGCCAATGAGCTGGCTTCTACTAGCCCATTGCGTCAATAAGTTGATGTTAAGGCTACTCCAGATGCAAATCGCAATCTTGTGTGCCTGTCAAGCAATTAGAGGCCTGAAACAGCCCCTAGAACGCGGTACGGTGAGCGGTATACTTTCTGAGTGCCCCAAATCTGAGGTTGCTCCTACAGAAGACCCTTAGTACTCACCACGCCTTAGCTTTCAGAGGATGGAGGGCCAACAGAGTATGTCTCTTCGTCATTCTTCTTCAGAGTGTGAGAGCACGGGCGATAATCATGCATCGACCTCTTGCAAGTGCAAGGCTGGAGGTCGATGGCAGGCTCTCGGCAAAGGAGGTCCATGAGGCTCTTCCGCCAGTCGGCCCCGACTGTTACCCCGCCAAGCAAGCAGCTTGACGGACCTTGACGACGAGGGCATCGAACAATGTTGAGCACGCCGGCGACGATTAGAAGTTCGCCCCACCTCGTGCACGTCCACCACGTTATGCACGCCAACCGAGCGCCACCACCACCATCTTCAAATTATTATAACTAAAAGGATTTTTTAATAGATTTTTAATTAGCTTAGCAATATTCTTTAAATTAAATAAAAGATCTAGTAGGTTGCACGTTTCCTTAAAGTTAAAAGGTTTATTATTATTATTAATACTTTTTTAGTAGTAAGCAAATCTTTTAAGGGTTAATATTAAAAAGTACTAGGTAAATAGTAGGAAAGAATAATAATTATAGTTAATTTAACTAGTAGTTTATTTATAAGCCGCTATCTAAAAGGTAAAAAGGGAAGGTTTTTCTTTATAGCCTTTTCTAGGCGGATACTAAAGGTTACTCTGCTTAGAGTTCTTTTATAGTGCTATTAGTATTATCCAGGTTCCCTTAGTCCGGAATTGTTTAGAATAAGCCGGATTAATTTAAAAGTATAAACCTATAACCTTTCTTATATAATATATTAAAAATTACTTTACTTAAAGCCTTTTTATAGTATAGATAGTAGTATCTAGGCCTTATTAGCTTAAAACCGCCCGAACTAGCTAGAACTATTCTAAAAGCGTAATAAAATCCCCTTTTTTAAAGGTATATATTCTTATTATACTATAAGTTATATTTTGCTTATATTAGCCGGCGTACTAGCATAAAATATAGATATTACTAGCCGGCCCCTATTCTTTTTAGGCGCTACTAATCGTATACCCCCCTATACTAACTATATACCCCTTTTTACTATTTACACACCCTTCGCCCTACTCTTAGCGCTTTACTACCTTCTAATTAGCTCGGAGCTAGCGCCGGAGCTTCCGATTCGCTTACTAAGCTTACTCGCTAATTCCAAATACTTTCTCTAAATGCGGCGTATATATAAGCAATTATATCCTTATTTTTATCCTCTACCTCTACCTCTATAATATACTCGCTATAGCCCTTTAGCCGCTACTATAACGGTTCTATAATACTATAAAAAAAGCTAAGTGTACGCTTATAAAGTATATAAAGGCGTATAGCTATAGGCTTATAAGGTATCGCTCTAAAAGTAATAAGAAAGGAAAGGAAATAAGAAAAATATGGTTTAAATACTGCATTAACGGCAATCTAGAGTTTACTGCACGCGTGCGCTATATAGCTACTAATAAAATAGACTATATAATATATAGTACGCTTACTTAGCAGCCTTTTAACTATACCTATAATAGTGCACGTTTATAGCTATAGGAGATAAAAAAGGCAGCTTATAACAACTATTATCCTATACTTAAACCTATAGCAGCCGTATATAATAGAAAGCGCTTAGCCTTAATAAATCGCCTTATTTAAACGGATATATCTAGCGGAATAAAGCCTAATAAAACGTATATAAAGCTATTAAAGAAAGGGGTTATTATTAATATATAGGATATTAGGAATAAGCGAACCAGGTACTATAAAAAGCTTTTTAGTAGCCTTATACCTATATAAGCCCTTTTTAATATACTAAAAACATCTATATTTCCTGCACCTAACGGCCGAGAAAGGAAGTATATATATAGCTATATAAAGGACCTCTTAAACCGGATTAATTACCTTTTCTTTACTTATCCGGATTCTATTATAATTCTATAGTTAAACTATAATATTATACTAATAGACTATATATATAAAATAAATAGATTTAGTATACTATTCCTCTATATAACCGGTGTAACGTGTATAAGTAACAACTTTAAAATTAGCTACTGCTTTATTTCTAGAGAAAAGAAGGTAAACTATAACTAGGCAGTATAGCAGCTCTTTAAGCTCTTTTAATACTATTCTATTACGCCACGCGTTTTCTTAATAGATAAGGAATAATATTACAGTCTCGGGCGGCAGGATTGCCCTAGCTAGCTCGGGCAGGTAGGTAGAAGTAATAACTGAATTTACTACGTGTTCTATAATACACAGCAGGCAGGCAGGTTAAATAACAAGACGTAGCTTAAGGAGCTATAAGGAGGCAGGGCGGCGGTCGGCAGGTATACTCCTGCTAAGGCTCGCATAGGCCCTTGCAACAAGGCCTCTCGCCGGGTCCTAACATCACGTGTTACGCTATGCAGCAAGCTTCACCGTTTAAGCTGTAACAGTACTCCCCTCCTTACGGCCGAACTCTGTTAAGGCCTAAGAACCGGGCTTTTCAGGGTAACGGCGATGGAACGACCGGATAGCTTCCTTGGCATGTTCCAGATAGTCAGCGGGCTCTTCTGTAACTTCGTTGTATCCGGTCCACTTTACCGTGTACTTTAGGCGGGGGCGGCCACAACCGCGACGCTCCCATCGAGAGTTAACAACTTCCTCAACTTCCCACTCCTCTAAGCCTTCAACTT